AAAGTGTCTTACGGGCCCGTAGTTTATCCTAAATATGTTTAGACCACAAAAAGGGGGATAATTTTGTTCATATCTTTGCAACATATTTGTTTTAGAACATCTTTAATATGAGCAAAGGATTTTTCGAACTTAACTTACTTTTTATGAGTATCATGCGGGGCCTGGATATATACTGTGATAAGAAAATGAGAAAAATATTGACAATTTTGCCACCTGAGTGAATATCACTTTTATAATCTGACATCACACATATTTGAGAATGCCTTAAGAGTAAATGTATGGTTTGAGTGATCATGTCAATATAATGAACTTTTCTTATTTTCCAGTGTTTGCTGAAGATGTTCCCTGTTGTGCAAGTACCTGTACAAATCATGACATTACCACACAATCAAATAAAATGACATTGGAACTCCGCCATCAGCTAGGCCTATTGTGAATGTGGCTAAGAAGAACAGCATAGACTGACTGTGTTGACTTATTTAACCAGGCTAAATTAACTTGCCCTGCAAAGTTCCTGATAAAAATACATGTGTGGATTAGAAGACCCTGCCAAGATAATGAATATATGAAAATACAATGTACCCCAGAAGCGTCTCATCTTCACATCTCACACTGTCCATGAAGTGATTATCCTCTCGGCTATTTGTGACAAAATGATGCAGTAATGGAATCAGAGCCTTATTATTCAATGCTGATATTAAGAAACCCAAGTAACTGTGACTATGCTCTAAATGGCAAAGAAACAGTAAGAGCAGATGAAGAATAAAAAGTGACGCAACAAACACTGTTGACTATGATTATGAATGATAACACAACTGTAATCAGTCAAATGAAACTTTATACATTGTGATACAAGACTATAACTCCATCTCATCCAATCAATTTGTGATAGCGAAAATCCATTGGCAAGGGATTTTACATGAAAAAGCCAAACCTAAAATCCTTCATGATTCATATGACTATGAGCTAAGGATGGCTACTACATCAGAGTATTGAAATGACAATTGAAACTCCCTATGATACAGTAAATAATACTAGACTATTGGGATTCAAGTCAAAACCAACTTGACCAAAAATTCAAACACCAAATAAATTTATAACTTCAGCAGTTGGTATTATACAGTAATATATCAATAAAATTAAATACATGAAGTATTATTTGAATATAACATGAACTATTATAAATAAATACAATGTTTCTTTGTTATTTACTGCTGTGCTGGTGTACAAAATCTATCAGAGCATTGAAGTAATGACCAATACTGATAAAAAATTGACATAAACTTTGTTGGCCATTAACTTTCCCTCTATTTTCATTCCTGTTATAATGATATTTGTAACAAATTTGTGACATGTATACTTGAAGTGAACAAATCTACTCTCATTGTCTTTTGCATTTAGCATAAGTACAGATGTTCTATTTATGCCGACAAAAGAACAGATCTACTCTTATGCCCGGCATAAGAACAGATCTACTCTTATGCCCGGCATAAGAACAGATCAACTCTTATGCCCGGCATAAGAACAGATCTACTCTTATGCCGGGCATAAGAACAGATCTTCTCTTATGCCCGGCATAAGAACAGATCTGCTCTTATGCCGGGCATAAGAACAGATCTACTCTTATGCCCGGCATAAGAACAGATCTACTCTTATGCCCGGCATAAGAACAGATCTACTCTTATGCCCGGCATAAGAATTGAACCTAATTTGCCCAAACCTCATGTTTGCTGAAGTCCGAGTATTTGTAGGATTCCGAGTTCAAATGTCGGGGTGTTATAGAGACTTTAGACAACACTAAATAACATTGTGGTTTAATTTTGCTTGATTCGACTGATTTCTGTAAGCTATTTTAAGATGCCTTATACCATAGGTTTCTCCCTCAGACAATCAATGATGTCCTATTGTTATTGCTCATATAATATCTCACATACCATGGATATATCTTGAGAATAGCTTTGGGGTATATTATTGCCGAAATATTGAAATAATCAACAGAACAACCAACCTCCAGAATTAAACACAATCGATTCCTCAGCTTTCTATGGTAAGTAGATGGGTGAATATGTGGTGAAACTCAATATGCAAAAAAGTCCAGAGGGGTCTTGATTGTGCTATCCTATGGCATAGAGCCTCTTTAATTATTCTGATTTCACTTAAATGAACATGTATGTGGAGATTTGTATAGATTTCACTTATAGTTTTTCACATTCATTTAATACTGAAAACTCTTTTGTACAAAATAAATTTAAAACACCATATTGCCACTTTAAATGACACTTTTGAAGATCAGGTTTCTCTGACATAACCTTTGATTATCACTTCAGTTTATAAAACGTGAATCACTTTTTACTATGTTATGGTGACACTGACTGTATAATATTATGTATTTGCCCTTGAGGACCATATGCCTTGAAAGTATGAAGTTAAAATTTATGCGGGACTTAGTCAAACCCTGCAGCTATATCTGAAAAACTGTTTTGGAGGCTAATCTTCATTGTACACGGTGCACCAGAAAAATGCTCAATCCTTACTGGCGTTGAAGATTATTGTTTATTAAATGATATCTGATTTGGCTTTTTCAGAAGCTTCAAAAATACAGGGTCATGGGTCTGTAATTGTTGGTATTTGATTTGTCATTCTTTTTACAAATTGGGCAAACATTACCTATTTTCCAGATTTCTGGATATGCACACTTAGTCAAAAGTTCATTAAATAAAAAAGCAAGAGGTTTTTGGGATGGTATGGGCTGTAAGATAAAACATTTTATTTGTAAGGGTCGTCAGACATCGGATTGGCCGCCATACTTGAAATGAAAATATCACTAAATAGAGCTTTGCGCATGTCAGAACATTTCGACTGATTGACAACAATGTATGTGGTAACAATTCCATAAGAGTTGTCCAAGAACCTGACTTATTAAGGAAAACAACTAAGAAGGCAGTATGACTATTCTTATTGCTGTCTCCTCTCCAAATGGCCATTGTTAGAATCCCGATAGAAGATAGGAAGTGATGTTGATGAGGAATGTAACATTTACGATCAGTATTATCTGGGCTGCAGCTTTTGAAGTAACGAAGGACAAAATTATTTTCATGACCTCAAATTGATCAGTCTTGGTCGAGATAAGGAATTTGTCTTATAAATATATATAAAAACAATTGGAATCTACCATATGAATACAATAGATACAATGGATACAATGTACTTATATGTTTTTGAACTCTAAATCACTTATTTTGTCATGGTGACACTGAAATAAATTGATTAATTACTGTTATTAGTCAAATAACAGTATTATAAAACTAACAGATTCAATTACTTTATGTCTGAACTACTAGTTCAATTGTGCTTTAAGTAAAATAATATATGGTGCCACTCAATAACATAGCAATCCTTCCCTACAGTCAAGTGCAATCTCCCTCTTTACAGAGGGTGTCTACAAAAAAGTATAACCAACTCAAAAGCCAGAATACTAGAATTCTGAGCAGTTTTTTAAAGATACAAAGGTAGCAGTAAAAGGCCTAGTTTGTCCTCCATCAAACGGTACCTAGATCATTATGTAACTGTCATGGATGACTGAGCAATGATTACTTTTATGAAGGTGGTAAAATCAGCACTGTGCCAAGTTAGCATTCAAGTAAGATTGACACAGTGAATGTTTTTTTGTGTTCAAAACACTATTAATGTTATTTAATAACACAATTAATGTTAATTGGGACAGTATTGCTAGAATCCATTTTCAAAAGTAAGAATATGGGTTCTTAAACAGTCAATGGACTTGCTTTTTAGAACTTTTTGTTGACTTTACTGTTCAGGTGTCAGTTGAACCATTTTTGCAGGCCTATTTTAGAATAAGTTAAACGTTTTGACAAACTTTTTTTTCATAAGAGAGTTACTCAGTTCCCAGTCCAGTTCAGTATAAAAGGCCTGTCCTCTTACATAATGTAACAGAAAAAGAATATGAAGCCAATATTACATATTGACTACCACACAGGAAGATAACTTGGCTCAGTCATACATGACAGTTATATAATGATCTAGGTACCATTTGATGGAGGATAAATTAGGCTTTTCACTGCTACAAATTGCTTTAACAAATTGCTCAGGATTCTAGTAATTTGGTTTTGAAGTTGGTGATAATTTTTTGTGGACACCCTGTAGATAACTACCATGTTATTTATTTTATGTATTAATATATACATATTGTTAATTGTACCTCTGTAAGCAGAATACCCTCCCCCCCTTACCCAGTATGAGTTTGGGGGATTCTTTCAAAATCATGCAGATATAACATCCTAGAGGTGTTCCATTTACATAGGTTTTACTGTATGTATTATCATTCAATGGATAACAATAGAAAAAACATTGAACTCTGAATGACTGCATACTACCCTAGTATATGTAGGTAATAAATTGTGCAAAGGCACTCAATCAAGGACGTTAACAAAGTGGAGAATGCTATTTAGTGAAGGATAAGCTAGCTACATTATAACTGATTTTTGGCAATCTTTTCCATGTGTAACAGGTTGTCTTAAGTGTGTTGTTCTTGTAAATTGTTCTTGTAAATATATGGCCTACATACTGCCTTGGCATCATTTTGAGACTCCCTAGAGCAAATTTAGACCCTGTCAATGGATTTATGCATTATTTCACCATTGTTCTCAAAAACCAGATCAAACAGACCTTTAAAGGTGCTTGTGAACGCAAAAAGTAACTTATATGAGAATTCAAAATTAAATGCCCCAAATCTATGGCTAATCTGCAAGAGACTACTGATATCATGAACAGTGCATAGGGGCATAGCCACAATTTAAAAATAGGCAATGCAAAACTTAAGCCAAATAAAGTTCACCTTTATGAGAAATGATTTGTAGAGAAAAAAAATCTGTAAAATTTTAGTGAGGCACTTGCCTCACCTGCCTCAAAGCTAGCTATGTCCGTGAATAAACATTGTAGTTTAATATTGTAGTTTAACATTGTAGTTTAATATTTACTACCTTCATCAGGAGATGGTGCTTGTTCCTGTGCTTCATACAACATCTGTTTCATAGCCTACAAAATATAAATATCAAATTATGTTTTACAATATTTTCACATGTACATGGTGAGAAAATAAAAGTGGGACACACACATAAATGTACATGTATATTATATTCAAAAGAAAAAGTTATTTTTATAATAACACGTTTCTGGGGTTAAAATGTGCATGTCTGTTTCCTCAACCTAAATTACATGTACACATGTACAGTACATGTACTAGTATGTATGACATACACTGTAGTTAGAAACTGACCCCTGTGTAAGCTTAGATACTTGTGACTCTATCATATTTCATCTTTACAAACACGTACCCTTGGTTTTGAATTTGAACTTTAGACTCTGCTCTCAGCATTAATATCAATGTCATGGGAAATCAAGGTCACAATTATAAAGGAAAAAGTGGAAGGCTTAAGAAATATTTTACCTTACCATATTTTTTTCGACCTAATGCCCTCTTCAGTTTCAAAATAAAATTAATCATGTATTCTGCAAACTCTTTAAGGGACAATATCTGACATCAATATCACCTCATGGTATAGAAACAAATAATGATCTCCCCAGTGTTAAGAAAACATTTTTGAAAATTTTGCTATACCTCCACTTGTTATTTTCTGGTGAAAAATAAAGTATATGAAGGCATGTGTGTATTTCCTTGCTTTTTTCATGAAAGTATCATTACATTGTCTTCTTTTAGTAACCTGGTACGAAGCCAATGGTAACTCCAGGAAATACTGATATTTCAAGAAAATGGTCGCCTTTTCAATTTTCCATACTTGTTCTCAAGTTTCTAAACAATACATTGCCAACAAAACATTTCGAAATCACTTAACAGAAGATGCAACAAGGATGCTTTCATGCTTTCCAGAAAAATAAGGAAGTATACCCTAATATCTTCATACTTTATTTCAATGTACTAGAAAATAACTTGTCCAGGTATAAACAATTTTTCAAAAACATTTTTCTTGAACATGTGCAGCAATCACTACAAAAGGGGTACAGGATGAGATAATCAGCAAACCCAAAAACGTAATAATAATTATCATTATTGCTGCTAATTATATATCGATGTCATGCCCGTAGCCAGCTTTTTGTAAGGGGCCCCCCCTCCCCCAGCAACCCCCCCCCCAAAAAAAAAATTCCTCAAGCTAAACCAAGCCCCTTTGTATTGTAAAGGACAATGGCGGATTCGGAAGCTAACAAGGGGGAACCCACAGTCAGGAAAAAATATCCGCTTAAAATTTGGGCCAAAATTTAGAAAATCTATGGCACATTTTTTGAAAATTTGGCCTGACATTGAAAAAACCTAAAACCAAAATTTGGGCCAAAATTCTCAAAATTATGGCCCGTTATTTGAAAATTTGGCCCTAAATTGAAAAAATAAGGCCCAAAAAGGTGAAGTAATGCCCAAAAAGGCCTACTAAAGAGGCCCTGCAATATTTTTGGGCCAACATTTTTTTCTGGGCCAATCCTATAGCCACGCAGAAAACCTTTTAGGGCCCTAGAACCAAAATTTGGAAAGTTTATGGCCCGTTTTTGAAAATTTGGCCTAAAATTGTAACGACAAACACAATGAGGACACCTACATGAATCAATTCCTATTATCTTCTATATTATTTGATACTTGATCCCTTCATTACCTTGGCTTTTTGTTATCCCATCCCAAGACTATAGTCCTGGACCGAGCGCAATCTTTTGCCTGTAGGATTACAACTTACAACAAAATTATCTACGCCCATTACACTTAAGATACCTACTTCAATAGATCCCTTGGTATTTTAGCATTCTTTTCGTGTAGTTGAATCCACAATTGTCTGGGTTTATCGGCAGAACAAAGAAATTTTCGTTTTTGATTGCAATGTTTGCGTTTAATATTTAACTTATTTCAACCATCAAATTCCTCCATTTATTGGTACTTCCGGGCCACTTCCGGGACAGTCAAACGGGGAATCCCCTTTTAAATCCAACCGCCATCTTGAAAAGTGATGGAATCTTACTCACATCGAGAGCCATGTTAGATTTTGAAACTTATGGCTCTCAAACGGGGAAGTGGACAGCTGATCAATAGTGACCTTTGAAATAGATTTAAGTCGATCAGCGACCTACTTTATTCTCTAACTATGTTATACATCATTATCATCCTTCCATGCAAGTATTGGAGCGCTGAATTACTTCCTTTTCGATCAAGACTTGTAATTGTTAGTCGAGTGAATGTTTTTACTGCCAAATTCCAATATGGCGTTTTCTGCTCGGACATTTCCGTGAATCTCCGGAGGTTGTCCGAACTGAAATCATTCTCAAAATTCATTTCGTTCGTTGCATATCTCGCTCCTAGCATACCGCCATATTGGAAATGGGTCGAAAAAACATTCACTCGATGAACAATTTACAAGTCTTGATCGAAAAAGAAGTATTTCAGCGCTCCAATACTTGCACGGATTAATGATACTGATGTAAGACACAGTTAGAGACCAAAAGTAAGCCGCTGAAATCTTTATTCATATTTTAAAGGTCACTATTATTGAGCTGCCCAAGAGTGCCGTGGGAAAGCTATAGTATCAAAATCCACATAGCTTTCGCAGGAAGTAAATAGAATCTCTCTCAATGAAAAAGAAAAATGTTCCCGTTCTGCCGATACAGTGGGGATCATAAAGAATTGCAAAAGCTATGAAAATTACATGCTGTCGCACATTTAATAAATTCTTACCTCAGTGTATTCAGTGCTCTATTTTCTCCGTCATAGAAAGTCCAAATACAGTGGAATTTGTGTCCCCAATGACAAATAAGAACTTCAAAAGTTGAATTGGATATTCACATGTTATGCCGACTCTTCAAATGTTGAGGTGATTTTGTCGCCCGATTGCGCCGGAACGGAGGATTGGCTCCCAGAATGCAACATGACACGTGCCAGCTTTCAAAATGCTGTTTCACCATTTTGAAACCTGTCATGAGTAAATACGGTTAACTAATGTTGCATCCTGGGAGTCAACCGTCCTTGGATAACAAACATGGCGATTCATGAAAACATTCATTCGATTTGGTAGGGATTTATCCATTATTTGCAGGTAAGAAGCTTTGGATTCATTTATTGTGCTACTTTAGTGAACAGGAATTATTTTTCTACCGCTTGGGAGAGTTTGAGACACGAAACTTGGAAATAAGCTCATTGTGACAACTTGTGAACGTTGAGTTTTATTTTTGTCCCCCGCCCAGACAATCGGCGGTTTCAATATATTAGAGTCCATTTCACTGCTTCATTTCGTCAGTCGAACGGCAAAAATAAGAAATTGGGAGACCATTGTGCAATAATATAAGGAAAACTATATTCATAATGTACATGAATGACATTTGTATATCTTGGATTGCTTCTAGTTTGGCTTATAAAGTGTGTGGCCTAATTATATTTGGATGTTTCTCTGCCATGTTATTTTCAATAAGATTAACATGAAAAATCTGAAATATACAAATGTCATTCATGTACATTATGAATATAGTTTTCCTTATATTATTGCACAATGGTCTCCCAATTTCTTATTTTTGCCATTCTACTGACGAAATGAAGCAGTGAAATGGACTCTAGAAGTTACATTTTGAGTTCTATAATGCATCGAGGTAGGTACCTTAGTGCAAGGGGCGTAGATAATTCTCCCAAGTTGTAATTGTACAGGTAAAAGATTGTGCTTGGTCCAGGACTATAGTCCTGGCACGGGATAAGCTTTTTGGACTTGTCAAAAAAACATGAAAACTACTGAAAAACAACAATGCCCCTTACCTCATATTGAATGTATTGTTTGTGCCATTCGGGTGTTATATGGGCGGAGAGATGTTCTGCGAACTTCATGGTATGCGATTATTATCTGTATATATTGATCTAAGGCAGATCTAAGGCGTACATCTTGAGAGATTTGTTAGATTCTTGAATTTAACGACAATGGTCAAAACTTCACTTACGATAATTCTCTTCCATTTCCGGATCCGGTCGAAAAATTAAAAACAAAAATCAAAAGTATTTTACTTTTAATTGATAAGAACATTTTTCTAGAATCTCCTGATAACTCTTACTAGATTGTTACACGGAAAGAGAACGTTCATTCTTCACTAGACGGAATAAGACTTTGGGAATTAGAGGAGAAGGCAAGTAACGGACTGTGTGAATAATATTGCCAAAAATCCCTATTTTTTATTTTATTTTTTATTCGAACATGACTGTATTCACGCCTTCTATAAACTGTAATCAAAGTCAATGCTTCAGCTGGGTTATATTCGAGTATAATAACCCAGTTAATACGTGTAATGTGTGACGTCATTACGGTGGGTCGTAGTAATGGCGGATCATGATGAATTATTCGAAACAATTTGGTGAATTTTCATGTTCGAATCGTAATATAGACCTCAGAGCAGGGTTACTAGTTTCGAATGACACGCCGCTGGTCTTGGCACAAAGCTTTCAGAAAACGTTTTTGCCGAGACCAGCTGGGTGTTATTCGAAACTAGAAACCCTGCTCTTTGGTCTATATTTCTTAATTATTTGTTTATTGTTCCATTCAAATTATTTAAAAAACATATTATTTCAATTTGACGCAGAGCGTATATTGTCTGTTAAAATGTTTAAGGTCATGTAAAAGTAAGATAATTAATTGGTGAAGAATTGGAACATAGATCTAGTGAAAGGTCTGCAGAGTAATCACAATTTCACATCGCTTATAAAATACTCATCATTGAAATCGCCATTCCATCAAGGAAGAGGCAAAATCCATTTGAATAGATTTTGCCTCTTCCTTGATGGAATGGCGATTTCAATGCTGAGTATTTTATTACGCTCATGAAATTGTAATTTCAGAGCTTTGCTCTTATGAAATTGATAAATTATAACTAATAATTTGAAATGATGTGTTTTTGAGAGCTGCCTTAATAGTAACGCTTTCCTTAATTTCACTTGGTAATTTGTTATAGTACATTTGTCACATACATTTACACAGTTCTCATTGTTTCAGGTGCCTCAAGGCTTAATTCCTCAATAAGAGGTTTTCTGAACATTGACTGAACTACACAGAGTCCATAAGATGACACGTCATGGTAAGAACAGTACAGCAGGATCGGTCTACACATACCATGAAAGAAAGAAAGATACCCAGCAGTCTGGCTATGGCAGCAAACAGGCACGGTTTGGAAAGGACTCTATCAAAGAGTTTGATTGCTGCTCTCTAACACTCCAGCCTTGTAAAGACCCTGTAGTCACGTATGTATATATCGGTTATATTGAAACAGGGATTTCCCTAGCATTAAGGCAAGTGGGTGGTGCATCCACTTGAGATTTTGAAAATAGGCTTGCACCCACTTGAGAATCCATTTGCACCCATTTGAAAATGAGAAAAATCACAAAAACAGGCATATTTTGACCATAATAGGTCTAAATTGTGAAATCAAGAATTTTGCACCTATGTGAGGAAGAATCCCTGGGAGAACACTTTGAATACTCATATATTCAATGAATAATCCAAAACACATCATCTGGATACTAAAAGTGTACAGTATATAATCAAAATATCCAACTATTCTGACCGGAGAGTATTAGTATTACTACTTTGTTGAACTGTAACACACAGAGCTATTTATGTATTTTCTATATAATTTTTAAAAGTATGAAAACCAAAAAGAACATGTATATAAATAATTCTTTGTGTTCAAAAACAGTATCATTTTTCTTGAGAAAGGCTAGAGTAAATACAAACGTTTTCTGGAGATTCTTTCTCATACTAGTATATATTTCAACCAACGTTGAAAATAAGTCCAATATAGTTTTTTAAAGAAATGAAGACCTGTATAGTTTTAAAAAATAAATTACTGTTTGATTTGATGTTGATTTATTAACAGAAATGTGTGTTTTCTTGAACACAAATAGCAACACCCCTATCAAATTAAATACAGTAAATCTGTCTAATCCGAATGCCTCTGGAACCAGCCAAAATCGTTCGGATTAGCAGGTGTTCAAATTTCAAGGTTTTACACTGAAAGAGATAACAAAATTGGAACCAAGTAAAAGTGTTCACATTGGGAGGTGTTCAGAATAAAGAGGTGTTCAGATATACAGGTTTCACTTTAATGCAAAACATAAGGGGAGGCATCAAAAGTTCAGAGTCAAAACTAGATTTATTTAGTTTCCGATCCAACATCGAACTTTTGATGCCTCCCCTAAGTGTCTAAGTGGAGGCTTCATATTGTTTGAGGTTTCATAATACAACCAAAGTCAACATTTTATTTTTAGAATTGATGGCTACCTGTTTGACAAAGAGGCAATATTGGAATACATTTTGCACCAGAAGAAGGAGATTGCCAGAAAACTGAAGGAATATGCAAAACAAAAAGATAAATTAGAAGTAAGAAGTGATGAGAATGAATAACTCAATTGTACCAAACTTTTGCAGCCATAAACTGTAAAATATGTTAATACCAGTAGCTTAGCTTTAATGGGCTTATGGTGTACTGTTCACATCGTTTTGTACTAATTTCCCAATTTTATAATACCCTTTAGGAAGATGTGATTGAGAAAGCCAGAGCTGAACAAGCAGAGAGAACCAAAGCTTTTGTAAAGACAGAGGGAAATATTCTCAGTAAACCAATTGATCCATTTCATAAAAAGGGTAAGCAGAAATTGTTAGTAGCAGAGATCATGTCTAGGCCTATGTGGTAGAATAAGTATACATGGATTTTGATATCTCCTCTCTACTGGTTCATCCAATGACCTATAACCAACACTTTCCATTTTAATTAATGGCCAATTATTGCACCACATAGACATGAGAGAGGCAGTAAAATATGTTAAACCTTGGTCAAAACATCTTTCATGAGTCAAGCGGAATTTCACTCCAAATTTTGATTCCAGATTTAACTGTGAAAATGTCATACCTAAAGGTTAGATATCAATATCAATTGATTTGAAGAACTTTGGTGTTTGTTAACTGATGACAAGAGACAGGGACTATAAGTTTATTGTGGCATTTCTATACCCAATTTGAATGAGCACTGATCAGATCGTTTTTGTTCCCGACACACCCCAAGTCTTCCATTAGTGGACTGTTTTCTTGAAAAATATGTATTTATACACTATACAGGCTACTTAAGTACAGAAATAAAAAGTAAATAAAAAAGAGAAATATTATAATGGATATTGTTAGCGTCACTAAATTAAGAAAAACTACATAGGTTTCTACATGTGTGCTGAAATTATGTCTATCAAGAAAATATGCTCATCGTGAAAACATTATTTAATTTCAGATGGCCCAAAGCCAGGTCCTAGTGTGTCTAACATGGCAGATGGCAAAGACAAGAAGTTACCAGCTTTCTGGTTGCCTTCACAACTTCCTGAGGCTGATAAGACTCTTGTCAAGAAACCAGTAAGTTGCATCCATAAATCAAGATGTATAGTAAAACTTGTGTAGGTGGAACTCCTTTGGTACCTCTAAAAAGGGTTTCGCTTGGGAGGTGTTCCATATACGGAGGTTTTTTTAACAATAAGTCAATAGTAGTTGACAGTTGCAGTTTGCATTCGAAACGTCTAAAACCAAAAATTGTAATAAAGTATGTGACAATGAACACTAATAAATGGAAATAAGTCAATAGGTTGGGGAGCTTTGAAAAGTGTTTCACTTATGGAGGTGTTTCACTTACAGTGGTGTTCCACTTTACAGGTTTTATCCTATCTTGAATTTTTCCATTTAAAAGCATGTAAATACATTGAGAACTTGTTTTTTTGATGGGGCTGGAGTTTCTTCATTCTACTCTATGTTTATCTATCCAATGGCATCTGTATATCAACAATATTTGCATGTTTTAAACCTCTGCCTATTTAACTTTTACTTCAATTTGCAATCAAATTTTTGAGTATATTTCTCATGGTAAGGTTTGACATGACAAAAAAAATCTCTGAATTCTTTAAATTGCTTTCCATTTCAGGTTATTTCGTTCCAGGTTTTTAGAGGTTTTGTATTTCGGAGAAAATAATTCTAAGCAGATTAATCCTGGATGCAAAACTGAGAATTCATTATACATTACAGCTGTATCTCATATTACCTCCTGAATTTATAAATACAACATCCCCACTGAATTTGACATACCGCCACCCCTTCTCCCCTTAATTAAGAAGATGTGTTTATCATGGACCAAAATTATACCTCCCAAGACATCATCTTACCTTGTCTTACCTTGGGAGGATTATTATCTCAATAACAGTTGTCTTGTATCATTTTGTAACACATTGGGCACTCAATCGTAAATCTTTATTATCCCACCGAACGAAGTTCGAGGGCGATATAGAGAAGCCGTCTGTTTGTCCATCTGTCCGTCCTTTCGTTCGTCTGTGTCCGGGCGATTTCAAAATGGCGGCCATTTTTCGTAAAAATATGTAATCTTTGATAACTCAAATACCAGTGAACGAATTTGGTTCAAATTTTATATGATGATGCTTAGGGACACAGTAGCTATGTTCAACAAAAATTTTTCAAGATGGCCGCTTAATTTCAAAATGGCGGCAATTTTTCGTAAAAAACATAATCTTTGATAACTCAAATACCAGTAAACAGATTTGGTTGAAATTTTATATGATTATGCCTAGGGACACAGTAGCTCTGTTCAAGAAATAATTTTCAAGATGGCGGCCAATTTTCGTAAAAAACGTAATCTTTGATAACTCATATACCAGTGAACAGATTTGGTTCAAATTTCATATGATGATGCCTAGTTCACAATGGTATAAACTAACTTTGTGCCAAATTTCATGCTTCTATCACAAAGTGCACAAACATTTCAACATTTACACTAGCTATAATAAGCATAATATGTTTTGTTCGGTGGGATTTGCTACTCCGTGGAGTTGCTGTTTTTCTAGTTCCATTTTGTATTTATATTTTCAGGATGAAAAGGTTCGCTGTCCAATGAGTGACAAAGTCCTTAAGATGAAAGATCTCATACCTGTAAACTTCACAAAAATAAATGATAGAGATGAAAAAACCTCTCTTATAGCAAAAAAGGTAAGTTCGAAAAACAATCACCAAAATGTTGAGGGACCACTGCATTTATCACATGCTCTGTAAAATTCCAGTAATCTGATTGGTTGATTACCGTGTGAGTTTTCCCGTCTCACACGGCCGTCTCACACGTTACTAGAGGCAACCAGTGATGATCAATAGCAACGATGTGACGTCACTGATTATATCACTTCTAGCTAAGGAAAACAATATGACGTCATACTATTTCACAAACAAGTACGAATACAACGGTATGACGTCATATTGTTTCAAAGCGGAATCAAAAATTATAATAGTTACCAGAAGTACACGGGGTTCTGAACACAATCATAACTGACCAAATCAAAATGCTTCAAAATTCCTAGACATGTGATAAAATCGTCATCACACGTTTCAGCTTATGTGATACAGGAAATATTCCACTCGGGTAACAATGTATCACCACTCAAGCTTCGCTTTCGTGGATGATACAATATTACCTTTCGTGGAATATTTCCTGTATCACATGCTGAAACGTGTGATAACTGATAGTCTTAAATGTCAAACAATTAATTTTTAAGATATAAGTTCTGTGAGAAATTATCTGAAATTGGTCCATTAACTATAACGATTCTTCCTATTTATGCACTGTCACCTATTGGTCTTCTGTCTAATAACATATAAATCTACCTGTACTTTTATTCAGTCAACAACGAGTCTTTCAGATACACATGTCCAGTTACCACCAGCTGGTTATCATAGTGCCAATGATTCTTGTTTCTAGAGCAGATATGTCGCAATGCAGTCACAATTGATTTCTATTGTTCCTCAGACAGATACACATTTACAGATACTAATGATTATTGTTTTTAGGGCTTAACATGTGTATAGTCATTCTTGTTTCTAGAACTTAAAATAAGTCACCAGCGATTCTTGTTTCTAGGACAGATACGTGTGTGCAGTCACTAATGATGTCTTGGGTAATTCTACACCATGTGCAGTATTGAGAACATCAGGGTGTGTTGTTACTATGGATTGTGTGGAGAAACTGATAAAGAAGGACAACCCTATGTTAGACCCAATAAATGGCAAGCCTCTCAGAGACAAAGATATCATTCCATTACAAAGGGTAATATAAGATTAATAGATCATATATTTATTCATTTAAGCCTGCACATTTTTGCAGTGATAACAGCCAAATCTGCACTCATCTATTGATGCATAACAGCGCATACATTGGTCACAAATGTACTTTTGTAACAGAGTTGCTTATTGGTATATAAGAATCTATTTTTATTTGAAAAATTAAAATTATTGTTCATTTGGTTACTTTACATTGTATATACTTTCAACAATAAAAACAATGATGAACCTCACCACAAAAACTAAAACAGTGGTAGCCAATCAACAATTGACATGTAAAAAAACTAAAACAGTGGTAGCCAATCAACAATTGACATGTAAAAACTAAAACAGTGGTAGTCAATCAACAATTGACATGTAAAAAACTAAAACAGTGGTAGCCAATCAACAATTGACATGTAAAAAAAATAAAACAGTGGTAGCCAATCAACAATTGACACGTAAAAAAACTAAAACAGTGGTAGCCAATCGACAATTGACATGTAAAAAAACTAAAACAGTGGTAGCCAATCGACAATTGACATGTAAAATCAGTTGGTCTATTATTATCCTATAAACAAAGTCCAGGAAAATAGATCCCCACACATCCATTCATTCGTCCCTTCATACATCTGTCTGGGCAATAACTGGAAAACTATTGGCTCAGTGTTGTTTATATTTTTATTAGCTCACATGGTGAGCTTTTGCAATCACTCACTTGTCCGTCTGTCTGTCCGTCCATCCGTGCGTCCGTCCGTCAACAATAGTGGCACCTTTTAAAACCTCTGTCGATAGGATTCCTGTTTTAAGTTATTTCTGTTCAACATCAATACAGAACACTCCCCTATGACTCCTGGTTGAAAAGCTCGCCTATTTTCAAAATGGCCACCATTTTTGTCTCGCGAAATTCACTTTTGACCCATTTCCTAGCTTACAAATAATTTCAGGTGTCCTACATTGTAAAAATCCATGTCAATGTAAAGAGTAGATATATGAAATAATTTTGTAACAAAAAATCAGCAAAAAATTATATCCATTTTTTTTATTTTCAGCCATTTTAGTTAACATTGATTTGTCCATCTGACTCACGAAATCCACTTTTCCATCAACAACAGTGGCACGTTTTAAAACCTCTGTCGATAGGATTCCTGTTTTAAGTTATTTCTGTTCAACATCAATACAGAAAACTCCCCTATGACTCCTTGTTCAAAAGCTCGCATATTTTCAAAATGGCTGCCATTTTTGTCTCGCGAAATTCACTTTTGACCCATTTCCTAGCTTTACAAATAATTTCAAGTGTCCTACATTGTAAAAATCCATGTCAATGTAAAGAGTAGATGTATGAAATAATTTTGTTACGAAAAATCAGCAAAAAATTATATCCATTTTTTTATTTTCGGCCATTTTAGATAACATTGATTTGTCCATTCCGTCTCGCAAAATCCACTTTTGGACCATTTGCCTTAAACCCTTTGTCGATAGGATTCCCGTTTTAAGTTAATTTTGTTCAACATCAATACTAAAAACTCTCCTATGACTCTTGGTTCAAAAGCTCGCCTATTTTCAAAATGGTCGTCATTCTTGTCTCGCGAAATTCACTTTTGGCCCATTTCCAAGCTTTACAAATAATTTCAGCTGTCCTGTATTGTAAAAAGCCATGTCACAGTTGTCACTGTAGAGTAGTTGTATGAAATGATTTTGTTACAAAAAATCGGCAAAATATTATATCCATTTTTTATTTTCAGCCATTTTAGTTAACATTGATTTGTCCATCTGTCTCGCGAAATCCTCTTTTGGACCATTTGCTTAAAACCTCTGTCGATAGGATTCCAGTTTCAAGTTATTTTTGTTCAACATCAATTCAAAAAACTCCCCTATGACTCCTGGTTCAAATGGTTGCCTATTTTCAAAATGGTCGCCATTTTTGTCTCGCGAAATTCAATTTTGGCCCATTTCCTAGCTTTACAAATAATTTCAGGTGTCCTGCATTGCAAAAAGCCATGTCACTGTAAAGAGTAATTGTATGAAATAATTTTGTTAATTGGCAAAAAATCATATCCATTTTTTTTCAGCCATTTTACTTAACATCGATTTGTCTATCTGTCTCTCAGTCAGTCCAAAATAGTGGCAAGTAGCTTGAAATAATTTTGTTACAAAAAATCAGCAAAGAATTATATCCGTTTTTTTTAATTTTCTGTCATTGTAGCCATCATTCACTTTTGAGCAACACCATGTGAGCCAAGTACCCACGGTACTAATTTTTATTTTATTGCATTCGTCCTCTGTGAGAAAAAGCTCAAAAGTTCATTTTGTCTGACTCTGATTAGATGATTGATGGGATTTGCTATACCTTGGCATTGCCATTATCTAGTTGTCTATTATTCTTTTCTGATTCCTCTTTCTTACTCAATTTATCCTTTATATTCCAGGGAGCAACTGGATTCTCAGGAGCAGGAATCACTCTGGAAGGAAAGGTAGATGGACCTGGACTGATGTCATAATAGACTTTATGTTGTCACAATTTGAAAAATACTTTTGGTCGAGTTAGCAATGACTTTATAATGTCATGTGTAGCCAGAATTCAGACAATCTCTGTGTGATATAGTTTTGGACTAAATGATGTCACAAAAGTGTATACTATACTACTATATAACAGAATGTTATTTGAAATGTGATATTGAGCAGTTACAAGGACACAAATCTAAGGTTTTAACTCAAACATGAACAATGATATACCATCCTTTTGTTCACATTTTGAAAAATTCTTGTGGGGTTCACCATTTCAGCCCAAAAGCACTTCAATGAGCCCCCCCCTCTGCTATCTCTACAGGCCTGATCCTATATGGTCATACTGTCTTTGTTTTAAGTTCTGTTTTCCATATTGTATATTTTAGTCATAGGGCAATAGAAAGAGGGCACTGTATGTTCAATCTAAGCAAAAATCAACTTTCCATGAAGCAGACCAACTGCCCAATCAGGCTACAGATGTATGTACAGGGATTGTATTGTTATCCGACTGGTGCAACATAACTGTCCAATAAGATTTACAGATTTATAACTTGTTTTATGTATTCAGATTGCATGTATCAAAAACTGTATTTAATTGGCAGACACATTGCTGCAAAAATAAAACAGATGAATTTTATTTTATTTTTATTGTACAAAAATAAACTATGTGTACATTGTATAGGCATTTTTCTTTGTTGATACATTATTTTCATATGATATCCATTGTATACAGTATTTGGCAGTTAAATATCTTTCTATGCCTCTATTATCACCCTATGCAGACAAATATTGGGTGCGGAGCAAATGAGCGGAGGGTGCGGAGCTAACGGTCATTTTTGAATTTAAATTTGGGATATTTCTGAAACTAAGCCGTTTTGGGACTTCAAATATACCATGATATGTGTATTTGACACCAAATGTCAATACAATTGTGAAAATAGTAGCGCAATGTGCCTTAAACCTTTCCCAGACCTATATATTTTGAAATTATCCTTTTAATACTGAGTCCGCAGCATTCATAAAAAATGGTGTTCAAGGTACACTATCTATACAAATTATTTTTGCATCTTGGAAGCCAGACAGTATCTGTGTGATTTTAAAAAATTTGGAAATGTTTTTCAGATATGAGCCCCCTCTAAATATTGGGTGCGGAGGAGCTCCATAAACGTACCTCCGCACCCAATATTTAGAGGGGGCTCATATCTGAAGAACATTTCCGAATTTTTATAAAATCACACAGATACTGCCTGGCTTCCAAGATGCAAAAATAATTTGCATGGGTAGTGTATCTTGAACACCATTTTTTATGAATGCTGGGGACGGAGTATTAAAAGGATAGTCTCAAAATATATAGGTCTGGGAAATGTTAAAGGCATACTGGGTCGCTATAAAATGAATTGCACTACTATTTTCACAATTTTATTGATATTTGGTGTCAAATACACATATCTTGGTATATTTGAAGTCCCAAAACGGCTTAGTTTCAGAAATATCCCAATTTTAAATTCAAAAATGACCGTTAGCTCCGCACCCTCCGCTCATTTGCGCCGCAGGCTCTGTCTGCATAGGGTGATTATACACTCATAAGATTTATTAGTACAATATTTTCAACACATTTAGCTTTATTATGTGGCCCATTCTTTAAAATAACTTTCAAAATAATGGGCTTTTCTATTTCTATTTTTTGTGTACATACAGTATTTAGCCAGGTAACTTCTCTTTATAAGAGCAGAAATAAATAATCAGTTTTTGCATTTTAAAAAACACAAATGTGTCACACAAAAGGCTAAAATACAAAGCAATAAAAAGCATCAACCAGAATTTCACCATAAAATCATTATATTGTCTTGTTCAAGTGATTAGTATTTTCATATATCGATTTTCATTAAAAATTATAATTAATAGGAAGGCACTATTCATGTTCCTTAAAGCAAGTATATGTTCAGAGATTTGAAAGGTAAGGAATCATAATTCAATTCTATGCTAACCCTAATTCTAGTACAGGCTTAATTCAAAATGACAAGATATGAAGAGTTATATTACCATGTAGTAAAGGGTTATCCTCTACCATATAGCATAGGGTTATCCTCTACCCCAGTTCTTAAGTTGCACTATGTAATATTAAGCCATTCCTTATTGATGTGTTTTTAAGGAGTTAACCATATGCATCTGTATAAAATCTTTTAGTCACATACTATAATGTTGTAAAACTATGCCTCAATTAAATCTTCCATGTTTCTTTGTCCAAATCTTAAACCTTCAATCTATTCTTTTCCTCAGATTTTATTTATTCGCAACTGACTAAATTTTCACTATATTTCCTTGCCTTTAATTTATTCCATGTAATTTAATCTTGCCTCAAACTTAAGTCTCAATATTAATCCTCAATATATTTCGTGGCCTCAAATTTTATCTGTGCCTCAAACTGTACCTTTGATATCATCAAATTTATTCTTCCACATATTTTTTAACGAATTGTTTCAGTATTTGTCTGTGTTCCTTATTCTTTATTGTTTCAAGCCAGAAGTGGAGACAACTATCAATGGTATTATCTAAAGTCTGTTCAATTAGAGCCTCGTGGAGAATAAACTTCACAAATGGCATTTTTAAATCTTCAAAACCCAGTTCTCCGAGAGATTTTAGTATTCGAGTAATTCTGAGATAATTGTGTGTAGATCTGAAAATAGAAAGTACATGATACAGAACTGATGAAAAGGCTACAACCTTACTGTTGTTTCTATATTTCTGATTCATTCCCATGATATACCTGCACCTTATTGAATAATATTCTGAAGTAATTTTCTGAGTTAATATAAAGGTCCATGTGCAGTATGGCAAGTGATTTTAGACAGTCATATCTTTCACCATGAGTACTTTCTGGGCATAAATCGAGTGGTTTTTATTAAAATATGGGCTTATTAGCCTTTTGCAGATTACTGACATAGACATAATATGTTTTCTTTCGAGTGAAGTGCCCATGATGATAAAAATATCAATCAATATTCAATCAATATGTGTTAAATTTTTAGATTTTTTTATGACTGGTTCAAAAAGTTCTCCATATCGATACCACTCCTTTCCAAATTTCAAGCTCACTTGTTCATTTTGTACATTGTTCTTTATAATGTTAAACTATAAATGTATTATTCCAGTGGTTTACCCTTTCTTGTCATTGAATTTGTATTAAAAGTTCATGTATATATACTGAGACTCACAATTCACTCCCTCAAACTCACAGGAGATATTATACTGAATATACTGTTACTGTACCTATTTAAATTTTGAAATCTCAACTCCCAGTTGTCATGTCTCTCTATTCTTCCATCCGTTGTCTCTGTTTCATCAATGAGTTTCATTCCATAGAAATGTAGCATCATTTTGTAGGCCTTTAACACTCTACCATGGGTATTTGGATCTCTCTTGATTGCCTAAAATATGCAATGATTATTTAGTATGCTTCAATGAACAGGAACTGTATCTAAGAATGATTGTAATTGTGTGTTTGGAATCGAAGAAATAAAAAAAATGTACCATGGTATCTACTGTATGTCATTGTCATAATAGACTGCGACTATTTCTATCATGTTATCAATTTAATGAAAATTTCTTAACATGTAGAAAAATGATGTGATTCAATTAGAGATTCATCACTAGATCACCTTATAAATAGTGCTTGCTTCAAGGACAACTGAAATAGCTTTTCTCAACTTGCAGCTACAAAAATGCGGTTTTCTCCATTGTAAGCCCAAAGTAGACTTCTTGCGATAGCCATTATAAAATAAATGTAAGATAACTGCTAACGGTCATAGATAACGAAATAAAACTAACTGATCAATCAAATTGGCCCCCACATGATTAGTAACGCCATGTACAAAATATAGCTTTGGTTTATTGGTTCCTTAGTAATCACAACCTCATGGCAACCATGGGAGTGTTGTGTTAACAAATAACAAGAACAGACAAGACTTTACGGGCAAGATTTTAAGACGGAAAATCCAAAATGGCTGCCTTGACATTTACCCAGAATGCCCAAAAACTAATCAGATCTAGATTTTCATACTGAGAATCATCCCTGAAAATTTGAAATTGATCTACCAAACAGTTCACCTGAAAATGCGTAGACAAGACTTTACAGACAAGATTTAAGGACGGAAAATCCAAAATGGCTGCCTTGACATTTACCCAGAATGCCCAAAAACTAATCAGATCTAGATTTTCATACCAAGAATCATCCCTGAAAATTTGAAATTGATCTACCAAACGGTTCACCTGGAAACGCGTAGACAAGACTTTACAGACAAGATTTTAGGATGGAAAAATCCAAAATGGCCAACAATAAAAAAGTGATTATGAGTTTTTGCTGATTTCTTTTTACAAAACTATCACATATAACTACTGTTAACAATAACATAGGCTTTTACAACAAAGCACACCTGAAATTATTTATAAAGCTACTAAATAGTTAAAGTATGAAAACTGAAAAACACCATTCAATATGATACAAAGTATTATCGTGCGCTAACTTTTCTTAAAACATTCAAAATGGCTGACATGACTGAGCTAACAGGTCCAAAACCTAATCAGATCTAGAATGAAGTGAGCTGAACAAGATGTTAAAGTTTTAAAAGCAACTGTGAAGCCGTTTTTCTTAAAGTTTGCAGACAAGGATTTTAGCATTTGACTTCAAAATGGCCGACAGGAAGTAGGTATCGAGTTAATTTTTTTTCATCCACATCTGTATGCACTCATAAGTTATCCTTGAAAATTTGAAGGTGATATCTGTAGCGGTTTTGGAGAAAACTCCCGGATGTACGGATGGACGGATGGACGGATGGACGGACGGAAGGACGGACAGACGGAAGGACGGACAGACAGTCGGACGCGCCTAGGCCGACAATATGGCCCCACACTATGTGGTGGGGACATAACAAAACATTTTGGCATTATGACGTCATGATCTAATGGACCAAAACTGGCCACGTGGGGGCCAGTGAGAGATCACGTGGGGGCCAATAACGTCACAGCCAATTCGAATATTGCTTATTTAAGCAGCTAATAACGACCGTTAGAGTGAAATAATTTTCACACTTCTGATGAGAAAACATGTCCAAATACATTTATCAAAAAATCATATTGATTCCTTTAGGTTAAAAATACCATTTCATTCTCCTTTAAAAATTTTCTGTTTGAGTAACTGGATGAGTCACAAAGAGTAAACCTTCAAATAAATCATCAAAGCCTACCTCTGCCTCAAACTTTTGAAGTTCTTGAGCCTCCCAGTTCATTCCCCTCTCTCTGATGGGGAACAACCTGAAAAGTAACAACTATACATTAAAATTGTTCACTATTCAAACAAAAAGCACAAAGCATCTGTGGTCTGTAGCTCCATAAGATAAGGGGGTGTGGAGGCCACACATCCTTGGCCCAAGAGTAATTCATTGCATTACATGATCTGCTATGAAAGCAGTGAAGGACAGATCTTGAAGGATGGGGGCCACAGAAAAATTTAAATCTAGACCCTCTCTGGTACATTCTGTGTATATCCGAGAGCCATATTTATCTTAATTCCATCATTAAATACATTTTTGGAAAGCGGGGGGGGGGGGGGGTCCCCTCAACACCCCTCCCTTTCAGATGGGCTTGCACTTATATTAATATACAGAGGTATAACATAACACTAAACACAGGTGGTCTCTATATACTCACCATTGTATATACCCATGGTGTTGCTCTAAACGTTTGTAGTCACCATGCCATTCTTCTAGCATTGTATCAATATATGCACCTGTAAAATAAAGCGAAACTAGAAAAACAGCAACTCTTTGGGAGTAGCAGATCCAGTAAACAAAATGTAGTGTCTCCCTTTGGCAAAATCTACTCTCTTGACATCTCTTGACATCACTTGACACCATATCAGAAATTCATGACAAATTGACAACATTTTTCAATTCATCAGAATCCACTGAAATAATCTGGTTAAATAATGAACTCTAAAGACTAATTAAAGTTTCCTGGAATATCATTCTTAATTGGACATTTTAAAACAATAATTTTTGCATATTATATACAATCAGGACTTTTATAATTCTTATTGTCAAAAAGTGAACTGATTTTTGAGAGAAGCCCAATATTGCAGCAATGGTGTATATACATGTTGTGCTACCGTCAAAAATAAAATTTTGTAAAAATAAAAAGAGACTCACCATTTGGACTTGATTGTATTTTATTATTGTAGAACTGGAGGTTCTTTCTCATTGTCTTTACATCTCTCTGCTCCTAAAAATCATGAGTTAATTATAACATTGTATTAATATCAGAGTTTCACCATTTGATTGTAGGTGGAACTACAAAAGTGAAACCATTTGTCGCCTAACAGCAAGACTGATGAAGAACACTGGTCACAAAAATGCTGGCTGTAACGATATGTCATAATTTCTAGGTGTAACGACATTACAATCGGAAGATGATTCAAAATTCCTTATTGCATCTAAAAAATGAGATCAGTTGAATTTCAATTGAAAGCCCATGAAGAAACTAATGCTGGAATAACATTAACAGTTCCAAAATGCCTTATTGTATTTTAAATATAGATTGATAGTTTAGATAGATAGTAGATTAAAGGCAGAATCAGACCTATAGGGTTAACAAAATTACAAGCAACTTTTATAGTTGACCTACCAATCTATTTCTTACAATATCAAACACAATATCTCCCAAAATATTCACAATATGTTATAAATTGGTGAAGTTATTAATGATTCAAAGTGCAAAAATGGGTGGAAAATGTTTAAATTCTGCCAAATAATAAGAATGGTAACCATTCTTATAGAAAAATAATGCATTATTGTAAAAATCTTTAGTTTTCCTTGAATAAAGTATGCAGTTTTGTGATTTTTAGAAAATAGACATGACAAGGAATGACATGAGCCTAAAATATTCTAAAATTGAGACAATTTTTTGTTTAGCCTGCTTGCTATATCTGATTCTCTCTTTAAAAGAAAATTGCTTGTATTCGTGAATGCAAATAGCAGCTACCAGATTAACTTATTTATTTTCATAAATTAACCTGTCATTTTGAAGTCGCAATTACGATCAACCCATTAGTCGACGAACAGTTATCCATGATCATATGACTTTTTATGCCAATGAAAGAATCTTTTATCATACTAAGCTGCTTGGTCGAATTCGCAAACAGAACATAGGTCATTGTTACATGCTGCTAAATAGGTGGATTAACCCATTATTTAGGTCAGGTTAAGGTTTGAAGCGAGAGGTGGTAGCTAATGGGAAGCACGACGGGTACTCTTCATATTTAAATGAGTTTGCTCTCAAGCTGCAATCACCTCGATAGCCGGTAGCCATTATTTGCATTCTCGAATACAAGCTTAGACTGGGTTTAACAGTTTTGATAACTTTTCATGAACTTTTCACAACTCAATTCATAGATAATATTCAGATATTACAAAAATAAATGTGCTGGGGTTTCATTCAATGGTAACAGGATATACTAGTACAGTTAAAAATTTACAATTCATGAAATATGTTATAGCTGAGTAATTTTCAACTGTTTTATTTACAAGTAAATAGAAATCCAGATTTTGATATTGTGAGCAGTATAAATGAAACTACAGCTATAAGGAAGTAAAAATGTATCCAGCACATAGATTCCAAGTATCCAGGGGCCTTAATATCATCTGAAAAGGCCTACGCTAAAAATACATTCTTTTGATTCTAGTGCAAATATTTGTGCAACATTCTCAGAATCTTTGAATAAATATTTGTTTACAACTATTCAATGATTTAGTCTATATTTTCAAAAGATACTTAAACAGCAACCTGGTTTATACACATGTACATTTACTTACTGGGTATCCCTTTCTGTACTCTGTTATATCTCTTCGAGCATAATCTTTAGCATATTTGTCTCTTTTTCGTAATTTTATTTTCTTTATCTGAAATAATACAATAACAATCATGTTAGGGAATGAAACTTGAATATTTCTGGTTCTTAATGATAAACTTGTATGGGATTTTATAAGCATAAATCAAATCAGTTTCAAAAACAAGGCAATTAAATAAGGCATTAACATACAAAATGTTATCACCTGCCATTTGTTACAGATGCTGAACACCAACTGCAAAACACCAATTACTGAACACCATCCACAAAAAAGTTGGAGACTAAATTAAATATACATTATAATTAGAAAGAATCTACATGACAAAAGGACAATTGTCTTTTAAGACCCTATATTAGCCCCCAACATATTTAGAAGAAAGTGTACAGGATATTAAAGAAGGGACTTTGTTTGATAACCAGATCCAAGAATTAGGTCATTCTGACCTTTATATTTCAAGATATAGTTCATTCTATTAACATGTATAAAATGACCTTTTAAAGGAAATATCACTCTTTTCACATCATTATTGTCACTGTTTCTATTAATTATCAAAATAATCATTATTTACAGTCATTCAAGACATTTTAATTGATACTCTTGGTATTATCTTCCACAATAGTGAAAAAGCATCATGGGCAACATTCAAAAACACATAAAATATAACAAGTCAAAAATGCAAAAAATATTGAATAGTGATCTTCTTTATACTGTACTTCATTGAGATCAATTGTCTACAAAAGGTTTGCAAAAATATGTTAGAAAAGAATATTGAGTTTTTTATTTTACATCACAATGAGAAAGAACAAGGGGCAACATTAAAAACAAATGAAGTAATTAAGTCAAAACAGCATATCAATTATATATTGATCTGCTTCCTTGAGATCAATTGCTCATATATAGTTTGCATGGCAGTGGCATTTAAATACTGAATTTATTATTTCACATCACAGTGAGGAAGCACAAAGGGCAACATTTGAAAACAACTAACAATGTAACAATTTCTAAAAAGTTACTCTGGTTTTTACATAACTGTTGTACTTCTGTAGATGAGCACATTCATGTGTTTGTTCATTATAATAAGAGACTCTAGTATGAGCTATCATCTTCTTCAGATGACAACATTTCTATTCAGGCAAAAACTCAGTTACATTGAATCTCATTTTGGCCTCAACAAATCTAATTCATTTATTTAAATTAATTGTAACAATGGATTTGACAAGACATAAAATACAAGTGGGAGGAATGCTGATTATCGCACTATGATATGCAGAATAATTATTTCATATGAAACAGGGAAATGAAACTGAAAACTATGACATCCTGACATTCTCGAGTGTATTGACTTATTATAAGAGTATGTCAGATAAAGATAAACTTAAAAAGCATACATATTCAAATAAAGAGAACAATCTATTCCATCAAAAGAATAAAGTTCCAACAATTTTGAAAACATTATTCAAAAATAGCAGGTTGCAATTTTGGAATCACTCTGTATTTGTTAGACACCCTGTAGTTCATGACCAATAGAACGATAGAATTTATACCTTTCTTCCATCCACTCTTGCATCTTCTCCAAGTTCCATGTCCATTTCGCCATCCTGAAAGAAAATTCAAACTAAATTCTTAGAATTATTATTATGTTTTATTTCATATAGGCTACAGTAGTTTTCATATAGTTTTTTTTCCAATTTCATGTTAGTTGTAAAATTTAAAATTTCCAAAATTACATATCCACCTAGATTTTTGTGGCTTTTCTCCAAATTTAAAAATATGTCCCCTGACCATTCTAGCCATTTTTACGACTGACCTGAACTCCAGGTACAAAGGTACTTATCAAGGTCAACGCTAATCCTGAACAGAACAGAAGGATTGCCTGGATCTGGCCTGGCGTACATTCATAGACATATGAACGAAGGTAACATCTAATCATCCCATTGAAACTTAAGGGGCTGTATTGCGTCGTGTTACTATTTTATCACAACTTCCAAAACCAGTCTAGCCTCTAGCCTGAATAAAGATATTAAACTAATATATAGAGATATGCTAATAGCTTACAAAGCATTCAGCTAAATTACTCACCTTTGCCTTTCCAGCAAACCTCTCAAGAGTTATCTTTCCTCCCATTGCGACTGTTGTATTTTCCTTTTTAGTGCATTTTGGAACTGAATCATCATCTGGTCGGTCCATCTGAAACATAAGAATGACGTTTTGAAACTGAAAATGAAACTAGATCCTGGTTCAACTGGGTTATTGACCTGCACTATGTAAAATACTCATTCATTGGAGAAAATGCTAACCTTGATGTTATTACAAAATCGATATCTATCAAACACTCAGGATAACTAGAATACATATTGATGTTAAGATTGAATTGGAATATTACCATCTAGAATGTAAAGTACACTTTGAATACAGGAAAATGGAGAAAATAAAATATTTTCGGACTCTTCGAAGCCGGAAGTTACGGAATATTCATACTTTTTTTGGTAATAAATCATTTATAATGATATAATTCAAATCACATTTGAATGGATATAATTAAAAACTTTTCAAATTACTTACTACTTGAAGTTTTATTTAAACAAGGGAATCATCTAAAAAAATATAAAAGATGTAGAAACATTTATTTTCGTATTCAGTGACGTCACGCGACGACCAAATCATTGCTATTTCTAGAAATTAAATAAAAACCCATATACGTCGTCAATTGACCTCAAACTGCAAAGGTGTGTATGCTTACCGTTAACTTAGCTATTCATTTCCATAATCAACCTCTTTTTATTGTGAAAAACAGTAAATTGAGGGCTGAAATTCGAATCATAACATTCAAAATCACAGAAACAAAAATTCCAAGATGGAGGATGATCCGATTGTTTGAAAATTCCAATATCCAATAGGGGATCATAAGCCTAGCTCTTTCTCTAAATATAATAAGTGAGTTAAGTAGTTAAAATGACGGATTTCAACAAACATACATGTAAGGGGTCGGTCCAACTGCATCTTTTGTAGGCCTGCCATTGAACTCAAATTTTTGGTCACACGGTCTCATCGATCACTGTTTTAGCCTAAGCAATGTCAGCAACAAGAAAATCAAGTGAAAATGACACTAGAAAAATACGAAGCCATAATGCTATTTTGATAAAACTGATCCACTTTTTATGGAAATACCACAGAGAAAGACAATGAACAAACTACATTTTACTGCTTGTTTTCTGTTGGCTAGGTAACATGTTAATGACGTCACAAATTAAAATATAATAAACACTTTGATGTGCGAGTTTAGCTTTCTTGTCTGTTTAGTTGATAGGGCAATAAGTAACTGATGTCATAGTTTATGTTATATTACGTCATATCTTCATCACAAACACAACATATGACGTCGTGATCGTTGCTTTGATGATTTGCCATATAAGGTAATAATGGCGGACTTTTGGTCACGTGACTGGTCGACAGTCGGTCCATAGAACGAATGGCTCCACCCACTTCGTGGGGGGCCTTCGTAGAAAATCATCAGTAATAAAAGTGGGTAAGCGTAAAGAGTGTAGATATCAATTCTCATATCTGACTTAGGCAGATCTGCATGATGCAAATGTTTTTCAATTTCGAAAAGAAGCCTGCTCAATTTTCTAGTTATTTATACATTCTAAAGAAAAATTAACACTCAATTATTAATCTGGGAACACTAAAGCCCATTTTATTCAAAAAATGAACGATTTAGACCATGTTCCGAATGAGTTACATTCATCTGAAAAATGCACATGGTCATCTAAATGGTAGAAAGGGCAGTCTGACCTAAGATCATATGTGAATCCATGCATGTTTAATCTTCCAAAAATAATTGAAAGGTATTGCTCAAGAATTTCTTTCAATGTATCAATGACTTGGAAATTAAAGAGATATCTCATTTTCCACTGAGGCATGCTCTGACACAAAATCACTCAAAAGTGAAAATTAGAAAATCTGTCTTTCTTAAAATTTTATTGAATTGTATGCATGTATTTGTAAAATATTTGTATTAATAAAGTTTGATTTTATAAAAAAATCTCTAAATCCCAAAGTTGTTGATGCTATCCAAGTGCAACAATGTTTTCTCCGTTGAACACTCTATCAAGACAAGAAAAATCACAAAGATCCCTCAATTATTGAGAAATTTATTTCAAAATAAGTGGGTGCCATTTTTTGTGTCACTGTGTAATAAGCTACAGTCAGGGGAGCATTAGTAAGACTATAGTCACATGGGTTTATTTAAAGAAAGCATGTGATGACAAAAAAGGAAAATAACATTACTCAGAACTGAATTGATTCTCAGTTTCATTTTCTTATGATGTTTACCATCTGTACTTTATAATTATAGAACATAGAACAAATGACACAATATGAAAAGATGAAAGATTTTGCTCTAGAACTGAATCAAATTCAATAAATCTTCAATCTGTTTACTTCATTTCCAAAGATGTATGCCCCTTTTCATATAACTTTATTTTGTTTTCCAGATGCCTAACATTAAACTACAGAGTTCAGATGGTGAGATATTCGAGGTAGATGTAGAAATTGCCAAACAGTCTGTCACAATCAAAACTATGTTAGAAGGTAAGGAAAATTATTGAGATACAGGGTGGTCAAATAAAGATATGAGGAAAAATACACAGTTGCCTTTTTTTGACCACCCTGTATATGAAATTTGGTAGCATATAGCCATATATACATAAACATTTTTATATATATATTTTTGACCCTACCTACAATTGGGGGTCAAAAAGCTGAAATTTTTGACTAATTAGGATATCTCTTGTAGGAGATTTACATGTTTTTCTTGTATGTTTCAGACTTAGGTATGGATGAGGATGAAGACGAAGCTGTCCCACTTCCTAACGTTAATGCAGCCATTCTTAAAAAAGTAAGTAGTTGGTTATATTGAAACATTGAACAGAGTTGTCTAAGTGGTCACATGATTCTTCAAGATTGCGTAAGGATGAATCAGTGATTCCTTTGAATAGCACTCTTGTAATTTCTGTTTCTACCACAGAGACGACAATCCTCTAAATATAGCAGAACAATGCTGTGTAATGACGTAATGTAATTGTATTATATTGTTATTGCCCAAGATAGTACATATACTTGTATTGCATTGCCAGATTATAGAGTGGTGTACCTACCACAAAGACAGATAACCCATCATCTCTTTAATATAATAGATCATACAGATATACATGAATTTGTACATTACCAGGTTATTCAGTGGTGTACCTACCACAAAGACGACCCACCACCTCCTGAAGATGATGAGAACAAAGAAAAGCGTACAGATGACATAAGTTCCTGGGACGCTGAATTTCTCAAGGTCGACCAGGGAACTTTATTTGAGTTAATCTTGGTAAGTTACCTTGTATAGTATAAATAGTATGAATACATGTAAATATATTGTAAATGTAAAAACTAGTGAATATGTGCCATGTTGACTAGCAACAAGAAAAAGCCTGAGTTCGTTTGATTTGATTTGATTGAATTCTGTGCAAAAGACAGTTTGAGGATTTACTTGTTTACAACATTTTGTTAATCATATGTTAAAGTGAACCTTGAAATTGCAAGAAAATACAAAAATGTAAGAAAAGTATTAAACCATACAAATGCAAATGTTGGGAATCGTAAATTAAAGCTGGTTCTTAAATTAAATCAATTCACAGTATTTTGTGTGACTTGTTTTCTTCAGGCTGCCAACTACTTAGATATTAAGGGTCTCCTAGATGTCACCTGTAAAACTGTCGCTAATATGATCAAAGGAAAAACACCAGAAGAAATTAGGAAGACATTTAATATAAAGAATGACTTCACACCTGCAGAAGAGGAACAGGTCAGTGATATAAATATTATATTTATTTGTTGAACAACATTTGTTTTAAGAACTCCTTATCACGTCAGTCTCTCAGACATATGCGATGCATGTGCGGAATATTTGTTTATTTACATTAACCAATGTGAAGTACACGCATTATTGAGCTATTTTTGGAATCTTGGGCCTTCAGAGGTTTTCATTTGTATTTTCATGAGTAAGGTCAGAACTCTTTTTGGAATGCTGCGAGAAAAGGTTATTGTAAAACTGTGACAAATTTTCAAAAGTTTTTTAATCCATGACTCAAAATCCACACTAATTTTAAAAATTAACCCATTTTGCGGTGGCTTTGAAAAATCGAGAACTACCAAATGTGTCTTGTGAAAGACTATTTGACTTTTGATTCCAAATTATCTTTTGACTTCTTTACTTGCCAGTGATTAAAATTCAGACATTTGGAAAAAAGATGAATTGTTTTAGTTCACCCTGTATTTTGCATATCATTTAAGAATTGTTTTCATGTTAATAAATTTATGTTTTTTTATTTTTCAGGTACGAAAAGAGAATGAATGGTGTGAAGAGAAATAAAAATGATCCAGTATCTCATTATAATAAATAGCTCTCAATTGAGAGAGAGACCCTGTAATATAAAGTGTAAATAGACCACCATGTATTACTCAAAAGTTGAACCGTCGCTCCATAGCACAAATATCGCCTGTAAATAGGTGTGGATTGTACACATTTAATGTCTGTGTGTTGTCTTAGTGGATTCTATGCAGTGTGAATAAGCTGAAGAGACATCCATCGGACAATATTTGGAATTATCCATTGAATTTTAAACTACTTCGTGTAAAATAGAATACTGAATGAGTCTTGTGGAACTACAACACTGCAGTAGTTACAATGCATCCTATTTCTAGATCACTCAGAATGGATTAAACTTCAAAATAATGAGTATTGTCATATCTCTTACTACTGGATGGATTCAGTATACATGGAGATTGATCACCTGAATAACAGTGATAGCATTATATATCATCCACCTTTAAATTATATGCAGGTAGTTTCAGCTGTTCTCATCACTTCAGATTGTTGGATAATTACACAATAATTACACATGGACACAAAAATAGATATTTAACCAAAATTCTCAAAAATGGATCTCTCCTCCAATTCCATCTTAAAAGTATCTTAAGTTGGGCTATTTTAGCAGCCATTTGTTTGAAAATGTGATAGGAGAAAAACTGGATCCATCATTCACTGTGAGGCTTTAAACATTTTGAAGATACCTCCATTAGTATGCCTGCCTCCAATGAGGTATGTATGCTTTCAAAGCAATCCTCACATATTTGTTTTAATGCAAATGCCATGTTCAAACTATACACATTCTATTGTTATGAACTGTATTTAAAGTGTGCTCTGTAAATGAACTAGTAATTTAGTTGGTGACCTCGAAATCATAATATAGTCGATTTGAGATTTGTGTTCTTGTAGTTCCCAGTACCTTGTTTCATTCATTGTAAAATTGAATGTTGACATTTCAATGCTTCAAATGTTACTCTATTTAATGAAAATACAGTTTGTTTTTAATGTAATATTATGTACAGTTGTTTTGTTGGCTAAAGTGCAGAAAACCTCTGATTGCCTTAATATTACCATAACCATTTTTATGTCACCACCACGCATTCAGCATCTGTAACAAATCATATTAATTTTGTAATGTTTATGCCTTGTACTTGGATAGTCTTGTTGCTAATAGGGCAAGTGACTGATTCCCAGCATGGGATGTTTTGCAAAAGTGAGCTCAACCTTATTGGAAAACCTGAATATTGAGCACATTTGAAGGTGAAGAAGGAAAAAATTGCCTTATTTGGGCATATGATAATTTTGTCAATAACTACCATTCTGTCTTCATGATTTTGCGGAATTAACATTTTTGCTGTTGAGACGGCTGAATTTCACAATAGTAGTCCACAATATTTACATAAGAAAGGCTTTCTGGACACATCTCGTAAATTGTCAAAAACTTTTAAGTAAGCACAGGGTGGGCCAAAAATGTAAGTTGAGTCTTTGTTGCTGTATTTACTTAAGGCCAACTAAAGAAAAAGCAAGCATTTATTCATAGATGTTGATCAACCTTTAAGACTGTAACTGGAATAACATTGGGTTCTTTACATGTATATATTCCAAAGTCCAAATGTAAAAGAAAACTTTCATTGCATGATGCTTTTGCAAGGCAGTCATCATGACTTCACATTTTAGAAAATAGAATATTCCAGTAAATCTTATTTATTACTTGTTTTTGGTTCAAAAATGGAATTAACCAATTGTTAATTTTTAGCCGTGTATGGAATGACATCATCTAGCCATCCCATGTTTCTTTTGTTCAGCAGAAGATGACAATAAACTGCATAATTGTATTTTTATGAAAAACAGATTAAATATCAACCATCTTCAACACATTATGTCCAAAAATGTTGCAAGTTTCAAAAGTTCTGATGAAAATCCATAACTATAAAACTGTAGAAGTTCTACTACATCATATCTAACAATGGCAACCCTTCAAATTGAGAAATATGACGTGTCAATATCTAAAGTAGATGCAGTTAATCTGGTCTAATAAAGTGCAAAGCCTCAAATAGAGAGACTTATCCACCAGAATACAATCATGCATTAAATAGAGTCTCAATAATCTCTTAATAGATTCAACCTTGTACTCCAATGTTACATATTGATTTTCTTGTATGCCTTTCAAGGGGTCTTACTGCTATAGTAACATACACAGTGCTTGGTCTTCTATTGAGAATTATACAGTTTCTCTGTATAAAGGTCTAGCTCTTTAAGATGCCTGGTGCCTATACTACATGGTCCAGTGCTCCTCATCATCCAATACCACCTGATGGTCTGAGGTAGGTTTTTATTCATATTTTAAGAGGTTGAATTTTAGGAGAGATATGTTTCACTGACAGGCATCATATGAATGAGGGTGCCATTGCCTTGTTTTTTTTAATAAATTGATAACATGTTTCACTGTTTTAGTACATGTAGGGAAGATCTGAAACAACAACAATTAAAATGGACTGTATCATCTAAAGAACCTGTGCAAGAGATAGAATAGTCATTTATCATTATTAATAACATTAAGTATACTCAACATAGGTCAAACATAACTTTATTTACCAACATTAAGACCCCTTGATTGAACACTTTTTAATGCAATTCAAACTGGGTAAAAACTGCATTTATGGGTTAAAGCTACCATAAGGTTGTCACTTTAATTAAAAGTAATGACTTCAAAAACATCAATCTTATTTAAGAGACAACTACATACGTAGAAAACATTTTTATGGTTGAACATAAAGGATTTCTAAGATCATCATGACCTGCAGATTTTCAAGAACATACAGTATGTTTTGAACTATGTACCATCAAACTCCAAAGATTGTGTGCCATCAGACTCCAAAGTTTATTTTGCAAGTATGTCTTGTACAGGAATATTTAATTGATATCTGTTTGTATTTGTTTAGGAGGGAGCAGGACTCTATTACAAGAGGGGACTATCTCACCAATGCTGCACTTTCTGAGGTATGTCATAGCTACATGTACATTGTACAATACACATGTTAAAGTCAAGAAGATAAAATATATGTGCATTCAATACAAGAATTTTCTGCATTTTAAGGATGCCTTGTTTTAGTTTTGAAACTCATATCTTATATTTTACTCAGTCTTTATTGATTAAATTTGGTTCTTGATAATGGTTTATAGGGATTTGCATATCAATAAATGTTTTAAATTGTGCATTATATAACTATAAACTAATTTTGTTTTCATTATTCCAGTCAAGATCCTTTGATGGATCAAGGAAGACCTACCGCCTCAAGCCCCAGTGGCGTACCAGCAGATCAGATGAGTTAAGGTTTGAGAAAGAAACCTTTAAAAGATGGCCCTTTGAACAACAAGGTGCCAGAGCCACCTATTGTCTACAGTTCGAAGAAGTGCCAAAACAGAAACAATACTGGAAAAATTTTCAATGGAGTCCTCAAAAACAATTCAACACCCACTACACCCCAGATCAGTACACCAGATGTAGATACACGTATAACCCTGGTATGAGGGTCGTCGATGATAAAACATTCCCAACGATCCCCCCTGTTAATTACTATGGCCGAAGTGATGTCATTAATCATGTGACTCCAACAATGCCAAATCGTAACAATACTGGACGTAATATTGAAATCGGTAATTTGGACCATGGCCCTGGAGTTAACACACATGTGCCCTATCCAGCATATGATATCCACAAACCTGTGAAGACTCTGAGATTTGCAGAGTATGCATGATCTAAATGTGATATCTTATAGTACAGTGTACAGTCATATGCTATTCATGAGTACTGGAACAGTATTCTGATATAGGTTTTTTGGTGTGTCAATTTTCCAATTTCTATTGGCTGTAATATAATATGGGATCACTATTAGAACTTTGTTCTTCTTTTAGCCATCCATTCTTGTACAAACATTATTTTATATCAAAATATTTCATCCAATAAACAAATAATTATCATTTTATATAATGTTATGTATTAAATAATCAACTTTACAATATATGCACATGTTTATACATTTGTACATTCTTAGGTACAATTAAAGATATTTAACATAAAGAAGCACCATTCCACCTTGAACTATACATCCTCTAAATACTTTATCTTTACTGTATAAGCTTTCTGCAAGCCTTCTAAATAAATAGGTCTACTCATTCTAGGGATGGGACGGTTCGGTTCGGTTTTTCGGATCATCAGCCGTCGGTTCAGTTTTTTCGGTTCGGTTCATTCATTTTAAGGATTTGTATTGATTGACATAATTAGCTGCTTTGTCTCTGACTTCACTGCTGACTGTCACTTTCTTTTAATACAACCAATAAAATAACTAATTTATAATCTTCATTTCTTTTGGGAAAACAGGAATTTGAGATCCAGACGCCATATTTGAATGTATTATGGGTGCGCACAAAATAATACCCTTTATCGAACCTGCGCAAATATAAATTTGCGCAAATCTTTGTATCAATTATGCCACGTTATAACAATATTTTATAGATGGAATTTTATGTTATAGTATTTCATGAACAATACATATTATTTAGAATACACGACTAAAGAATATAGTACCAGGGATCACATGATTGATTACCGAGGGATACGAATATGCGGATACGAAACGAATCTAGTAAACGAGTGAGCTAGCAACAGACAAGACAGACAAGGTAGGGACTAGGAATATCAAAAATGTTGCTGTAAAACAGTGTTTTTAACTGTTATATTGATACTTGACCAATGAAATATTAATCCGAAAACGATCCGAAAAGCTGATCCGAAAGTAGGGCCATGATCCGAAAACCGATCCGAAGGCTATGAACCGCGGTTTTTCGGTATTTCGGTTATCCGTCCCACCCCTAACTCATTCTGATACTCATAGCATACTGTTGCATCGCAGATCCAGAAGGATAGAGATGGAGAGGGTGTGGCTTACCACGATGAGGTCTACTGCATCTTTTTTGAGTGACTATAAATACAATGTGATGCTGACAGTCTATAGTTACCTTAACATTCACTAAGTTTCCCGTGATGGCAACAAATGGAAGGACGGACGGACGGACGGACGGACGGACGGACGGACGCCTGGTCGATCCCATAGGCTCACCGTGTGAGCCAAAAAGTGTTACATTTTGGTCTCTGGCTTTGCCATTAGGATAATTGGTAATAAGTAATAAATAGCCTATTGAATTCCTGTGAGCTGTTTTTTTTGTAAAAATACCAAACTTTCTGTCATCTTGTAAAATATTGTGAATTTTACAGTAGCAATAGTCGACGCAACTGCTTCACCACAGTGAAATACATATTCTAGCAAATACAGATCCTTAAGATTTAATCAAAAGCATGAAAAGTCATTGCATTTCATTTAAAAGTCCATATCATCTCCTAGTTCCAAGTAGACATCGAATGCTTCTCTGTTGCAGTTTCCATCAGGTGTAAAGACGTACTTGTGAAACGTTCCATCAACACAAATAGCTACAAATACATTAATACCATATTAAGTTAAAGTGGCAATTAAGGATCAAGTGTACCATATTGGAAGAATAAAATCATTTTAAAAAGTAAAACCAATTTTTTTCTTAAAAATCCAAATAATGTATTGAAGGAATTGAGATGTCTTATCAAATATAAATCACAAGGAGATTCAAGCCGTGGGAATGTCAATTTTTTAGAACTGAAATTCCTCATTGCCCTTCTATATGAGACTTTCAGAGAAAGAGAATTCACTCGTTGAATGAGTGGTGGGTTTGTACATTGAAAACCATCAGGTCCGTAGTCAGGATTTGGCAAGGGGGGTTCACATTTGACAATTTTAGCCGAAATATAGCTAAAATCACTTGAGAAGTGCTCAAAATGGTGAAAAACTGCGTGATTTTGAAATAATTTTTGGCCAGGGGGGCCACATGTGAACCACCCCTGGCTACGGGCCTGACCATAAAATGTTGATGTGTCTGTTATTTCAACAAAAAGCTCATGGTAAAAAATTTTAAACAAATTTAATTGACCTTTGACCCAGATTAGGTATAATTATCTTGGTCTATATCTAAACAAATTGAAGCATCCTATAGTACAGTATGTCCTACCTATTACAGAACTGCCTGCAGGAGTGACTGGACCGAAGGCACATATGCAAGCACATTCTGCCGCCACTGTAAAACTGGCCAGACCCCATTGTGACTCCACATACTGACCAAGAAATCCCATCTTCTTAAAGCTGAAAATATATTGTAAATATCCCTCAAAACATACATGTACAATATGCATAATTTATAGACATATTTTGATGATAATTCATGTTAAACTCATTATAAACGGGTTTAAGATGGGTGCAAGCATGTATGTGAAATGGGTGTGAAATGAGTGTAAGTTTGGTGTGATATTATGAACACAATATGGGTGCAATATGGGTGTAAGATGAGTAAAGTTTAGTGTGAGATGAGTTGTGTAACATTGGTGTAAAGTGAGTGCTATATGAATGTAACATTGGGGTAAGATGAGTGTATTTTAATGTAGTATGAATACAATTATGGTGTCAAATGAGATGAACATCAGTGTAACTGACATACAAATATTGGCTTCAGAAAACATAGTGTAAAACATGTAACTTACGTTGATCTTTTATTGAGCTGGGTATCTTTGACTGCAAATATGTGAACTGTTCCTTTATCACTGGATACACACAGATATGAGGAATCATGGCTGAAGTTCATACTAAAATGTAAAAGTGCATTTAAAGTGGCAGTAAAGAATAGAGAATGTAAAATGTTATAAGCAATGTTTTCAACAAGGCATTACATGCAAAATGTCACAACCTGCCATTTGTTACAAATGACCACAGAATGCCAACTATCAAATGCCATCCACCAAAAAGTTGAAGACTGCAATATGTCACCACTTCTGGTCATGACATAAAAAGAACACTGATGTTTCCAATGCAGTTCATATACTTATTTTATTTTATGAATGTTACTCTTGACTCTCTAGTCTAAATTGTTTCAGGTTTAAAGTATGATTAATAGGCATATTAGTAGATCCTGTGTATTATAATGTATAAGACTATATGTATTAGACCTGTATTATATGTGCTTTTATTGTCAAGTATGTGTATAGCAATGAATTAGGTGAACAACATCATACTAAAAATGGCTGCCTTAAAAACACAGCATGCACAGAAACATTTGCTTATCATACATGAAACATCTCCAAAAATTTCAAATCAATCCGTTTTGTGGTTTGTCTGGAAAGAAGCATAATGACTACCAACCCGGCAAGCTAATGATATTGTACCCTTTTTGGGAGAGATATGCAACTCACCAGTAAAGAGTGGCTGGGTCTGCTCCCCTCCGCAGCTCCACCAACTGTCGCCTTGTTGATGTATCAAACACTCGAATAAGTGTCCCCTATAATATCATGTAAGTGTAAAAACAATCATTGTAAGCCAGGTGATGAAATATTCAAATTTTTATTTGTTTGGAACATAATTTTTTCAATATGGTGGTCATCCATCCATCCATTTATCCATCCAAAGGCAAGGGTCTTTATTTTCTGGCCCACCCTGTTTTATGATTGCAAAGAAAATCACCAAAAGTATCTGATGGAAAACAACAATCATAACAAAATAAGTAAACAAATTACCAGTTTGGTTTATCATTTTCTTCATAATAATTCACAGTGCTTCTCATCAGGTAACATTTTGCTCATCTATTTACAAAATTCTACTTACTTTTTTAGAAGCTGTGGCAACAAGAGATCCTTGTTGGTTGATGGCTATGCACGCTAGCTCGCTCTGGTGAGCATTTATAGTAACTGGTGCTGTTGAGGATTCTGGCTCAGTAGTAGCTAGATCCTATAAAACAGGAAAACATCACAAAACTAAAAGAAAATTAATTGGATATAGATCACTGTACTTTACAATAATATATTTCTTGCAAATGGAAATCAAATGAAGATCAAAGTTTGAACTATTGCGAAAAAAAACATTTATTTGTTTTCTGACTTTACACTAGACACATCTTGATCTATCAAGGTAGGATTGAAGGAGTTGATCAACATTTTAAGTATTATGTATGATTTCTAAAAGAGCAAATGAAATTAAATAAGTACTGACCACTATCTGGAGACTTCCACACTTATAGCCAGGGAAGACTAAAATCTGGTTCTCCATATTAGAACTCACTTCACACAAGCCTGCAAAATTGTACATAAATATTAGCAATTGTATCAGAAATGTGCATGAGTATGTATACCCTTCAGAAGCATATGTGGGCAAACTTTACAACAAATGCAGTAAAAATGCACATAACTAAATGTAATAAAAATGTGCATATAGCACTATTTCAAAAGCATACATATTCAAATATATCAGAAATTTATATACAGTAAATATGGGAAAATTTACCAAAAATGTACATAGCACGGAAAAATATATCATGTGCCTTTATGTACTATTTAAAATGTTCAAGTACCTTTAGGATTGTCTCTGGTATCAAAGGAGAGCAAACGTTTACTATCATTGGGGAATTTAAACACATGGACCTGATTCCTCAGAACAACAATCAACCTGAAATGATCAGCATGCATAAAAAGTAGAAAATGTAACATTAATACAGGAGAGTTCCGATGATGGTTCATAGGCTACTAGTCTTCCATCAAATCTGTTAGGCTTTATAAATCAAAATGCCATTAAAGCACTGTAAAAAAATGAATTAAAAAAATCAAGATCATGATATTTTACTTGAATGGGGTATTTTTACAACCATTGAAGTTAACAATTTATCTATTGTATAAAGAAAATGAAATTATTTGTAGATAAAGAGTTTTAATGGAAATAAATTTAAAAGATGAAATCCTAACCTGTCTCTCCTCATGCGTACAGACATAACTGGTTGAGCAAATGTAAACTCAAGAACACACTTCTTCTCAGCTTCTTTTTGGCTATCATCCCATACAAGTACTGGAAATACATTGAAATATTGTGGTTTACTATAATTCAAAAATATTTTAGTGCATAAGAATGTTTACAATTTTCAATCAAAATTGAGCCAACCAATCAGAATTGCAGACACATAATTTTATGTTTTCATAAGTAGCAGTTAAGCTGTCATCATTTTTGTATTGAAAATCCATTAAAAATCATTACAGGTACTACATGTATTGAGGCCATAAAGATCATATCATTACAGCAGCCTTTTCAAAACTGCAAAATTGCCAAAGTCAAAGATTAGTTACTATCATTAGGATTTAGGGATTACTGTCTGTTGAAGGAGAACTCTTACCTGTATTTTCTGCAAACTTAGGCAGCCCCCCTCCCGCAATAACTGCCAGTAGGTTGGTCCTGTGTAACATCTCAATGTGGCGCACACTACCAACCGCATCTAAGCCTGAAATAGAATTATAAACTGAACAGAAATACTTGTACCAATAAATAAAAATACTGGTAAGTTAACAAGGCATTATCATGCAAAATGTCACCACCTGCCATTTCTTAGATTTTGACGATGTGTTGACCGCCGAGCCCCTAACAATATTCACAAAAAAGTTGGAGACTATAACAATATGGCACCATTTCTAAAAATAGTTTTTAAAGTACACGTACAGTACTACATTTGCAACAAAACCTACCTGCTCTCATTTTCTCAGAAAGAGGCTCCACATTGTATACTCTGAAACCTGTCTCTGTAGCTGATGTGAAACAACCTGCAAATGATTTTATGGATAAGCATGAGATATAAGTCATATTCACTTATATGGGACTGAGATGACATAGAAAAAGAAGATGACGGTTGACATGCATGCGTAATAATGTTGAACTGACTGATGAAGAACAGCTTCGGTACTTACCAAGAAACCACATGCTATCTATTGCAAGACTTATGACAGGGCACAACCATCACCATGTTATTCAGTGTTTTTAAGTTTCACAAGGATTCTGCCATGACCGTAGTATTGTCACGGTGTTTTTAAGTTTCGCAAGGATTCTGCCATGACCGTGGTATTGTTATCGTGAAAGCCTTGTATAACGGTGACAATGCTACCTCTATATTATATTGCAAGGCCTGTCATGACCGTAGTAATATTAAAGCCTGATATGACCGTGACAATGTTCATGTTCTTGAATGAGATTAGAATTATAGTTTGTGGAAATAAATTAAATTAAAATTAGTAGTAGTCTAGATTTAGATATATAAGGTAACTTATAACTTAATCAAAAACTCCAAGATGGCCGAAACCAGGAAGCACATGGCATTTGAGTATAATCTGACCATCAAAATTAACTGTCTTTTGGTTGGATTTTCTCTCAATTTTTTAGTTCCACTTATTATTTATATAACCAGGCTCACTGTGGTAATGCAAATAGAAACAGTAAACATTTTGGAATGGGAATTTGAGTCCTCTGAAAATGTGACAGAAAAATTGACAAAAAGAGTAGCACGGCAAAGGTCCCTGAACATTTTTTTTTCTAATTTCTCTGAAACATCCCTTTAATATAGCCCAAAATGGAAGGAGCTTTAGAATTTTGAAATCTCTCATACAAATTAAAAAAAATAGAAAAAAACAATTTGAGAAGTGTACTTTTTTCCTTATTTTGATCCCAATTTTTTATCGGGTAATTTTTCAAATTTCTGTTGCTCCTTCGTTTTTGATATATGTTTGAAGTATATTTTCTGAAATGTTCAGATATTTTGAATCAGTGGTTTTTCATGGGCTACTCCTAGAAAAAAATCTTCTCAAATTCTTTAAACGGCACTTTTTTTCTCAAACTAAAGTTTTTTGTTGTTCTTTGATGTCTTTGTAATGATTACAGTGCACAAGCATATATGAAATAATAAAAAACGACTTCTCAGGAAGAGTTTGAAAATTTCAAGATTGTGAAATTTTCAATTTTTTCTGAAAATCGATTAAGTTAACAGTCACCTTAAGGTAGATAAACGATGAAACTTTTCATTATTAAAGTATTCTTATGCTACTAAATGTCACTTAATATGACCAATGTCACGGTCATATTGTGTTTTAACATTACCAAAGTCATGACTGGCCTTGCAACCATTGTCACGGTCATATCAGGCTTTAACATTACCATGGTTATGACAAGCTTTGCAACCACTGTCACGATCATATTGTGCTTTACATTATCACGGTCATGACAGGCCTTGCAATATAGTATAGCACTGTCACGGTCATATCAGGATTTAACATTACCACAGTCATGACAGGCCATGCAGTATAATATAGCATTGTCAAGGTTATACCAGGCTATCATGATATCACTACCACGGTCATGGCAGGATCCTTGCGAAACTTGAAAACACTTTAATAACATGGTGACGGTTGTGCCAGGTATAAGTCTTGCAACAGATAGGGTCTCTGAGAAACATTCATTTGACGACAGTGCTTCAACTATAACAATGACAATTTGAGCTTTTTGATAACTTAGATCTAACATAAAATTACTCACCGTGTTCCTGGTTAAATCGTAGCCCCAAGACACCCCTTGCAGTCATTTCTGGTTTCAATCTATTACCTAGCCCTTAAATTACATTTTCTACGTACATTTTCTATTCCTTTGATGTATTCAGAGAAATAATAAGCAAAATACTACACATTCAGAAAATATTTCGCATTTTCATTTGTTTTCAAGCTACCAGATTACGCTCAGAGTTCATTTCTAATTCAACAAGGAGGATTGGCTCCCAGGATCGAAACTCGATATTTTCCAACAATGAAAACGTCGAAATGTCGTTATTTTCTGAAATTAAAACCGACTATAAATTCAAAATAAACAGTTCAAAAGATTCGAACCAATATCTCGATCATTTCTTGTGAGTTTTGGAATTTTTCGTTTGGAAATAAGACCAAAATTCACGATTTAAATGTTGAAGTGAACAAAATGGCGGCTGTTTGAATTCGAATTTTGTATTACGACATACCCATATATGGGACAGAATATCGGTGGTGCACTCTGGGAGCCAATCCTCCTTGTAATTCAAGGAGGATTGGCTCCCAGAGTGCACCACCGATATTCTGTCCCATATATGGTAGCGTGACCTTTGACCTTGTTGACACGTGACAGGTTTCTTTAGCACGGAAGCCATTTTGAAACCTGTGAGGTCAAAGGTCACCGCTACCATATATGGGACAGAATATCGGTGGTGCATTCTGGGAGCCAATCCTCCTTGTTTCTAATTGGCCCAATTAAAATTTTGCACATAATTGACCAATCAGAGTTAGCCAAGTTGCCACTTTCACTTTCACCGGAAAATCAAAACAGAGAAACATTTTACAGATTTTATTATTTTATACTGAAAATAAGTGAAAATGACTAACATACAGTTTCTTATCATATTTGAAATATTGATTCATGTTCATATTTATGCAGTGAAGTATTTAGATCCACCTGATTTACTTGATTTAGTGGAAGAAACTTGTATTGTAGGATTCAAGCCAGGGACCAAAATCCAAGATGAAGTTGTGAACATTTTAGAAACATTAGATACAATTTATAAAGATGATGCTGTCTCTTTAGGATTCATTGACTTGATAAACTTTATGTGGCCAAATGGAGCCAAACTGGAATGGGATTCGGAATCAGCTAGAGTTCCAACAGAGCGAAGGCTGATTGTTTTTGAAAAGCGTCAAAAGGACCGCACTTGTTTATCACATTCCCGTAAAGTCAAACTTTACACGCCAAAAGCAATAGCATACACTGGCAGCTTGACAGTTGATTTACTGGTTCAATTCATAAACGAACACTGTAGAACATTCAGACAATCAAATGGTCATTTGTCTGCAATGGGTCTCCATAAAGAATACATTCTGGATAATTTGTTCAAGGTTGCAGACAATAGCATCACGTTGAAAACACTTAACGAATCACCCAACAATCCACTTAAGAGAGATACAGCCTCTAAACACTGCATAATAAAAGAAGATGGGAGCAAAAAGTGTGATGAAAACTATAATGAAAATAAATATCTCAAAGATGCAACAAAACCTGTGATACCAGAATGCGAAAGAATTGATGCAAGTCAGCTTTCAAAAGAAACATTTTTCAATAGTTATCTTAAACTATCCAAACCTGTGATTTTAACAAATGGAATGGACGAATGGGCTGCTTTAGAAAAATGGACAAATGAATATCTCGTCGAAAAATTTGGCAAAAATAACGTTCACATCAAACTGTCGCCACATGGAGAATATGAGGGTGTTGAACCAGTTGAATTATGGGAAGATTATGAAAAGTTCAAAATTCCCGATGAAGTTTTCTATCAGCTGAAATTTCCCGATTTAGTAGTTGTGCGCCCAGCATCTACCAAGCTAAGATTTGACAAATTCATGGACCTTGTGACAAATATATCAAGTTCAGATAACACAGAAGTATCTGCTTACCTCGAATATTCATCCATTCCAAATAACATGCCAGAGCTTGAGGAGGATATTGCGGAGTTTCCTTTTATTAAAGGAGTATTGGAAAGAAAGCACCTCAATGCTTGGATAAGTGATGGAAACACACTTGGAAAACTTCACTTTGATCCATTTGACAATTTCCTCTGTCAGGTTTGATCACTTCTTCATATCAATTTTATATTCAATCATGAAGTGAAACATAATTGGTATTTAGATAGATTTTTACTCCTGACTGTTGAAAATGTTATACAAAAATAACATCATTAATTATAACAGTAATAACTATAAACCCCCAAAAATTCAGTACATATTTTAGATAAAGAATTTTAAAGGCCCACTACACTTAATTAAGAAAAAAAGGAAAAAATAATGATTGAAGCATGTTTATCCCACACTCACTCAAATATGACACAAAGCTTGATTTATTTGACACAAAGCTTTAATATCGAACCAAGTAAAAAATGACTCAAATAGAAAACAGCATTTCTATAAAAATGAATGCATCATGTAATACAAACAACTTCGCCATTTTTCAATGACATTGAAAAAAACTTGATATTTAAAGCTTGACAGATCGAAAATGTTTTTTAATAATTTATTGTAAGCTTTGATGTGGTTCGTTTGAGCTGTTTTTTGGTGTCAAATGAAAGATAAAGTTTTTATCAATCCATTTGACATATTATGCAATTCAAGTGTAAGTTTTTATTTTGCCCAGAAATGTTAAAACTATGTAAAGTCGGCCTTTATGGTATTTTATCATATTAATGTTGTATGTTCTGTGTTTTCAGATATCTGGTAGAAAGCAGCTTATTCTATTTGAGCCCCACAACAACAGGCAAATGTATGAGGCCCATATTCCTGAGGCAACTCTGGGTTTCAATAATATCACTCAAAAATTCAGACGTAAAACTCTCATGGATAGTACATCTATGGTCATGGCTCCATTTGATATACTGAAACCGGATTTCAAGGTTGGTTTTGCTTGTTACCCTATTTCTTGTTGTGTCACCACCAGAAGTGGTGACATGTTGTTAGTCTCCAACTTTTTTTTGGATGGTACTCGGCATCGGTATTATGTTGTCTGTAACAAATTGCAGATGGTGACATTTTGCAAGTTAATGCTTTGTATTACAATTGCAATAACCACCATTTATGTTCCCCTGAAGGAGAGCTTCAGTTACAATATTCTCAGTTTATGTTCCCCTGAAGGAGAGCTTCGGTTACAATATTCTCAGTTTATGTTTCTCCTGTAGGAGAGTCTCAATTACAATAGTATTTATGTTTCTCCTGTAGGAGAGTCTCAATTACAATATTTCAAGAATGTATTTTTCTCCTGGAGGAGAGAGTATCTATTCTAATAGTCCATAATGACCCTTTATGTTTCAGAGGTTCACAGAGACCAGAGATATCAGACCTCTGAACTGTACTATCAATGAAGGGGAAGTATTATTTATGCCCTCTTTCTGGTGGCATGAAGTCCAGTCATTTCCCAGTGAAACCATTCCAAGAAATCTAGCCGTCAATTTTTGGTAAGTGACCTATTCAACAACCTGAAATATTGCTCAGCCTGAGTCTTAACCTCAAGTGGTTATACAGAATTGTTATAAAAATTCCCACTATTAAACTAAAAGGAAAACTGAAACAAAACATATTTTATGCTGCTGTACCTTCTGCACACCACTTGTCAGTATTCAGACATGTATTTAATACAAAACCTATGATACTTAAAATGGTTAAATAAAGATTGTCATATATTCAAAATGGCCATTCAAACCTTTTTACTTTGGCATAACAGTTATAAGAGAAAATCTCAATCATTATCGTATGATCTGTAAAATTAAGCCTTCTGATTGGTCAGTTCTTGTGCTGTACCAATCTGTATTGCTACTGAGATTTTCCCCGTTGATCATCTCCGTCGCAATACAGAAAATATTGGTACGGAGGGGACAATCTCATTAGCAATACAGAGGATCACACGATAAAAACGTTATCGAATGATTTGAAGTGCAATACAGGATATATTCTGTCTCGATATTCTGTATTGGCACTCGACTTCGTCTCGTTCCAATACAAAATTTCTCGAACAGAATATATCCTGTATTGCACTTCAAATCATTCAATAACTTATATTATTGATAACATTTTCAATTTCATGTTTCAGGTATAAACCATTTCTTGTAAAGGAGTTTCCCTGTCAAGAATGTAAGCTGGATGTCAACCCAGAATATTACCACTTACTGGATGATATTCCTACGTGAGCCACACACATTACAGTTTAACCAGAGAGCATTCCCTTTGACAGATATCATATTTACAGTAGGACATTCACAATGGAGGATTAATTAAAAAATATCCTATGGTTTTGAGGAATATCATTTTTATCTACGAGGTGATAGTGGAAAATGTTTTACAAAATCGCCATCCTGATTACACCAACATTTCTATAGCGCCCTAGGAAATTTATTTTGAAATTACACCTGTCATTTCTAAAACCCTTTCGTGCACTTTTAACGATGTAGATATGGAGAATATCCAGCAGATATGTACAATAAATGTATTCTTTAAGCATCTAAGAGAAAACGTAACCGAGACTTTTACCAGTGATGTGAACTTATTTTTTGCGATATAATTTGATTGCCTTAATGCATTTTTTGGTTCCCATCCATCATTTCCTATATTTTTGCGGTGGCCCAAATGTGTAGTATTTGAAATTTGTCTTATTTCGTTTAGGGCAAATGGTAAAAACCCGGGTAAGGCGTTTTACAAAAACCGATCAGTATTACACTACACTCCAAAAGTGCCTAATGATTTAAGGCGTTTTTTAGTGACTAGGGTTGTAGTAGTTTTGGAAAAGCGCTTTTGTAAAACCGCAATCGTGATTACACCTATTTTTCAGACCTTAGGTGCCTTTCTGAAATGCATGGTGTAATTCCAGCAAGTATGTCACATGTATTGTCATTTACCATATGCATATTTATTTCTATTACTTGTGTCTTTCAATTTGTATATAATATACTTTTTGCATTTTATTCAGCTGTCAATAGGGGATTTAAGCCCAAGACACAATTGTACAAGATTCTTTTTGCAGCTTTAAACGAGGGTGGCAGCTTGAGTTCTAAATAAGAGTGGCAGTGCCAGTCTAAAGGCTAGCATACACTATTGTATTTTGCTGTTATTAACATCAACTTTTATGCTAATAATACTTTAATGTTGCTAATGGATTACCCCCACTCCAGAAGAATTTGTGACTTGATAAATTTTTGAGCTCTAAAAGAATTATAGAAACCCAATGAATGTGGTGTAAAAAAGTCAAGATTAATGAGCTAATTAATGACTGAGCTAGTATGTAGGTTTATTGAATTATTCATATTTACATCCAAGGTTGTGCAGCTGAAACCTTGTGAATCAAGATGACAGTTGAAATTACTGGGTACACTTTGATAGCACTGCCAGAGCATGTTTGGTGAACTGTTTTGAAACATTCATTTGAGACATACAGTAAAACCTGTCTTAGTGAACACCTCTCTCTAGTGAACATCTGTCTCTAGTAGACATTCTTCCTCTACAATACTCTACTGACTTCTAGTCAACACCTGTGTCTAGTGAACACCCCTCTCAGCACATACTCTACTGACTTCTGTATAAATGACCCTCATTGTAGGGAACAGCTATCAACATTGAACTTTTTTCTCGGCAAAAAAAGTTCAATATAAACAGGTTTTACTGTATTTCATGTTGATTGTCTTGCTTCAGACTATAGTTGTAGATAATGTAAACTGATCAACAAACATGAAAGTACATTTAAATTTAATGTAAATAATGGAACAGTGCCTCCACCGCAATGTGCAAATTACATTAAGTTTTACAATGCTTATTGGTTATCCCTTGATTATAATCACACTTGGTTCTAGACTTCACTTATCGATTCTTCATCAGTGAACTATTCTTCTGCCAAATAAAATAATGTTCAATGTTTTTTGTTACCTTTTTCGGTAACTGCATGTTATTTAAATTAGCAATTTGCCATTTTGCTTATTGTAATAAATACAGTATTAAAACAAATGAACAATGTTTGTTGTGCACCTTTTGCCAAAGATGCTGCTACCCTATCTGCACAATACATGATCCAATGAAGTACTTTCTAGATCTCGTGGCCTTGATATTTGGCTTGAACTATGTGTAGTTTAATCTTTAATGTCACCACCACAGGTTATAGTCTCCTTCTTTGTGACAGTGTTCGGCCGGTCTGTAACAAATGGCGTCTCTAACAAATGGCAGGTGGTAACATTTTGCATGTTAATGCCATGTGTTGATTTCTATAATTGACATTAGAAGCCTTCTATATAGCCAATGGAGTAAGCTCAGGGGAATAGGGAAAATATTCACTATCGCGGGAAATTCAAATATTTGAACATTAACGTACAATTTTTTCATGGTCAACATTTTCGATAAATGTCTCAAACTATCTGTCATGGCAAGTATTAATTAAGATTAAGCAGTATTTGCACTTTCGCATGTTTGGATGGAATAATGAGATATTGTGCAATAAAAATACCTTACTACTTTAAGACAAGATATTAGACAAAAACATGCCAAAATCAAAATTGTACAAAAATGACATCACAGCATAAAAGCGAAACTGGTAAGTATAATCTTTACTTTGTTCGACTTTTAATCGATTAAGAAAGTAATTATGTAAGGGACATTTTAATATTAAAATTGTGGACACTTTTATTATCACTAATTGATTCTATGCCTCGGGATACATGTATATAACTACCTTAATTAGAAATGATATTAATTTTATGCTTTGAGTGTTGGGGCCGATGTAGTATCAAATTTTGATTATGCTGTGCATGGAGTGAACTACTGAGAAGACAACAAGGATCGATAAATAGATTCGAAATGAGTTATCCCATTACTCACTTGTTCGTATCATTTCAGTTATTCCTACTAAATCTTTTATTCCACTTGAATATTTTTACGAAAAAAAAATAGGCATACTCACTGGCCCATTTCAAAATTTCCCAAAAATTATGCTTCAAACAAACATTTCACCCGTAGTGGCCTTAGATTGTTTCATTCTGATTTTGCACACCAGCTTACACACCCACAGAATGATTATTTGGCTCATTGCGTGGGATGGTTCATTTTGTCCGGGATTTTAGTTAAAAACTTGTCCAGTTTTTAAATGAAAAAATAAATTGTCCGAAATTCTTGATGTTTCTGAGTGAAATGTAATGGTCCGAGCGGTTCCCCGAATTAAACGTCCCCATCCCTCAAATTTTCTCCGATTGCTTGAAGGGGTAATAAAAATTAGATGCGAATTGAGAGTAACTTTCTGAAGATTGACAAAACTTTACGAAATGGCACAAACGTCCGATACTCGTGTAAATTTTTCTTAAATTATAACTTTTTATTTGAAACAGCAAAAACGTCCGATAGTCCTACTCGTGTCATTTTCCCAAATTATAACGTTTTATTTAAAGACTCCACCCAACACCTCACAATGATTTGTACAGTAAAACTTGTCTTTATGAACACCTCTCCCCGTAGTTAGAGCCTGTCTCTAATGGACACCCTTCCACCACACATACTTCACTGACTTCTGTAATTTACCATCTCTGTAGTGAACACCTACCCGAACACTGAACGTTTTTTCCTGGCAATATCCACAGGTTTTACATACAAAGTTGTAATAGAAAAACCATCTTTCGGAGCAATGTAAACCCTTTGTATCTTTTGTCATAGCTTTGGTTTGAATCATTACTGGCTGGTTTATTCTGTCCAATTGTAAACAAATTAAGGATGCATGCTCTATAAAGAGAGAATCAGATCTAGCGAGCAGCCCAACAAAAAGTTGTTTCAACTTTAGAATATTTCTGGCTCGTGTCATTCCTTTTCATGACTATTTTCTTAAAATCACTAAATTTTCAAAGTTAATAAACAATTTTCGAAATCATATTTGTAGATGTACTTTTACATGTAGATTTCAAATATGATATCACTTTGACTGAATTTTGAATATTTAATGACGTAAATCAAGATTTTTTCTACTCGCATCTAGTCTATTGTACACATTGCTTGTATTTTTTGCGACCCCATAGCTCTGATTCTGCCTTTAAGAACCTTACACTGAAAAATTAGGCGTTGACATCTTGTTAACTTGTAATGTAGATTCTTGTCATATGACTCAATCTCATAAAACGTAGAAAAAAAATTACCCGCGGACGAAGGTACCTTCTCTAGATATTTTCGGGATCTACTTTTATAAATATTGTAAGGTGACAGTGCTTCTTTGAAACAATCACATTTTAGCCATAAAGGGATTTGTATCATAATGAGAATGAAATTCGGTATATGCTTTTCAAAATATCAATTCCTACACTTTCTGCAAGCGGTGTAGTTAGTCGACCTAGTTACTAAGTCGAGATCGGAGTTTTATTGCAAGAGTATTGCTAGGATACATCGCGTCTGCATTCCGGTAAATTTTGCACCAGCCATCTAACTCTTAGGATATTGATTATACGAAATAAACAAGTAACTTAGTAAGTATACGAATTGTTACATTACTTATCAGTGGATCTTATTTAAAGCTGTTGATTGATTGTGTTAAATTACGGTATATCATGACTACATGTCAGATTGTGATATGGGAAATTGAAAATGAGAAGTTCGGAGAGGGTGTGGCCAATCAGACTCTCAGTAGTCAGATCATCTTACGATTAAGAATTACTGCTTCACATGATATATCACTGTGTTGTTATCCTACAGGATGATTACATTTGTATTTAATCATTATGTAATATTTTACTGAGGGTCCCTTGCATAAAACAGCCCATGCATAAAAGAAGGTTAACGTTTACGTTCCAAAGGCTGGGTGTCGCTTTAAAAGACTGAAAAATAAAATTCGACTATCGCTATAATATAGACTTATTATAGACTACATGCATAAAGTAAGAGAGAACAATATGATATCTGTTTTTAATTTCCGCATAAAAAACAATATGGCGTAGCCGATGAGTCAAATGGAACAGTTTATTTATCATTTACAATAGGGGAGATTGCTCAATTTTAGTATTCAATAACAGTTTTTTCTGCATAGCAAAGAAAATGGGTATCATGTTAAACAAACAATATGACATCGTACAGTAATGTATTATATATCATCGGAAAGCTGTTTTCATGTTATTTATGGAATTAGTCAAAGTATGTGCACACAGGGTCATTTGAGGCCAATAAGGTCAATTTTGAGTTCATCATTTTAACACTACACACTCTGAAATATAAAAGGATAACCTGCAAGAGGTCAATAGGGGTCAACCCATAAAATATAGGGCACTCAAACCATATGTTATAGCACCTCTTACATGGCGAAGATTTGAAATATAACATATAATTCAATAGAATTGTAGGAAAGTGTATATACATTGTAACCCAGACGTTTGTAGAGCTATTCACTAAAAGGTTAAACTGTATAAATTGCAGTAGTCTAGAGAGCTATAGAGGTTTATAATGTTCTTTTTGGAGGCGGAAATCGAATTGAAATGACTAGTCACAAAATAGCAATAGAGTAAACTTTTTAGATAACAGTCGGGTAAATCTTTAATACACACCTTATTGGATTGCAATATAATCTAACACAACCAAATAAGGTGTGTTTTAAAGATTTTTTCCGGCTGTTATCTAAAAATCTGCTTGGAACTATACCATTGGATTTCTATGGGAAATTCCTTCAAGAGAATATTTTAGGAATTAAGGAAGGTGTCAGCATTACATAATTTGAGAAATTATTGGCATACATGAAACCTTTTTTTAAAACAGCATTTATCTTATTGAAAAGCGTTGATTATCAATGATTCCCAGCCCTCTGAAGTTTGAAAAATAAAAATACCTCGGTGTTAATCCATGGATCGCTATCTTTGAAAATGAGAAGTAATTTTTGGGATTATATGGTGTAATCTTATAGTCAATGAAACGGTGTATTCATGATTTTAAAAGAAAAACATATTAGCGAAATGCATGAAAAGGCTCCCCCAATTCATTCTACATACAACTCGCGGTCCTTTTATTAATTTCATCTTGAGATTCATTTCGATTTGAGATGTTGTAATATCATTCATATTTTCCCGTTTCTCGTTTCTGTACCCAGAAAAATAAGGTTGATTTCACGGAAAAGGAATCATTTTAATTTCGAGTTAGGTCACCTTGTAAATAGCTTTCCAGCACTATGACGAACGCGGTATTCTGAAGAGTTTCTACGTATGCAGATCGCCTGATCTTATATCTAACAAATCAACCAAGTTCATGTTTTACTTGCGAGAGCTAGTGACAGTAATATCCCGAGAATTATCTGTAGAACATGGCAACTGCAGCTGTTCTAATTTTTATGCTATGTAGCTCAACGATGTACAAGTATTTACATAAGCTCGTTTTAGGCGCTATAGTACTAACTAATAACTAAACACGAATGTGTGCGGAGGCAGTTGTCGGGGTTAATAATCACATACACCATCGGTTAAAGTATGGTAACACAAAAACATTCGCATCCATTTACACCCTGGGTATAGTCTGTCACGTGACTTCATGGATGACGTGTGCGCGAGTGATTCGCATTTTCTTTCGCTTGAGGTTTGTAATCACACTTTTTACATGTTTTAAGATTTTGTATCTCTGTGAAACTTGTCCCGTACCATCAATGTCTGAAGACGATCTAATTCACCAAATATCTCATCCAAGCGTGTCCCGGTTAAAGAGAAATTCGCACTTTTGTGTCTCGCAAAATGACGTGTGCGCGAGTAAATCGAATTTTACGAAGGATGGGTGCGCGAATCTAAAATATTTTTATTCACTTGAGACAATTCTGCAAGCTAAGGCAGAATACAACTCACGTGACATTTGTTTTTGTCATCTTAAAGTAGTACAGGGTGTCAAAAAACAACGGCACCCCCCTCTACAGCAAAAGGTACTTTGGTGTGTCATATCTCATTTTAAAGACAATTTAATTCTGGAGTTACCTGAGAAATATCAGCGTTATATCATATACTTTTACAGATTTACAGCTGATTTCTAGTAGTTGGTATGACCACCAGTTGCTGCTCAAACAGCAGCTTATCTGGACGGATATGATTTCAATAAAAATTCAGATAAAGGTGTAGCATTGCATAATCCTCTAAGCACTTTCCTCACATTCTACAGAAATACATCCTCACTGTATCTTTTTTCAAGAGGCTCTTTTTCCATCAATTCCTATACCCTGTTTTTCAGAACTGAGTCCATGTGTTCAGTGTAGTTGAAATCTGGGCTAATACGTTCATATTTTACTTTTTTAAGATTTGACCTTTAACCAGTAACAGAGCAGCAAACAAAGTACCGAAATAGCAGACTTTGAAACAATGTAGCTTTTTTAATATAAAGTTTTATTAAATGAAATTTGATGAGTAACTCCAGAATTAAATTATCTTTCAAATAAGGTATGACAGGATATGTAACATTAAGGACCTTTTGCTGTAGAGGGGGGTGCCGTTGTTTTTTGACACCCTGTATGTTAAAGAATAGTTTGCTATATTGTAGATGTTTCATGTATGCTGCCGGTTTTATGAGACCGCCAAAAAATTAATTCAATTTTTGGTTCAAATTTTAATTCAACTGCAATGCCGGACAGCCCTACAAGCTATTTCAAAACATTTATTGTCATTAAACGTAGACATGTATGTGCCATACATGAAACATCTACAAAATAGCAAACTATTCTTTAACATACTACTTTAAGATGACAAAAACAAATGTCACGTGAGTTGTATTCTGCCTTAGCTTGCAGAATTGTCTCAAGTGAATAAAAATATTTTAGATTCGCGCACCCATCCTTCGTAAAATTCGATTTACTCGCGCACACGTCATTTTGCGAGACACAAAAGTGCGAATTTCTCTTTAACCGGGACACGCTTGGATGAGATATTTGGTGAATTAGATCGTCTTCAGACATTGATGGTACGGGACAAGTTTCACAGAGATACAAAATCTTAAAACATGTAAAAAGTGTGATTACAAACCTCAAGCGAAAGAAAATGCATATCACTCGCGCACACGTCATCCATGAAGTCACGTGACAGACTATACCCAGGGTGATTTAAAATAAACTAATCCCAAACCTATTGAGGTTTTAAAAATATAAAACGGGGATTTGACAATGTCACTGCTACCCAACTTATTACACAGACGTATCGTCGGTGTATCATGGCGGAACTTCCTCCGGGACTAGGTTTCGGTAAGATTTTTTTATTTCCCGATTTACACCTACTTATAAGTCACGTTGTGGATAATAATTTGGCTCGAAGTTAAGGAAGATAGTCTAGTTTGAGAATGTGTCGATGGTTTTAGGTTTTATATGTTAACAAAGACACAATTCACGTATTAAGTCCCTCGCTTTTCTTACACTGACGATCTTTGTTAACATATAAAACCTAAAAACATCGACACATTCTCAAACTAGACTATCTTCCTTAACTTCGAGCCAAATTATTATCCACAACGTGACTTATAAGTAGGTGTAAATCGGGAAATAAAAAAATCTTACCGAAACCTAGTCCCGGAGGAAGTTCCGCCATGATACACCGACGATACGTCTGTGTAATTAGTTGGGTAGCAGTGAATGTGATATTTCCCTCTTGCCCTCCGGGCCCTCGGAAAATATCATATTGTCCCTCGAAATAAAACCCATATTGAATCCCTCCCAGTAAATAACCTCTATTAACAGCGTAACTAGAGAGCGGGGTGGTTATTTTCTTTACAGAAACATCGTTCAGACCCCGCTCCTCAAATTGATGAAAAATCTAAATACGTTTGAAACAGAGAGGTTAAAAAGATTTATGGAGTCTTGATTGGTATGGGATACGTCTGTTATGTTGATTTAGATGACACGATCTTTCCTTCGTGGAAGATGCGGTCCCTGAGGATATACACATATTTCTTTAGGGATAAAACCTGTATCTAAAACACTTATTTTTTGAAGGATGTACTATTTAACAAGGAACCTTCAACATGATGGTTGTTAACAGTTGCTTAAGGAAATAAACGTGACCTCCAATACTCTTTCCATTAGTTCCACTTTGCTTTTTACAGCGCTTCGTATCTTCAATTACCCTTTGCATTCGTTTGACTTCACTTCTTAAAAGAGAGCTTCGTCTTCTAGTTTAACTAGACTCTGCACGCAGGGTAATCTTCAATGCACCTTAAAAACTTTAGAATTTAGAAAGTAACTGGAAAACGATATACATGTAGTTTTAGACTAGTACATATATGATGTTCAGACCCGTAGGCAAGTGTTGGGAGAATCAGGTTCAAAATCATGCAGTTTTCAACATTTTGAGCACTTCTCGAGAGTGGTTTTGGGCCAAAAATTGACCCCCCTTGGTAAAAGCTTATATTCAACCGAAACTTACAAGGACTTGTAGCTAGACCAGGCACCGTATCATAACATTCTGTTTTCATATTCAAATTATTATACTTACAGGGTGTCAAAAATATGTTCTCCCCTCTTAGATTTAACACACACATAATGTTGCATAACTTTTCTGTCTGTGTGATATCTGATTTGTTCTTTGATATACCAAAACTAGGCTTCATGGTGCAACTCCACAAGTTTCAGTTGACTAGCTCAACTAGATGCACTTCTAAGCTCAAAAGTTCATACTTTTGAAATTAAGAAGGGAGGACATATTTATTTGAGTTGTTATCAACCCGGGGTATTAACATTTTATATTATAGTTATATTATTTTATTTTTAACCTTGGTTGAAGAAAATTCTGAGGATCCCAGTTTTTTCTTCATCTGGGTTTAATCAACAGCAACATTTTAGATGCATACTATTCGTGTATGTTTTGCTTTAACCATGTCACTATTATATGTTTTATGGATGCACTTTTAAAGTGGTATCCCATAAATAAATGAAAAAAACATCATTAAACGGTCGTAAATTGTTCGTGTATACTATCGGTCAACTGCTATTTTACCCTTCGCTTCTTAAAAGAGAGCTTCGTCTCTGCGCGCAGGGTACTGCTATTTATGAATATAATTTCAGAAAAATGTCTCACGTCGTGACAAAGCAAGTGACAACGACAGTGACAACACAGGGTGGGGGTGGTGGCACCGTTGTAACCACGGGCAACCGAGATTGGAGTAGTGGGACATTTGCCTGCTTCGACGACATCAAGTCATGTGAGTATACATCGTAAAAAGTTTCCAGATAAACGTTTCGAATGATCAATGTAGCATCTACAGAAATGATTTATTTACCCGCCCTAGCCTTTCGAGTGATGACTTTTATATTTTAGTGTCACCGTTAAGTTATCTTTCCGTTGTACCTTAAATACACAATATTTTTTATTAAAAGTTTGTTGATTTTTAACTTTTACATTCAACCGTCTGATCCAATAAGTTGGTCCAACACAATATGGATGCGATACCTATCATTTTCCCATCCTAGCGTCATCGTTTGTGGTTTGTATTCTATAGAGAACAAGATCCTTTAAATGTTACTCCAACGTTTATAAGATTATGCAACAGAAAAAAGAACTGATGTATTTCGTGAAATCTTGAAACACGTGAAGTAACAAAAGCATAATTTCAGTCAACTATTACCGACGAAGCAGTGGTTTGAATAGGGATGAGCGACAAGGACAAACGAATAACGGAAATGAACGCAAGCATTCAAACACGTTACATGTATATACTATTTTAGTACCTAATCAGAACATTTCAGACTAACCTATGTCATATCATCGCCCACTCAACATAAGCATTTTCTGTTGTGAAAAAGATATCGCGGAACGCATAAAAACCAAGTTATATTATTCAAAATCAAACACGAAAAATTGTCTTACATGAGATGAATTTTTATGAGGATTCGTAGAATATGAAGTAAGCTCACGACGCTAGCTTGCAAAATTACGATATCTGAAATGCTATACGACCATTCGTGATGTAAAGTTACCAACAATTCGACGTTTAAACGAATAAAAGTTGTAAAACTATTCAAACTGACAATAAAACAATAGAAAAAGTAATACAATATAACATGACCTAGCCTTAGGATCATTTGATTTAAACATTAATTATTCATCGAAGTAACTTGACCCAGACCTACAGTATTATGTGTAGTCTAGCTTCAAGCCCTTTTGTTGTATAGATAAGGAATTCAGATGTTCAGTTCTTATCCAGGCAGGATGACCCCATTAACAAAACTGGCCATCAAAATTGTTGTATTTTTGTAATAATAAAATAGACGTAACCCCTTTTGATCCAATGCACGATAACACGTAGAAGCGTTTGCGGAAAAGTGTATTGAGTTTAAAAACCGATTCATTGAGGTCAAAATTCATCTTTGAAAAAAAACTTGTTTAAAATCCATTTTATGCATAAGGAAACGTCTGATCCTCTAACAGCCTAAGCCCTTATAAGATTGTGCCAATTTAATATTTCACCTATTAATCATGTTCAATGCAAAGATCTTTACATATGTTCATAGGTCTGTGTGGAATCTTCTGCGGACCATGTCTGCTGTGCATGGTTAGCAAGCGTATCGGGGAGAACATGTGTGTTGGATGCTGCGTCCCTGGTGGCATCATTGCCCTTAGAGTACGACTCAGGTCTCTCTTGGGGATACAGGTAAGACTATTGTCATGTTGACCATACCCAGACTTGTAGCCGAGAATTTTTAAAAACTGAACCCCTATCAGTATCGGGAAAAGCTGGAAACGGGTCTGATAACATTATTTACTACTTGTAAACGACTTGAAGCAGTCTGCTGGAACTTATGCCAATACTTCAACACCTGAAATTTATATGTAATATTTAAACACCTCAAACTGATGGCAATATTTAGAATAACAAATAATACTTAGTTTGATTTTAAAACTAAGTGTTTTGTATGAGGCTAAATTGTAAGAAAAAACAAAGTGTGTACTTTATATCTTCAAGTAGCTATAAACGCCTACAGCAATCCAGAGTAAAATGATATACAGGCCAAATTTACGTACAACTTACTGTATTTAAAGGAAACACGATACATGTATCTATGATGCTTCAGTACTCCTTGAACTGTTTGTTTTTGTGTTTTTTTTTAATTTTTAAGATACTGCCATCTAATGTTGTTTACAATGCAGCTTTTCTTACTGTTATAGAACACGTAAAACAGTATTATCTTCACTGGTGATGGTTACCGAAACGAACCGTTTCGGTAACCAGCGTAATCGAGCGTGGATCACCAGTGATCTTTGTACATGCATGTGAAAAATTAATACCCCGAGTCCTATGTATATTACAGGTGAAGCTCTCTTTTGAGGTAGAAAAATCAAACGATTGGAAAGATTAATGTTCCTTTCTAGAATTCTAGAATTCGAGTATTACTTAAGTATGTGCTGTCATTTTCAAGTTACTTTCGATTTGTCTTAGTTCGTGATAAATCAACTCTTCGTGTAAGTTTCAGGTGTTCAATTTGTCAATGTAGGCAAGTTAGGATTTTCTAATCAAACATTAATCGAATTTACAATTACATTGACATGAAAAAGTAAGAAAATTATATTTGAAATAGCAATGTTATTTGGTCGTGTATATCAAGAACATTCTTGAACATCAAGATGAGTTGATAATATGTACCGGGTCGTTCAAATAGATTTATTTGGACAGCCATGTCTCTTACAGGGTTACATTCTAAAAACTAAGATCTGTACTTTAAAATAAATATAGTTGTCAAGTTATAAGGGTCACGCTACTCCTGCATTTGTTTGAGTTCGCTTCTGAATTCTGAAAAGAGAGCTTCGCTGGTTTACCATCAGCCTATGGTTGATAAAAGGACAATTTATTTTCCAGGGAACGATCTGCAACGATTGCTTGTGTTCTTACTTCTGCGGTCCATGCGTTGCCTGCCAAATGTACAGAGAGGAAACCCATGCTGGACTGACAAGCTAAATTCTTCATCTGTTTACAGTAGTGATATTAGCATAAACATTGCAAATCGACTTTTTTGTATTTGGCCACGAAAAAATATAATCATTTATTCTGTTTTATAGGGTTTGAAATCTCAGCCAATCAGGCCTGTTATTGAAATTAAATTTTTGTTTTTGTCATTTTTACGTCTAAAGTGACGAAACACCAAAAAAGCGTTAGGCATTTGTGAAAATAACTTTGTAATGTAACTTTGTAATAACTGAGAAAAGTGTCAAAATATTATTGGATGGCTTTACATATATAATGTAGAAACGGAATTCGAAATAAGCATTTTCAAAAATGTTCATGATTAAGTTATATAGTACAACAGAGGCCACCATTCCAAAGGGCCAAGCTGGAAATTTCAAATTCTTGCCATCAGCCTGATGACCAGATACACACTTTTTCGTGGCCTTATATAGTAACTGTGTGTACAATAATCCAAATTATTACACGTTGGCCAGACGCATTCGTTGGCTAAGATCAGATAAAACGCATCTAGCATCTAAGAAGCAGTTTTATAACTACGCCAATCATCAACACAATAATTCTATTTACATTAATCTAGAAGTTAGAACATTTGAAAAACTAACAATAAAATTGTTATGGTGTGTATTTGTATATTATGGTAATCATAGTTTGTACATGAATGACTAAATCTCTATCATTAAAACGAAGGAACGCGATTCTCCCATCAAAAAGCATATAAGGGTGTCCATCCATGGCATAATACAAAACCCACTTCAGCCAACTTCTGCGTCTAGCCAGCCACAGTGTATCAACTGATTATCTTGTTTGACTGAGTATTTTGATGTTTAATTTTAAGCAAGTCATATTGTTATGAATATTCTCGTTGAACATCAGTTTATTTTTGAATATTATAAGATTACATTTTACTCACAAAATGACGTTGTGCAGCTTGTAGAATCGATGCTATTCTTGCTTTTTGTGGAATATTAGTACCCTGATTAAGGGATCAAGAAATAAGGCACATACGGTAACATCTATTTGTACATCGTAGTATGACATTTATCCATGTATTAGTATTAGGCCATGGTCTGTTATTCTGATTCTAAATTATCACATAATATCTGAATTCACAATGATATATTACTCACGCCATCAATAAACTTTGATATAAGTCGTGGTCAAAGCTAGAAAAATCGCTCACGTGGATTATCTGACTTTTGAAATTGAAAAAGGTGCATGATGTACATCTGTAGTACAACTGCAATTTTTAACTTGACATCCTTCTGCTAAATACACTTCCAATCCGCACTGAAATCACAACCCGTACGTACATGTACGGTACCCGTATGGTGCTGTTTTAGTCACGGTAACGTGCAGTGTCGTATTTTACGGTAACATACAGTACCATAGCCGAAAAAGAAAGTACCATAACTGTTCGAGATTGGCGTAAGTGATCATTTTTTCAAGCAATGATATTTTCAGACAGTATGGTCTTTGCATCTGCATTTAGGGCCAGAATTACAGACACCGCCCCTTTTTAACAAAGATATAGACCACTATAAACATTAAGTTTGATGTGAGGTGAAGTTTTGCATTTTGTTTACAGAATTTCAATCATGTAAAATATCATACATCATGTATTTTTTATTGTATTAACCCGAAGGGGGATTTTTAATTAAAGACATTCTTCCATTATATGATTAGGTAAACATATGTCATGTAGTCATCCTTTAAACAATTGTACTACTAAATGAACATACAGTGAAACCTGTAAAGTTGAACACATCTATAAGTGGAACACATCTGTTAGTGGAACACTTTTGAGAGTCCAAAGACCGACTGACTTAATATCCAATGTACCTACATAAATGGAACACCTCACACGCGGAACACTTTTTAGAGGTTCCAAAGGTGTTCCACTTAGACAGGTTCTACTGTACTTGTATGTAGAATCAATACGTGTTCGTTAAAATGACAATGCGTTTATCTTCTACAAATAATCATCAGATGTTAGTATATTGGATCATTTTTCTTCTCAACATTTTAAACATTTAATTAATATTAGATGAATCAAATCTCGAACAATCAACAACTGCTTAATTTGAGAAGTTTCGTTGATCCTTGAATCCTAAACAATGCCTTTGTAGAAGATCAACCGTTGACTAAATCTATTCTCTACCAAATACCAAACAATCTAGAGTGGGTCGAGTTTACATTTACAGATTTAACTCGATTTTGCCGGTTGCTGCTTAAAAATGGTAGGACTTCAATATTGTCAATTGGCATTTTAGCCGCACGTAACCAAAGATTGAAATATATACTAGTAGTTTCATGTTTTCATATTTTATAACATACAATATAATAATGGCATTTTTTGGCATGACCATTGCTTTTATACCCAACTAGTTGTTGTGTTTATTTATGTGAACGATGGGAAATTGTTGGATTTTCAGGGTAAGTAAAAAAAATTAAGAATAAGGCAATATGCAGGGTGTCCATACAATTTCAATAACCCTATATTACATGTTTAAAGAGAGACTAATTTGTTTATATCATTACAATGCCTCTATTTTTTATCCTCGTTGAATCTTAAGTGCATAAATATTTAAAACATGAAAAAAAATATTTTCAATATTTCAAGGATTTTGTTCCGCCGTTTCGGCATCAAAAAAATTCGGCGCTGTTCCGGCACCGTTCGGCACAGAAACCTTTCGACACCAAAATTTGGCACCGGACTAGTCAGATATAGTATGGTACCCCTACCCCATTTTATAAAATATTGATTTTCAAGAAAAATACATATATTAATATACATAACTCTTTTTATGAGGCTGGTTTATCTCGAAAATGCTCACATTTTATCTCCGAATGTTTAATTTTAATACAAGTCTGGTGCACAGTAGTAAATCTAGAACCAATCCAGTCTGGTTTGCAGCAGAACTTAGGATGGGTTAATTTTGATATCAGTCTGCTATATAGAATACAAGGCATTAACATGCAAAATGTCTCCAGCTGCCATTTGTTACAGACGCCAAACACCAACCACCAAATGCCGAACACCAACCCCTGAACGCTGTCCACAAAAGTATGTGGTGGTGACATAATATAGTATAGTATCTCACCCTTTCCTGAATGTTGTATTATTTAGAGTAGTACACTGTATTGGTTTCAAGTAATACAAACAGCTCTTAGAGCACTGAAGTGCATTCTAAACCTAAGCATTATACATATCAGTTTCCCTAAGTTTGCATTTACTGTATCCACTTATAGCCTAGGAGTAATGTTTATGTAAACGTTATCTTGGTACACTATTTTCTACCACCCTCTACTACTTCAACATTTCTCAATGCCAATACGTGACATGAGCATTCAGAAACTTTGTTCACTACTGTCTTTTCTTTTTATTCCTGCCTATATATTTCCTGTCAGTCTTATCCCTGCTCATTCCAAAGTTCAACTTCAGCAAGTTTCATGAATTTGTGAATTGTGCATATCTCCTATTACTCACTATTATTTTTGTTTATTCTCAGGGCCACACAGGCAGAGGCAATATATAATACCCAGTTACTAAAGGAATTACATTAATTAACAAACTATTACATACCATGTTTTGGAAACTGTAACAACTTTATATAGAGGGTCAATTATAATTCCAGTGGTTAGATGACTGGGTCTCTCATTCATGGCCTGGCAATATACTTCTAGGTCGTTTTTGCTTGGAAACAGACTACATGAGTCCATGTACACGTATCCTACAGATAGCATTATAAATGGATTGTATTAATGAATTTAGAATTTCTCTAATACTCTCAGATCTTTTCACTCACATCACATCCTCTTCATTCACTCTTTAAAAGTTTTAAAACATACTTTTCTCTTTTTACACTTTAATTTATTCATTATATTCAATACAAATAAAAAACGTATACATCATAGACTTCATACATTTTGTACACTTGATAATTCATTAAGAGATTTACATCCATATTTCAAGTTAGAAATAGAACATAACAACTTCAAAACATTTGTTTTAGCATGTACACAAGGTGTATAAAGGAATGTTATTCAGATTTTTGCAAAATCTGGAATGGATTATAAACCATAAGGAATGTACATCAAAACCTGTGTTGAATGAACAATCTAGAATATCAAAAAATGTTCACTGCTGATGCTATTTAGAGAGGTGTTCGCTAACACAGGTGTTATTGTACTAATAGAAAAATGATTGATCTCTTGTACATGTCTATCCCTGCTTCTACTTCATCACAGCATTCAGTTATAAATAAAAAATGAGTGATGTGCTTTATACAAAAATAAAGGCAAGCAACGATTAGTGCTTTATGTATAGGGTGATCAAAAAAATTGAAACCCTAACACCATTTTTCTCATATCTTTGTCATTTTAAGAAATAACTCCCCGATGTTTTACACCTTTGTACATCATTCAATTTGCTACTAGCCTACTTTATTTCATGACCATCAGATTGATAGTCACAATGTTACAGCACTTTAAAGAACATGCCCCAGTGGCCACTATAGCGCTCTCGGGAAACCTGTACTTGTCGTCTAAAATGTCCCTACCTGTGGGGATATGGAAGAGATAGAGTATATGAGAATGACCTCAGGACAATTGCAAACCTCAAAAGTGAGATCATCCGTGTCATTCAGGCCTAATACCTGCTGAGGAATGTATTCAGGTCATCAACAACTGTGCTGTTTTGCCTACAACGCGATGATGGCTAAACCTGAAGCATGTTATTCAAAGTGCTGTAAAATTGTGACTATCAGTCTGATGGTCATGAAATATGGTAGGGTGGTAGGATATTGAATGATGTACAAATGTGTGAAATATCAGGGAGTTATGTCCTAAAATGACAAAGATATAAGGAAAATGCAGGGTTTCTGTTTTTTTACCACCCTGTACAAACAAATGTGGATGCAATTTAATCTAACATGTAATAAAAACTTTCTACTCCCCTTATAAAAAACCTCTGGTCAAATAACCAAAATCCAATATTGATTTCAAAACCATATCTTCAAACAACTGACAAAATGGTCTCTTCTTTATTGTACATACAATATTTGTATTGTATGTTCAATAAATAGTTTTACTTTGCTATGGCAACATCAAACATTGTTTCTTGATTATTAATGGGACAATCAACCATTTCTGGGAGACATTATTATGCTATTATAGCATGTATAAAAGTGAATACTGGTTTTATTTCAATACATGAATCATCCATTTTAACTATTCCTAGTATTTATGAGACAGGTTTAACCATGCTATACATATACTGGGTGGCCCAAAATAGGTTTACAGTTTTGGGCCACCCTGTATCTTATATGCTGTATATATATATATGATGTGCTATGTATATATTCAAACATGATTCTTTGAAATAAATTAATTGGAACTGTTACTGATGCATTTTGAATGCAATAATTGATATACATTTTATAAGTGTTCCAGCTGCTACACATAGGCCAACCCATTATTACAAAATTCACTATGGCTCAAAACCTTTCTACATACATTGTATACTTAATAAAATCATGCTTTGAAAGAACTACTTGCCTTTAGCCTAATATTAAGTTGAATATGAAAACTGCATCGGTGGTAATATCCACAAGGGCAATTCAATTAATATGTATATCCACAAGGGCAATTCAATTAATATGGATACAATTTGTATGAATATTTAATGAGCATCCCTCATTCTCCATGATCTCCTCTTTGAAATGTGGACTCAATAAATGCCAGGCATTTTATATTTAGAATCTATTCACATACTATCCTACTCAATTTTACATTGGAAAATCTAACCACATTTCCAAACTGAAATAGAACAGTTCTGGGCTTCATAAATTAGTCTTTCAACATCTCTTATGTCTACATACTAATTACTGTGAAACCTGTTAAGTAGAACACCTCTAGAAGTGGAACACCTCTGTTAAGTGGAACAGGTCCCAAGACCAACTAACTCAATGAATGAAGCTCTCAAAGTGGAACACCTTCCAAGGGGAACACCTTCCAAGTGAAACACCTTCCAAGTGGAACACCTTCCAAGTGGAACACCTCCCAAGTGGAACACCTTTTAGAGGTTCCAAAGGTGTTCCACTTAGACAGGTTCTACTGTACTATTGTATTCAACTGAAATGTACATGTACGGAATGCTGCTGTCATACAAAAATATAATGTAGTCATCTTCAAAAGAAGTAAGATTTAATTGTTGGTTTACAATAGATCAAGTTGCATTGATTTCTAGATTGGATACATAATATGTAAGCTTATATACACACATCATTACATGGGTTCATTTTTGGAAAAATCTTGTTTAAGCTTACAGGAAAATTGGCCAAATTACCTAATTGTAGGTTTAAAATGGCTCCAAATTTAGATGGACCCATATTGCAGTCCAAGGATTCACCTAATGATATTCCCAGGGGAAAACATTATCTACTCTGCAAACCCACCTTTTATGCATAGTTTTAAAATTACGTATTATGAAACAGTCTTAAAATCCTCCTTTATCAGTTTCTTGATACATACATAAAGCACTTAAAGCACGAAAATAAGTAAATGGGAATCCGCAGACTATGATATACCAAATATGGATCCTGAATCACGCAAGTTAACGCATAATTAGTTTTTAGAGGAATTCCTCTACAGTATTTATTTTGACCATCTAAAAGTGAATGTGTGAAGATTTTGAAATGTGAGCTTCAAGTCCAGCACAATCTACAACAAATTGTCATTTCTTTTCACATTTACCAGGTTTTAATGGAATTCATTCATAATTTGATTAGCTTCATAATGATTACACAACAAGTAATAATGACATGAGCAGTGAGTGTGTTAGTTAGTTAAAAGAAAATTGGAATGGTAAAACTAGTACCCATAGACGCATTGTTATTTTTATTTACATAATGAAACTGGTGCTAAAAATACATAAAAATCATAAAAACTAAAATTGTGCTTTTAAAAACTGATGCTCTATGTACAGTATGTATCTCTGGTAAAGATGATCTGCATATAAGTATTTGTGTAAAACACACATATAGATTCATAAAAAAATACTCAAATTATGCTAGTGACTAAAATGCTCTGATAAAAGATCTATTATACAGGATCCATTAAGCAGTAATGAACACAAGTCTTTAAAAAATAAAATAAAAATATGCTAATGGCTAAAACTGGTATTTATGAACTCTATCAGACTATCTGGTGTCTACTAACAAATGCATTTTCTAAACAATGAGCTAAAAATTAAGCTACTCTGGCTTCTTAACACTATCTATTTTTGCCAATGCTCTCCTTCTTTTGCTACTAAATTAGGGTCGGAATCAGGGGTCTTGAAACAAGTATTTCTCAATTCCATTGTATGGAAATCATGGTATTATATCTTGAGAACAATAATTTAAAATTCTTTAAGGAATGTCTCAAGAAAAGCACCCCTTATTATTGACAAACATAATTTTACTGTTCTTTATTGAGAGAGATTGTGTACTAAATCAGCACAAGAGAACCTGACAATACAAAGCAGGATACACTTGATGCAGATGAAATACTATTTGGGCTTAATCAAAATGCAAGTATCAATATTTCATGTATTTGCAAAACCTATCAAAGACCTACAGGGTGAAAAAGTGGCATTTTTGGACCACCCTGTATATCAACACTAAAGTCACTGTTATCACAAAAAACAGTTTCATCCACTTATCAATCAATGTGATTGCACAAGCCCCCGCCCCCCCCCCCAAAAAAAAAAAATTCATTTCATGATACATTGATATTTGACCAAGCCCGTTTGATTTGATGTAAGTTTCACACAAACATTGCACTCACATATCTACACTATACATATATATACATTGAGATCTCATCAGTTTGATTCCAAAAAACATAAAAGCATTAATAAACAACAACAACAATGAAAGCATTTATAAGACCACACAATAAACTAAAATCTCCTTACCCCAAAATATTTTAAATATTGATATTAATCTAGACATACAATCACATGGATATTAACCTTTTTTCTGAGAATATCATAGCGTGAAAAACTTCTACAAACTTCTAGTTTGATATTGCAAAATAACTTGCATATTTTCTATTTTGAAAGGTAATAAATAACTTTCTAAATAAAGAATTTTCCCCAAGCTTCGATAATTACAGAAAAGGTTTCTAGGTTAGTTATAATATTGTATTTTAAAATATTTTAGAGTTACCTCTAGGATAAAATTTACAACTCTACTTTTTAATCATATGCATTCTAAATTTTTCTGAAAACATGATGTAAATGCAAACTTTTTTACACAATTTAATCTTTTAAATTTTCAAAGATCTACAAAATTCTTAAAGTTCAAGAATTCAAAATTTACAACATACTGTTTAATCATGACGCCAGATATTGGCTGCAACCACCAATAATCATCCTGATTTGATTAAATGTGTCTCAATCTTGTATCATAAATAAATAAATCAATTAAAAAGATTAATTAATCCATGCATAAGAAGGGAAAAATGGGGCGGCTTCCCATCGTCTGCATTCATTCTCTTTATACCTTGGCCTAGTTTCAACTTTGTTTGATATAATTGCAGTTCCAGTTTCCCAATCGGGCCAGTTTGTGATCTTTCCTGTTGTAACAAACTCTTTAATTCCACTTCGCAAAATTTCAGTCAATTTATTCTCATTTTCCCCGGTAGTATCCATATATTTGGAAAAATCCCCGAAAAATGACATTGAGTCAAAACCATGGAATGCATATTCAGCTGCATACTTGAATTTTAATGTGATTGGTTTGGATGGTACAGCTGTAAGGACATAGCGATACACAGGAGACGTGAATGCATCTGCTGCCTTCTGGGTAAGGACATCAGTTGCACAAATTACTCTAGCATCAGATACTAAACTTGTAAACTGAAACTGTGGTGTCACATTGTGTGGATAACTGAAAAATAAAGAGTAAATCAAAAGTTACATTCAATACTCTCCATACAAAGTTAACTACATGTCTTGAAACTAATACTTCTGCCTTGTGCAAAAATAGCTTCCTTGAATTGGTACGATCCTAAAATTAATCCGAATAAATTTCGATGCATAACATATTGTGGGATTAATCTGGGAATTTATCCTATCATCAATGAATTCAAACTATCTTCAAGGATAATTCTTACCCTACTCTTAATTTTTAACTGTACTGCGACCGTAGCTTCCCAAAATCAAGATAATGAATATGCAATATAAAATATAGGGATAAGCAGTACGATGTACATTTTCCATATCGATTTTGTAAAGCTACAGGTGACGTTTGCCCACCATAGAGCAACAGTGAACTTACCAAGAGTTCCTAAAATGCTGAAAGGTAAATTCTCACAACATCTCAATCTTAACCAGATTTCATAAATTAATGAGAATAAAAGAAACTTACTCTTGTAACACCTGATCAGCAAGGGTGTTGTCAAATGAGTCCATGGCATCACGGACAACTTGATCATATTTCTCCCAGGTCCAAGTGGGAAGATCCATTTCTGTGGGGGCAAAATCGATCTCTTGAGCTGTGTTTCCTAAAGTAAGCAATAAGATTTCAAAATGTGATAGGCTCCCTCCCTCCACTCCTTATTATAAGGCTTGTGACACTAAAATGACATTTGTGTAAATAACTGATTGATAACTGAATAACTCATATTTTGAAAATTTCAACAGATCCCTTTTCAACTGATAGATTGACATGCAAAAAGACCCTGCTAAATAAAACATATTGGTGCACTAATGCCCCTCTGGGTAATGACCTACCTATTACAAGAGGAACATCATTCCCAGCACCCTGTGCCCAAACATCAAATGGTGCTGAGGGTATCACTTCACCTGGAAATATAGAACCATACACAAATATAAAACGAGGCATAAATATACAAAAAGTCACCACCTGCCATTTATACAGATGCTGACACGACTGAGAACAAGGCACAGACGTGAACAATATCGTACCTAAAACACAGCAGTGTGACAGTGAAGAATTTAGGACGGAAAATCCAAAATGGCCACCTTAAAATTTACCCAGAATGCCCAAAAACTAATCAGTTTTTAACTTTGATACGTAGAATCATCCCTGAAAATTTCAGATGAATCCATCAAATGGTTTGGCTGGAAACCTGTAGACAAGTCTTGAAAGTGAAGATTTTAGGACGGAAAATCCAAAATGGCCACCTTAAAATTAACCCAGAATGCCCAAAAACTAATCAGTTGTTAACTTTGATATGTAGAAACATCCCTGTAAATTTCAAAAAATGAATCCGTCAAATGGTTTGGCTGGAAAACTGTAGACAAGTCTTGAAAGTGAAGATTTTAGGACGGAAAATCCAAAATGGCCACCTTAAATTTTACCCAGAATGCCCAAAAACTAATCAGTTGTTAACTTTGATATGTAGAAACATCACTGTAAATTTCAAAAAATGAATCCGTCAAATGGTTTGGCTGGAAAACTGTAGACAAGTCTTGAAAGTGAGGATTTTAGGACGGAAAATCCAAAATGGCCACCTTAAAATTAACCCAGAATGCCCAAAAACTAATCAGTTCTTAACTTTGATACGTAGAAACATCCCTGAAAATTTCAGATGAATTCGTCAAATGGTTTGGCTGGAAACCTGTAGACAAGTCTTGAAAGTGAAGATTTTAGGACGGAAAATCCAAAATGGCCACCTTAAAATTTACCCAGAATGCCCAAAAACTAATCAGTTGTTAACTTTGATATGTAGAAACATCCCTGTAAATTTCAAATGAATCCGTCAATTGGTTTGGCTGGAAACCTGTAGACAAGTCTTGAAAGTGAAGATTTTAGGACGGAAAATCCAAAATGACCACCTTAAATTTTACCCAGAATGCCAAAAAACTAATCAGTTCTTAACTTTGATACGTAGAAACATCCCTGAAAATTTCAGATGAATCCGTCAAATGGTTTGGCTGGAAACCTGTAGACAAGTCTTGAAAGTGAAGATTTTAGGACGGAAAATCCAAAATGGCCACCTTAAAATTTACCCAGAATGCCCAAAAACTAATCAGTTGTTAACTTTGATACGTAGAAACATTCCTGAAAATTTCAGATGAATCCGTCAAATGGTTTGGCTGGAAACCTGTAGACAAGGCTTGAAAGTGAAGATTTTAGGACGGAAAATCCAAAATGGCCACCTTAAAATTTACCAAGAATGCCCAAAAATTAATCAGTTCTTAACTTTGATACGTAGAAACATTCCTGAAAATTTCAGATGAATCTGTCAAATGGTTTGGCTGGAAACCTGTAGACAAGCTGAAAAGTGAGACGCCGCCCGCCCGCCCGCCACCCGCCTGTCATGCTGACGACAATATCGTACCTTAATTAGGTACGATTAAAAGACGCCAAACACCATCCACAAAAAGTTGGAGACTATAACAATATGTCATCACTTGTGGTGACATAACAATACTTTATTTAGTTGCCAAAGTACATAGACATATTCTTACCCTGATGTCAAGAGGGTATTTTTAAGCATGTATTAACACCTTTTGGAACAAAACCTTTATATTTACTTCAGACATTTAACCGAATCCCATGGGGAAGCAACAATAAATACTATTGCATGAAAAAAATCTGATTTGGGAAAAAGGCATCCAATATGCGTAACTCTGTTTATCCTATGCCAAGTAGAGTTTTAGGGAGATAAGTTGGTAAGATATATCCCGTATCCTGATTTTGAGGTTTATGCCCCTGAAAACTCTACTTGGAATAGGATAAAGCAGTTATGTATGGTCGGTTTGAATATGGGGTTCATCCCTCGTGAGATATGCACATCTACCTTCGGTCCCTATGGTCCCTCAAGTAGATATGCATATCACCCTCTGGATAAACCCCATATCCAAAACCTCCCAGTACATAACCCTTATATATTTAAGTAAGTCAATTATTACCATCAATTATTGCTACGGGTCCAGAGAACTGCCCATTCTTGGGGATATCAGTAAGATCAGCCATCCTCCATGCAGGGTACACATCCCAAGGTATGGCATCCACAATTTCACGTGGGGTTAGATTATATAAGCATTCTAACCGATTTGCAGCCTGGTCACACTTTGTATTTCTAAAAACCATGGTCACTAACATTATTCGTTATTCATACTTGTAATATGATATGTGATGTCACAATGACTAGAACAATTGATTTACTGGTCTATAATTGAGTATGTATGACCTCTAAGTGTCATCAGTGCAAATAATTGTTTTTCCGGTTTGTTTCATATTAAAACTGTAACAAACACCTTAATTCTACGATTTAAGGCAAATATATGGCCTTAGATTTTATTCTGGCCCTGCCAGATGAAAAAAGAATAAATCCTCTGTCATATACTGCGCCATAAATCAGAATCTAGGTCTTTATTCCTTAAATTAGACTACCGGTATTATAAAAAGCAGCATCAAAACTAACTAACTTGACTAAATAACAACCTCATCACAGTTTACGAACCTCGTGTTAAACATTTGATTAAAAAAAAGAAATTGTGATTTGCTGTATTGATTATGAATGAAATAATGTACAAATATATAATATGAAATAAATTACAAAAAAAAAATCAAAACTTCTTGAACACCAGAGTATTTTTCTCACTTGCTTGCTTGTATTTCTGATCAACAACAAGATGACTAAAACAATAAATCCATAAGAATCTACAGACAGAATTTTGTATATGATGTACAGAATCTACTAATTTGACGAACAGAATTCACTACTTGAAATACAACATTTATTCTTCAAGTAAAAAATGTACTAATAAATGTACAGCATTTTCTACTTGATGTACATGAACTACTTACGCAAGGAAAACCTTATTGTCTTCTTGGGCATCGGCCAAAGTTGCTTCATACTTGACTGAACTACTCATCAGCCAAGCTCTACTGAATAAGCCCTTAGCCTCAGGACTGGCAAGCAGTGCATATATGGATGTCCCTCCAGAGCTTACTCCAAACACCGTAACCTATAGAATACATGAGATTTAATGATTAGGCTAGAGTGAGTTTATCCAAATTTTGTCTGAAGGAAATGGGCGGGAAAATAATGTTCAAGTTGGGGACTAGAGGGGTTGGTTGACACAGGCAACATTCAAGATATCCTGGTTGTAGCCCTACTGCCTTACCTGAAGATTTTCAACATCATTTTAACTTAATACAGTGCATAATTTCCTTATCTTTCAGATATAGGGACCAATGGTTCAACAAAGAATTATGACGAAATGTCAAAAGGTAGAACAAGAAGTTTTGACTGAATGCTTGCGATAAACAGACATGCAAAATGTCACAACCTGGCATTTGTTACCCAAGTTACAAACGCCAAACACCAACCGCCACCACAAAAAGTAGGAGACCATTGCACTAATAGTTTCAAAAGAGGATGTTGTTTCGCATCTGGTTTTGTGTCACTATCGTTGATTAACAGTGGCCTCTTTTAGAGATTAGGTCGTCACGGCAACAGATGCTGGCGCCACCTATTTACTTTAATAATACATGGAAGATATTTTCTCTCACCTGAGAAGGGTCACCTCCAAACTGTTCAATGTTATCCTGAACCCACGTTAGAGCAGCAATCTGATCCATGAAGCCGTAATTTCCCGATGATTTGCTTGTGGAATTCTGGGATAGCTCCTCTAGGGCCATGAAGCCGAATGCATTGACACGATAGTTGAAACTGACAAAGACAACATCCATAGATTTGGTGACTTCCGGAGTTGGCATATCACCTTTTGTATTTCCACTGCCATACTGTAGGTATCCACCATGGATCCACACCTGTAGAAAATGCCAATATAATAGCAACATCAAGTACAAAAAATATTGGCTATGGGGGTGTTTTTTTTGGCCCACCCTGTATATTTGTTTTTGTTCTGCGAAAAATTTGAAGTACTGCAAATGTACGTCGAAATGAAGTGGAAGTAAAATATTATGTTATCAGGATTTGACAAAAATAATGCAGGATAAATATAACTAAGAACTTACCATAACAGGTCGTTTTCTAGTTTTATTAAAACTTGGAGTCCAAACATTAAGATATAAGCAGTCTTCAGCTCCAAATATTTTTTCTGATCCAAATTCATACTGGAAGCATTTACTTTTGAACTGTTTAGCATTATATGTGTTGTTCTCAGTCCCACATTTAATAGATTCAGTCTTAGGGCGCCTCCATCGATTGTTTCCAGTGGGGGGTTCGGCATAAGGTATACCCTGTAAGAGTAAGTATCAAATTCAACATGTGCAACAAAGAGTGGGATTTTCAAGGTGTGACATACCTAGTTTTTTTGCTTTACCATTCAGGGTGAGACAGTTTTCAAGGTGTGACATAGTTTTTTTTCACCATTCAAGGTGTGACATACAGTGTTTTTTGTTTTACCATTCAATGTGTGACATAAGGTGTTTTTGGTTCATCACTCAGGGTTTGACATGCTGAGTGCTTATTTTCAACTACAATAGAAAAACTTAAGTCTTCATTCAAGTTTGTTCCTTATACTCGTAATCTTAGTATTGCACACTGAGCAAATGAAATATATATGCATTCTTGTAACATTGTTTTATGCATGTTTAAAAGCTATCCTTAATCTAATTTCCTCATTTGCTTTTAAAATAATACGACTTATACCAAAATATGTCTTTTGAGACTCCTACCTTAAAAACAAAGACCTGGTCTTCAATGACACCCTGCAGAGAACCGCACGATACTTGAGCAATAGCCCTTGGGTCATCATAGGAAAATGTACTATTTGGTGACTTAGAAGGAGTCTTCTTGCTTGGATCGGGATGTACAGCAGCGACAATTATTATCACGATGATAACCACCAAAATTAGAATCGTGAAAAGAGCTATCAGAGCCCAACGTACAAATGGGCGCTTCAAAAAAGGAACTTGTTTTGAGTCTGGTTTTGTACCTCCATTTTCGGTAGTGGAGACATCTTTTGGAGATTCATTCACCTTGGCAACAGATGCTGTCGCTGCAGGTGCTGCCACCTATTTTAAGAAAACAGTTGTTCTTAATCATATCAGACTCAAACTCTTATTTTCAGTTAATCGTTTGTTCAAAGTTACAAACTGTACCACATCAATTATTTAACAAAATTATGAAAAGGTTATCATTCAAGATATCATTATTTTCTAATAAAGAAAATATCTTAAGGATCCAGTAAATGCTGTTTTGTTAATGTTACCTCTTCATCATCTTTGAGTAACTTTTCAGTCTCCTCGTCATCTGTTTTGTTGCCCTCTGTCTCATCTTTATTAGTATCTTTAGCATCACCTGCAGCAGCTGGATCAATGGCAGTTTCATCCTGGGCTTTAACATCATCCTCTACTTTAATATCTTCTGCTTTGATATCATCACTCGCCTGAGTTTTTATAACAAAATATTCATCATTTTAAAACTGTAATCAAACAGAGATTGTTTTGCAGGGTCTATATAAAAATGATTGCCATAATTTAACATATAAGCAATTGGTCATTGCCTAAGAAACAACTCATTTTTCCAAGATCATTGCTAAAGTAAAAGTGTCTGCTACTGCCATTCAGACAGATGTGAGTTTTGAACCGTGTTGTTTTGCATCAAATTCAGTGTATCTACCATTAACCGTAATGCTGACTGTTAATACCATTTCTCTTAACAGACACCGAATGCCAGATACCAACTGCAGTCACAAAAATGGAGACCATAACAATATGTCACCACTTTTGGTGGTGACATAATAACCAGTTTAGAATAGCATAACCTAGAACCATTTTATGTTTTATAAAAGTCAACACTATTTTACAATTGGCATTAAGATGTTACTAATCTGTCAAACTGAGAGCTGACAGCACTCACAAATTGTCTATAAAAAGTCTATAAATGTTTTGAGAAATATGAGAGAACCAGGGATGCATGTAAATTGCACTGTATACATGTAATAAGTACAATTTATTAGAGTTACACTTGTTAAAATAAATAAGTTATTACTCAACAAGTAAAACCTGGACCTGCAAAGGAGTTCGCTTCATCATAAAACCAACCTGCTCCCCTATACACTTTAAATGATTATTCAGTGCATGTACGTGTATACTAACAGCAACAATTGGACTGAATTTCGAATTTGAAGTTTTTTATATCTGAGTTATATTCTATTGAATATAATAACATCTTTTTGTAAAATGATTAAACACTTAAAATCAAACCCTTAAAAGTGCAATATCCAAATATCAAACTTAAATGTTAATTGTAATCAAATTTTGTTATTGTAAAACCTCTCAACAGAAATGCATGATCACTTTGAAATTTTAAGAGCAGTTTTACGATTGAGCAGCTGAGAGTGATAAGGCAGACACCTTGAGAGGAAGTCTCATTTAAATCATCTTCAGACTGGTGAAATTTACCAGACAAAATACTTGTCTTGTATCTGAGTGACACCAGGTAGTCACTAGAAGTTCAATATCATAGAATGCAACTGTTGATTCAACATTACTACTTTCCGATTTGATAGACTGTCTATATAATTCATTTTAGCAAAACAACCTCTCATTTGAATGATGTGCACATCCTTGGCCCAAGAGTAATTCATTGCATTACATTACATGATCTGCTATGAAAGCAGTGAAGGACCGATCTTGAAGGATGTGATGTGCATATTATACATTTCTTCCTTTTGAAAAAAAAAATTGATAGTGTCACTGTGTCGTCTTAAAGTCCCCATGTATTTCATCAAAATGTAATATACGAGTAAGAAACTTTTTTGAATAATATTTTTTTTCAAATAATAAAAAGGCCAACAGCTTTGTTTTATTTGTAAGTTAGCATATTTAATATCTGTGATATAAGTGATGACAAAAAATATTTGGATAATTTAACAATCTTTTCAAACATTTTACATGCTCTTAGTTGTAAAAACAAGATGCTAAAATGAGGTTGAATAAAGTGGCTTAAATAAACTGAGGTTCAAATGCATGATTCTTAAAAAATTTTAATTCTAAAAGGCATTATATTTACCTTCTCCGTTTCTTTTTGGACTTCATCTCCAGGCTCTACAATCTTCAGTTCCACATCAGCAGCTTTTGTCTCCGACATTATTCTGCAACAAAAATATTAAACCTTCATGCAATAGTAATACTTGGTCTAATAGTATGAAGAAAGTCAGTATGTTCTTTAATCAGTAAATGTATTTATTTTTTATTGAATCACGGAGGTAGCTATTCAAATACTTGAATCAATGAAGTACAAGTAAAATACATGAATCATCAGGAAATTCAAAGGGCTCTTTTACGAGTGGGTTGTTTAGCGTTTACTTGAGCCCCAGTAAAAAATGACATAGTGGTGTCATGTGACACAATGACATGACTATTTAGATGTTTTATATCAATGGAACATGAATAATCTTTGCAAAGGTGAAAATGAAACTTATGACTCAAATAACAAAGTAAGTTCTGAGGTAACTTTTTAAACAGGGTGGTCTAAAAAACTGGAAACATTTCACCATTTTCCTCATATCTTTATCATTTTAAAAAATAAGTTCCTGATATTTTACACATTTGTACGTCATTCAATTTCCTACCACGCTACCATATTTCATGACCATCTGATTGATAGTCACCATGCTACAACAGTTTAAAGAACATGCCCCAGTGGTCACATTTTTGCACATGCACATGGCGTCCAGGATGTCCCTACCTGTGGGGATATGGCAGAGTGTATGAGAATGACCTCAGGACAATTGCAAACCTCAAAAGTGAGATCATCTGTATCATTCAGGCCATACCTGCTGAGGAATGCATTTGGATCATTGACAACTGTGTAGGTGTACTGTAACTACAGCGCGATGATGGCCAAATCTGAAGCATGTTATTCAAAGTGCTGTAAAATTGTGACTATCTGATGGTCACGAAACATTGCAGGGTTGTAGGAAATTGAATGATGTACAAATGTGTGAAATAATGGGGAGTAATTTCTTAAAATGACAAAGATAGGAAATTTTTTTTGACCACCCTGTACCTCTGTCTGAATGCATGTTTTTGCATAGTTGAAAGCTGTGGATTTAACATGATGGCTATGATTTAACTCTTCAAGTTTCGTATTCTTTAAATGTGATAGTGTACAAATAGTGACTGCCATTGAGGGAAATAGTGCAAAATAATTTCCTCAAGGGAATATCCTGTCCACTGACACGTTCCCGAGGCTGCAGGCCGAGGGAACAAGTCAGTAGACAGGATATTCCTGAGAGGAAAATTTTTACACTATTTCCCGAAAATGTGGCAGTCACTATTTGTTTTATTATATACCTGATAAGTACTCTGTAAACAAAAACAAAATGAGAAGTCTTCATTTCAATATCAAATGTTCACAGGTTCTTATTGGCATTTAAAGGCATTTTACCTTTCAACTCCTATAATCTCAGATTTGGGGGAAGATAAAATGTACTATTGACTGGTCACATGACCTAACTGGTGATTAGTACAATTCATCTTCCCTGAAAGCAGGGATTTAGGACTTTCCAGGGAATAAGTTCATCTATTCCATGTCATGTGACCATGAATAAGCCAATGAGCATCTAGAATACATTTGAGGTATATAATAACTTAAACTATATCTGCAGTTATTATTAAGAAGTACTGCTTAATTCCTCATACTTAAACAATTTACATATTGTGTATAAAATCTGTCACTTTACAATATATCTTGATGGTTCCAGGTTATATCTAATTTGCAAACCATCCTTGTAACTTGCTTTCCCGGCTAACAGGTACCATCCATGGAACCTTCATACACCTCTATTTTGTTTCATGTTTCAACTACATTGCCTTCCCCCCCCTTTACCAGTAGTAGTGGCTGGAGTTTATACATAAATTCATTCCTTTACTTAGCAATAATATGCACCAAATTGATTGCCAAAGTTTTATAAAAAATATAAGCGACAATTTCAATAAATAAGAACAGGAATACATAGAAATTGAAAAGGTATCAATGAAGTTGTATAACTTATATACAAAGCTATAATTCCATGGGCCAGGGATGAGTTAACACATGTAAAAATCAGACAAACTGATCAATATGGCTCATACTTTCATTCACAAAATCACTCATTAGTTAGATAATTTTTCATATAATGAGTTATCTAAATTTTCATCCCCATACAAAAGGAACCGAACTTTGTCAACTTTTTAAAATTCTGAACCAAAAGATGAAGATTTGAAGTTCGCAGTACTGCAAATAAAGTTTTACGCTCATTAACAAGCAGAGGACATTTTAAGATAAAATGAGAAGGTGTTTGCGGTAATCCACAAAAAGGATCAACTACATAAGTGAAAGTTATGCATATAGCTGCGATTTTAAAAGACCTACTGAGTTTGTTAAAAGCATTCAACATATCTAGGCCTTTCATTTACCATTTTGCTTGGCTTAGTGCCTATATCATTGATATAAACAAGGAAGCAATGTGGTCCAAGCACTGTTCCTTGGGGAACTCCTGATTTTACCGGAGTTTTTGAACTTGATTCACCGTCAAGCACTATCTCATGTGATCTTCCCACAAGCCAGGATCTGAACCAGTTCAAGTTGTTATTACAGATTCAATAGCAGTCAAGTTTGAACAGGAGGCACTCCTGGTCTAACCTGTCAAACACTCTTGAAAAGTTAAGTACCAACATCTCTGTTTTTTTTTTATTGTTGTCAAGGGTTCAAGCTATGTTTTCTATTTTATTGACGAGTTGGGTTTCACATGAGTGCTTTGACCTGAATCCATGCTAAATGTTTACCAGGATTTCATATACACTGTAGGTCAATTAGGTCAAAATGGGCCATTTTTGATATGTTCTATTATTTTACATGGAACTGACACTAGAGATACATGTCTGTAATTCACAGCCTCATATCTTCTTCCTTTCTTTATAAATAGCTGTAACATTGGCATGTTTCCAGTCTATTGGCACAAAGTCATCAATAGACTGTTGAAACTAGTTTGAATTGGTGATATGCTGTAAATACACTCCTTTAGGACCCTAGTTGGCATGAGATCAGGTCTAATGGCTTTTGATTGATTCAGGCTAGTTAGCATTTTAATGCTTTGGAATGGCGGGAATTTGACTGGGTCCAATTGTTAGTAATGTAGTATCCTCATCTATGAATGCAGAGTTGTATTTGTCATTGAGGATGCTTTCTGGGCAGCGTCAGTCATTTCATCACCATTTTTGTTACGTAGCACGCTGATACCTAATGCATCTTTGCACATTTAGACTTTATATAACTCCAGAAGCATTTGGTAATGCTTTTGTGCAGAACATTCTCATTTATGATTTCGCTTTCATCAATGTCCAGCAGATCATTGATGTAGCGCTGATGTTCAGACTTGCTTGACAGGAAAGCGACAAGTTTTTGGTAAGTGATGACATGACCAACTTGTCCATCGATATCATTGTTGAGCGCAAATGAACCTGACACAGTATTTCAGAAGCAGTCCTAAAGTTCATTCACATAGGCGAGGTAATTTTTGACAGGCTCTTACTCTCTTTTCCTTGATGCTCAGAGGGGGGTGGACTTTAATTTCGGTCATCTTTCATTCTTGCACAAAAGATGCATTAGTGTATCAAAAGTGGGGGACAAAAATAAAACTCAACCCTCAAAAGTTGTCACAATGAGCTAAATTCTAAGTTTCGTGTCTCAAACTCTCCTTAGTGGAAGAAAAATAATTCCCATTCACTTTAAGTAGCACAATAAATGAATCCAAAGCTTCATACCTGCAAATGATGGATAAATCCCTACCACATCGAACGAATGTTTTCATGAATCGCCATGTTTGTCCAAAGAGGATTGACTCCAAGAATGCAACATCAGGTAACCTTATTTACTATTTTTTTCATGGCCTGAGTTCGTCGCTAACATGCTAAATATAAGAGTTAGCTGACGTTTGGGAGTCTGACTTACCTTCTAAAGGTTAGAACCCGAATCTTGACATGTGTCACGTTGCATTCTGGGAGCCAATCCACATTGGCGACGTAACATGTGAATGTCCACTTCAAATTTTTAAGTTCTTATTTGTAATTATGGACACGAATTCCACTATATCTGGACTTATTAGGATGGAGAAAATAGAGCACTAAAATACACTGAGGTAAGAATTTATTACATGTGTGACAGCATGTAATTTCCATAGCTTTTGTAATTCTTTATGTCCCCCACTGTAGACTATTAATTGAGGGTCGATAATTCTTCAGAATGTTTGAATAACTAGAATATTCAGTGGTTTACTTTTCAAAATTGCAAAAAAACTCCAACGAACATGCACTCTGGCCTTAGCTTAGGCCAAGCCAAAAAAATTAAGAAAAGGAGGGAAACGTGTCTCCCACTAATATGTAAAACTATACTCATTCACCCAAGATCCAAGCGTATATATACGGTTTAAATGTCTCTTACATACTCATATATTAAATCTCAATATTGTGAAATCCATACTTACGTCTATTTTGATATATTCGAGAAAGTACGGAGATGCGAATCCAAACCAAGGTTTTAGCCGCGATTTTTTCTTTCCTCCAGGATTGAAGATTAACTTCCGGTTTGGAAAGTGTTTTCAATCACATTTTCTTATTTTACAACCTCAGTCGATATAGTAAGTAATTTGAAATGGTATTTCTATAATATTTTAATCGAGGTTAATATGTAAAACTGAGTTCTTCATTGTAGTTACTATTATGTTCTAAATGTCGCATGATTGCCCTTTCATAAAGTCTCATTCGAAAGATTGAGGATTCATGGGTTCTTCCACAGGCAATGGAACATAGAAATAATCCCCCTTATTTACTTATGTACAGAGAGTGGGGGGGGATTATTTCTATGTTCCATTGCCTGTGGGTTCTTCCATACTCTGTTGCGGTGCTAGGCCTAGCATGCATGGGCGTTGCGCTATTTTTCTAAGAAGTATGCCACCACCACGGGAACAAGAGTTGAGTGAATCAAAAATCGAGTTCTCCCCCAGGAAAATTTTGAAATTTGGTTGTATCTGGAGCGAATTTGCAACCATCTGTTACGCCTGTGTGTACCCAGCGTACCGGGCGTACCGTCTTCAACATACGACTGGTGGGCTAAACTTTCATGGCGGGATCACCTCATTATAGTGACGCTTACTTCCTGCGAAAGCTACAGTATGTGGATTTTGATAGCTTTCCCACGGCGCACTTGGACAGCTGAATAATAGTGACCTTTAAAACATGAATAAAGATTTCTGTGGCTTACCGTTGGTCTCTAACTGTGTCTTACATCAGTATCATCAATCCGTGCAAGTATTGGAGCGCTGAAATATTTCTTTTTCGATCAAGACTTGTAAATTGTTCATTGAGTGAATGTTTTTTCGACCCATTTCTAATATGGCGGTTTGCTATTATTCATCGATACAAATCTTTTGCATATGGATGGTGGATGGTGTTTGGCATTCGGCGATTGGTGTTCAGTGGTTGGTGTTCAGCATCTGTAAGAAATGGCAGGTTGTGACATTTTCATGTTAATTCCTTGTTTACTATTTATTTCAGAGAAAAATATGATATGTGAAAGTAGTACACGTAGTTACATTATAAAGTTACATCTGTTTTCGTTTACACTTCATCATTAGAGAAATGGATTCCCTGCCATTTAAAAAAGAGCCATCAATAGATTCGTTTTACTGGTAAAACTTATTGTCTATGTAAGTCCATCTATCTGGTTTATATAATAGCTTTAATCTAAAAAAGACTTGAGGATACAAGTTTAAAGTCTTGATAGATTAAAATTCTTATTATGTCATTGTCATCAACTGTGTTGTGGATATTGCTTGGTGGTTTATGCTTGGCATCCAGTGTTCGGCGGTTGGTGTTCAACATTCAACAATCAACATCTCTGTAATAAATGGCAGTTTATACATTTTGCATGTTAATGTTAATGCCTTGTTTTATTCATTAAAATGAATAATCACTATTATCAATTTAAGTAAAGGCCTAATAATGTTGAACTTTAATTTTCAGGTGTTGTAGTATAATAAGCCTACACTACCCCTACAGTAATATCCTACATCATGGCAATGTTAGAGTTGGATCCAATATTTGTGAAGGCATTGCGATTGCTGCATTCACGGAAGAAAGAATCAGCTGCCGAGTTAAAGCAAATGGCGGAAGAACTTAGTGCTCAAAAGAGAAAAGAACGGGTATGGCTTTTCACATGTTAAGTATTTCATATGTCTCCATTAGCTATATGCATACAGCATTTAATTTGGCGAATTGAAAAAATTGCCAATTCATGCCTTTGCCAATGTTTCAGAAATCTCCAGGAATTTTTGTCTTGTGTAATTTATGTTCGGCAAAATGGTGTATTGCGGTTCAAATGTTCAAGATCTTATCATGGGCTTTCAAGAGAAATTTGACCATTTGGTGTTAGAAAGTTGCATTATAGCATCCAGTTGATAAGTAGAGCTTATTTATTCATTTGGATAAATTTTGAAGGTATTAAAGCATTACTTTGGGTCTAAGTGATTGATTTTTTTGTACTAACTTTATTATCGACCATCTAAATAAAAAAATTTCTATCATTTTCTGAAGGAAATAGAGTTAAATGCACATTGATTCAATTTTAATCGCAACATTTGCTTCCTTTGTTAATTTTTTTATCAACCTGGCTAATAATTTTTTCCGAATGACGACCGTTAATACTGGCGCATCTTTGAAATTCGCCAATTTCAGCTATTTATTCTTGCTAAATTAAATCTCCGCCAATTCGCCAAATTACATTGCACCAAATTAAGTAGACTAACAGTATATGAATACTCATTTGTGTATATCAATGTATTAAATTATCAAATTATCAATTTATGCTCTGTTCCACCCCAGCTCCCACAAATTCTGTTTAAGAAAACATTTTACCCTCTACTTGTACTTGATTGTGACAGCAATCAGGCAATATGTTCACATAGTATTTGTCAACGATTTAGGTATTTGTTCTTATATAGCAAATTTTTGAGCCAGAACTGTTGTTGACAAAATTACCACTTAAATACAAAAGATAGTTACGGGAGAGGCAGCGGCTTGATGTAATATAAATACAATGTATTCAATATTATCATTACACATAGGGATTGAGTAGCAGGCCTGTCAATAAAGTAGATTCTGAAAGGCAGAAGAAGGAAATTGAGAAAGAGAAAATAGAAAAGGTAAGTAGGCCTATTTATATTTCTTCTAAAAAAGGTGTAATACTTTCCAAAGACTAACTTACAAGTATAGAACAGTTTTCAAATTCTAAAGGGATTAAAGCTATGATGAAAATGGCACAAGGATCTGAAACATATGTTTTCCTTACTAGCTTTTTAATGATACAATACAGTGACTTGGTAATTTTTTTTTTTGGGTTTCATTATAAAGCTGAAGCTCTTGGTAAAATCTAGAGTTTTGGGGTCCTTAGCATCATGTTTAATCTTTTATAAATCTCATGTTCCTGCTTGTGATTCTCCACTATGAACCTGGCAGCTTGAAAACACAAATATGCTCTGTCAGACCCCAAATTTCAATTTTGTATTTTGGTACTTCCAGCTTTTGATGTAAAATAAATGGTAATCTTGGTAATAATGAAAATGTATTAATTTAGATATTTCAGTAGACTTAATACAATAATATTTGAACTTTTTTAGCTAAAACAGGACCTTGCTGAGTTTTCTGACCTCACGGCTGAGCCCTCTCCTAAAAAAGCTCGTTATGACTCGCCAAAATCCCAGTCACCAGATCGGGAAAAACCTAAGGAAAAGAGTAAAGACCGCGATCAGGATCGATACAAAGAGAAAGAAAAACAACGCCAGAAGGAACGGGAAAAAGAGGAGGCAAGGATAAAAGCGAAGGAAGAGGCTGCAAAGCTAGAGGAGGAAAAATTGAAGGATATGACTCGTTACGATTCATCTACTGAAGATGATGATGATGACGTCATGATGACATCCCTCGCTGTTGCAGATTTTGCTGCAGATATGGGGATTTCCTGTATTGTTTGCAAGTACGTATTATGACCCGAACTATCAAAGTAAAAAGTTAACAGATCATGATGATAACATGGTAGAGAGTGCATGGTTGTTCATGATTCAGGAATTTTAAACGGTCACCCAAATGCCCAAAAATATCTTGACCCTGCCAGATCTCTTCAATTCATTCACCTTCGAAAGCTGGCCCCCTTTGATATCAGATTGATGAAATGGCTTGATCGCATTATAGATGTCACTGTCTATAGATTGCTTTGCACATCTTGTTGTATTGAGAGTATGAATATTTTCCTTAAAAGATAGGCAGTGTAAAAATGTCTGTGCAAACAAGTATTCATTACTTATTGATCACCCAAGCCCTCAACCTTTGCATGTGATAATAAATTTTTTACCATGCATACTGTAGTTTTACTGGTAAAATCAAATTGTTCTTTGTAGTATGAATGCATTTTAGCGTTTGAGATTGTAGCATTTGCCCTTGACCAGTTTGACATCACAGTTACTGTTTTGTATAAATATGTTCATGTTTGTTTCCATTTTTTGTCTATTTATTGCCCATTTTAATTTTTACCATTCTTAGGGAATCAAAAATATATGATTACCACCTCACCCCAGAACAAAATTATTTTCACTTAACAATAACAAATTGATATTTAAGCAAGCCCCTATAGAGGTTTTTTAAATGTTCATTGTTTCTTTTTTAGGAAGTTTGATACGCGGGCAGGTAATCAGCTGGTTGAGTGTCAAGAATGTCATGGACTTTATCATCAGGTAAGTCCTCTTAAAATAATGGATCATCTCAAAAGTTTTGCATTAAATTCTGCACATTTTAATGTCACCATCACAATTGTTGACATATTGTTATAGTCTCCAATTATTTGTAGATGGTAATCAGTGTCTGGCAGTAGGCAGGCGGTGTTCAGTGGGTGAAGTTCAGTATCTGTAACAAATGGCAGGTGGTGATATTTTGCATGTTAATGCCTTGCTGTTATCTGCTAGACCACCCACCCACCCTAGACTTGGAAAAGGGAAAAATGTTACAAAAATCTACAGTTTTTAGATAATAAAGCTTAAAGCTTTAGTATAAACATAAAGTGCTACTGAACATTCACTCGCTCTGTTTTGCAAGTTGTGGGCTTTTTCATGTCATCACTGAGAAGTGGTGACATATTGTAATAAGAAACCATTTTATGACTGGCATTTGGAGCATTTCAGCGTCAGTAACAAATTGTAAGACTTTTGTAACTACATGTTATTGCAAAATCTTACTAGGTAGGAGCAACTGGGATCAAAGTTTAAATTTCACCCCTTACAATAATGTTTACTGTATTTAAATCTGACATTATACATTGATATAAAGACCTTTTATTGTCAATCATCTATAAATTTTATATGTACAGTACATTATCAAAAGTATTTTCTAAAGATTGTGTCAAAGTATACAAAATATTTTGATTGATATCTGCAAATCACTTGTAAATGTCATCAAACAGTAAGATGAATACAGAAAAGTAAGGTATTTGCTAGGTAGTGATTTCAACTTTTATTAACTCAGTAACATTTTTGTTTTTTTGTTTGCATCGCTTTTTGTAGAGTCTTGCAGACCCATATGTTACACAAGACAGGGATGATATCAATATTGAAAATGTCATAATAACATAAGGGAAACACATGACTTGGACTTTATCAATTAGGTATCCAGTCAGTAAAGGTACTGAGACGGCCCCTAGACATTGTGTTGAAATTTGAATACTTGGTATGAGCCCTGTAGTCACAGACATTATGTTTTCTTTGTACCATAGCAACATAGGTACAAATAGCCCAGCTTGCCCTATTCCAGATATTAACATTGTTATCCAGATCACAATAAAATGTTTTTGAACAAAAATCGCAAAAATGATACCTGAAGATAAAATCATGGTTACGTTCATTACAATAAGCTGTGTAACGCTGATGAATTTAGTTGCAAATATTGGAATGGATAAAAGACTAGACACAGGAAACGCAATCAAAAAAGCTGATCGTATTAGTGAACCTTTTGGTTTTGTCCATTGAAGACATTGTACAACAAATGGTATTAAAAGTCCTCCGATTGTGGTTTGCAAGCTTCCAAATGAAAAGAATATCAATCCAAGTAACATGAGAAACTTGATTTTGTAATATCGAGGCAGTTTATCATTAGTTTGATTGGTAGCCTCATTTCCATCCTCTGCAATGTTTACTGGTGTATAATTATTTTTCCTGTTAAATCTTGCTAATATACAATAAGATAATCCCATGACTCCAATATATACTCCAATGATCATATATAGAAACTGGATGTAAGATTTTGTCATGATAGTTGCATATGTTGGACAATTTGCTGTGCCATTGAAAGTGTTTGCATTGTTAGATTCATTCATCATTAGATTTCCATTGCTGAGCTTTGTACTATTTTTCAGAGGCATTTCATCAAAAAACATACTTTCTGTATTGTTATGGGCACTGTATATAGATGTTGATAAAAATGGAATTGCAATTGCTTGTGTAATGAATGCCCCAACACTGTAGGAGAGATGGAGGCCTTGAAGGTATGGTCCGGACTGTTGACCCCATGTCAATATCATCAACACATTATGCACTGGAAATATAATATCAATAAAAAGTAAGGGAAAATAAAATGAGAAACAGGTCATGTCTCATTTTGTTAGTGTGTGCAAGACAACTTATTATGAAATGGGCCTCAACAATGCGGCCAAATTTTCTGGAGCAAGGCCCAAAAAAGAAACCTCCCTCAGAAAGCTTTTACAGGCCTGTAATTACTTAACAACACAAACCTGTATCTGTTGTACCATTTAATATTCCAGTTGTCCCTATTAGCAACATCACCAAGGCAAAGTTATGTAACCATGGCATCACAATCACTAACACAGAGGCAACCATCATGTATGCTCCAACAAGGAGTGTCTTATTCACTGACTTCATATTTGTAAGACATCCCGCTGCTATACCACCTAATCCAATCCCTGCATAGCGTGTTGTGAATGCAAATGACATTTTAGCTGTGTCAACACCTAACTGGTCTCTGAGGTCTAGAAATGTTGTAGGAAGCAATCCCTCTGTCATACCCTGAAATTAATTTTATTATTTCTTACATGTACAATGTATTTGTAAAGTAACATACAGTGTGCTTATTTCTTATAACTATGATACCAAGAGATATTTTATACTTTATATCTCCAAAACTGAACTTTGCGTGACTCTACATCAATGTTGACATTTTAATTTAATTTTTTTAACGTTTTTTAATTTTGACATTTTTATACCATGACACCGAGTGATGTACGTTTACATCTTCAAAACTGAAACTTTGAGTGACTCCATGAATCAATGTTGACATTTATTTTATTTATTAACATTTTTTAAATTAATTTTGACACTCTATCACTCTGAATTTCGTCTGTCCCACATCATTTGAGACTGAATGGTCTATCTTGCATAAATACTTACTAGCATTTACACATATATCCTTGATGTCAAGAGAATTAGAAAGCAGCCAGTCCTTTAACATGATCTGTATTGACTACAATATAAATTTAATGTTTATGGTTCTGTGATTGTTATTGTAATAATGGTTCCTGAATGGTGGGGAGGAGTAAGGGGTATAATACTAATTCTTATCTACATGTTGGATCATTGTTTTGGATATTTAGCATTTGTTTTTCTTGTAACTGGTTAATCTTTTAGATCTGTTTCATTTTCTTGGTCTGTTAAGTAAAAAAATAGTCTTTTCCCTTTGGTACTTGTACTATTGATAGCAAAAATCTAAAATAAATCTGTGTTATAACCAAGTCTGCAGTATGAATGAAATATTTTTTGGTTGTGGGATTGAGATAATGGTTTCCTAAAGATAAGGGAGAGGATGTTTGACATTTTTCACCGAAAGTTAGATCATCTTTTGTCTACTTGGGTAATTACAGATTTTTTTCTTATCTTATGACTGAGTTTTGGGCTATATGGGGTTTGTTTTTCTTGACTGGTATGCACTTAGAGTTTGCTTTTTCTTGCTAAGTTCCATTACAACTTTTGGTCCTTTCCCTTTGGCACTAGTGCTTATATATTGATTACAATGTCAATTTTTTGCATACAGTGTCTTGTAATACATTTAGGTCATACCCATTTACACACTTGGACTTACCCAGTGCTACATAATCTAAATAGCTCTTAACACAATTACAGACAATACCTCAAACCTCTTAACATTTCTAATTTTGTCTAAAACATTGGTGAGGAGTATCAAAAGGTTTACTTTACTACAAAATAAAGTACAATGTATCATAATTCCTTAAACTTATCACCTCCAGAAATCCTGATTTTTAAGTGCTTATACCAGTTTTTAGTTCTTACCCTGATTTAAATGAACAGAATTGTAGAAAGAAACTCCTGATTTTTGAATAATACCCTCAGTGTAAGAAACTCCCAATTCCTTTTTAAGAAATACTTGAGATTGCATACTTCATTTTTGTACATAGTTTTTCTTTGTAAATAATGTCTTGATGTAATTATTTTTGATATTTATGGTATGTATGTTTATATACTGCACAAAACGCATTTAAAAACTCAAAAACACTGATATGTTGGAGAGATTGACATGAAATAGAGTCAATAAAAGATATAAATCGGATATATTATAGATTTCTTAATGGCATGTTTCCTCGTAACTATGAGAAAACCAGTACTTACCAATCCTGTATATGAAGCAAACAGTAGTATAGTTGTGATCCATTTTAGAGGTTGTCTTTCATTTATTTTTTTTTGCATTTGGTTTTTCTTCATTTTCACACCTGTTGAAATGAGTTGTGGTTCCACTGATGCAATAGGTAAAGCAGACACATATACAGCAAAACCTGTATATATTTATATATGAACACCACTCTTATCTGAACAACTCAAGCAACAGAGATATGTAGAATGAATAGCATAACACAAAAACAACAAGCAATTACATTTTTTTATTTCCTCTTTTCAAGAAATTCCAGATTTGCCAGCAGAATTGTTGATAATTAGTTGTAAATTAGTTGGTAATAAGTTGGTAATTAGTTTTATTTTTCAATTGGGATGATTTCAACTTTTCATTCAATGCACTTGATATTTTCAAATTTTGATGGGGAAAGTATCGATTGCGCATCAATTGATAAAATTCAGGTATTATTTGATTTTCCTAAATTCTATGAACAGGATCCGTGGCATGACTCAGTTTGAAGCATTTACATTTTTTTACTTCCTCTTTTCTAGAAATGCCACATATAATTTCCATTTTTCATTCAGTTTAGCTGACATTTTCAAATTCTAATGTAGATATAGAGAAGCCGTCAATTAGTCATTCCTTTTGTCCGTACATTTGGATTCTGTCCAAAATTTGGGAAAAACATTGAAACTCAGTCATCGTTTTCTCATATCACTAGAAAGTGTTGATGAATTCATTTGTATCAAACAATGGTGCTATTTTCAAATTGTTGATATGTCATACAATTGAACTATAAATATTTGTTGTTTTATGTGTTCCCATTCATAAAACATATTGATCTCAAAAGTTACCTGTCTTCCTTTATGGAATAACTTTCAAATGTTAATTATGGTGTATCATATTGCTTATTTGGTAAGTATATGCAAAAATCAGGAAACGTGACTCTTAGTCAAAAAGTTATTTATTTACTATGTGTCTTTATTTACTGTATGTATCACAGACCATTCACGTGTACAGTGACCATTTGTGCCAGCAACCTTGACTTGTGCAGTATTTGTAATTGGCTGAATAGTCATAATAAAGACATGCAGTAAAATCTGTTTAATGCCAACACTACTGGCATCAGCTATATTGTAAGTATTCATATCAGAGGTTTGTGACCTTTATACAAGATATGACACAGAATCTGTAGTTGAGATACCACAACATGGTGCCATAGGAAGCACGATCAAGAACCCCCTGGTCCTTTGTATTGTTGAGTCCCAAATCCCCCTCTTTATGTGCTAATTTTGCAATTGTAATGAATTATTTTCATGGAAATTGATTGAATCTGAAATTCAAATATACCGGAGCAATCCATATGTTATCTGATTGGTCGTCAACTTTGTTTATCATTATGGTCATGTGAACAAGGGAACTCCATATATGGCAGATCTGGAAATTCAAAAAAATAGCTCTAAATATGATTGGCTGCCTTGTTCAAGCAACAAGCCGACAGTCCACCAGTATGCATGTCACTTTACGGGCATTTTTCAAAATGGCCACCATTTTCTGGTATGCTTTTTACATTTTTTTACTATAACTCAAAAAGAAGTAGAGCGATTTTGTTCATATTTTATATGTGAATACTAAAAGCATGGCACACTGTCTAAAGACACTTTGGATAGTAGGCGGCCATTTTAAAAAATGGCCTTCACTTTTACATTTTTTACTATTACTCGAAAAGTATTGGAGCGTTTTTGTTCATATTTTATATGTGAATACTTTAAGCGTATATTGTCTAATAAAATGTTGGTGAGTAGTCAGCTATTTTGAAAAATGGCCATTTTTATGTGTGTTATTTTACATTTTTTATTATAACTCAAAAAGTAATAGATCGATTTTGTTCATGTTTGATATGTGAATATTCGTAAGGATTGCATACTCTCTTATGACATTTTGGTAGTAGGCTGCCAGTTTAAAAATGGCCACCATTTACATGTATGTGTGTGCGATTTTTAAAAATTTTATATGTGGCTACTTAAAAGCATATTACTTCTTCTGATGACAACTTGGCTAGTGAGCATTGAAAATGGTGGCCTTTCTTATATGTGTTATTTTATGATATCTGCTATATATTTTGTTTGTAAAAATACCAGCCATTTCTGTTCGATGGGATTCGCTATGCTTTGGCATTGCCATTGTTCTGGTTCACATTGTTTAGAAAATTTTATTTGTAGAAATTCTTTTAGATTATCCATGTCCAGTTCTGTATTCTTGGCTGTGGTCTGATGTTCCAATTCCTTTAGAAAATCATTCATATTTATTTTCTGGAATCTTTGATAACTATACTCTTTCCCTTTTTTAAATCATCAAACAGAGCAATTGTACAGTAATTGTACAGCAATTTACAGTAATTATTCGAATGGTACACAAATGCACCACAATGCAAACAGTGATTTGGACAACAGCGCGCAGATATAATAAGGCCTGCTCAGCCAGAATGTTAAAGCTATATCCTGTCCTCTGATGAAAAAATATAACTCTTATGTTATACCTCAAAAACTTCAAAGTATGGGATGGAGTTATCTCATCTGTTTGTTACTTTGTCTGGGTGACAACTCAAATACCTGCTGACAGATTGGGTCCATATTTTAGAGGCTGGTGCCTAATGGGGATAGGAATATGGCCACCATTGTTTGAGAAAAATATAATCTTCAAATACTAGTGAACATATTTAGTTCAATTTTCATATGCTGATGCCTTTGGGGCAATTGAGGTCTATTAGGAAATAAATTTTCTAAGATGGCCACTGAATTCAAAATGGCCGCCATTTTGTAACTATATTATTAAACAAATGTTTTATTAATTTCTCCAACATTTTAATATTTTTACTATAAAATACTATATTTTATATTTATATTTCATGTACATACATTTTCTTTCATTTATATGTAATCATGCTGCTAATATCATGTTCCTTAGCCTGTCAAGTTGTTGAGCATTGGAAAACCATGTTTCTTGAATGTTTCTTTTTTTATTTCACATCATTGGTTTCATTTCAACCTCTGTTGCTATCTCAGTCTGCTTATGTCTCTTTTTGTAAAGTCTTACAGACACATAGGTGAAACAAGACAAGGATGTCATCAATGTCGTTAATGTTACAATAACATAAGGGAAACACATGGCTTGGACTTTGTCAATAAGATATCCAGCCAATAAAGGTACTGAGATGGCCCCTAAACAGTGTGATGAAATTTGAATACTTGGTATGAGCCCTGTAGTCATAGGCATAACGTTTTCTCGGTACCATAGCATTGCAGCTACAAGTAACGTAGCTTGCCCTATGCCTATTACTAACATGGTAATCCATACTACAATAAAATGATATTGGACAAAAATGACAAAAATAATACTTGAGATAAATATCATGGAAATGTTTATAAGAATAAGCTGTGTAACTTGTATGAATTGAGTTGCAAATATTGGGATAGTTACAAGACGTGATATTGCAAATGTTATCCAGAAAGCTGATACTATCAAAGTACCTTGCTGTTTAGTCCAATCAAGACCTTGTACAACAAATGGTATAAGAAGTCCTCCTAGTAATGCTTGCAAACTACCATATGCAAAGAATATCATTCCTAATAAAATGAGAAACTTAATTTTATAATATCGAGGTAATGTATCTTGTGATTCATCGGTATAATTTTCTTCATCTTGCTCTCGTACTTCGTTTGCAGGTTGATAACCTCTTTGCTTGTTAAATCTCACTAGTATGCAAAAACATACTCCCAATATTCCAACATAAAGTCCTATGATCAAATATGCAAATACAATCCTTGATTTTGTCATTGTAGTCACCATTGTTGTAACATTGTCATTTACAGTATGATTCGATTCACTCACTGTTGGAACACTGGTGTCGAGTATTGTATAATTTCTAAGAGTTTCTGTTGGATCTGCAAATACATCTGCACCATTGTTATCAGCACTTTGTATTTGTTTTGATATGAATGGCATTGCAATTCCCGGAGCAATAAAAGCCCCAACAGTGAAAGAGAAATGGAGGCCTTGGAGGTACGGTCCGGACTGTTGCCCCCACGTCAGTATCACTAACACATTATGAACTGGAAACACATAAATGCTGTTGTTAATACATGTATAGGTTCTACTATGTAATTGTTGGCTATATACAGGGTGGGCCAAATAATTTAATTTTAATTTTTGATACAAAATCATAATTTGCATACCAAATGAAACTTGAAGTTGTTATCTAGCCATGGATCATGAATTATACACTTTAACTTGAATAAAATATGTCACCAGCGTCGAACTTAAACATGTGGTGTGCCATGAGAAATAAGCATAATTTGCAAAATGTTCCTGAACTGATACGGCCTGATGACAACCAAGTTAATAGGTCTGATGCAAACCCCAGTGAGTATAGGGTATGGGAATGTCTGCAGGAGATTGTATCAAGGCACCCAATCTAAAAAATTGCTCAACTAGAGCTGGCAATTAGGACAGGTTGAAAAAAACTTAGCTAACATTTCATTGATACTGCTATATCAGCAAGGCGACTAAAACTAAAATCGATCATCAAATAGGGTGGCGGACCAATTGAACTCCTCTTTTAGATCAAATATAATCCACGTTGAAGGACTTGTTACATTATATTATTGCTAAGAACCCCTGGCACTATATAACTGCAAAATTTGGGGTATGTAGGTTGGAAAATAAAAAAGTTGTAGTGTCTTGAAAAAAAGTGGCGTTTTTTTGGCCCACCCTGTATAGTCAGAACTTGACTGTTTAAATGATATCATGACTATAAATTGAATAAATCTGAATATAGGAGTCTATTGTTATGTCACCACCAAAAGTGGTGACATATTGTTATGGTCTCCGTTTTTTTGCGACGGCGGTTGGTGTCCGGCGGTTGGCGGTTGGCGTCCGGCGGTTGGCGTCCGGCGTCTGAAACAATTTCTTACAACTTCCTATAACTTAACAAATACTGTTTAGACTTACTTCAATTTTTTTCTAAATCATCTACATGTTCTCAGAAGTTCAAATCTGACTTTAGATTTGACATTTGACCTTCAATGACCTTCTCAAGGTCAAAAAGGTCTTTTTTCAACTTGCTTCACATTGACTAAATTTTTTTTCAAAATCATCTACATGTTCTCAGGAATTCAAATCTGACTTTAGATTTGACATTTGACCTTCAAATCTGACTTGAGATTTGACATTTGACCTTCAATGACCTTCTCAAGGTCAAAAAAGGTCAAAAAGGTCTGTTTTCAACTTGCTTCAAATTGACTAAATTTTTTTTCAAAATCATCTACGTGTTCTCAGAAATTCAAATCTGACTTAAGATTTGACTTACGATTTGACATTTGACCTTCAATGACCTTCTCAAGGTCAAAAAAGGTCAAAAAGGTCTGTTTTCAACTTGCTTCAAATTGACTAAAATTTTTTTTCAAAATCATCTACGTGTTCTCAGAAATTCAAATCTGACTTTAGATTTGACTTTAGATTTGACATTTGACCTTCAATGACCTTCTCAAAGTCAAAATAGGTCAAAAAGGTCTTTTTTCAACTTGCTTCAAATTGACTTAATTTTTTTTTCAAAATCATCTACATGTTCTCAGAAATTCAAATCTGACTTTAGATTTGACATTTGACCTTCAATGACCTTCTCAAGGTCAAAAAAGGTCAAAAAGGTCTGTTTTCAACTTGCTTCAAATTGACTAAAAAATTTTTTCAAAATCATCTACGTGTTCTCAGAAATTCAAATCTGACTTAAGATTTGACTTAAAATTTGACATTTGACCTTCAATGACCTTCTCAAGGTCAAAAAAAGTCAAAAAGGTCTGTTTACAACTTGCTTCAAATTGACTAAAAAAAATTTTCAAAATCATCTACGTGTTCTCAGAAATTCAAATCTGACTTTAGATTTGACTTAAGATTTGACATTTGACCTTCAATGACCTTCTCAAAGTCAAAAAAGGTCAAAAAGGTCTTTTTTCAACTTGCTTCAAATTGACTAAATTTCTTTTTCAAAATCATCTACATGTTCTCAGAAATTCAAATCTGACTTTAGATTTGACATTTGACCTTCAATGACCTTCTCAATGTCAAAAAAGGTCAAAAAGGTATTTTTTCATCTTGCTTCAAATTGACTAAATTTTTTTTCAAAATCATCTACATGTTCTCAGAAGTTCAAATATGACTTTAGATTTGACTTTAGATTTGACATTTGACCTTCAATGACCTTCTCAATGTCAAAAAAGGTCAAAAAGGTCTTTTTTCAACTTGCTTCAAATTGACTAATTTGTTTTTTTCAAAATCATCTATATGTTCTCAGAAATTCAAATCTGACTTTAGATTTGACATTTGACCTTTAATGACCTTCTCAGGGTCAAAAAGGTCTGTTTTCAACTTGCTTCAAATTGACTAAAAAAAATTTTCAAAATCATCTACGTGTTCTCAGAAATTCAAATCTGACTTTAGATTTGACTTAAGATTTGACATTTGACCTTCAATGACCTTCAATGACCTTCTCAAAGTCAAAAAAGGTCAAAAAGGTCTTTTTTCAACTTGCTTCAAATTGACTAAATTTTTTTTTCAAAATCATCTACATGTTCTCAGAAATTCAAATCTGACTTTAGATTTGACATTTGACCTTTAATGACCTTCTCAAGGTCAAAAAAGGTCAAAAAGGTCTGTTTTCAACTTGCTTCAAATTGACCACATTTTTTTTTCAAAATCATCTACATCTTTTCAGAAGTTCAAATTTGACTTTACAAGTTCTCAGAAATTCAAATCTGACTTAAGTTGAACTCATAATATTGTGAGCAACTAGGTGGTGACATTTTGTCATGTTAATGCCTTGTTTTGATAGTATAGAATACTAAGTATATATATAGGCTAAAAAACTTCACACTCATATTTGTCATATTCCATCAAATTTTGCCTCAGATTCATTGTTAGAGAGCTAAGCTCTCTAGATAAAAGTTGTTTTTTTTGGAATACATATACGCAAACTTGAAGTTGTACAAGTCAAGTATAGCACTCGGGGATCGCTAAAAACGAAGATAGGGTGCTTTCATCCTTCAAATCACAACAAAATATTTGGTAAGTATGTAGTTCATGAGTTCCGGTTTCAAAACAACTTAGAAATTAATTCTGCCATTGCTGGGATATTCACAAATCAATTTTTCTAATGAAATGTACTTTCCTGATTTCTTTTAGAAACCTTCCTCCCCAGTGGTATTTACGTCATTTAAAAATTAAAGTTGCAGTATAAGTTTGGCTGAAAACTTATATTGAAAGCTCTCTCTTATTATGATAACAACCATAAACATTAACTGGTAACTGAGCAGCATTGAGCGGTCAGTAGTTAAAAATATATTATGAAATATATATAATATATATATATGTATTATATGACCAATCAGAATATTTCACTTGAGGATCTAACAATACTAATAATTATGCAAGTAATGTAAAGTCTCGAAGGCATTTGTATATGACACTTTTCTGGAAATTTGATATACTTTACCTCTAACTTTTGATGGATAAATATAACGACACAAACCTGTATCTGCTGAACCAGTTGATATTCCAGAAAGTCCAATCAGCAACATCACCAGGGCAACATGCTGTAACCATGGTGTCACAATAAATAACACAGAGCTTACAATCAGGTATATCCCAAGAAGAAGTGTTTTATTTAATGTTTTGATATTTGTAAGATACCCTGCTGACATACTCCCCAATGCTACCCCAGCAAAACGTGTTGTGAATGTGAATGACATAGTCGCTGTATCTACGTCTAGCTGGTCTCTAAGGTCTAGAAATGTCACAGCGATTAGTCCATCAGCCATACCCTGTAATTTAACAAAATATCATTTTTACAGATTTATATTCATGATTCTGGATAGCATTTGTTAACATCATAGCTATACCTTGAACCTGGGCATTTGTGGTCAGTTATAGTACATTTGTCTTGTAATTGAGAGTCTCTAATACTTATTTGTGTCAACAGTATGATATTAGGGAGGTTAAGATATAGAGGTTCTTGTAGGAGTACCTGTGCAAGATCGTTTATTCTTGATGAGCTTTGATAATTCTTCTTTATTGTGTCGCAGACGAGATAAAAAAAACATTATTAAAGCGAGTCAAGATGAATGGACGATATTGCACAGGTATGAGCACAAGAAAGTTTTTCTCATATGACTCTAAATTATGCCATGTTTTCACATTTTTATGATAAAAATGAGTGAAAATAGCTTCAAATTAATGGAACTTCATCTTTCAATTGTTATGACGTCATAACAGTGTTGTAGATAACACATGGTTACGCGTGGCAACAAAGTCCGATTGTTATGACGTCACAACTTATTTTGTAGAATGAGCATGGATACTCATAGTAACAGTGTATCTGTTGTCATGTTGATGATGTTTTTAAACCTGTGATGTCATGAGTAAATCTCATCTTGCACGTGTGACTTTTTTGGATGAATATGGCAATATCTTGCATGGGGTAAAGATGGCTGTATCTATGAGAAAAAAGGTTTTTGTTTCCCCAGGGGTTGAAATATTACACGCTCACCTTCTCTTAAAAACTTGTAACCTATATTTAACCTCCCCATTGATTAGGTTCTGTGACTTCTGTCCCAGATTCAGTCTGAATATAGAAAGTCGTAATCAGAAAAATTGCTGAAAATGATAGCTGACCATGCACAAATGCTTGATCCATTACTAAGGGGGTTTAATTTTATGACATTTTAACTAGCCTGGTATTTCAGTTTATGGTTTTACTCCTATCGTTCAGTTTATACAATTTTAATGATATCTGTATGTTTCACGATATTTAACTCTAATGTTTCCTTATACATTTGTTAGTTTGTTCTTTAATTTGTTCTTTCCCAAGAGGTGACCTTGGGTTTCCTCATTTGTGGTGACATAAGAAACATATTGTGGTGATTCAGATCGAGCAAAAGCTAGGCAAAATATGCATGTATCTTATTTAATGTATAGACACTGCATACTAGATAATAGATGCCAGGTCAAAACAGTTATTCTGGTACTAAGAAAGTACTCGTACATGTATATCATTCATTTACCCTTGCAAATGGTAACAGGTACATATAGGTTTTTCTGTGAGCTTATATCGTTCCCATTATTCATTTGCACAGTCAGATTATGAGATTAACCTATATCTAGTACTGTAGTATTAATGTTTGCTTTTTACTCTATATACATGTACAAATGAATAAACACAAGGAGCACACCCATCGAACTCGCAACCTCGTGGTTACAGCGCCCAATCGCCTAGCCTGAATGTGCTGGTGCCCAAAAAAAGGTTGTTTTGTTAGTCGATCTGACTAGGGGCAGCTGATGTTAATGCTTGAACACACCCTTTGGCATTTGCGCTTACATATTCTTAAACATACACATGTTACTAAACTGTCCTTCAAGGTATCATGAACTTACCAATCCTGCATAGGACAAATAGAGCAACACTGTTGTTAGCAATTTCAGAATTTTGCTTTCCTCTGTTGCTGTATTTTCTTCCTTTTGGCCACTCTCATTGTGGTTTCCTTTCATTGTTCTGTCTGATTCCATGATGTCTTCAGATTCACACACGTCAGCTGGTTTCTTTGATCATCTAATAATCAGGTTGATGAAATAAATAAAAATAATGAATTTTATCAATCCTCTATTTTCAAGAAATTATCTCTTATTGCAGTGTGCCTGTGCCTGGTTTGCATACTTCATAAACGTGAGATGGAAGGAGAAACAATTTTAAATGTTAGGTTTCTAAGAAATGAGCATATTTTTCTGCATAATGTACTTACCTAGCAAAGAATAGTAGAATCAGCACATGTAGATGTTAGCACTTGGTGAAAGTACACTTATCTTATAATGGTGCTGCTACAGTATATCTGTAATGCAAACATCTCTTGTATTACATCTGAACATGTTAGCTAGCTGACCCGAAAGTACATCTGATTGCTATGCCATAGGGAGTTCAAGAACTTTATGAAACAATATGCAGTATTGATTTCCTTCAATAATCACGGGGGATAAGCAAAACGAGGGCGAAGCCACGGACTGCGACTCGCGTAATTCAAAACGAGGTTACAACGCATTATAGCTGAACAATGGCGGTAAGTCCAAACTTAATTTGGAAGGCATGTTAGGATTTGGGGTAGATTATTGGTTTGGATATTCTACAGAATAGCTAGTATGTTCCAGTCGGTGATCAACATATTCATACTCCATCTGCAATGGCATTCTTGGTGCTCGGCTGTCCAATAGTTTAGCATGAACACAAATGAATTCGAAATCTGCCACAAAAATGTAATTTTGTCAATATTTGTCCCTAATATACCGATTTAAACAAAGGAATCAGAAATGACATCGAATTAATATAATTATTCATGTTCTGTTGTTACAATTACATCTTCGTGTGATATTTGGTAAGCGGAAACGTACAATTACATAGAAAATTGGAATTTATAATAGTCGCAGTCCATCCATCTGCCCAACGCAGTCCGCGACTCAGTGTTGCTTTATATCTGAAGCTGAACGCAATCACAGCCAAAGGTAGATAGCACAATGTGTGTACAGGTGTGGCCGAAATGGAGCAACTTTGGACAAAATTGAATATAAAGGGCTATTTTAATAGACCTACATCGTGTCTCAATCCATTCTGCAAATATATACAAGCTATCAAATACAGCTGAAATCATGAATTTATGGTAGCTAGCAATATTGATGGACTGTTGGAAAGATCATCCAAAATTACATTAACTCACCAACTCTCCAATTATTTGTACCCTTCCCCAAGAGCTTTTATTGCATCATCAAAAAGTTAATTGTTTCGCATTTCTACTTCTTATAAAAAGTCTAAAAAGTCTCACCACTATCCAATTATCTATATATTTAACCCTATCCACAAATTGGTTTGTAATAAACATATTACGTTGTCATCTTGCGCTCGACTGTTCTGCCAAATACGCTATTGAATTGCCATATTTCTAGGTCTTAAACGATACAATATAGCAATTTGGGACATTGATTCAGGTAATAGATATATGTTAATCAACGTAACTTTGAATGATAATCTGGATGCTGACTTTCTTTTCCTGAAACAATAATAGCGTAGGAATATAGTTTACACTATCTTATTTATTTCGTGTTCGCGGCTGGACTGCGTTACTTAGAATATCAATGGAGGCTGTGTTGCGTTGTTGAAATAGCTTTATTTACTGGACTGCGTCCACTATGAATGCGCAGTTTGAATCTAATTTTCTCCTCATGAACACATTCTATTATCAAATCATTTTCACGAATTATACTCGGAGCCTCAACTAACCTTTAGATATCAGAAACGCGTTAAAACTCCTTTCAAATGTATAGTGAATTAAATAATATGCACATACTTTACAGGTAAAATCAGAACTTTGCTACTGTTTTAGCTTGATCTGGACAACTGCTTATTTTCTTATCTATAGACCAACAGTAGATACAGAGTAATATTTTGGTCACCGATTAGACACTACGATAGCATTTAGAATACCTGGATTTCTCTATTTTGTCGAAAGAAGCAGAAGGTACTGCCGGATGTCCCTCCATTTTGGCGCTGGGCTGCGGTGTAAAGTTACGCGAGTCGCAGTCCGTGGCTTCGCCCTCGTTTTGCTTATCCCCCGTGATAATGAAATTGAACATTATAACAGAATACTTATACTATATATTGAGTGTATCCTACAATTGATTGTATGGTATAAACAACAAATAGGAATACATACCAAGTCATTTTCGGTTAATAAATGGTCTGTCCCTCAGAAGGAGCATCTTACTTTTAATCATGGAGAACATTTGCAGTATACTTGCATACTTGACATATGTATATCTTGAATTGCTCGTGGTTTTGCTAATCGATGAATGTTGATGTTTTTCTGCAACATTATTTTTGAAAAAGTTAAAATGTGAAACTTCTTAAATTAGAAGAGGCCGTATCCCAAGTGAAAAAAGTCAATGGGAAAATATTGACAATAAATAGGTAATACTCTATTAATTCTTAGCTAACAAATACCTAAAAAATTTATCATGCAAATTAGAGAGAATTACGTTAATAAATAGGTGTTAATAATAAGGTATTGTTAACATTCAACGCTCATGTAGAATATTGACTGATTATCAAATGAAAATTACATTGTAACAATAAGGTAAAATTAGAAATCTAATAATCATGTATTGATTATCTTCCAATAATAAGCTATATGTTAACAGAATATTACCTAAATATTGTACATATTTATTGTGGAAATATTCTCTAATTTGCATGATAATTTTTTTAGGTATTCGTTAGCTAAGAATTAACAGAGTATTACCTATTTATTAGCTATTTAAAACCTATTTGTTGCATTACTCTTACCCAAGATGCATTATGGTCTACAAAATTTATTTTCTGCTATAAGAACCAAAAACATTAAATAATATGTAAAATTAGGTGGGTAGGGACACACAAATTCGAAGTAAATGTGTGACGTATATGTAATTCGCGTGAATATTCAAATCTGGCCATGCAAAGCGTATAAATTAATTAATGGCAAAGTCCAAAGTTTTTTCAAAATTTTCTTGCAAAAACTATACAGATTTTGTCAAAAATCTCCCACAAAAGTACCACTTTTTGCAGAATTTACCGCAAAAACTATTGCTTTTATTAGAAAAAAACTGGAGAAAAGTACCATCTTATTTCAAATGTACCGTAAAAACTCCAGTTGTTTCAAAATTTACCTCAAAAACTCCCAATTTTTAAAAAATATACGGCGAAAACTACCAATTTTTTTAAAAACTACCAGATTTTGGAAAAATCTCCCATAAAAGTACCTCAATTTTTGGAAATCTCACGCAAATTGTTCATTTTAGGTTGGCCCTGGGAATGTAAGATGATATAAGCAATTATTATGGGACATCACTGGTAATTTTATCCATTCAGAATTGTCCTGAAGGCCAGAAGGCTCACAGTTATTGAAGGACCCTCTAGGCCTCCAGCAGTATTTATCTTCATAATCTTTATAAAATACCTTATATTTTTACTGCATGGTACAATTGGTCATACACAACACATTTATGCTTGACCACTTTGACTGTATGAATAGAATTAAAATTTAGCCTTTATAAATTCACAAAGAAAAGAAGATTTGCCCATCTAAACTGGAATAAAACAGCAATACTTACATTTTACCTCTCACAAAGTAGACATGCAGAATGTTCAAGTATGTCAGTAACTTCTGAATCTATATTTGATTGGTAATTTTCATACTATTGTTATAAAATCATAAAATTACCCAAATCTCTTACAGTTGAACATTCTTTGTCAGCCATTTTTCTTTTGGTTTAAAAAGAGCGGGAAAGTTAATATTTTGCTAATACTCACTGCCACATTTCTTATAAGTCCAATTTTAACAATTAGCTAATTTTTATCACCAGGGTAGCAAGGATGACAAAAAGTTACCCAATTATTCAAAGAGCATTATAACATAGTTATTAGAATAATAAATAGGTGTAATAAATAGCTATTTATTGGCATTCAACTTTCATTGATTTAATGCTCATTTTAACAAATAGGTTAACTTTTATTAAAATGCATAATTATTAGACCAAAGTTAACCAATTATTACATGAGAATTGCCATTTCTTTTTACGTCAACAATGAGCCCTTCTTGGCTCTATCACTTATGGTAATAATTAATACTCAAGGTACAATCTAGAATATCCTCTTGACTTCCACTACATTAAGTTCATTATATTCATTTCACTGCTCCAGAATCAGCACCCTTTAAATCGAGAAGCCCTCATACAAAATGGGACTATTAATTTAACTGCGATTTCTACCCAATCACTTGAGATATACAGCAATTTAATCCATGAGATTCAAACAGATCTGTTTTACTTTGTATGAATACTAGCATCTACCATTCTGATACTCATAGCATCTTTCTGTTTCACCAGGGCTGAGAAGAAATGAGATGTCATGGTATATCATGATGAGCATCTACAAGTATTTTGATGTTATGAGTATTGGTTATCATTTGAATTATTCTACATGTATTGTAGAATGAAATGTCCTTTGGTGTTGCGGTCTTAGGTTTTGAAAATGAAACTAGAGTTCACATTGATGGATATACAATTCTCAAAATCGTTGTTCCCTCTTCAAAAGAGGAGATGGGAAAATCTTTCCTTATAAGGTCAAAATATTTCCCATGATGCAGTTCGTATAGAGACAAATTTATACTTCCTTGTTTTCCCTCATAGGTTTAACATGGGGATTTTCGCACCTATTTTTCAAGCGATATTTCGTTCACATTCCCGTACGAGAGTACAGAAAAAATTATTAGAAACGATTGATCTCTTATTAATCTGTACAGCTATTTTTTTTATTGTATTGATTCATAGCGTGGTGAAAACGATGATTGAAAAGTGAGAATATATTCCGGAAGAGAAGGTCACATGATCAGTTGACTAGTTGCCATATTGGAAAAAACAATTCCATTTGACTTTCAATACTTTCATGCCGTTCTTACCGTACTACAAACTGCAACAGCGATGCAAACAACTGAATAAAAGTATTCGTCTTCAAATTACATTACAGAGTTACGTTGTAAACCCACTAAGAACTGAGCAGTAGACCAAAGAAGAACAAATTCTGGGAAATCAGTGACGTCACTGGAATTCGACGGCATTTTCAACTTCAGATTTCTTTGGATTTGGGGATTAAGGTTCAAAAGGCCTTGTTATATATCTTTATTACATACATACCTATCATTTGTGCAAATGCAACTCTACATAAATGTTTAATAGAGTCACAGTGCGGCATTGAAAATAGCACCCCTGTGTAATCCAATGGGAAAGAACCTGGATGTAGACGAAGTTGTACCATACATTAGAGCTCTTCAAGCAGGAGGTAACTAAACTGAACTAAACTAAACATTATCGCGTATTGGAGTATTTGAAGCATGGGAATGAAGTACTTTCATTTTTGCACAATATAAAGATCATATGATAATGATTCCAGTCTGATCATGTACTCAGGCTCCGCCTTCATGCATCACGTGTACGAGTTAGTACATGCACTCATGCGTAGTGCTGAACCAACTATCATTTTTGAATTTGAATTTTTGATATTTATTAAAAACTCATGTGTGGTATTCAGTCGGGTGAAGCTTAACAGCTCTGCAAGGTAAACCAAGGGACCATGAAAATCCTTTGTGGAGTTGATCATAGTAAAGGTGACTGAACCATAATGTCCACCATTTAAACAAATCAAACTGGTCTATAGTAAAATGAACACGAACACATTGATGTTTGAAAGGAGGTGGATAACTGGCAAATTGACTGGATCTAGGTTAGTGGGTTTGCTGCACCTTGTATTCAGTTGTAGTCATATAGGTGTAAAAACATTTAATAGAAGGAAATTAATAGTTAAATACTTCATTTTTATTATCGCACTTTGAAAAAGTGCTATATTGTCGTCGTCTTGTGCTGTATGGCGGGCGGGCGGGACATAAACCAAATCTTGTCATCAAATTTCCAGGATAACTGCTTACCTGTTCAACTTGAAATTTTTACAGATGCAAGAGCAGACTAGTACCAAGATCTGATTAGGTTAAGGGCATGCTGGGTAAACTATGTGGCGGCCATTTTGAATTTTTCAACAAATCTTGTCATCAAAATTCCAGGAAAACCACTTATCCGTTCAACTTGAAATTTTCACAGATGCAAGAGCAGACTATTGGCAAGATCTGATTAGGTTTTGGGTATGCTGGCTGAATTACTTGGTGGCCATTTTGAATTTTTCAATTTGGCGGCCATTTTGAATTTTTCAACTTGCTCCAAATTGACCAAATTTTTTTTTTAAAAACATCTACAAGTTCTCAGAAGTTCAAATCTGACCTTAGATTTCAGATTTGACCTTTCATTCACCTTCAGTGAACTTGAAAAGGTCAAAAAAGTTGATTTTCTAAATTGATATTTTGGATTTAGATTTAGGTCAGCTTAATAACAAAACACCTACTGAGGTCTGAAAAAGTGAAATTTTCAAGGTCGAAGGTCAAGGTCATTAAACTAGGTCACAAATGATGTTATCCAAGTTTCTCAAAGTTTGAGACTACAAATCAATTCTTGTCATCAAAATTCCAAGAAAACCGCTAACCTGTTCAACTTGAAATTTTTACACATGCAATAGCAGACTAGTGCCAAGATCTGACTAGGTTTAGGGCATGCTGGGTAAACTACGTGGTGGCCATTTTGAATTTTTCAACAACTCTTTTCATCAAAATTCCAGGAAAACCACTTATCCGTTCAACTTGAAATTTTTACAGATGCAAGAGCAGACTATTGCCAAGATCTGATTAGGTTTTGGGTATGCTGGCTGAATTACATGGTGGCCATTTTGAATTTTTCAATTTGGCGGCCATTTTGAATTTTTCAACTTGCTCCAAATTGACCAATTTTTTTTTAAAAAACATCTACAAGTTCTCAGAAGTTCAAATCTGACCTTAGATTTCAGATTTGACCTTTCATTCACCTTCAGTGACCTTGAAAAGGTCAAAAAGTTGATTTCCTAAATTGATATTTTGGATTTTAGATGCAAGAGCAGACTAGTGCCAAGGTCTGATTAGGTTTTGGCCATGCTGGGTAAATTGCATGGTGGCCAGTTTGCTCTTCAAAGTGCGATATTTATCACTGTGTGTCTTGTTATTACTGTTTTTATATGAGAGATTAATTTTAGGGATGTTGGGGCTTGGTTTTGGTTATATTTCTCAGTGGTTCTTTATGTAACCAATTCTTTGTACATGTATATATTTTGGTCTTTGCTACGTTTGCACATGTGATATGATTGTTTAATTAGGAAATAATGTTAATATTATTAAAGAATAAAGAATCATTTTCTGAACATTTTAATATTTTCATCATAGAGTTTATGTATCTATATATCATTTTTATATTTCTATATCTAATCATTTCAATAATATCATGTCCCGTAGTGATATGATGGAAAACCATGTTTCTTGATTCTTGTTTTTTATTTCACATCATTGGTTTCATTTCTACCTCTGTTGCTATCTCAGTCTGCTTATGTCTCTTTTTGTAAAGTCTTACAGACACATAGGTGAAACAAGACAAGGATGTCATCAATGTCGTTAATGTTACAATAACATAAGAAAAACACATAGCTTGGACTTTGTCAATAAGATATCCAGTCAATAAAGGTACTAAGATGGCCCCTAAACATTGTGATGAAACCAGAATACTTGGTATAATCCCTGTGGTCACAGGCATAATGTTTTCCTGGTACCATAGCATTGCAGCTACAAATAATGTGGCTTGCCCTATAGATATTCCTAACATTGTTATCCACACTACAATAAAATGGAATTGGACAAAAATTACAAAGATGATGCTTGACAAAAATGTCATTAAAATATTTATGACGATGAGCTTTGTGACAGTTATCACTTTAGTTGCATATATTGGAATATTTATAAGACGTGATATTGAAGCTATTATCCAGTAAGCTGATATTATCATTGTACCTTGTTGTTTTGTCCAATGAAGACCTTGTACAACAAATGGTATTAGAAGACCTCCTATTGTTGATTGTATACTACCATATGCAAAGAATATCAAACCCAGAAAAATGAGAAACTTAATTCTGTAATATCGAGGTAGTGTATCATGTGTTTGATTTATGACACTTTCCTCTTGGTCATATACTTCAGTTGCCGGCATCGAGCCATTTTTCTTCTTGCATCTCACTAGTATACAAAAACATAATCCCATTATTCCAACATACAGACCAAGGATCATATACACAAATTGAATGCTAGATCTTGTCATGGTTGTAATATTTGTTAATCCATTGCTCGTGTTTGTAGAATAATAAGATTCATTCATTGTGAATGTGTGATTGTTGAGCAATATATACTCCTTTTTGATAAACATTTCAGATTGATCTCCTACGATCACTTCTTTGCTATTGTTATGTGCACTGTGTATTTGCCGTGATAAAAATGGTATTGCAAGAACTGGAGTTATAAATGTACCAGCACTATAAGAAAGATGGAGTCCTTGGAGGTACGGTCCCGCCTGTTGCCCCCATGTCAAAATCAGTAACACATTATGCACTGAAAATAAATAATTTGGATTAAATGCAATGTTATGTTTGAACATTTGATAGTAATAGTACAATAACGTCATTTCAAAGGGCAATATAGTGAAATATTGGACCAGGGCTGAAATAGCAAATTTGAAATAGAAAATCTTACGCACTGAACGATATCACTTTTCCCGGGAAACATAGCCGGGCGGATAATGTCATTATTGCCCGACTAAAGTCATTAACGCCCGACACAATATTGCTCACGTCAATATAGAGATTTAAATGCCTTCTCAACTAGTACTATAAAACCCCTAGAACAGGCCCTGCAAGGTGGTAATAATAGTGAATTGCACTGCACTTGACATTTATTAGTGCTGGTACTGCTGGTATGATAAACCATATTGCTAGACAGGGTGGCCCAAAAAAATGTAATCCATGGGTAACAATACCTAAAACTTTGATTCACATTTTGTTAAATAAACATATGTTGACTACTATACTTTTTTAAACTAGCAAGTTTCAAACATAACAGTTAATATTTGATTAAGTAAGAAAATTAAGTTATTTGTATTACTAATATAAGAAAAATCAAGAGGATTCAATTTTTCTTGACATATTTATGTAATTTACAATCCACAGAATAAGGTTGTGTTTTTATGGTCATCTGTAAATTGTTTTTACTGCAGTCTCCAGATGTATTTTGTTCAGTGCTATCATTGCAGAACCTAAGGGAAAGTTCAGATGCCTTATTTGCTCTGAATGAAGTAATTTGATAAGTGAGTATTTTGGAATATATTGTGATGAATTGAAGGAAATTACTCATCATTTTTTGTGTAACTGTTCCTCAAGCTTTTATAAAAATTGCAACACAAACCTGTATCTGCTAGTCCATTTAATATTCCATATAGACCAATCATCATCATCACTAAGGCAACATGCTGTAACCATGGTGTTATAATCATTAAAACAGAGCTCACAATCAAACATACTCCAAGAAGGAGTGACTTATTTATTGTTTTGATATTTGTAAGCCATCCAGCTGAGACACCTCCTAATACCACCCCAGCATATCGTGTTGTGAAAGCGAATGACATAGTTGATATGTCTACCCCTAACTGGTCTCTTAGGTCTAGAAATGTTGCAGGGAGAAGACCTTCTATCATACCCTGAAATTAGAGCACCGTTAAATATTATATTTTTGTATGTAAATCACCTCAAATGTAAGTATAGTGTGCATATTTTTTGATATTTTTTGGAGGTACTCTACTACCGGGCTCTATACCAGTATCTTTCGTATTGTTGTTAGTAATTTTGAATTCATCAATATTATTCAGTCAAATACCGAGTCTCAAGAATTTTTCAAGAAATCTGGTGGCTGGCGCATATCGAAGCAATCAAAGAAACAATCGAGATAATGACACCTTAATCATGAGTATTTGTACAAAATCTTTGCCCCATCATTGTATATCCTCTCAATTTAGCTCAAAATATCACCAGGGACATCGGAACAACACACGATTCCTTTTTATCGATAGGTTTAAACTATTCTCCTTGTGTCTCCTCACAAGACTACTGTATACTTACCAATCCCATAAATGATGCATACAGCAATATTGTAGTTAACCATCTCAGAACTTTTGTTTCATTCACATCAGTTGTTTTTTCTTCGTTTTGGCAAATACCATTCTCATTGTCACTTTTTGTTTTTCCATTTGGTTCCATGGTATCTTCAGCTTCACTGCCAGTTGATTATCTGTTGTAGAATTTTTTCATTATTTTTTTATTTGTTGAAGTACAGTCAGTTATGCATACAGTACAATGTTGTAGTGGCTTGAGTCTGCTGATCAAGTCAAGCAGGTGCAGGACTGTTATAGAATATGAGATATTGATGAGATTTTATTTAGAAAGTGGCAGATTGTGTGAAAAAGGTTTATGGAGCTGTATCTACAGCTCAAGACTATTGATCACAAATTATTAAACTTTATGGTGACATGGAGTTTCATTTGTGGATATATAAATCTATTTATTGAATCTAAATCTAGATAATGCACCAATGATGCAGAATTATTAATGAATCATCCTTGCCTCTTTTTAATTTATTCCTTTTTGATATACTGCATTGATCACAAATCATTTAACTTTCTGTTGAAATATAAAATATATCAAAATCTAAATAATGCACCAATGATGCAGAATCATGAATGAATCATCCTTGCCTCTTTTTAATTTATTCCTTCTTAATATAGTTGAAACTTACTCGTATATAGGCTTTCTTATAGGAATTACCTGAATCTGTATTTAAAGGCTGTACCTACATGTATATCAGCTGATACTTTGACCCTAATTAAACCTGGCAGCCCTTCTCAAAATCAATCTCATTGTCCTTGAGAGCATATCTCAATCCCATGCGTTAAATCCACTTGAAAAAATCAATTGACATAACTTCTGTCACATCACCATCACAAAGTGATATCTGGTCATGAACATCAAAATTAATAACTAGTCCAAAATACCGAGCTGATGGATACCTGCTTCACAGCAATGGCATCACATCTAGCCAGTTTTTCTACAATAAAAGCTGACTACTAGCCAAATAAGCAGTGCTAGTTTTTTTAAATTATCAATTTGTGTGCCCTTGAAAAAGATAAAAATTTCTGGAGGCATACATTGTACTTTTAGTCTTCTTGCAATATTTGCTTGAATCAATCCCTTCCGCACTTCTTGCTTTACCGATAAACAGCAAGATGAAACTAACTGGAGTTAGTGTCATTTAAGATGATGGAAAAATTTGTTTGACATCGATAAGCCTTTTATTCCAGCTAAACTAAGTAAAATCCTTACCATCTGGTTCAAATTGATTGAAGAAATAAACATGTGCAATTTTGTTATTTAGCATGTAGGTCTAGTTTCAATTAACTGCTTGGCCATTTATCACGTCTAAGGAGCCTGTGGAACGAATACCTTTTTGAAAAAATTGCTATACATTACCTGCACATGTTATTTTCTGGTACAGAAGTATGAAGGCATGTTTTTATTTCCTTGCTTTTTCAGGAAAGTATGACGGCATGTGTTTATTTTCTTGCTTTTTTCAGGAAAGTATCGTTACATCGCCTTCTTTCAGTAAATCTCATTAGAGATCAATGGTAACTCCTGGAATGCTGGAAATTTCATGAAATACATTTTCTAAATTTTTTCTCAACATTTCTGGACAACACTGGGGGTACCATTGTCCTCTTACCAGGTTTACTAAAAGAAGACGATGTAATGATACTTTCCTGAAAAAAACAAAGAAAAAACACATGCATTCATACTTTATTTTGTACCAGAAAATAACATGTGCAGGCATAGCAATTGTTTCAAAAATGTTTTCATTCAACAAGCACCTTTATGCATTTTGCTGTCTACTTTCAACATTAAGATTAGTTTTAGAAGTGCTATATGAACTCTGTTTTGAGCAATAAAGTCCAACAAGTAGATGAAGTAAAGTAGAGATTAAGTACAATTGAGTTCAAATTATAAGTTTTGTTATGACAAGAGATTTAATAATGATATTTTATATCATGTAAACTACCTAACTTTTCTTTGAAATTACAAGTGTGTTGAATTCTTCTTTATTTTATATAGTCAATGATGCATATGCAATGCATGTAGGCTAAATTATATATTTTTTATAATAACACATTTATTTCTTATATACATGTACTGAGAGTTTCTTGTGGTGACATTTTTTGATGGTCTCCAACATTTTTTGAATGGTGTTTGGAGGTTGGTAATCAGCATTCGGCACCTGTAGCAAATGGCAGGTGGTTACATGTACATGTTACATATTGCATGTTAATCCCTTGTTAAAATTGTTTCATTTTTATACTTGCAGACATGCCACAAGCCTGCCATTACAGAGGATGTCAACGACCCAAGGTTTGTCTGGTACTGCCACAAGTGTTCCAAGAATATGAAGAAAATTGTAAGTATATAGTGTTAAACTTGTTACACAATGTTGAATAAGATGCCCCCCCCCCAAACCCTGCCCCCCCCCCCCCCCACCAATCAACCATCCCCGGTTGATTAAACACAATTTCCAAAAATGGGACCCATTCTTCAAAGATGGCTCATCTTGTAGAAACTGGACCATATATTGATACACGATGGCTCCAAAATTTTAAAAATTGACCCAAATTTAATTTCGGCCCAGCCATATTTTTCCAAAAACATGCAATGTAAGGTGTCATATTATTACAATAGCAAGTGTATTTTGAAGATTTGTGTCAGCATTGTACCTGGTTTATATATGAAGATTTTGACAGGGTGTCATCAGAGCTTGTAGTTTTTGTATTTATAAACCTAAATCCATCTTAAATGAGAACATACTTACTCTCTTTCATATTAATATAAGCAGTATCTATGTCTGATAAATAAGGCAAAACATCCTTTTAAGTGTAAGCCATTCCACTATCCAGTTTTGAGCTTGGTGCTCCGATTGTTCAACAGTATATTTCACATATTTCAAACACCTCAATTGTCAAAGAAGTTCTTAACATACATGAACCCAGATTTAATCCAGGTTTTGTTGTACAGGTGTTATTTTTTGCTTTTAAATTTTCATTTAGCCATACAATTTCTCCAATAGAACATGAAAACCTGGCTTTTGTATTGATTCGTTTATTGATTCGTTTACATGCATTCTTCATTCTTCTTCAATGAAAGCTTCTTTTGTAGAAATCTGGTCGTTCTATTTTATATAGAAATAAAATTGTATATATGATACAAATATTTACTGAAATAAAGCTGTGAAGTTTTCGCTGTTCATATTTTTTCATATTTCCTTACTTAATATATTTACATGTTTGTTTTTTGTCAACATAGGTGGCTAAACCAACTAAACACAAGTCGAGCCCAACCCCATTTGTGCGTGAGAGCAAGGAGGTAAAACCTAGTAAAACTGAAGCAGCCCCTGGCCCCATGCTTCAGCCATTCAAACGTGTTGAGCCAAAGGTAGGTGAAGATGGTGAAGACGGTAGAGGTTAAAAGGTGGATTGGATCAGGAATCTTCAAAATATGGAATTTCTTTCTTTTGATTTTTTTCTGTTAATTTGCCTCTGGCTATTTCCCTCTATAAATAATTGGGTCCCTTTGAGAAATTAGAACAAAGCAAAGACAAACACATACTCTGATAAGTTGATGAATACTCCTAAGTATTAAACTTGTAAATTAACTTTTGTAAGACATAATAAACAAAGATCTGTAGATAAAAGCTGTCATTCAAGTTGATGTCCGAATGTTCTAAAACAATGTCTGCTACATATGTATGTTCTGATTGGTCTAAAAACGGATGTTATGGATCTTCAGACCAGTCTGTCTATGATTTATGAAATGTCCTTAAAATTATACTTGGAATGAATAAGATTGTGCATCACCCTTCTAGACCACCCAAGCAAAATAATATTACATCTTTTATTTGACATTTTGGAAGTGAAGAGAGGACCAATCTTCTTAGAGGGAGATCAATAGATTTTTTAAGGAAAATCCATATTTTGAAGATTTCCGATCCACCTTTTAATCTTTACCGTGAAGACTACACGTTTTTAATATTAATGCTTAATTATCCCAATGAACGAAGCCCTCAGTCTGTCAGTCTATCCATCTGTCCAAAAATAATTCTAAGTACTGGTGGATAGAACAGGGGATTATATATAATTGACTGTAACAAATACGTGGATTTGTTGGTTTTTAGAAATCGTTTTTTAATATCACTTTTTATCCTACACTTGGTGTACTAAATGTATAATAACATTAAAAAATAAATTTGATATCTATTGGCAAACTGAATAACCAGAGGATATCACCACAATATACGAGGGTATATCATAAAGTTCTCATAATATCTCTCTAATTTTTTTATTTTTAATATATTCTGATGAATTTTTCACAGAATGTGTAGTATAGAATGCTGTATTAATCTATCAAAAAATATTTGGTATAACAGAAATATTATTTAAGAAATGGTTGCCATAGTAACTGGAAATCAAGGCACCTGGGGCAAATAAAAAATCGTGCAGAAATAGCCCCAACTAACCATGTTTAAATGCATAATAAGTTATCAAATAAGCTATGAAACACATTAAATTGTTAAATACCATGTACACGGTGTTCATAAAGTTCTTGCAAAAGTGCTCTAAAATTTTTGTATGTCAGTCAGTCTGGCTGTAATTTTCACTCAGTATACCTACACTATTCATACATTGAGATCCTAAGCTATAATCAATAGGTCCTTGACTCAATATTTCAGAAAGTGTAAACAAAAAAGTAAAAAAGTCATATTTAGCGACATCTTTATGACACATTTATTAATTAAAGTCATTGTATTTCTAAATTTCCAGGGAATGTATATAGCCAGCTTTCCAGAAACACTTTTCTTTCTAAAGTTTTTTTGCTTGTGCAATTTAATTTCTTTTTTTGCTGAAGTTATATTAAATAGATTACCGAAAGCTATTGTTTGGTAAAACAGAGTAACAATTTCTTCATCATTTGTAAGTTGGGGTTTCTTGCACACATTAAAGTGTCATTCGCAAAAGAGAGAAATTGAATGATAACCTGTTAGTAACGGATTTTTTTTTTTACAAAAAAATAGACAAAGAAGGATAAAATTCAATTAACCATAACTTTAAATTAAAAGTTAACTTGAAACAATTTTGAGATAGCATTCTACATTCATATTTGATTGTATTATGGGAAAAATTTTCAGTTGTTTGAAAAAGATTTAAAGAGTAAATCGAAATATTGCAAAACTAAATCAATTTGTTAGTATTATGTTTTTATTATTTACTGGTCATATAAATTGAATTTAATGTTTCTGGTTGTCCACAAATCTTTTTTGGGGAAACCCTGGCTGGGGGTTCGTCTGAACCCCCGGTCCCTACGGATATGACATATGCACTGGCACAAAAACTGTGACCTCTTTTTGATCTCCAGGCATTCAAATAATAATTTTGTCACTTGTATGCTTATCTACACTAAAATGGAAAAATAACAAACACAAATTGGTGAAGTAAATATTCTGGTATTTGGTGTAATCAAAATCAGCACAATAATAAGGATCAACTATTTGTAAAGTTTTTATTTAAGAAAAGACAGCCTTGTCCAAGTAAATGCTAGGAAATATTCTTGTATGTAAAAATGATTGAATCTGGATTTAGGCCTATCTGGCCTTACATTAACATTGATAAGATGATGAATGGCAATTTCTATACAATTCTCTAAATTTGAATGAAGTATTTTTTTGTACACCCTTATGAAGGGTGAAAAGATAATGTAAACTATTTAGTCCATTATCACGATGGGTATCCTTAAAATCACAATGCAAGCTCAGTCGGATTTATGTTTGGCCTTATTTTAGGCAAGAAACTTGTGTATTTTATTGACTAACATCCCAAGTTGGGTCTTCTCTGGTTATATTTATATTAAGTAACAGTTGCATTATAATTTCACTGAAATTTTGCTAAAATGTGAATGGATTATTCGTTGGACACCATTTAAATAAGGTTGCAATGACATGTGGATGTGCCACATTTTATCAGCTTTGAATATTTTGATGTTGGTTCCAATATTAGTGTGATCCATAAAACGCCTTATATTGATTTATTCTTCAAATGAAGGAGACTGATCGTTTAAAAAAGCATGCAACAAAATTTAATGTACTTTTACCCCTACCCCAAACTTGATTAATTATCAACATTGTCCCTAAGTCAGGTTGAATTTGCCTTTATTATGATGTTTGTATACATGGATAGAAGACCTCTCTTTGTATATCAAGGATGCTTCATTGGGCCTCATATTAATGATACTTCAAAATATGGTATTTATAAAGATGTAATTGAGGTCCATACATTTCTTAATTTATTTCTATAAGCAAAGTAACATTATTATGTCACCATTTACCACATTTATTGTTATTGTCTCCAAATTTTTTTGTGGACAGTGTACAGCATTTGGCCTTCGGTGTCTGGTGGTTGGTGTTTGGAGTTAAACAAATGGCAGGTGCTAACATTTTGCTTGTTACATATACATGTATATTTATTGTATCATGCATAAAAAAGCTTCAAATTGACATAACTTAAATGGATTCATTGTGTTTTCCAGAGTTCTTCATCTTCTAAGGAATCTCCTACTGGGTCAAATACAAAACCTGGACTTGGCCTTGCTGGATTTGCAGCCAATCTCAGTGGGAAGTCTAGTGGAAAATCTGAATCTTCCAAGCTTTCCTTATCCGGATCTGGCAAAGGACTTTCGCAGCTTGCTGAAAAATCCAAATTGTCAAAATCTGGAAGCAGCGGAAGTAGTTTATCTAAATCAGGAAATAGTAGTGGCAGTTTGTCAAAATCTGGAAATAGTAGTAGTTTGTCAAAATCTGGTAGTAGCAGCAGTAGTAGTAGTGGCTCAAAATCTGGATCTAGCGGGAGTAGTTCATCAAAATCTGGATATAGCAGTAGTAGTGGCTCAAAATCTGGATCTAGCGGGAGTAGTTCATCAAAATCTGGAAGTAGCAGTAGTGGTTTATCCAAACACAGTAGTAGTAGTAGCTCATCATCAAAATCTAGTAGCTCAAGTTCTAGCTCTTCAAAAACAGGAAGTAGCTCGAGCTTGTCTAAAAGTGGGAGTGGAAGTACAAGTGGAGGTGGAACAACATCATCATTGTCAGCTGATAAACGGCTACAAATTATGAAGAAAAAAGCAGCTTCCAAATATAAATAGTGAACTGAATTTCTGTGATGCAAAGTATTAGCCTTTGTTGAACAGTGAAACTTTCATTTTGACAATTTAAAACTGAAAGTATCGATAATGATACTGCCTCTTCTGTAAATAAATTACTGCATTTAAATGTGTTTTTTAACAGTAACAGCAGTAAAAGCTATCTTGTGGAATACATTTTTAGGTGGAACAGTTTTCCTGTGACACTGACTAAATGTTAAATAAACCTCTGTAGTGGAACACCACCTAAATGGGACACTTTTCATTGGCATTCCACTTTGTACAGGTTTTTATGTCACCACTACAAGTGATGACATATTGTTATTGTCTTCAACTTTTTTGTGGATGGTGTTCGGCAGTTGGCATTCAGCATCTGTAACAAGTGGCAGCCAAATGTTGCCACTGGCAGGTGGTGACATTTTGCGGCATGTTAATGCCTTTTTACTGTAGTTTTGAAATTTATTAGCATTAGTGATTAAGTGAATCATTGGATTAATTTAAAATTGTAGAAAGCGAATAATATATTCAAAGATCAAAGAAGTAGCAGTAGTATTTCCAAAAAGAATTAAGTTCTTCTTGAGGGGATTTTAGGATGTTTTGAGAGTTAAACTCTTATCAAGGTTGCCTCGTTTAGAATAGTTAAAAGGCTTACATCTACTGTATACATGGATTAAATACTTGTAATCTAGTTGTAGACGTGTATATTGGATAATAGACAATTTTTGTGCATCAAACAGATAATATGTATCATCTAAATATAAATTGATAAACCTCTAATAAACATTTTATGATAGAAGATAGCACTGTTTATAGCACTGTTATAAGTAATATTTCAATTCAAAGTTCATGTGACTAGTTGGTATATTGAACAGATCTATATTGCCATGTTGATAAAACCAGAAAAGTTCAAAGGCCATTAATCACCCTTGGAATACGAGTAAAGTCAGTGATGATGCTCAGTTTTCATATTTGCAGCCTATATCTTGACAATTTTAAATCCAAACATAATATGAACACTTCACGTTTTCATTCATAATATTTATTGCATGAATTTTATATTATACATCAACTGTATAAAATAAATAGCTCAAAAATATATAATTTTTTAGTTATGTTTACAAATGTAAAATTAAATAATATTACATTTTATAATCACCGATAATCATAAACAACATTTTATTGAAAAACATTTTTAGCAATAGAGGACTTGCTATATACAGTGAAGATGAATAAAAATAGATGGCAGTTGGGCTTGAATACTTTGATTATATAACTAAATTTTTATTTGATCAAATGGTCAATAGCCTGACCTTTTTACAGAAAACTTCATCTTGGAAATTGAATACAAAAGTTAAAAAATCTCCTAGAATCTCTTGATAATGAGAATTTTATGATATTTCAAAGCTATGTAGCAAATCCTCTATTCAAGGTGAAAAACAACATCATATTGCATGAATTTCTGACAACAGGTGAAATGCATGAAAACAGACAGTCACAATTACTATTAAGGTAGTTGTATTTCATGTATTTCTGGAGGCCCAGAATTACTTTACGATAAAGTGTATATATTTTATTTTATATTTAAACGACCACAGACATGATTATGCTTCATAATCAAACAAAAACGTTGGTGTCGCCGATTTTTAGAAAACCTATTGATCCCCTATCTCAGGGAGCAACCTATACTGACGATACAACTATATTAGGCCTTTTGCCTGCTGCTAATGAAATCCCTGGATTGAATAAATAATTTCATTATTGAGATCAAGACGGATATCCATCAACAATTTCTTAAAAACCTACCATATAAATAATAAATAAAAGATACATACTGTACACATGATACAAACTTTATCATTGATTATACCTGTTTTATTTGAATTAAAATTTTAAATATCTAAATCAAACAAAATCTGTATCTCAATTATTTCTTTTAATTTTGAGTATTAAAATCATGATCTTTTGTACATATGGCCTACAGCCTATATTAGTCATAGTATACCAATTCCCTTAGTTCCCTGAATATCATTCATTTTTTCCGGATTAATAACCTTCCTGGTTATAAGAAACTATTACCAAAATGTACATAAACAGCTCCAAAAAGTCCAGGTACATTCAATATATAAAATATATTTAAATAAATAAATCCATAGACAAACTCAACCAATCAATGTATGACATTTTTATCGCATAATGATTTCAGTCTGCAGAAATCTTTCAATCTCCTGTGAGATTGACACAGGGATATATAGCCTGGATTATTCACCTAGTTTCATACTAGGTATGGGATAAATACTTGTATGATATGTCACATTATAATACACCAAATACTTGAACGATGTCACAAAAGCATCGATCTGTTACAACAATGATATGTACTTCTCCAAAATATGAATATATTATTATATGGCACTTATTATTCATAAAATCTCATTATATAATTTCATAAAACACAACGCACCAATCAGATGAGCATTCAAGTACAAAGAATTACATTCCAGTAAATAACTTCAGCTATGGGACTGAAGTTCAGACTAATAAATTAATTCGAGCATATGCATATATTTAATTCCAACGTTATGTGAGCATCGTAAAGGCATCTTTTAAAAATGTATTTTACATTCTTACATTACATTATATTTTCGGTAGTTCTAAACAGTCTTACTGTTCAAATTAAGATCAGTAATATTATAATTTATAATCAAACATTAAGTTCTTACATTAAAGTGTCTGCAGTGGCATATATTAAATGATATTTTTGGTAACATTTTATAAATGATCTTATAATTAGAATTAAAGAGGGACATGGGGTATAAATAGGAGGCAGACAAATGGAACAGCTAAAATAACTGTATTTTTGATATTTTCACATAGCTGGTAAATTTTCTCATATTTCATATTGATTGAGAAGATGTATTGGTTCCAATTTTATTATGTGTATCTTTCAATGCTTTTAAATTCATATTTTGCAGTTAGATTTCAACTTCATCTTTTTGTTGGATTGTGATAGGACATTTAAAAACACTGATAACATTTTTCAAATTTAAAAGTCCTCAAGATTAGCCAATCAAAATCAAGTAATTAGCAATGCTACTGATTAAACTTACTAATCCTGACTATCTGTGCCATGTTAAAGTGTGGATGTAACCTGATATTTTAATGAGAGTTGCTAGCAACTTTAAAACTGACCTTTAAGACAATAGGCCTGCAATATATTATGTCTTCCAAAGGAGAAGTATCCTCCTGAAGAAGAGGCCTCTTGGCCAGCTAGATAACCTCTTTTAAGCCATATCTATAATGTAATACATAATGTTAAGTTGTTTCATTAAAGTTGACTATTTTAGTAGACCTTGGACTCCAGCCTGCTTTTTGAGACAGCCTTAACAGTTCTTCCCTTATTGAGCTTACAAGAGGTTGGGGGGAGTTACCAACTTTCAAACTCTGAGCAATGTCAATCTCATCTCTTCCTTCTGCTATTGCTCCACCTACATTTTTCCTTTGCTCTGATTGGTTACTTAAAGCACCAATAGGGCTAGTCCTTTGTTTTGATCCTTCTGATTGGTCATCAGATTTAGCAAGCCCATGCTTGGTTGGTTGATTAAAGCTAGATTCAGCAATGTCAGATTTGATTGGTTGGAATCCGTAAGAGTTTTGTTGATGCAAGAGAGGATTTGGCCTCATATGTACTGAGTGGGTCCTAGAATCACTCCCAGTGTCTCTCTCTGGAGGTGATGGCACTCTCAGGTTTGTCATTGGTATTTGCTGGCCTGATGCATATGGACTTATTAACTGACTAGTCATTCGTAGGCTTGTATAATCATCCCCTGATTTAGTCTTAGGGGAATATGTCTGACTTGTCTCTGGTTTATAGGACTGGCCAAGGGTATCAGGGTTATATGATTGGCCGAGTGGACCAGAATTATAAGATTGGCCAAGTGGACCAGAATTATAAGATTGGCCAAGTGGACCAGTGCTGTACGAATTATTCGACTGGCCAAGTGGTCCTGATTGATATGACTGGTTCATTGGTTCTGAGTTACAGGATTGGTTAAAAGCTTGGGGTTTATAAGGTGGTCCAACGGGGGTCCTCTGGTCTGGTGGTATATGATTCTGGGGCTGGTTTGATATAGGAGTGCTTTTCAATGATCCCATAGTGCCTGGGAGATAAGCCTGAAATACAAAATAAAACTTGAACAATAATAAATTTTATTACCCAATATGTAACACTAATCCAGATTGGTCAATACCTAGTCACGTGTCCCGAAATAGATACTATTTCCCTTTGAAAGTTATATTCCCTCAAATGAAAGAAGCGGGAATATACATTTGAACTATTGCCCGCTGACGTCACGATTGCAACTTCTATTACCCTTGGAAATGTCTGCGCATCATCAATGCGCAGACGGAAAACAGAAAAATTGAGGATAAGCACAAACACAAATCAACTCCATTCACCATGACAGACGTGCGTGAACGATACAATATAAGCAACGTGGATAAAGTTCCATAAGCTCAATACGTCTGTTTAATTTCAAGTGTTATGATAATCTATTTCGCGTGTCAAACGCGATTGAATTTGTCTAGTGAGAGTTTCAGAAATTTCGTAGGAAAAGATTTTTGTTAAGCATATTATGACATCACAGCTTATAGTGCTAACAATGGACCTGGGGGGATTCCTAAGCGTTTTTGGCCTTCGCGGTGGAAATGGGACAAGAGTCAGTATAGGGTATATAATAAAACAAATAGGACTGCCTAATTTCGAGCAATAGTGTAAATGATTTCCCCTTGGGAATATCCTCTACAATGTACTATTCCCTCAGCCTGCAGCTTCGAGAATAGTACATTTTAGAGAATATTCCCTCGGGGAAATAATTTACACTATTGCCCTCAATGGCAGTCACTATTTGTATAATATTGTAATGCAAGTTTGATATTGATTCATGATTCCAATGATGCACAATTCAAACTGAGAATGTTTAGAAATTATGTTCCTGTTACAAGAGATTTTGACGAGTAGTGTTTTCAATATAAAAGAAGCAATATGTAAAACTCAATCAGATTACAACTAAAAATAAACTATATACATGTACATTTATATATTTTCCTGTTTATTAGTTACTTTAACCGATGTAACTTATTTTCAATGATTTAGCATAAACTTTGAATATACCATTTCCTTGGTAGGTGAGATGCGTGAGGTCTCATCAGCTGCCGTATATGGACTCCACATTATGTTCCCATATTCATCCTTCTTCTTGGTCATGGGAGTAATGAATAGTGGTGTATGCTTTGGTCCCATATCTGGAATTATAACAGGGAAAGTTTTACTTTTTAAATTAAATTTGACATTTTATATGGAACATTGTTACTGAGATCAATTCCACGTGGAAGAAGTCAATTCGTACCATTTTTCATGAGTTGACTGGGAATGTGGGGTGTCACATTTATTGCAACACACCTTGCATCAATGTCTTATGAGGTTAATTTCTTATATTGAGAAGTTTATCATCTATTGAAATTTAATACTTGTAGCTACAAAAAGCAAATTTGTTCGAGCAGTCCTAGCTCGACATATAATAAAGAAAAAAAAATTTACATCATGGTATAGTAGACTGTTCAATTTGGAATTTCGAAACTTAGCCAAACATCTCTCTAATAAAGATCATCAAAAAAGGGTTTTATCAAAGACTTCCATGCAAATGGAGGTGCGAATTCACATTCACAAATTTAGATCCACAACATGTTATCAAATGGTTAAATGCGCAAAATGTGTAGATATGTTTTCCTTAATAATGTGTGAGGAGGCCTTTAAGCAAATTTTCGAGAACGTAGTGAGAACAAGTTTGGTGTAGAGGGGAGGGGGATATCTCCCGCCTCAGTCTCTCTCTTACAAACGGGTGAAGGTAAAGAGGTGTATACACTGGCAGGTGAAATGCATTAAAACGGTTGAACTGATCTAGGATGAAGAAAAGATTTATTTCTTCATCCTAAAACTGATTGAAACGATTGAAACACAATTTACAGTGTATGTATCTAATTCACCTATTATAATACAACAATTCTAGTTTGTTTTGTTTGTTGCTTCGTTGTAATGGTATTGCAATACAACTCAGATTCAAGTATGATCCATTAAATAATATTTATTCAATTTCCTGGATTATCACTCTGTATAACAGTCTGCACAATTCACAGTTGAGTTTTTGAAAAGACCCAATTTGAAAGCAGTCATCCATCTCTATAAGGCGTCTGCCCGCAAGTCAGCATTAAAGACCACTGCAGTAATAGAGGAGCTAGGTCTTGAGGTCTAAGACCATGCACAATAATCTTCTGATCATGCAATATCTAAGTTTTAATCAGCACGGTAAGACCTTTAAAGATGACAATGACATACAGAGTTCTACTCTGAACTTTCTGTACTGACCAAAGAAGAGTCTACTTTTCAAAGTAGAGGATACATTACATTATCAAATGATGTAAAGCAAATTTAATTCCCTCCAGTTGTTGCATTTCAACTTTGACATGGGATGTACAAAACTTAAAAAGTTTCTGTAACTCTCTTTGTGTAATGTTGCCCCGGGTATTGTGATATCATGTTACCATAGCAACCATAACTCTACCCGAGTTACATAATTTTTGTCGAAACTTTGCAATTTATATCCAATCATGAAGGTACATTATGTCAAATTTTGGTGCATATTTAACAAAATACCAGCACCAGTCCTGTAACTTTTGGAACGCCCTGTATGTCACCATTTCTAGCAATGCCTGGAGGTGGTTAAAAAATAAAAGGAATCTGATATACACATAATCTCAAGTGAATCATCTATTAATACATCACTCCGATTTTAATAATGACAATTCTAGATTTATATTAAAAGTGTTCAATTGAACAGGTGCATTTGGATTTGTGAAATGCAACCTGTGTAAGGGTATGTTATCTTATAAAAGGTAAATGACATTCTATATAAGTGGCCCTTGTCATTCCACAGTTTCAGGTGTTATTTTGTGGACCTCATGTCTTGCCACATGAAGGAAATAAATAATATGTTAAAAAAATGTCTTGCCACATCACATGTGGAAATGACTTTGACAAACCTGCAAAAAGTAAAACCTAGGACATCTTTCTTTCAGTCCATGGACTCTAAAATAACAAGAATTTGCATTGTCGGGAGCGTAAAATTTGTTATTTTGAATGCCACCTCTTGTATTTTTCATCTGCCTCATGGACACAATGTTACTGAATCCATTGATTCCTCTAAAGGTTCTACACATATTAGCAATTGACTATTTATTTAAATTTTACTCCAGTTTTGAGATATTAGAGCTCAAAAACTGAAAAAAGTCAAATTGCGAAATTTTTCTAGACCAAATTTTAACTTGGTTCAATTTTAACAAATCTTTTTTTAAACATCATTTACAAGTTTCGTTGAGTTCTAACATGACCTTAGGCTTGAGATTTGACCTTTTGCTGACCTTCAAATTGTCAAAATGCCTACGGGGCCTCCGAAATATTGCTTGCAATCTTAAAATTCTACTTATGTTGTACAGATACATTTTTCTGGCATTATACCATTATATTATGTGCATGTGGTGTATAGCTGTTGCTGTGCTAATTTTTGTTAAATGAGCTGTACATGTACATGTAATTATATGGTATGATTATGTTACTGCGCTCACTATTTTTAGTTTAAAGTTTAAAGTACATTTATCAAGACATGTTGACTGTTCACGTTACTATTATTATTATTATTATATACTTTGCATTGGGTGTTCATGCGCAACCCTTTTGACTTATTTGTAATGATTATGTTATTTGTTTTCATTTGTCTGTTCCTAATTAATCATTTATTCCTTTAAAGGGGTGAACTGAGTCATAAACGCAACATATTGATGCAAAAAAAATTGAAAAAGCAGGGGTGGAAGGGTATGAAAATCAGGACAACATTTCAGAAAAATCATGTGGGTGGGTTGTTTGCATCTCCCCTGTCTCAAAGTTGAAATTATTTTATCATCTCTATGAGTGCTTTTCCTGGATATAATGCATTGGCCTAACACATGCACCTGTTTAAATCCTCAGAAAATATTCAAAATCTAACATATGACTGTCCGAAATCTGTTGCGATATTTTCCCTCCTCCTTTCTATAACATTTTAACTGCTTATTGAAAAACTAGACAACAGCAACGCCAAAGCGTAGCAAATCCCATCAAAAAGCCACGGCTGGCATTTATACAAAGTATATAGCAAAAATGGCTGCCATTTTTCAAAATGGCCGCCTTCTACCAAAAGTGTCATTAGACAGTGTGCCATGCTTATAGTGTTCACACACCAAATATGAACAAAATTGCTCCACTACTTTTCGTGTTATAGTAAAATACATTAAAATGGCGGACATTTATCAAAATGACCGCCTTCTACCAAAAGTGTCATTAGACAGTGTGCCATGCTTATACACACTACTATACCTTGCATTAGGTGTTCATGAGCAACCCATTTGGCTTATAAGTAATGATTATGTATTTGTTTTTATTTGTCTGTTCCTTATGAATGGTTTATCGGTTGAAAATTAGATGCTAGTAAGGCACTTTCAAAAATATATTAAACAATTCAATTAGACAAACAAAGTATCTTATGCATTTCTAGGTGTTAGGTATAGTAGTGTGTTATAGTACTAAATATGAACAAAATCGCTCCACTACTTTTCAAGTTACAGCAAAAATTGTAAAATAGCATGTAAAGGCTGCCATTTTTCATGGCTGCCATGTGCATCTTTAATACCTACATTTCTAGCTTTATTAATGTCCTATATAATTTTTTTACATTTAAAACATATTGCTATTATAGTTTTACATATTGTACCTAAATTACTGTAAAATCTGCACCAAAATGGCCGCCATTTTTAAATGAGCGGCCATTTTGAAAATCAGCTTTCCAGCAGAGCTTCTACTCCCATAAGGTCTATGTGTACAAAATATGAACAAAATCGTGCCAACGGTATTTGAGTTATTACCCGGATGGACAAACGGACGGAGGCGTTCCCTATATCCCTCCAAACTTCGTTCGATGGGATAATGAATTTTCTTCATCATGAGAAAAGTTCAGCTTTTTTACGATGAAGTAAAAAAGAGTTATATCCTTGTTTCATTTCAGGACACCTGGTATGTTAAATGTTCAGTCTATTAATTTATAGAACTGGGATAATTTTAAATATATGTATTAACTGATTATTGACTCAATAACAAATGATGCAATAATATAAGGGTCATATGCTTCACTTTGATATATTAAACCAAAATGAATACCCCCAAAAAATCTTTTATTACAAGTGATAACAATAGCTCAACCATGTGAGATAATAATAAGCTAAATAAAATGTAAAACATTTCATTAAAAATAAATACCACAACAGTATGTATATCTTTATAATATTCTTACATAAGCTAAATAGACAAAGATACCTAAAAGATGAATACAACTACAGTATATATTTGTAAAAAGTCATATGTTCCAACTACATACCTTCTTTGGGTTGATCAGTTCCCCAGCCAAGTTTGGGGTTGGTTTTAGAGAAGAGCCTGTCTGGTTTCTCCCCATTTGATGTTGATTCCCTGAAAAGTGAAAAAAGCATCAACATTGTCATCAAACTAAAATAAATGCAGTTTGTGGTTTATCATTCAGTTAGTTGCCAAAGGATCAGTTCTTTCTATGTACATTAAATCAGATGTTAGCATTGGTTATTCTCATTAAATAACAACAAAAAATGTGCTTTTCCTGAAAGTGTTTTTTGTTGCACTGATTACCACAGGAATCTCTCAGTGTTTCAAGCCATGTCCGTGGTGGTGCTCATTTCAATTATCAACTATCCACCGTTAATTTTTCACTCAAAGGTGATAGAATCGCAAAACTGTTCCGAGTCTGTTGATGCAATTTTTCCAGCATTAGATATGTTAAATTTTACTATTTCTAATGTTTCTCTGATCTCTGCCAGTTTATGTCCCTGGTAACTGTCTTTTCTTTCTGTTTCAAGTTGCTTTTCTGTCTTCTTCTTTGGAAATTGTCTCTGTGCTTTCTTGTGAAACTGCAGTGGCAAGTTTTGTCATTTTTCAGCACATGTATTAGCTTCTGCACCATCAATTCTTGTGTTTTCTGTGTTTGTAGACTTTTGCTTAAAATGTATTTTTTCTCTATGTTGTTCTCTCCTTTGATATGTGAAGGTCCATGTGATGTATGGCAAGTGATTTTAGACAGACTTATCTTTCACCACGAGTTCTTTCTGGCGTAGTGGTTTTTATTAAAACAATATTTTCTTTTGAGTGAAGTCTCCATGATGATAAAAATATCAATCAAACAATTCGAAAAATTATGAATAGTGACCCCATGTCAACATTTTTCCAAAATGTTGAGCCTATTTAGTTAAGAGGATCTTCTTTTTCTGATTTTTATTGCATGGAAAGATTATTCAACAAGGGGTCTAAAACGTCTCTAAAAGTAAAATGGTTTGAAGGGCTAGTTTTGAAGATATCTATTTTCGATGACCAAAATTATGCTGAAATAATGGATAGCATGAGTTCTTCCCAATGGGAAAAAATAACATGTGATATGTGGTTTTTAACTTAATGCATTTCAATACCCATCCCCTTTTCAGAAATTGTTAATATAGTGGAGAAGAAACTTTTGATATGTTGAGAAAAACAAGATCATAATTTTCCAGAGTTTGATATTTTACTATCTTCAGGACTTCACTTGAAGAAAACATATTGTTTTAATAAAAACCACTGTATTCATGGCCAGAAAGTACTCAAGGTGAAAGATATGACCGTCCAAAATCACTTGCCATACCTCACATGGTCCTTTTAGAATCCCCATTTTTTTGTTTTTAGTATCAGCTTAATGCCATTGTTGTTTGATCCCTCTTTTTAGTTATTTTGTCGACTTGAATTCCCTTTTCCTATGTGACTTTCTTTTGCTTTTTCTTTGAATTGCCTGTGTTTTGCATATCTTTGATGGTTTTATCGTACACTTTACAAGGTAATTGTATGATGTGGTTTCATCCATTCATTACTGGAGAAATTATAGGCATTGCTCTTCTAGATTATTAAGTAGAGCCAGGGTAGTTTGTTTATATTCTCTTTTATTTTATTCTGTTGCTATTGGGGCTCTTAAATAGTATATCCATGTTATGTCATAATGTAGTTGTTTGTTATTATGTCATAATGTTGGAAAAGGCTGGATTAAGTCCAAAGACCAATAAAGTGTGATGTGATGTCACAAATGAATATTTTCTTCTAAGTATGTATAAATGACAGAACAATTATCCTGACAAATATATGGAGTATATTTAAAAGATATATGAATCTATGCAAATACTCAATGTTAAGACCTACCTTTAAAGGATTTAAAGCAAATGTCATATCTTGTTGTATTATTGTAATATACTCCTATGATATTATGTATATTGTATATGTTAATGTAACTGCTTTCAAATGTTTTTTTCAATGAATAAAAAAGGAATAAAAAAAGAGACTGTTGTTATGTAAATTCTGTACTATATTTATGATGTCATAGATGTCCTCCATTGTTTTTATTTACTTTTTCTAATTTTTTTTGTATCTTCTAAATAAATAGTTGATTTATTCTCCAGTTTGTCATGTATTGTTTGCAATTTTTATCTATTTTCATTCTATGTATCTTACTTGTTGGAATCATCCATCGCTTCTGTTTATGGCATGTCAAATTTCTTGAAATTTTTGCATATTGTCAGGACATACAGTTTTCGATGTTTCCTCCTTGTCTCCCTAGTAACTTCCCAGTTCTTGTTCTTGTACCTGTTCAAGGTCATCCATTCTTGATCCCTGATTTGATAACTTATTATTGAAACAATATTGCGCTTGATACCAAGATGTTTTTCTCAAATAGCTGTACAGAGAGGGGTGAAAACAGTTTCAAAATGTAAGTTTAAACTTTCCTTGGCTAAATAACAAGACAGTAGATTTTGGAAAAAATGCATGGATACTCAGAAGAACAATTCAGTTGACTGTGGTATCAGATTTGTGTCGGGATATAAATTTGGACACCTATATCTGTTATCTATTATCCTATTATCCAGATAATACTTTGAATTTATCTGATACCCTGTAAATTATGATTGAAAATTATAAGAAAGGTCTGGTTTGATAAATAGATGTTTAACCTCCCCTCTTACATATTTCTGCCTGATCCTTTCCAAGTAAATGTTACCTTATAATTTCCCTATTGATTTATGAAAATCAAAGAATTTTTAGCATTTTATTTACCCTGGCTTTATTTGGAATTCAATATTTTTCCTACAACAAACACCCTAGCAGTTTACCTATCACTAGTCCCAGGCGTAGTGTGTGCCGATCTTTGGCGTCTTCGATGACGCGCAGAGCTTGATCGGTTCATTTGGGATGATCCAAGGGGTCCTTTAGAGGTGGTGATAGGACTAGAGGATGTTGAGTGGGGACCTACTCTGTTATGTCTAAAAGTAAAACAAATGACATCTACATGGGGAAACGAAATAAGAAAAAAATTAAATAAAAACTAAATAAAATGCCTAAATGTGATAAGAATAGAAATGAATATTTCTGTTTTGGGAATTTCACAAATTTTATAAAAAAAATATGTTATGCCAAAATTACAATAATTTAAGCAAAAAGTTGTATTATCAATTATAATGAATAAAAAAAAAAGAATTAAAAATATTTAGTAATCACTAGCCTCCAATGAGGATTGAACTCATGACCCCTGGTTTACAAGACCAGTGCTCTGCCACTGAGCTATAGAGGCTTGGATGTCAAACAGGTACAATAACTGATGATCATATAAACATTTAACTTTTATATTTGGCTGTTTATCATTGAAATAATACGATATCTTTATTAGTAGTACGGTCTATTTCATTTTGTATAACATTTTACTTCAAATGTTCCAAACTCTATTTACAGATTAAATGCTATTGTATGTCCTTAATACTGAGAACTATTCTAATCTTGTAATACAATACACTATCTTGACAGCTTGGGTCAAACTGACCTTTATGCATTGAGGTTGATTTTGATTATGGTGAAAATAGCATTTTAAGGTTTAACGACTAGTTTTGATCCAGCATATTAAAATTGATGCGGTTTTAATTTAAAATAAGTTTTGAGAATAGTTGGTTGTTATTAACACTCTATGTATTAGTGACTGTCAAAAAATAAAAATGTAAAAAAATGGTAATCACTAGCCTCCAATGAGGATTGAACTCATGACCCCTGGTTTACAAGACCAGTGCTCTGCCACTGAGCTATAGAGGCTTGGATGCCACCTACTTGAAAATTTACTTACATATGTGCTCAATACTTCAAGTATTGATATTATGTGTCTAAGCCAAGCTCATAAACACAGCATTAAATTAACTGTTAACTTCCTGTTGGCTACTGAATTTGCCAGCAAGAAAAATAATTGAAAAAATCATTGATTATTGATTGAAATCTATCAATGGAAACTGTGTATGTTCATGACTGCAATCATAAAAAGATATCATTGCTTTATCAAGTTTTTGTATATCAGCCTCTATAGCTCAGTGGCAGAGCACTGCTCTCGTAAAGCAGGGGTCGTGAGTTCAATCCTCACTGGAGGCTAGTAGATACATAATGAAAAGATATGTATGTTTTTCAAATTTAATTATTGAAAGAAGGCTATGAATTCATTGCGAAGGTCATGGCTAAGAGGCACCAAAATTCTTAAACAAAAAAACATTTATAGAAAAATGTGGATCTTATTATATTATTATTCTCTTTTTAATTTCACAATTATTTTTAACCAAGGCCATTCTACAAGGCACAAAAAAATCTTAAAAATAAATATTTGTATTTGTAAAAAAAATTTGGATCATCTTTAATAGTTGTCTCTTAATTTCACAATTATTTTTTAACCAAGCACATGCTTCTAGGCACTCAAATTCTTAATATAAGTAAATGTGTCTATTTTAAACTTTACAGTTATTTCTTAGCAAGGCCACTTTACAAGGGATGTTTATACTGATTAGTGATGACCCTACTTGTCTTACAAGTCTATTTGACTATTTGTTTGTTCATGCACAACAATTTTTTATTTTACTGACTAACATCACAGTTTGTTTGTTTTTATTTGCAATTAACTACCTAAATTAATTAAATTACTGTTATTACATTGCATATGCTGTTATATACTTATTTTGATTTTCAAACCGTGTCTATATGAATAACTTTTAATTTAAATCATAAAATTATATTTAATAATATACTTAAAACAAAATAGAGTAAATAACATTTCCTGCAATGATATAAATATCTATTATTATAAATAAACAATACGCACGTATATGTCCAAATTTTATTTCACAAAATGTACTACTTATTTCCAGTTTTTGTTCTTCCTCAAATTTTACTTCCAAATCAAAAAATATCTTAGTACTCTTTATCCTTTTCTCAATCTTAAATTCTTGAAATCAATATTTTTATGAATGCTTTTGATTTAATTGTTTCATCAATAAAAGAAGAAATATACTTTAACATCTGTGATGGTCAATACATGCAATTCCTCAATAGCTTACTTAGGTGTAACTGTTCTTGAGTAGAAATCTTTTTGAAACATCTATCATTAATGAAGACAAATGGTTTTTCAGCATATAGGGCTTTTAAAAGGAAGTCCATGCTACAATGAATATACAGTTTGATGTCTGAAATCTTAGACTGAGAAATACATCTGATCTTTGTACAATGGCCGATTGGACTAACAATGACTGGCTAATAATGTACTTTCTTTGTGAATGGGGAGTTAAGTACAGCCACAAGTGATTTGCCTGCCATCTATATGAGTCCAGGTCAACGTTGTTGATAAAGATTATTTCAATGTTTACTTACACTCAAAAGTATTTCAGCTTGCAACTTAGGCAAACAAATATGAAAGAGGACTGATTTGAATTACATGATATTTGTTTAGTCAATTACAGTATAAGGGTGGATTATTTTCACATATAACTCTTTGGAAATAGAGTCCAAAAAGTTCAAATTGTCTTAGTTGTAAGATGTAAAAATAGAAAAAAAAATGATGAAGTTAATTTAATTCTTAAAAACTTAAAATTGAATTATTCAATATATATGTCAATATGTATACTGTACTTTTACTTAATTTGGTGGCCGTTTTAATTTGATGGATCCGCCAAATTCCCCAGTAAATAGTAAGTAGCACCAAATTAAGTAGAAGTACAGTATACATAAAATGAATAACTCAAATTGTTAAGGTTCTAATTACGGGACTCGTCTACATCAAACTAAGGAAGTGCAACCACTCACTCCAATAATAAAAAGTAAAACCATGATGCACCAGCAAATAAAAATTGTTCTACACCTATCCTACATAAGTTTGGAAATCAAAAGCCCCTATTCGATAGCAAAGCCTGTTAAATGTCTGCACCATAAAACCTGTCTAATCTGAACACCATTGGAACCGGTGTAAAAGGGTAGGAGGTCCTATCAAATTATGGTCCTACTTTCAATTGATTTATATGGTGACCTAAATACAACTCTTTCCCTTATTATCGTATCCATAATCAGGGCCAGTAAGGGCCTTTAAGAAAGGGGACCATAATCCCCAGGGGACCATAATTTCTTTTACACCGGCTATCCTATAAGCGTTCAGATTAGGAGGTGCTCACATTTCGAGGTTTTTGCATCCACAAGATTCTGGATTTTGATGAAATGTGAACACATTCTCAATAAATCTTTATAGCTTTATGACATTCCAATAATTTGAAAATTTGATTCAATTGAATTTAGTCATGCTGAATAGTCTCATTTTGATTGAGACCATTCAAGTTTTTTCCAAAATCTTTGATATCAAGAGAAATCAGTGTTTAACTTTCACATATTTGAGCAATTTTGTGTGAAACATGTGATATTTTACGAAAAGTGTTCAGATTAGACAGGTCTATTTTTCAAATATGACTGTTCACTGTTCAAATTAGGAGGTATTCACATTTCAAGGTTTTATATCATGGGAAAAAAATATGGGACTGAAAAAGGTGTTCAGATTTAGAGGTGTTCGGACTACTAGCCAGGTGTTCGAAAATACAGGTTTTACTGTAAAATACTTCAGTTCCTCAATTACGATAAGTTGGAAATTTATGAATAAGCAGGCTCTCGCTAGATCATGGCCAAAAAGGGGATTTATGGTTGCCAAACCTTTGGAGGGGAGTGTATTTACAGGGAAAACAGTTTATGTAATAATACTTCTTGCTACAGTATTCCTGGTTATTTTCATGAGCTATTAACTGGTATGTTAATTGAATTTCCCATGAAATACTTAGTACCCAAAATAATGAAAGAGCATAAGAAATCTTCAAAGACTTTTACTCAAAAGATATATTGAACATCCTAACTTGAAATGAGGGTTTTTAAACAAGGCACCAACCATATTGATCATTTGAACAAAACATTTTAAGAAATGATTCTCACATGAAAATAACCAGAACATTTTCCACACAAGTACCTGGCTGATGGTGAAAGCATTGAGAAGGCGTCATCAAGCAGTTGGTGCATTCTGAAGCGAGCGTCCTGTAAAGTTTCATGCTCTGTACCACTATCCACATCATCATCCTCCATCTAAACATGCAACAACTAATGTGAGACTCTAGCCACTATGTATAAATCACATTGTACAGAGATCATTCATTCATTCAACAAAAGGCATTAAAGTCAAAGCAGAAACCAATTTACTCAATAGTCTTGCATCAGAACCCGAAAATGTACACCCCTTGTAAAAGGGTAGAATGTCCTATCAAAATATGGTCCTACTCTTCATTGATTTATATGGTGACCTCTTTCCCTTATTATCTTATACGCAATCAGGCCCAGTAAAGCCATTAAGAAAGGGGACCATAATCCCTGGGGGACCATCATTTCTTTCACACCCTCCCCATACCCTCTCAATCACAGGTAAAGGAATCACAGGCCGCAATATAATCAATTATAATTTTCACACATTTTCCCTCCTCCTTCAAATGAAGGGCTCCAGACATCATCCACTTAGTTCCTTTCCTCCTCTATGTTGATGATATCTGGACCCTGTGTTCAGTAGATGATTTTTATCCAGCTTTATGCTATAATGCCTTTTGGTAAAAATAGCTCAGTGTCATGAGCATTCCCTGCCATTTTGATGATTCCACAGGGATACAGAACAACTCAAAGTTGTCACAATTGAAATCAATCTATTTTTTCATTTCACAATTTTGAGCAGTTCTGGTTTTTGTGGCCACCCTGTACAATGATTTAATCTTGAATGAAGTTAAAGTGTGTGACCTTGCTGCCTTGGCCCCTTCACTATTCATAGTGGCCTTTGTGGTACTGTTGTTTTAGGGCTTCTGAGGATTAGGACACCAATCCACTGCACTTACATTTGGATGTGTGGAGGGCCATGGATTTAAGTCATTGTAGGGTGTTTATGAAGAAAGAAGATGTTTAATTGCTGTAAGACGGGGGGGGGGGCACTCCACAATAACATGATGCAAGATATAATACTAGTAACTGCTAAAGACTGATACCAAATGATTTAATATAGAAGTATAAATGGCTGAATTATATTCCATATTCCTCCATTATACAATCTTTAAAATTACTATGTGTTGCAGTCATTCACAGACAAAAGCATATACAAGTAGTAAGTCATGTAAATGACTTTGAATGAATGATAACACTTCATTTTACCAAATATTTTATAAGCTTTTGCCATTCATTAGGCTTGTAAAACCATTGAATCTGCTTGGGAATGAGCATGCAAAATGGATAAAATGTTGGCATGTAGTGTTATTGTTCTACTGTATAAAATTACACAGTCAAAGTGCCTCTGCAATACCCCCCTCCCCATTAATTCTCTCTTTCCTAAGAAGCAAATTTTAGATTTGGACTGTAAACAACAGGAGGCAATGGCCTGGGTAGGCATTTTTTCATTTTGGGCCAATTTTTCCAAAATACTGGCTTCATTGTTGATGGCATTGTCCTTTTGAGAAAAGGACCACATCGTTTTGAAGAGAATGAATTTTCCAAAAAATAAATTGCCTTCCCCTTTTGAATTTCCATGACTGTTCCTTAGATGAGACACAATAAACCTGATACAACAATCCTTTGGAACATATATCCTCGGAAAATATGATATTGACCTTGGGCTATATGATATTGACACTCGGTCGCTGCGCTCCCTCGGTCAATATCATATTACCCTTCGGTCAATATCATATTGTCCCTCGGAATAAAACCCATATTCAATCCCTCCCAGTAAATAACCTATTTATTCCATAATACACCCGTCTAAAATGCTACATTTGGATAATGCAAATAACCGGGAAAAAATAACCGGGAAACCGAAAATAGGTTAATATGCTCCAATACGATTTTTTCCGGGGACAATACGATTTTTCATGTAATACGCTCCAATACAATTTTTTCCCGGGGACAATACGATTTTTCATGTAATACGCTCCAATACGATTTTTTCCGGGGACAATACGATTTTTCATGTAATACGCTCCAATACGATTTTTTCCTGGGGACAATACGATTTTTACATGTAATACGATTCAATACGATTTTTATTCCTTCATATTTCCCTGGGAAAACAGTAGTATTATGGAATAAATTAAACATATCATTTAAGGTGAATGGCAATAAGCTGTGAGTGAATGCAAACTGTACTAGAATCCATTCCAAAGCTGATCTTAAGCCAAGTCATTAGCCCATTCCTGAAAACATGCATACCAAAATATAAAGGGGCTTTCCCAAGGAGCATTTGTCTATTCCGTATTTGCAACAAATGTTTTAAGGATCACAGAAATAAATGTAATTCTTATTAAAATATGGAACTTAGTACTAATAAAAACTAAATGGATACAAATACATATTTGTGTTATTTTTATACTATACAATATACAGTTTATTTACTACAATGTAGTAGTTCATCATAGTCTGGGTTGATAATGTTCTAAAATGTCAATGTACTTTCTCCTAATACAGCATAGAGACAAGTCTCCTTGAAAAGCCCCTAATACCCAGTAATTAACCTGTTCTGGGGATAAACATGGGCAAAGTACGTAAAGGCCTCATCAAGGAGGCTGTACATCTTGCCAAATGCCTTGCCAAGACTCTCGCTACTCCTTGAACTTCTCCTTGATGTTTCTGGATCTGATGTGTCCTGGACTATCACCTATATAGTTTGTATATGGTGAGATAACACATATAGAATTGTTTGGATATAGAAACATGGTATTTTCTTTCTATTGAGCATACGAAATTTGCCTGCCTTCTACTTAAATATTAAATAATGAGGGGTGAAGGTGGGGTGACTAATGCTTTATATCTCATTATGAGCAGATTGATAGAGAAGAACCAGGCAAGTGGCATAGAGCCACTTAATTTTGTAATTGGGCAGCTACTCTCTAGGCATATATAGGGAGGGCTCCAAGTCAGGAACCTGCTAATGAACATCAAAGGAATCTACTTTTATAAATGTTTATAAACATTTTTAAATACTCACAGATGGGATTTCCTCAAATGCAGGTTTGCTTGAAGTGTAGCGGCCACCAGGGTCAGATAACGTGGCAGCCGTGACATCATAACTTCCTCGTTTTCCACACTCTCGGTGGGCTCGCTTCTTCTTTTTCCTGGAAATCAAAGTTTTTATTTCAAAAATACACAAAAATTATGTACAGTAAATCCTGGGTAATCCAGACTCCTCTGGGACTGGCCAAAAGTGTTCAGATTGGCAGGTATTCACATTTCAAGGTTTTTTAACGGGACAGCATCTTTTCCAATCAATCGAGGTTGGGCCATGCAGCCAAAGGTATCCATACAACCGAAGGTAAGCCATACAACCGAATTTGGCTGATTCAATCTGACGGAGAATGCCGAGCCCCTATTTTTGACCAATTAGAGACGTCCTCTTCACATTCGTGGTACCCTCAGCCAACTTCGTTTGCAAAGAAAAGCTTCGGCAATCTTCGGCAACCTCCGGCTTTTCTTGAGGTATCTTCGGTTGCTTGCCAAAAGTCAACACCCGTTTTTTAACATGCAAAATGTCACCACAAGGTAATGGTCACAATGCAGGTTATGGTCAGAATGTAGGTTATGGTCACAATGTAGGTAATGACGTGTTTTTTTCACTACAAAATATATCTATCAAATTCAGTGTTATATCCCAGTATATACATTTACAAGATGCAATGTTAGGGTAAAGCTTACTTTGATTTTCCACTTGGGTCATCTAGGATGTTTGCAATGTCTCTCTGTGCCTTGTTGTAGGCATTTCTCTGCTTGATTTTGTCAGCTGGAATAAGAAAAGAGATGTTCGTCAGTTCATGAGAGCCTCTATAAAACACACATACATTTGTCATTTTAATGGTGAAAAATATGATGAAGAGCTGCATCAATATTAAACTAACGATTTTTCTCTCTCAGAAGTCGGCAATGGCTGGATGTACATGTGAGACATTAATAAAGAACTACATTTACATTCATACATCAAACACATTGATCTCATAGCATTGATTTTGAAAATAGGTGTGCACCCATCTGAAAACCCACTTGAAAATTAAGTTTCTTTTTGGAAAGTCCAGGGAAGAAACATAACTTAACTTTATTTTTTGACATGAATTTATGTCTCACGTCCTAAATACGTAAATATTTTATTTCAAATGTTACATACCAGTAGCTGGTGGTTTCTTATATTTCCTAGATCTTTGCCTCTGTTTATTCCTGTAGTGCTCAATGTCAGCCTTCTGTCTCAGAGAACTGTTCAGCTGGAAGCACATTGCACTCTACATAAAGTTGAATCTTTCATAATCCAAACATCTCTCTAATCTGAACACCCAATGGCATTTGGATTTGACAGTTTTTAATGTATGACATAAAAACTAATTATTGCAATTACATAATGTCAATGAACTGTGTCTTGTTTATGTATCTTACAAAATATTGTGCAATGGGGCTGAATAAAAATGATGTATTTTTATGAAACATGGTGTTATCATGTACCAACATTGTCTGCGTTGCTTATTGTTTATGTTACATAATACATGAATTAATGTGATGTAGTATAAGATGACATGCTATTTAATAAAGTAAAACTAAGAGCAAACCTCATCTTGTTCCTTAAAGGAATCTCCCAGCCTAGAGCTGGTCCCCACAAGTGGCTGTTGTACCAGTGGTGGGAGACGTATGGTATGTGTAGATGTATGTAGGGGCTCTTTAGGCTTCTCATTAACATATGACATTCTCGCAACATGGTCAAACATACCAGCTTTGTTTTCATCATCTGAAGTCAAACAAAACAATAAGACTTTATGAGTGGATCAAAAGAATTCTTGGACTTGAAAATTCAAACATCCACAGAATAAAAAAAAAGTCTGATAGATTTCTTAACTTTATGAATTCTGTTGTGAAATGAGGTTTTCTATATTGCCTGTCCCTTTTTCAGATCAGGGACACACTATAAATAGTTCACAAAGACGGAGGCATTTGGCCATTCCCAGCCTTTCCTTTTCCAATTCGTGTATTTGGAACAAAAAGAGGGGAATGGGGAAAATGGACACGCAACTAATACTGAGTATGGTTTTATATTAAAATAACACAAACAGGAAACAAGAGAGAAATACAAACACCATGAAAAATACAGTATTTCAACTGATAAATGTATAAAATGGTACATCCTTTATTGTCATAAATATGTACAAAAAGACTAAACCACCAAAAAGTGCAATTAAAAAATATGTTATCAAGTTCATACCCTAGGTCTCATAACACCTTAACCACTTTTAATTACATCTATCACCTCAAACATATCTATGATTATTCCACTTATAAATTATAATAAGACACAGTGAGAAATATCACACTTTGATAAGCAAAATGGCTGCCATGTTATTTACCCAGCATGCCAAAACCTATCCAGATCCTGGCACATGTTTCCTCTCACATCTGTAAAAATTTCAATTTAATTGGATAAGAAGATTTCCTGGAATTTTGATGACAAGATTTATGTGGTACGTGTCGTTTCCCGCCTGCCCAGATGCATGCATGCCCAGCAACACAAGTTGACAATACAGCATATTTTCAAAGTGTGATATTAAAAATGAAATTAATTCTAAAACCCACCACCAGAGGAATATTCAGTCAAACTACCATCATCCTCCTCATCCTGCCTGGGTTTTTTAGTGGATTTTTTAGGCCTATTCGGTAACTTACGACGGCTGTTAGTACGTGATGGATAAAGTTGTTCCTGTGACCCGTAACTTTCTTCTGTCATACCTGAATCGTTGTCATCATCTTTTCTACTGAAAATACCATGTCATCACATTGTATATAGGATTAGCATGTTACCTTTTTTCAGTCTCTATATTCATTACATCATTTTCCAAGTTAAAGCAGCCAATTTTCAGATTTACAGCCAAGTGATGGCTTGATGGATTTTTACTATTCAGAAAGCAGGAAAACTCGACTCAAACTTAGTATTACTTACACTCTTTCTACAGCTCTTGGTTTAACTCGACCTTGACCTTGTCTTCCGACACGGCTTTGACCGTGATCTGGTGAACGTTTCAGGTCTCGTTGTTTTACTGGAGTAGGTATTTCTCCTCTAACATTCTGAAGCTTTTCACCAGGCGCACTAAAACTTTGAGCTTCGGATGCTAGAGCAGTTTTTTGAGTGGCCTTTTGTGACCCATTTTTCTCCGAGCCCTGAAATACAATAGAATTCAGTTTTGATTAATCATATTCATTTAATAAACTTAATTTGACATATGTGGAAGATGCTGATTCTGTCACAATGTCCTATTTTCATCTATTAAGCAAAAAAAATTCCAACTTTCGTTGAAAAAAGACACTTTTTGACCTTGAGAAGGTCATTGATGGTAAAATCTCAAATCAGATTTGAACTTCTGAGAACTTGTAGATGATTTGAAAAAAAAGTTGGTCAATTTGAAGCAAGTTGAAAAAATACCTTTTGACCTTTTTTACATTGAGCAGGTCATTGAAGGTCAAATCTCAAATTTTTGATAAAAATGTGATACCTTCTGACCCTGTTTCATTACCCATGTATATTATACTCACTAAAGGTTTAACATCTCCACCACTATTGCTTAATCTTTGGGGCCTAGGACTGCTTGGTGTTTTTGGAGGTCTACACATCTTGCAGTACATGAACATCACACACCATATGATTCCGATCAATACTAACAGACTACCTATCACAACACCAATGATCCATAGCTTTTGGTCTATAGGTGGGAATGGTGGGAAGAATGCTGAAATATATAATCAAATATTGAAGTTATCAATTGGACCTGAATGATTAATGAACATTTCTTGATTTCTCAAATTTCTGACCAGTATATACTGTAAAATCTGCAAAGTGGAACACCTCCTTAAGTTGAACATATATCTAAATTCAAAACATATTATTGATTAAGGTACCGCATGCGTTCCACTTATAGGTTCTACTGTAGTTTATAATTGAATATATAAAACTTACGCTCCACAACTACTGCTACAGAGTGTCCCATGAGGAGAATCATCTCATGTTCATTGATGAGACCAAGCACTGCTACAGCATCATCAGTTGGCACAATGGAATTATTCTTTGTATGGTAGTAGACAAGAGACACATTATTCCCTCCCTCTCTTGTACTGTTCACCAACTGTAACATAAAAGATGGCATTAACATGGGAAAATGTCAATACCTGTAAGTTATTATCACAAAAGTGCAACAATATGTTACAGACAATGAATGGCATTAACATGGAAATATGTCACTACCTGTAAGTTATTATCACAAAAGTACAATAATATGTTACAGACAATGAATGGCATTAACATGGAAAAATGTCACTACCTGTAAGTTATTATCACAAAAGTGCAACAATATGTTACAGACAATGAATGCCAACCACAAAGTCACAAAAATAATGGCTATAACAACCTGTACCACACGGCATGATAAATTAAAAAGCTGAGTACAGGGTGTCCCTAAAGTACATGCAGTGTGTAAAAACCTATCTGTTGTAACACATCACACATGGTGCAAAATGCAGATACACTTATTGATTTTATAATGCCTTGTATGATTATTGGATATTATTTCATCAATAATATATTATAGAAAAAATACATACAAGCAGTAATACATATTAGTACATACATATACATATTCAGTTGTAAGGGGCCTAAGAAAGGTATTATTGACCCCCCATCAGCTTTAACAATGGTAATCTACTAATCTACAGATCTGGCCAATATAGGTTATCAAAATTGTACTTCTACACATAACTACATACCTGGACCTCAACATCACTGACTTTTACTGCACGCTTTGTTCTCTGTGCGAGATTCTCCTCCTCAGCTTGGGATAACAACGGGGTGTATGTTCCATTTTTGATTGCCTCGCTGCGGTCGTAGGCTTTCACAAATGCATTTGCGAGACGGAGCTCCATCTTTTCGAAAAATTCAGGAGTTCTGACATCACCGTCTTCTGGATCATCACGGTGGATTCTCAGCACTAAGAATATGAAAAATACTCAAAATTAGTGACAAATAACTAGGCAGAAAGTAGAACTGTAGGGTTCCAGTGGTAATCCATATGCAGTTCTCTATCCACTCAAACTCTCAATAAAATTTTGAAACAGAAATAAAGATAATTTTAAGCATAAAATAAATAATCAAGTATATTCTTTACCAATCTACTTTGAGCTTTAAATAAACATACCTGTTCTGACCCATGCAAATGAGAGAGTGCTATTTGTGGTGAGGGTTGGGGCTGGCGCTGTTGTGACGGGTTCTGTTGTAACAGGTCCTGCTGTGATGGGTTCAGTAATATTTTCTATGGTCATATTTTGTGTTGTAAGTACTTCTGTTATGTTTCTAATTGTGGTAGGTATTTCTACTGTTACATTTTCAGTTGCATTTGGTAATTCTGTTGTTACATTTTGAGTAGTAGTTGGTATTTTTATTGTTACATTTTGAGTAGTAGTTGGTTTTTCTGTTGTTACATTTTGAGTTGTACTTGGTATTTCTGTAGTCACATTTTCGGTTGTGATTTGTATTTCTGTTGTTAAGCTTGTTGGAATATCAGTTGTCACATTACTTAGTGCTTCAGTTGTCACATTACTTGGAGCTTCAGTTGTCATATTAGTTGGAGTTTCAGTTGTCACATTAGTCAGCGATTCAGTTGTCGCATTACTTGTTGTTTCAGTTGTCACATTAGTTGGAGTTTCAGTTGTCACATTAGTTGGAGTTTCAGTTGTCACATTAGTTGGTATTTCAGTTGTCACATTAGATGAAGCTTCAGTTGTTACATTACTTGTAGTTTCAGTTGTCACATTAGTTGGAGCTTCAGTTGTCACATTAGTTGGTATTTCAGTTGTCACATTAGATGAAGCTTCAGTTGTTACATTACTTGGAGTTTCAGTTGTCACACTAGTCAGCGATTCAGTTGTCGCGTTACTTGTTGTTTCAGTTGTCACATTAGTTGGAGTTTCAGTTGTCACATTAATTAGTGATTCAGTTGTCACATTACTTGGACTTTCAGTTGTCACATTACTTGGTATTTCATGTGTCACATTAGGTGGAGTCCCAGTTGTCACATTAATTGGGGATTCAGTTGTCACATTACTTGTGGTTTCAGTTGTCACATTACTTGGAGTTTCAGTTGTCACATTAGTTGGTGTTTCAGTTGTCACATTAGTTGGAGCTTCAGTTGTCACGTTACTTGGTTTTTCAGTTGTCACATTACTTGGACTTTCAGTTGTCATATTAGTTGGACTTTCAGTAACATTAATTTGGGATTCAGTTGTTACATTACTTGGTGTTTCAGTTGTCACATTAGTTTGAGTTTCAGTTGTCACATTAGTTGGTATTTCAGTTGTCACATTAGATGAAGCTTCAGTTGTTACATTACTTGTAGTTTCAGTTGTCACATTAGTTGGAGCTTCAGTTGTTACATTACTTGGAGTTTCAGTTGTCACATTAGTCAGCGATTCAGTTGTCGCGTTACTTGTTGTTTCAGTTGTCACATTAGTTAGAGTTTCAGTTGTCACATTAGTTGGTGTTTCAGTTGTTACATTAGTTGGAGCTTCAGTTGTCACATTACTTGGTATTTCAGTTGTCACATTAGTTGTTTTTTCAGTTGTCACATTACTTGGTGTTTCAGTCGTCACATTAGTTAAAGTTCCAGTTGTCACATTTGTTGGTGATTCAGTTGTCACATTACTAGTTGTTTCAGTTGTCACATTAGTGGGAGTTTCAGTTGTCACATTAGTTGGTGTTTCAGTTGTCACATTACTTGGACTTTCAGTTGTCATATTAGTTGGAATTTCAGATGTCACATCACTTGGATTTTCAGTTGTCACATTACTTGGTGTTTCAGTTGTCACATTAGTTAGAGTTCCAGTTGTCACATTCGTTGGCAATTCAGTTGTCACATTAGTTGGAGTTTCAGTTGTCACATTAGTTGGTGTTTCAGTTGTCACATTCCTTGGACTTTCAGTTGTCATATTAGTTGGAATTTCAGATGTCACATTACTTGGGATTTTAGTTGTCACATTACTTGGTGTTCCAGATGTCACATTACTTGGAATTTCAGTTGTCACATTACTTGGTGTTCCAGTTGTCACATTAGTTGGGGATTCAGTTGTCACATTACTTGGTGTTTCAGTTGTCACATTAGTTGGAGGTTCAGATGTCACATTACTTGGACTTTCTGTTGTCACATTAGTTGGAGTTCCGGTTGTCACATTAGTTGGTGTTTCCGTAGTGAAATTGCTTGATGTTTCAGTTGTCACATTAGTGGGGGATTCAGTTGTCACATTACTTGGACTTTCAGTTGTCATATTAGTTGGAATTTCAGATGTCACATTACTTGGATTTTCAGTTGTCACATTACTTGGACTTGCAGTTGTCATATTAGTTCGACTTTCGGTTGTAACATTAATTTGGGATTCAGTTGTTACATTACTTGGTGTTTCAGTTGTCACATTAGTTGGAGTTTCAGTTGTCACATTAGTTGGTATTTCAGTTGTCACATTACTTGGTGTTCCAGTTGTCACATTAGTTGGGGATTCAGTTGTCACATTTCTTGTTGTTTCAGTTGTCAAATTAGTTGGAGTTTCAGATGTCACATTACTTGGACTTTCTGTTGTCACATTAGTTGGAGTTTCAGTTGTCACATTAGTTGGTGTTTCCGTAGTGACATTGCTCGATATTTCAGTTGTCACATTAGAGGGGGATTCTGTTGTCACATTACTTGGACTTTCAGTTGTCATATTAGTTGGAATTTCAGATGTCACATTACTTGGATTTTCAGTTGTCAAATTACTTGGGCTTTCAGTTGTCATATTAGCTGGACTTTCAGTTGTAACATTAATTTGGGGTTCAGTTGTTACATTACTTGGTGTTTCAGTTGTCACATTAGTTGGATTTTCAGTTGTCACATTAGTTGGTATTTCAGTTGTCATATTAGATGAAGCTTCAGTTGTCACATTACTTGTTTCAGTTGTCACATTAGATGGAAATTCAGTTGTCACATTACTTGGTGTTTCAGTTGTCACATTTGTTTGAATTTCAGTTGTCACATTACTTGGTGATTCAGTTGTCACATTAGTTGGAGTTTCAGTTGTCACATTAGTTGGAGTTTCAGTTGTCACATTACTTGGTGTTTCAGTTGTCACATTAGTTGGAATTTCAGTTGTCATATTAGTCGGTATTTCAGTTGTCACATTACTTGGTGTTTCAGTTGTCACATTAGTTGGACTTTCAGTTGTCACATTAGTTGGACTTTCAGTTGTCACATTACTTGATGTTTCAGTTGTCACATTACTTGTTGTTTCAGTTGTCACATTAGTTGAAGTTTCAGTTGTCACATTACTTGGTGTTTCAGTTGTCACATTAGTTGGAATTTCAGTTGTCATATTAGTCGGTATTTCAGTTGTCACATTACTTGGTGTTTCAGTTGTCACATTAGTTGGACTTTCAGTTGTCACATTAGTTGGACTTTCAGTTGTCACATTACTTGATGTTTCAGTTGTCACATTACTTGTTGTTTCAGTTGTCACATTAGTTGAAGTTTCAGTTGTCACATTACTTGTAGTTTCAGTTGTCACATTAGTTGTAGTTTCAGTTGTCACACTTGTTGAAGTTTCAGTTGTCACATTACTTGGAGTTTCAGTTGTCACATTAATTGGAGATCCAGTTGTCACACTACTTAATGTTTCAGTTGTCACATTAGTTGGTATTTCAGTTGTTACATTACTTGGATTTTCAGTTGTTACATTAGTTGATGTTTCATTTGTCACATTAGTTGGTATTTCAGTTGTCACATTACTTGATGTTCCAATTGTCACATTACTTGGAATTTCAGTTGTCACATTAGTTGATGTTTCAGTTGTCATATTACTTGTAGTTCCAGTCGTCACATTAGTTGGAGTTTCAGTTGTCACATTTGTTGTAGTTTCAGTTGTCACATTACTTGGAGTTTCAGTTGTCACATTAGTTGGAGTTTCAGTTGTCACATTAGTTGGAGTTCCAGTTGTCACATTGCTTGGTGTTTCAGTTGTCACATTAGTTGGAGTTAGAGTTGTCACATTAGCTGTTGTATTAATTGTCACATTAGCTGGTGTTTCAGTTGTCACATTATTTGAGGATTCAGTTGTTAGATTAGTTGGTGTATCAGTGGTCGCATTTGTTTGAGTTTCAGTTGTCACATTAACTGGGGATTTAGTTGTCATTTTAGTAGGTGCTTCAGTTGTCACCTTACTTGGTATTTTGGTTGTCACATTACTTGGTGTTTCCCTTGTCACATTTGACAATATTTCAGTCGTCACATTAGTCTGAATTGCAGTTGTTACATTGAGGGGTATTTCAGTCGTCACCTTTGTTGGGGATTCAGTTGTCACATTAGTTGGACTTTCAGTTGTAACATTACTTGATGTGTCAGTTGTAGCATTACTTGGAGTTTCAGTTGTCACATTAGTTGGAGTTTCAGTTGTCACATTAGAGGGAGCTTCAGTGGTCATGGGAGTTAGTGTATCATTCGTCATATTATTTGGGACTTCAGTTGTCACATTGATGAATGAATCTGTGGTCAGGTTGACTGGTGGCTGGGTTGTTGGATCCTTTGTCCCATTATCTGACACTGTTGTGGAATTCTCCACTACCATTGACTGTGTGGTTATAAAAATACTTGAGGGAGTGGTATTTTCCAATATTGTCGATGGTATGATTAAACTTGGTGATAGTTCACTTAACAGATTTGTTGACGAAGACATCATATTGGATGATGCAATAATATTGGAATCAGTTGGTATCATAGAAGTACTTTCAATGCTTGCTGTTGGTATCATTTCAACTGAGGCAGTCAGATTGTTTAATCCTATAGATGTCACTAAGGTTGATATGACAGTTGTCATGGAAACAATCCCTGAGCCATTCCCAGATGGAGTACCTATAACACTGTCTGTGAGAACAACTGTAGGAATAGGCTCTAATGTAGTTGGTAATACTGTTGAAATTGTAGCATCTGATTTGTTCGTCCCTATATTTGAAACCAATGCAGTTGTACTTGGCATAGATGATGAGATATTGCTGTTTACTAATGGCGGCGTAGTCATTTGTATAGTGTTTATAAGCATGCTTGTCTGGCTGGGTGCTATAGACTCAGTTATGCTAATACCGGCACCTGTTCTATTTATAAAAGTTGAAGATGGCAGGATTACTTCAGACAAAGCTGTCTCATTGGTTGATATAACCGTAGGTGTAAAGTCTATGGATGGTTCAATTTTGGGTAATGTCTCCAATATGCTTGAAAATAATGAGGCTAGACCCTCCAAAGATATAGAAGGTTCTGAGAATGCGGAAGCTGATCGTCTAAACCTTGAGTGTGTTGAACCTAATGGTAGAGTTGATGATGTGACAGCTAAGGATTGGGAGGCTGATCCAAATGATCCTTCTAATGACTCGGTCTCTGATATTAGAGTACTAGCAGGGCTTGATATGTCCAAAGGGTGAATAGTTGAACTGGGTAAGATCACTAGTGTATTAAAAATTGATGGTAAAACTCCAGTCATTATCAAAGAATTGTTTGACATTATTGTAGGTATGATATTTACATCTAAGGTGGAGGGTACCACAGTTAAGGCAGATACTGATTCAACTGGTCCGATTACTGTTGAATTCATCCTTGACGATATCGAAGTCAGTGCTGAACTAATTGATTCTAATCTAGATTCTATATCAATACTTGTCAATGTAGAATTCTCAATATTTGATACATGAGGTGTGCTCAAAACACCAGAGGGAAATGTTCTTGTTGGTTGGATGGATAATTCTGTTGATAATAAATCTAAATATATGGAAGAATAATGCACCTTTTCTGACGATTTTTGGCTTGGAGAGTCCGTCAAAGTTGATATCTGTTGTACTACTGAAGGGGAACTGTTTATTAGTGTTTCAGATATGGCACTGTTTACAAGTTGATCACTTGAATCAATTGTTAATATTCCTGAATTAAATTCAGACCCTGTGAGTATTGTGGCTTGAGAAGTTATCTCAACAGTATTTGGCAGGATGGGCATAGATGTCTCTACTAGTGTTGACACTGATGTCATGATTGGCTGGATGGAATTTTCTAACCCTGTTGAGATTGTGACCTGACCTGTATCCAAGACAGGAGTTTCGCTGACATGTATGGTGTTAACACCTTCTGTTGCCATAGCAACAATTAAACTACTTGAGTAGCTGCTTTGTAGTGTATTTGTAGAAAAATTCTTTTCTGAAACTTGAAAAGTTGATGATATCTCTGAGATCACTGGTAATTGTGTAGATTGTTTGGACGGGCTGATCTCTGGGACAATTCCTGACATTTGTGTTTCATCCAACACTAAGCTGCCATCTATACTCGTAACCAGAGTTGAGTCTTGTCTTGGTATGTTTCTTGTTGCCATGGTAATGGATGTTTGAGTGGCTCCCAATGGTATTGACGCACCATCTGAAAAATGTAATTCAATTTCTGATTATAAATTATTGATTGTGTTTTTTTCATAAATCCCTCAATAACCATTAGATTGAAGGAGGAACAATCTAAAACCCAATTAGTTCAGGTATTCACAAAGGATAAACTAAATAGAATTGAAAAAGAAAATCAATCAAATTTTTTTATTGTTTTTGTACCAGATGCGGTGCCACTTTCACTGAATTCATTAATAAGATTAACATTGGAAAATTTTGAAGGGGTGGACCCTCAAATCTTAGGGGGAGCTAATCCTTTTACCTTTTATCATTTACAACAAGTGAATCTAGAGTTACAAATAAGACTGAAGACACATGATATATATATGTTTGGCTAGATTCACCACAAAAATTGTTGATTCCTAAGATAGCCATTAGTATATGTTTGTCCATGACCATTTCACATAATAGTTGTAACGTCCTTACACTCTTAGGACCAAGTTGTCCAACAAAGTGGCCTAAACTTGGTTCCTAAACCATGTTTAAGATCAAATCAGCAAAATGATGTTTTGTCTAACTCAAACTTGAAATTGATTTTCTGAGGAAGCTAAGTAGTTGTCCTTTGTAAAGATGATTGGTTGGTCCCTAAAAGGTGAATGTGACTTATGTTGGCTCAGGAGATAAATGGTTGATCCCTAAAAGGTGACTATGACCTGTATTTACCCACAAGTATTTTACAAGTTGCAATTTCCTTGGACTTCCAGACATCAAACTTTCTTATCAAAAAAGTGGTCAGAAACTTGATCCAGATTGAACAACTGGGGGAAAAACTGTAGTAAACACAAACACTGTTCATGTCTATTAAAAAACAGAAAATGGTAAGCTGAAAAATTAAAACAAGACCTCTTCTCAAACAAATTACACTTATAGACATTAGAATAGAGTTTTATTTATCCAACTGTTGCATCGAGGACATAAAATCAATGCTTGTATTTCACAAATGCTTTTTCTATTGATTTCTTAAGGACAATAATATTGTATATACTTCATAAATGCCGCTGAATCATCGTGCTTCAACTGCTGATAAAATTGAATTCCAATAGACAACTTCAAGTTGATTAGATAAATACAGAGAAATGTGAAATAAGTTCCTACCTTGTTTGTTTTCAATTCATTAGTTAATGATATAATGATCAAACTTGATATTGCTTGAAATTTGAGAATGTTTTTAAATAAAAACTGGTCCAATTATGCAAAAATGTTCTTTATTTAGAAATATTTTTCAACAACAAGTTTGTTTACAATCTGTAAATAACATCTATTTTCTCATCGTATCTAAAATTTTGTTTTCATTAGTTAGTGACAATATATGTTCAATTAGTGACAGCATAAGCTAAAGAGAGTAAGGATCTGTACTATTGAGAGAGAATAGACACGCTCCCAGTAGTAATTAAAGGTGTTATGAAATATTTATAAGAAACTGCCAATTTACCATATGGCACAAAAATAAAATAATGTCACAACAATTTAATCAAGGTAATTTTTAATTAAGAAACATACTGGATCTTCTAATTTAATCATATGTCAGGTGATTTCAATTTAATTTCTTAAAATTAAAAAAAAATAGTCAATAAATACATCAACTGATTTTAGCTACTAATTTGAATTTTCTGTTCAGCTGGAAAGTAACATTTTGGTAAAAAATTACTATACCTCCACATGTTAGTTTCTGGTACAAAATTAAGTATGAAGGCATGTGTATATTTCCTAGCTATTTTCAGGAAAATATCATTACATTTTCTACTTTTAGTAAACCTGGAAGCAGGTCAATGGTACCTCCTGTGTTGTCTGGAAACTTTGAAAGAAAATTTGGAAAAATAGAAAGTGTGAAATATCAGAATTTCCTCGAGTAATCCCATTGAACTCTTACCAGATATTCTAAAATAAGACAATGTTATGATACTTTCCTGAAAAAAGCAAGGAAATTAACACATGCCTTTATACTTTATAGTGTACCAGAAAATAACATGTGCTGCAGGTATAGCAATTTTTATCAAAATGTTATTTTCCTTAAATACCTCAAATGGAACTTCTTACAATCTTCTTACAATCACGCTGGGTCTGTATATCTATTTTATTTTTATGTCACATAATCTTTGATACATCCTTACCAACATTGTCCTAAATACATTTTGATATTCTCTGGTGATTTACATTGTAATCATTATCACATCTTGAGTAAGAGTTACATAAATTAGTGTCTATACACATATAGTAAAAGATTGGACTTTCTTCATCTACCTAATAGAAGGTTCATATTCCGTTCTTCAAAAGCATTCATGTACAGGGTGGGCCAAAAAAAAACAATACACAAGTTTAAAGATGAATATTATATGATATGTGTTAAACCATATGCCATGTAAATACATCCTTGTAAAGATAAACATTTCCTTCAAATTTGACACCATCTGATTGAAAAACTTTTCTTTTCTTGTGGAGTTAGAGGCTAAAATTGACACCAGGGGTGTCATGAGTGATCAAAAACCAAAAATGAAAGTTCCCAGATTTCTCTCCACATTGCAGTCACAGCTGCACTCAATATGCTTGACTGAATTATTTCAAATTTATTTAAGCGTAATACATGTACATGATTGATCGCTAATTAAAAAGATACAAGTATTATAGGTGAATTTTGCACTAAACTTATACCTGTTTTGAAGATGCCAAAATATTTTCCCTCCATTTTCCACAATTTGGAAATCCACAGTGAATAATTTTTTGGTCGCTCATTTTTGCCTCTAGACCCACAGGAAAACAAAAGTTTTTCAATCGGATGGTGTCATATTGTAAGAAAATGATTTATCTTTACAATGATATATAATACATGGCATGATCTAACATATATCACATGATATTCATCTTTAAACATGTGTATTGTTTTTTGGCCCACCCTGTAGTGTAGATTATTAGAATAACATGATTTGAAGGATTTAACTCATGAGGTCGAGTTGTAAAACAAATGGATATTACAGCTGAAGCCTCTATAGTCTTGTATAACTTTACTTCATATGCTTGATTGTCTTGCACCTGGCTGTTACCTGGACAATTAATAGCTCGTATTATCACCTAATCAAAATTAATCAATTATTCCAAACATTATCCTGAAAGGGGATGATAAATCAAATATCTGGTCTTAAAATAATCAAGGAAATCATGTAACGATTTATATAAAGAAACTGTGGTTCGATAATTCGCCCCAGTTCTGTATGCAACATTGTAACTCCCCCCCCCCCCACTCGACCCCCCAAAAATTGTGTTAAACACATACAGAAATCAAGACAAGGAGAAATAAAGCTGTGAACCTTTTTGGTTCATACAAAAGGGGTTGTATGTTTCTACAAATTTCAAAAGTGAACAAGCCTATTTACAGCAAATACAGGTGTATAATATTAATTAATATAATTTATATAAATATTGAGAATACTACTTAGAATAATGATTGATGACAGAATCTCCCCTGATAAGACACAATCTGAATACATTGACTTTAACTGACTGTAAGTGTTAAGTTTATATGATTCATGTTAAATACAATGTTTGGTTTGATTTAATGATTGAATGAAAGAGACATGATGAACATATTGACAATCCAAAGCAGTTGTCAGATGGTAAAATATGAAAATAAAACTACAGATGAGAAAATATGTTGCTGAACTGAGATTCTGAATTCATCAAACCATGAAACTAAATCATTTTCACAAAAACACAAATGTTTTTTTTCTGCCCATTGTTGTTGGCTAGCACAAGTGAAATGAGGAGAAATGGGAAAAGATTACATAGCAGTACTTATAATGGAGACAGTTCACTCATTCTAATTCATCAGGGTCACTCTTGAACATTCCCATGAGATATCCGAGCCTGTCACAAGGAAGGAGTATTCAGGGGTTTCATTAGCAGCAGGCAACAGGCAATTTTCAACGGTTGCACAAAATCGCCTGTTGTTTTTAGGGACTTTGCAACTTTTCCATGTTAAATATATGATTAATTTTGCCTGTTGTTTTCATTTATTTAGCCTGTTGGGAGAACCCCTGAGTATTATCATTTCTCCTCAGAAATCACAAGTCCATTTTCTCTCCTCCTTCATAGCATCTTCTCTCTATTTACCATTACCATGTATAATAATATGTCACTACAACATGTTACTTCTACCATATACCACTTGATATTTGACAGATTAATGGTTATATTATTCTACTGTGTCTTGACAGCTGATGGAGTCACATAGAACTTTATACTTTTTAAGTAAAAGTAAACAGTTTGTGTACTTAAATTAAAACTCTAAAAACATCTAGTACAGAGCCTTTTAAACCAAACATAGACATTTAAAGTGACTTTACTTTAATAGGGTAGTTACGCAAGGAGAATTTATAACCCCCCCCCCCCCGATCTTCATTGATCAACATAACAGCTACAAGGTTTTTCTTGTATGTGAAGAAGCCTTGACTTTCAGAACTTGATAATTTACTACATACTAAGATAAGGTTGCTTAGGAAAGTACTTGGTTGTCAAAACACACAAAGACACAATAGAGATTAATAGCAAAATCAAATTTGATTGATAAGAACTCATTTTCATATCTAATTTTAAGAAAATATAACTGTTGGACAAATAAAAGAACTAAATGACTTATCAATCGTCTAATTACAATGAATTGTATATTAAATATCATTTTGACCTTTATGGATATTAAATAATCTCAAGAAAAACCTGTTAATTCAAGAATATTGATTTAAAGATAACAGCTAATTCAGTGTCCAAAGGTCTCTAGAAAATACCTTTCAGGTACTGGTAGAACGGAAAGATTTTTGAACCTGCACATGGTATTTTCTGGTACAAAATAAAATATGAAGGCTTTTCTCCAGGAATGTATCATTACATTTGTCTTCTTTTAGTAAACCTGGAAAGGGGTCAGTACTGCAATATAATCTTCAATGTTGGCCAGAAACTTTGAGGAAAAATGTATGTCATATCACAATTTCATGGAGTTAACATTGACCTCTTACAGGAGTACTATAGAATCATACTTTATTTAGTACCAGCAAAAAACATGTGCAGGTAGCAATTTTTTGCAAAAATGTTTTTGTTCTACCAGTACCTTAAATAAAAGGAAAGAAGACTTTATTTTTTTCTAATGAAACACAAAATCATTCACTCCACATTAAGGTTTTGATTTCATTTTTCTGCTGTGACAGACGTAATACAGTATTCAGGTTTTTGATATTGTTTAATCAGGGCAATAAAATCTTTAGCTTTAAAATTAAGTTTTAACTGTAAATGTTCATAACATTGACATTTGCCTGATCTAAAAATCACATCAACAATGTGAAAATATAAACATAGATACATGTACTAGTATATATAAATACATACATACAGTATAATTATTCAATGATGCTTCATAAACCTGTGTGTTTTTACTGAATTTATTTATTACCTGCATGTTTAGATGTGATAATCATGATGAGTGTCAATTATCAAAGTGAAATATGGGGGAAGTTTATCAAAAAAGGTATAGTGGGTAGTAGTAAATCTGATGACACACATGTGCTACAGGAATTCTTTTTTACATGTTTCCAGTGTTTTTCATTTTAAATGTGTATGGCAAGTGTGGCAACTAAACTCTCTAGAAGCAATTTTCAGCTTCCTCAATATCACCACAATGTAATGAATCACAAAAGACCATAAACACAAAAAGTAATTTTTCCTTATATCTGTATGATTGGATTTCTTCCAATGTCTAGTCTCATTACATCCTATTGCACATAAGACATTATATTGCTTTATCATATGACTTTGATTCTTTATATGTTATGAACAATAGTTCAAAATATTAAGTTGTATTACTAAAGCAGATTGTCTTTCATGAATCCTGACTTTTCAATTATTTACCAGGTGACTATGTAATGTCATTTTCCATTGTCTTTAAATAGAAGACAACATGCAATATTTCAAGCATATCATTCTGCTATTATATTGGGATTATGCTACAGTGTGTCTGTGTCATTTACCCAATCTTTACCAATTAAATCTTAACCTTTTTATAGTAACACAAAAGTAATTTTAGAAGCACTTAAATAAATATTCAATATGCAATATTTAAAGCATATCAATTCTGCTATTATATTGGGATTATGCTACAGTGTGTCTGTGTCATTTACCCAATCTTTACCAATTAAATCTTAACCTTTTTATAGTAACACAAAAGTAATTTTAGAAGCACTTAAATAAATATTCAATATGCAATATTTCAAGCATATCAATTCTGCTATTATATTGGGATTATGCTACAGTGTGTCTGTGTCATTTACCCAATCTTTACCAATTAAATCTTAACCTTTTTATAGTAACACAAAAGTAATTTTAGAAGCACTTAAATAAATATTCAATATGCAATATTTCAAGCATATCAATTCTGCTATTATATTGGGATTATGCTACAGTATGTCTGTGTCATTTACCCAATCTTTACCAATTAAATCTTAACCTTTTTATAGTTACACAAAAGTAATTTTAGAAGCACTTAAATAAATAATACGCTTGTTGAAATGAATCTATGGCAGTGTTAGGCTGTCATGCAATTGTCTCAGTTACACATTTAGGAAGTGAGTTTTGGCAATAATGGTTTTGAAATGGTTAGCAGATTTATCAAGAAATGCTATACTATATGTATTATATCAAGGAATAACTAATTTGAACTACTGTATCAATGGACATCTCAAATAATTAATCTTTTCAAATAAACTTTAATAAATAATTTCAAGGAACTTTCGATTTTCTCATAAGATAACATTCAAAGTTTATATCTTGTATACCGGGGTAGATCTTGAAATTGACAAGGGGAGGGGGTCAACTTTTTGAAAATAAGGCACATTCTTTCTAAAATGACACATTTTCTCAAAATTCTAGGCATCTTTTTGATTTTAGAAAATAAGACTCAAATTGAAAACTGGGCCAATTTTATATTAATTTGCCCACCATTTAATCTACATCTATTCCATGACACATTATAACTAAAGTTAGTCATATGAGAAATTAACTTTTAATCCCAGTTCTTATAAAATATTAATGCTCTAATTATTTAATTAACAAAATGCATGCAAATTGTTAATTAAACCAAGAACAAAGGTGTAAAATACAGTGTATTGCTATTGTTGTTTTGTTTGTTGTTTGTGAACGTAAGTGGTTGTTTATATTTGTCAACTAACTTGCTACTAATTAATTATTGGTGAGACCAAAAAAAAAGTTTTTAAATGTAACGTAAACATGTGATTCTAAGAATGATTAATATTTTTTAATAATTTCCCAATATTTATTTTCCAAACATTTTATTTTTCTACATCATAAAACTGATTTCAACTGTTAAAGTCTAAAACTGGTCCTACATTAGCATTTTGTAGATTATCAGTACAAACAACAGGGGTTCAGTTCAAATCAACTGATTGAACAAGTTATTAAGATGACAAAATATCACCGCCTAGTTACAATTACAAAAGTGTAACATTTGTTACAGATGCTGATACTGAATGTTGATCAAAAGGCTAAATGCCTCAAACATGTCTATGTCTTGGTTGGGACTTAAAAATCACCCCCCCCCCCCCTCCCCTGCACTCTCTGTACACTCCCCCCACTCTGTCTGAAAAGGGTACACAGAGAGTAGAGGTAGATTTTCTTTGCGGAAACTCTACGACTGTATGTATCTGTTCCCGTGCATGTGCCCAGTTCTGATATTTCTACTTGCGCTTTTTACTAACCTGTGATACATTCTGTTGAGAAACAGGTGGATAATATTATATAGGTCCACATCATAAAGAATGCCGTCATCTCTGGGCCCTATATGTGTATCAATCAAATAGTACTGTAATCCGCATTCACTGTACTTCTTCGTTATGCTTGGCTTGGCTGTATTGAGTATGTACTCCAATTATAAATTTCAATGTTGAGTATGCCATATAGGCATATACTATTCATGTAGCAGCTGCACTGTGAGTGGGCATGATAATGTATATTTATAACTCATGTATGAGACTAAAGTTGACAATCACTCAAAATTAAATAGATTTATTTTTTGGAATATTTTTTCTGTGATTGATTCAACATCTGGTCATCTCCGAGCTGTAAGTAATTATAGTTTAAAATTATATCCAGAATGACCGCCGATATATCAAGAATCATTGTGCCAGTTTATGAGGCTGAATATCCTTTGAGATCGGAGAAATCCATCAATATTTTATGAGCTTCGAAACTTGTCTTGTAGTCTTGGTTTGTTTTTAAACTGCGCGCGAAAACGAGGCTGTGGATTTTTAAAAATTGAAAACGGTGATTGTTCATTTTCAAGAAGAATCGGCTCCTTACAGCTTTAATAATTTTTTATTAATTCAATAGAATATATTTTTGCAATTGAATACAAAATTGTTGTGAGTAAAAACATGAAAGTCGACTGATATTGAACTCTTAGTAATTTCGTTTTTATCCGGAAGTTGGTTCCCTGTTCCAGTGATGATCCAAAATGTCGTCCGCATTTTGGAAAATATTTCGAAAGTCAGGTCAAACATTTGCAAATTTACAAAAGCTGAAGACGAAAACACAAAGTTATAACAATGTCAGGGGCTTCTACAGACACCAGGCTTTATACGGTAAGTAACGTTGACATGATTCTGCTTGGTGAACTATTCCTGTGTCAACAGTAAAAATACCGGTGACAATTTTCTTATTTTTTATTTGACTCTCAAATGACATTGATCAGATTGCCAGATGATGGGAAATCAGTTTCAGCCCTGTCAACCCTCACACATTAGGCGTGATTGTCACGCATTTGATGGAAAAAATGAAATCACACCTCAATTTTGCGTGTATGATAAAATGTCACGCAAATCACGCATTAGATCTAGTCTATGAAGCCCATGGTCTATGTTAATAATGTGCTTATAAAAATGGGGATACTGTCAAAAAAACTAACGTTGAAAAAAGGCGAACGCATTTCGATATTGAACTTGGAAATATGGTGTTACTTCATCATCCTGGAGCTATTTCGACCATCATGCTTTTCTACATTGGTTTATATTTTCAATTCACACTGCAGTCTGTCGTGTTTGTTTTTTGTAAATTTAAAAAATAATTCAAAATCCTGAATAGGTAAGATCTTATCCGAGATGGCCGACCCTGAAAATGTGAATTATTGGTCATAGTCGAAACACGTCATGTATCAACATGGATGTAATGGCCCAACAAGGTAACCCCAAATGTCAAAGTGTGATGCAGTGCCCTTACGTGTACATGTATTGTCTGTAGGCTACCTGTTTATGTATTTCAAGCTTCCCATTTTCCTGTTATATGGTCATTGTATTTATGTAATTTAATAGGTCAGTCAAATAACATCAGCAATCGTTCCTTGAAAACCAAATCAATTAACTGCAAACACTAACCACAGAATCCATTTTTATTCTGTCTCGTAATCAGCTGCCATAGGATACTCCCATAAATCTGAAGGTACATGTACCTGTATGGAAGGCTGGTGGCCTAGATGATGGGGACTATCAAGTCCCTGTCAGATGTTGTAGGTCTATTGATTGTAGAAACTTAAAGTCTAAAATGAAAATGCTAGATCTGAATTATGGTCTTCATTTACATTTAATTCTGCCTAACACATGCAGTACATTTCCTAAGTACAACTACAATCATGTACATTTGTCTAATGCCTTACTTTGTATGAGAGAGCATATCTGTTTCATATCAACTTAATATCTACCAAACCGTTTAAACAATATAATTTTATGGGACATATTAAATAGTGAAGAGTGGACATATTATATTCCCGATTATATTATAGTGGTTTATGCATACATTTTGTGTGTTTCAGGCGCAATCCAGATCAATATGCCTGCACTTTCACCTACAATGACAGAGGGCACAATCGTGAAGTGGTACAAGAAAGAAGGTAAGGGATGATACACTAAAATTTAAGAGGATACAGTAGTAATAAACATGACAGAATTGAAGCATTTAAAAACAAACTTGCACTATGTTGAAAATCTGTTTGCATCCATGGTTTTGAAAATCGTTCAATTTTTGAACCTCCCACAAAATATAGCAATGTTGTAAGAACACATTGGTAATTTTATCTCATTGGCGGATCCAGAAGCTGACAAGTGGGGGGCCCAATTTTCAAATCAGACAAATATTTCCTTAATAATTTGGGCCCAATTTTTTTTCTGGGCCCAACCAAGGGGGGTGGGGCATAGATCCACCAGTGTGTCTCTGGGAATTGTGGAAGGCACAGACTATTTAACAGGATATTCAATCATACACTGTATTATGTACTAACTTACATGTGCTTACATTCTTACATTAGTCTCAACAGAAAAATGATTTCTTTACACCTAGGTGTTCAGTTGAGAAAAATCCTTCAGAATACACTGCATACTTATAAATGTTTGAAAAATCCAAGAACTTTCTGAATGCATCACTCATTAACAATCCATCACTGTATTTAGGTGACCCCATTGCCCCAGGTGATGCATTGTGTGACATTCAGAATTCATCACTCATTAACAATCCACCACTGTATTTAGGTGACCCCATTGACCCAGGTGATGCATTCTGTGACATTCTGAATGCATCACTCATTAAAAATCCACCACTGTATTTAAGTGACCCCATTGCCCCAGGTGATGCATTGTGTGACATTCAGAATGCATCACTCATTAATAATCCACCACTGTATTTAGGTGACCCCATTGCCCCAGGTGATGCATTGTGTGACATTCAGAATGCATCACTCATTAACAATCCACTACTGTATTTAGGTGACCCCATTCCCCCAGGTGATGCATTGTGCGACTTTCTGAATGCATCACTCATTAACAATCCACCACTGTATTTAGGTGACCCCATTGCCCCAGGTGATGCATTGTGTGACATTCTGAATGCATCACTCATTAACAATCCACTGCTGTATTTAGGTGACCCCAATGCCCCAGGTGATGCATTGTGTGACATTCAGAATGCATCACTCATTAACAATCCACCACTGTATTTAGGTGACCCCATTGCCCCAGGTGATGCATTGTGTGACTTTCTGAATGCATCACTCATTAACAATCCACCACTGTATTTAGGTGACCCCATTGCCCCAGGTGATGCATTGTGTGACATTCAGAATGCATCACTCATTAACAATCCACCACTGTATTTAGGTGACCCCAATGCCCCAGGTGATGCATTGTGTGACATTCAGAATGCATCACTCATTAACAATCCACCACTGTATTTAGGTGACCCCATTGCCCAATGTGATGCATTGTGTGACATTCTGAATGCATCACTTATTAAAAATCCACCACTGTATTTAGGTGACCCCATTGCCCCAGGTGATGCATTGTGTGACATTCAGACTGACAAGGCTGTCATGGCCATGGAGACTGAAGAAGAAGGAATATTAGCCAAAATAATTGTAAGTCTGTCAAGTTTAAAGTCTAGATATTGAGTAGAGTACATGTTAAGACTGAAATGTTAGCACAGCCTCCCTCATCTATCTTTAAAAACTATGATAAAAATTATGATATTACGCACATCTTTATAACCATAACACTTAACAGAAAACATTGGTAAACTTGTATAATATAACCCAATTTATTTGCTTCTTTATGATATTATGCACATCTTTTATGTTGAATAGTCTCAAAGACTGTCCACTTTGGAACCTAAATCAGTCATACTAAAATACAAATTGTGAAGAGCTAACTTTTAAGTATTCTAACCCATTTGTAGATGCCAGATAACAGTAAGGATGTCAAGCTTGGTACTCTGATAGCTCTAATTGTTGAAGAGGGTGATGATTGGAAGAATGTCACTGTTCCTGATGTGTCTTCCAGTCCTGCCCCTGACACTCCAAGTCAGCCAGCTCCTGAAGTGTCTCAGACTGTCGCACCATCTGGTGGATCAGGTATAAAACATTGATATTAACACATGTCGAATTGACGTACAAGACAATAAAAGTGTACCTTGTAAGAGGGGGAATACGCCATAGTCGCTCTGTGAGATGAATTGATTAATACACATAGTGTTCATTAAGACAGGCTTAACTGTATTTCCTTAAAAGGACAAAAAACAACTGATAGCCCTGCATGTGAGAACACACTAATGCTTTGATATTGTTCTCACATTTATAATGCAGTGTTCAATGTTAAATCATAGTGTTTATTAACACAGAGTTTACCTGAAGAAAACAGTTCAGCAATATCCTTCACTTTACATGTACTATTTCTACTTCAGTTCCTGGTATTGAGATCAAGATGCCAGCTCTGTCTCCCACCATGACAGAGGGTACTATAGTGAAGTGGTATAAAGAGGAAGGTGATGTGGTTGCCCCCGGTGATGTATTATGTGATATTCAGACAGACAAAGCTGTGGTTGCCATGGAAACTGAAGAGGAAGGAATTCTTGCCAAAATTCTGGTACATTTTTACTTTTAAATTCTGCTGATTTGATACTGAACAAACATAAGAATTTATTTGTACTTTAGATATAATCTTAAGGATCGTTTCAAGAATGAAAACAAAAGCTGATAGATGAATACAAAATTTGTTTTGTTGTGATTTCTAGAAACCTGGCAACAGTGAGAATGTTGTACTTGGGGATTTGATCGCTTTGATAGTTGAGGAAGGTGCTGATTGGAAGGATGTCATGATTCCTGGAACTACAGTGGCTCCACCTAGTGCAGTACCTAGTGCACCACAAGCTATATCAGCGGAATCAGTTGTTTCTACTCAAACTCCGATAGCTTCCTCAATTGGACACATTACAAGTGGAATTGTGTATGTACACTTAATATACAGTGTGCCAAAAAGATTCATCATATCAAATGCTCAAGGAATGTTTAAAATTAAAAAAAGTTCCTAGTCTCCAGATTTATAGAAAATATTCAAAAATAAAGATCTATGTATTTTCTATGAACATTTTAGTTCTTTTATAGAAAATAAGCTCAATTGAAAGCTGTGAATTAAAAAAAATAGTTTACAATATTGAATGCTCATGACTTTACCCATTATCATTCAAACTTTTTTTATTTACATTAATGACCACTGTTGTTGCAGACATGGTGTAGGCCCGGCAGTACGAACATTAATAGACAACTATGCAATAAAGTTAGAAGATCTGAGAGGTACAGGGCCCAATGGATATTTACTGAAGGGGTAAGATTTTAGTTGCCTATATCTATGACAGGTTTAGGGGTTCGACCCCCCACATTGGCAAATCCTGGCTACAGGCCTGTATGAAGTTTGCTAATTTGCATATGTCCATTCATTATTTAGTTTTTATTTTTCATTGGAATAAAAAAAAGATGCAGTTCTCTCTGATCTCACCGAGCCAATCAGAGTTTGTCGTCAAAATACGGACGACTTTCTATATGGTCATTTCGTCTGACATCATCGCATAGTTAATGAGCAGGCATTTAGCACGTCTTCCTTCAACTTCGCTGATTGGTTGGGAAAGGGTCAGCATGGTATATTTGGAATGATTTATTACCTGGGCTGTCACAGACACCAATATCGGGGCGAGGCTGTAATATCTATACTTGGCAGAGGGTAGTTCATAACTAGACTCTGCACGCAGGGTACTATTCCACATCATTTACTTACTTATTTCAGTGATGTTTTGGAGTGGATCAGAACAAAGAATCTGACACCTGTCACTCATGCTGTGGAACCTCCTCCTCAAGTTTCAGCTCCACCCCCTACCACTGTAGCTCCTCCGCCTAGAGTACCTGGACAGGGATATGTCGATATCCCCAACTCTTCTGTAAGAAGTATTATTGCCAAAAGATTATCAGAGTCAAAGGTATGTTTATTTGTTTGTTTGTTTGTTTGTTTGTTTGTCTTTTTGTTTGTTTGTTTGTTTGTCTTTGATGAATACATCTTGATCTACCATGAAGTTCATGTAAAATGGGTTATTGCAAGTGCATCATTGATTTACAAAATGGTTTGAACTTAAAAGCACCTGGAGCCTGAACTGTACATGTTATCATTATGTAGAGTCACCATGTACATAAATAATGACTAGGCTGTATGATAATCTGAACTTTTATAGAATGAAAATATTACAACAGATAGTTATTTAACTGGTTTACCCAAATGCAATTGGAGACATGATGAGAAAATTACAATACTTTATACACGTAGGCTACTTTACAACGTTTTCAAAAGTTTACCTGTTAATTTGTTAACTTAAGGTATAATTAAATCCATGCAGCTCAAAATAAAACATTTATTAAGGTTATGAAGAAATGACATTTCCTATTTTAATTTGTTAACTTAAGGTATAATTAAATCCATGCAGCTCAAAATAAAACATTTATTAAGGTTATGAAGAAATGACATTTCCTATTTTAATTTGTTAACTTAAGGTATAATTAAATCCATGCATCTCAAAATAAAATATTTATTAAGGTTATGAAGAAATGACATTTCCTATTTTTTTCTGAACGTATGAAACAACCTTAACATGCTTTTATATTTCAGATCACATCACCTCATAGTTATACATCTATAGAATGTAAAGTAACAAAGGCTGCACAGTTGAGAAAGAAGCTTCTTAAAGAGGGGACCAAGGTCTCCATGAATGACTTCATTATAAAAGCTGTTGCAGTGGCATTGCAGGTATGTGCTGTTGTACCCTATGCAAGAACTGAACGTCATTTATACTCTCAAAATAAGAAACAGTTCTTTGATCTAATCTACATGTATATTCAATCAGAATATGAATCCAGAAAATTACAGTTTTCTGTATGTAAGTCGTAAACATTCATTTCACATCTGCTATTGAGAGCATTAGTTCAAACCTAAAAGTATTGAATCGTCCATTATAGTCATACATGGAACTTTTACAGATGAAAATTGGTTTAGAAACTTCATTTTGATTTTTGAAGGGAATTTTCATTTGAAAATGAGAAAATGTTTTACTTGAATTTATGTTATGATTGAATGTAAAAAAATTAAAAAAGTTCTCACAATTGGGTCTCAGTATGTTGGGCAGATTATTTCAGTCACATAACTAACCTAAAATATAATATGCATAAATACCATGTAATGCTTATGTTTCTATCTACAGAGGGTGCCGGAGATGAACATTGTGTGGGAAGGTGACAACCCTGTGCAACTACAAGACATTGATATCTCTGTTGCCGTGGCAACAGATTCTGGTCTTATCACCCCTATAGTGAAGAATGCTTCTGGACTAGGTGTCGAGCAAATCTCCCACAATGTGAAGGTGAAATTTCTTATTTTTGTAACCAGAAAGATTTTAAATTGTTGAAAACAGTGTAAAAAGGCTTTTAAAACACTTCATGCTTAATTCTGTTTAAGATTGCATTTTCTGAATCCAGCCTAGCCTATAAATTTGCAGTAAAAATTGACCCTTGGCCCTCGATCGAACTTATAGAATCGTTCTATTTTTCTCAGAAATACCTTCAGAATTTGCTTGATTATTTTGCATACAGCTGCTCTAATGTTCATGTACTGCTTTGTTTTAGGAACTTGCTGTTAAAGCTAGAGAGGGTAAATTACAACCACAGGAATTTCAAGGTGGTTCATTCACGTAAGTACATGTACAGTAATTTGTATTTGTTATGTAAAATCCATGAATAAAATAATTGAAAATAATTAATATCCAATGTGAAGTAAGAACATGTCTGAATTAGACTTAAACAAAAACTTTGTTTTTATCTTACTTGCAAACATTTTAACTCACTGCATAACTTTTCTAGATCATTAAATAGGAGACTCATCTTTTCAATTTTTATCCATTTGATTTAGTTCACGCAGCCCTATTATTTTCACAATTACTTTATTTTACACATTTCCAATTCAGCAAAAATGAAAGTCACTGTTCTTACTTATAACAGGGCCAATAATGCTGAATTCAGCCTCTGCCCTGTCACTTGTATGTTGATTTTGTAAAGTAAAATAAAGAAACCATAAAACTAAACTAAACTGTTTTCTAAAATATGTAATGTAATTGTCTAAAATTTCACTAATCAACAAAATGAAAGAATACCTTAAATTTTTCTATGAATTTCAGGATATCAAACCTTGGTATGTTTGGCGTAGCAGAGTTCACAGCAGTTATCAACCCCCCACAAGCCAATATTATGGCAGTTGGCTCCTCTCGTCTAGTCCTGGGCACAGACAATACCCCAGAACCTGTTCTAACTGTGACATTATCCTCTGATGCCAGAGTAGTAGACCAGTTACTGGCGTCACAATTTTTAGAGGCATTTAAGGCGATATTAGAGAACCCTATGTTAATGTTAACATCGTTACCCCCTAGAAAAAGACAAGTTGACACAGCATGAGGGTAGAAAGTGTTTATGAGAGGAACTGATACTGTTCAATAGTGCTATGCTCTCCTGAGGATTCTACTTATCTGGATACAGACTTTTAACTAACCAACAAAGATTGTAAAATTTCTAATTTTTCAAGATTTCCAATTTTCAACTGGCTGTAAAAAAATTATTTCACAAAATTCTATAAAATGTCAAAAATCCTCTAATTTTTCAAGTTTTCAAATTTTCACCTGGATTCAAATAGATTTTCTCATTGATGTATGGTAACTTCTCAAAAATCTCAACTGGTTTTGCAGTAACTGGTTGCTTCAATTCAATGCTTGTAAGATCACTGATTGTAGAATTTTAGATATGTATACACATAAGTGTTATTGGATAGCATGGGTATGTTACAGTTAAGACTGCCTCTACATAGTTTTGATCTGAACTGAAATAATTTATAGCAAACCATTAACAGTATGACAAGTTTAAGGAAGTCTGAGTAGAATGCATAATCAGGAGCCAAGCATGCTTGCATAACAACATGCGTAAATGTTCCCATTAGTCTCACCTTAATTTCTAAGCAGTAAATTCACATTTTATGTTGGTATCATAAAATTGTGCACACTTTCAACACGCACAATTTTGTCAGGGAGTAACATTCTTTATCCCATACTTGGACGTGTTACGGGTACATAAAGCCGGTTTATAAAAACTTATATTTTCATCAGCGGGCAGATATAGCTTTACGTCCCGCTCCGAGCGGGCAGATATAGTATATCTGCCCGCTACGTCATAATCGCCGCTCGCATATTTGTTCATAATTTGTAACGTTCGCGTAATGACTGTAAACTACAATGGAGAAAACACAGACAATTGGGATCTGTTTGATGGTTTAAAAAAGGGAAAGAGCATCCACTTAATCAATCAAAAATTCGAGAAAATAAATGTGGGAATATTTAGGAAAATCGGCCCACTGCCAAGAAAACAAAACTGGACATGAATATTCTAAAATATTTCCACGATTGAACAATGTAAACCAGATGACCAAGATTGGTATGGGATAAACATATTATCCTATAGTCGGTTCAGGATATTGGGATTATCCCTTGGCCAATATAATATATTTTCCCTCGGGACCTGCGGCCCTCGGGCAAATATATTATATTTGCCTCGGGATAATCCCAATATCCTGAACCTCATATAGGATAATCTCTATTTACATGTATCAGGTTTTGTTATGATCAGCTCTACAAGAATGTACATGTCAATGATATTCATGTAAACAATGTTCATGAAAACGATGTTCATGTAATCAATGTTCACGTAAACAGTGTTCATGTTAAAATTGTTAATGTAAACAGTATTTATGCGAACAATATTCATTCATATTAATATTGTTTATGTAAACAATTTTGTGTAAACAATATACATGTAAACAATGTTCTTGTAAACATTGTTGTTGAATCATTTTAACTAACATATTTGTGATGCTATGCTATTAGAAATACAGCTATTATTTATTAATTAACTTTACAAATTGTTTGTTTTGTTTATAAGTTGCAGAACTGTAAACTTAAGAATATCGATGATAGATACACCATAGGCTTTCAATTGAAAGCCCATGGATACACCAAGGTGTAAAAGAATATTATCCTCCAGTCAGGACCATCCACATACCTACCTGATATGTTTTACGAATAATTCATGTAGGGGGACATCAGTCACTTAGGCAATATTGTCTATTTTACACCAGCTCAATTAGGGTTTTGTCACTCTTGGTAATGTTTGGCAGATAAAGGCAATACTGTAGCACAGGTAAAGTCTGCATGAAAGAATAGGCCTAGTTTCCTCTTTCTACAATAGTTTTGCCATGGTCAATTTTTTAGTCTTACATGGCTTAACAAATAACATTGAAAAAAGGAATAAATCTGATAGAAGCATTTGAACAATGCCAAATGTGCTTAATCATGTGTGTTGATAATCTATCTGTATATCATGTACATAGAGAGCATGAGGCAAAATTCCCCCACTTGATTATCCAAATTTTAATTTTAAGGCACTGTTGGCACCACAGGCCCAGGAAGATTTAAATCCCCCCCCAGTCACTGTATAGCTAATGTAAAATTCTACCTAATACATAGTGAGTGGGAGGGGAATGAACTCTTGTTCCCGTGTCTGTGGTAATTGAAAAAAGCCTATGGAAAATCATCTCCAATTATCACCTAACTTACTATTGATAATTAGTTGAAAGTTAGGTGTAAAAATTCACATGCAAATGAGCTAATTATCAACTTAATTAACGCTTAATTTGCAACTTAATTAACGATTAACTATCATCAATATGCAAATGAGCTATTTACGTAAATTAGTTGAAAGTTAGTTGTAAGTTTGATGTAAGTTAATCTCTAATTATCACCTAACTTACTATTGATAATTAGTTGAAAGTTAGGTTTAAGTCAGATTTGTGACATCTCAAAAATGACTCGCTTCTTTTTTGCTTCTCTTCACTCGGAGATTTTTGCTTCATCTTGAACTATTTTGTGACGGAATATTCATCTTAATTAGGATCTTTCAGAACAGACAACATTGAACTTGAACTATTGAAATTTCACAGCAAGAGGAGGGAAAACCCCATGATTCAATTGATGACATACGATTTCCTCCTTCACACACCTCCTTTTGTCGAGAGGCGTACCCTCCATCTTGATTTTCAAAGTTTTCAAATTGACCTAGTTTTAAACCAATCAACGATCGACTCGCTAAACCAATCAACGACGATGTCATCTCAATACAGATTTACATTATAAGCGTATGTCATCTTTGAATCGTTTCTCCCCCTCTTTTTTAAAGCTATTCTATTTTGCAATTTTTTAAGATTCATGAAAAGCATGTGAAAACATCATTATTGCCATCAACAACTAAAATCAGAACACAAACATTAGACTATAATGTTACATAATAAGGACGTAACAGATATAATCAAAAATATGTTTTGAAATGTCTTTGATCTAACAATCATTATTTAGAAGAGCACATTTGGATTACTTGTGAAATATAGGTAACCCATGTTAGTACCTAAATTGCATTCTAGGATTAATATTATATGATCTGATTCAAAAAGATTTTTAAATTCATAAACATTTCAGACAAGAGTGTGAATAAGATTTAACATACATTGTATTCATGTTCTACATACCCTTATAATAATGTTGACCAAATTTCATGGTAGTATACGCACCATTCACGTTGTAATTCTCAATTTTATGAGAGAAATATCTCTCACATGTTTTCTTTTTCCACCATCTTGAAATTAAATTTAGGGGGTTTGTATTTCTAAATCATGGGCCTAATTTACGACTAATTATCATTATAATCATCCTATATGTTAACTATCAACCAATAATCTACTTCAGAACAAAAACGTTTTAATTTACCACTTACTATCACCCTCAAACATTTCATATCTTAATTATCAACTAAAAATCATAAATCAGCATTATTGTAAGTTAATTTACGTTGAACTTGCTACTGATAATTAGGCCATAATTATCATTGATTTAATGAACGCTTAACTTTAATTCCAATTGCCAGCAGAATTGTTGATAATTAGTTGTAAATTAGTTGGTAATAAGTTGGTAATTAGTTTTATTTTTCAATTGGGATGGCACTGTTACAGAAGCAGCAAAATATATCCCACCGGAACGAACATTCAATTTCCAATGTTTTGACATTTTTATCATCTAAGTAAAACTGTATTTTTATCAACCTGTCCTATACAACATATTACAATAAGTGATACATATTTTGAATATTGCATTTGGTTTAAGTTTGCTACTTTCAGTTGTGTTATATAAGAATCTCCTTGAATCAAGAGACACTCTCTAATAAAAGCCCGTGGTTGTATAAGGATCGTGAGGGATAATGTCAATTATGGATGTGTGTTATATGATTTATTGAGACATTCACGATGAAAATTGAAAAAATATCAGTACATCATTGATTCCATTGAATGTTAGCTTAGAAAATGACAAGTCCCCTTAAACTTTCTAACGAGTGTAAAACTTTATTCTTTCTAATTTCAACCTGAAGAAACATCTACACTAGAGGCAATCTGCGCGAGATTCCATTTTTTGGTTCGGTTTTTGGCGCATGCGCATTAAATCCAGCAATTCAATTGGTTCAAATTATTATGACGCATGCGCATTTAATAACTTATAAGAACATTTGATTTGAGATAGATGTCACTTACGTTCATTATTTCACAGCAGTCCCTACCCATGATGCACCATGTAGTGCGGGAATATTTTTGTTTAGTGCCAAAACAAAAAGTGTACACCCAAAACAAATGTAATGACATAACATCAACCTGCCCCCCGATTTATAGACGTGTGTTGTACAAACTTAAACCGAACCGATGGCAGAAAAGCACTTTGAATCATGGGAATGAAGTACTTCCTTTAATGAAAATCCGAACCAAGTAAAAACCGAATCTCGCGCAGATTGCCCCGACTCAACATCTATTCATTTATTTTATTTTACATTGAATTTTACAAGTAAAGAAGGAAAGGAATATGTCCAAGTGTAACCTCTTAACTCAGGCTAACACTGCCAAACTGGTGGAAGATATCGATACTGTGCTTTTCGACTGTGATGGTAAGAAAAATACCCGGAAGTACACTGCTCAACATAAATAAATGAGGTGCCTTTGCTGAAGTGAGGATTTCAAGAGGCTCTACATCAGTGGATGAGAGTATACAAAATGTAAAATATACTAAACTTAAGTGATGTGTATCTAGACATCATTGTAAAGTATGAAGTCTCAAATCACCATGGTGATAGAAGATCCAGGTGTCAATTATTTATGGTGAGCGACTTCTGTCAGCTCGGTAGCACAGTCAGAAAGAATGTTCTGGCGAAAGGAGATTCTGGTTAATAATTGATATCTTATCTCATTCGAAGAACGTATTAGATGTCCGTGCTCGGTAGAGTAAGCAGAGACCCTATCTGTTGCAAGACTTACGCCTGGTGTAACCGTCACCATGTTATTCAGTGTTTTTAAATAGCACAAGGATCCTGCCATGACCGTGGTAGTGTTATCGTGAAAGCCTGGTATAACCGCAACAATGCTGTATTATATTGCAATGCCTGCCATGACCGTGACAATGTAATCATGTAGGCCTGGCGCGACCGTAGCCGCTTTATATGACATTTATGACTTATGTCATGTTTCTCCCGTTGCTGTTATTAGTTTTTTATGGATTAACCTTATTAATTGATCATTATAGAAAATATGTGCTTTCGAATCGAATCTTCTTGAATGAGAGTAGAGATATAGTTTGTTCGAAAATTATTTATGAGTTAAAAATGAGGGTTTCGTTGTGAAATTAATATACATTTTTATGTATCAATGAACACGAGTACTATGTACATGTATAGCAGTCTTGATTTACATATTTAAGGTAGTTAAACATGAGGAAAATTGTCATTACGGTGTTTTCATGCTACTTTAAATGCTATTTAATATAGGGCCGTGCCATTCGACCGGAATCGGTCCGAACCGCGGACTTTTGTTAAAATACCGGAATTCGGAATTTTAATATCATGTTCCGAAGGGTTTCGGAACAATATCGGACCCTTACCTTAGTACTTGCTTTGAATCGTTAATATCCGTGACCATTGTTCCTCCAGTGATGTTTTCCTTCAAACTACATCCAATTTGCAATTACGCATGCGCATTATGGTCAGAGCAGCCGGAAGTGAAAACAAGTAGAAAAAAGATCGAATTTTCTCTCTTTTTACAGATTTTAGAGTCTATTTCTTTCGTAAAAACATTCAAACTTGCTTGACAGGAAAGGTAAGTGTTAACCTGACAAACTTGGACGACGATATCGTCATGATCGCCGTCGAACTCACTCATACATAATTATTTTCATTTGTGAACCAAAAGGGGTTCCGAAAGTTCCGATTCCGTGAGACCAAGTTCCGGTTCCGATTCCGAACCGTCCGAACCGGTTCCGGCACAGCCCTAATTTAATACAAACACGGTCATGAGAGGCCTTGCAACTATTGTCCATTTCAGGCTTTAACCTTACCACGGTCATGACAGGCTTTAACATTGTCACGGTCATGACAGGCTGAACAGTCATTATGACGGTCATATCAGGCTTTAACATTACCACGGTCATGACAGGCCTTGCGAGCATTGTCACGGTTATATCAGGCTTTAACATAATCACGGTTATGACAGGCCTTGCAACCATTGTCACAGTCATATCAGGCTTTAACATTGTCACGGTCATGACAGGCTGTGCAATCATTATGACGGTCATATCAGGCTTTAACATTACCACGGTCATGACAGGCCTTGCGAGCATTGTCACGGTTATATCAGGCTTTAACATTATCACGGTCATGACAGGCCTTGCAACCATTGTCACGGTCATATCAGGCTTTAACATTACAACGGTCATGACAGGCCTTGACTGGCACAACCGTCACCATGTTATTAGGTGTTTTAAAGTTTCGCAAGGATCCTGCCATGACCGTGGTATTTTTATCATGAAAGCCTGGTATAACCTTTACAGTGCTTTACTATATTGCAAGGCGTGTCATGACCGTGGTAATGTTAAAGCCTGATATGACCGTGACAATGCTATATCATATTGCAAGGCCTGTCATGACCGTGGTAATGTTAAAGCCTTATCAGACTGTGGCAATGGTTGTAAGGCCTGTCATGACCGTGGAAATTGTCACGGTCATATTGTGCTTTAAAGTCCCCGTCTAAAGTTTGAAAATATTTTTTTATCATTCATTTACTATTTGTCAGGACTTAAAAAGTGATTTTAGAGATTTTTGAACAAAAAAAAATTTTTGAAAAAAAAGTTGTGAGCATTTCATTTCTCAAATATTCAAATTTCCCGCCATTTTTCAAAAAAAGTTGAAATTTCTTAATCATCAAATATTTCTTAATGCATTTCAAAAAAGATTATCTTTTTAACACCAATGCAAAGGTTGAACAAAGGACACACTATTTCAATAGTAGAATGCCATATTTAATGGGCCACTTCAATGTTTTAGCATATCAAAAATATTTTGAAACATTAGTGATGTCACTAAGGTACCAAAAACTTTTTGAAAAAAATTGAAATTTTTTTTTCGATGTCAATCTTTTTTAAATATGCTAGACTTTCATAAAAAACCAATGTTGATTGTCTAACCAGGTTAAAAGGAAGAATAAATTATGTTTTAGATATCATTGTACCATTGGTTTCTATGAGAACTAAAACTTTGAAATGCATTTTTCTCAGAACCATTTTCATGCACTGATAAGTTCATTTCTCGCTTATTTATGAACCGATTTTCTTAATTTTTTCGGCAAAAAACACGGGAGGATGAATGCTATGCATTGGTATGAATTGTTGCTAATTAGAAGATATGAGTGACCTTTAAAAGTTGGTTTTAAATAAATTCACAAATTTTGGAACAAAAAGTCTATCAAAAACCACTTTTTGAAATTAAAAAAAAAAGTTTCACATATCACACTTTCATAACATTGGGTAAGACTACAATATAAGCCAAAGTGGTTTAAACTTTATATGGGGCCTTTAACATTACCACAGTCATGACAGGCCTTGCAAACAAAGTATTGCAGCTAAGATATCAATGTATTTTTCCACATAATATTGCACTGTGGCCACTCTGAAATGTGTAGGCTTGGCACAAAACAACCTCATGCTGTGGTGTCAATTTCATTTGCCAGATTTCATGTGCCAAATGCCAAAAACTGCTATTGATAGGAAAAGATGTTGATGTGCCAAAACATTGTGTTATATAACAGATAATAATATGCCAAAATATTTCACAATTTTTGATAGTGTAATGATTATTATTTTTATTTTTTTACATTCTTTTATGATTTTTAGGGGTTCTTTACACTGGGGGTCATCCAGTTGCTGGATCTCAAGAAATGCTACAGAAACTTCGTAATATGGTAAGCACTAAGAATGGTCAGTACAGTAAAACCTGAATTAGTGAACACATCTCTCTAGTGAACACCTATCAACAGTGAACATTTTTTCAGCAAATCATCTTTCTCCCATTGACTCCCATGTTAAAGTACAATCCTATAGTGAACACCTACCTACTGTGAACAGTAAACACTAAAACTTGGCAAAATGAATTGAATTATCCTGTCTCTAGTGAACATTGAATCATATATAAGATTTCTCGCACATTTTCTGCAACTGCCTTATCAGAGTTAAGCACTTCATGTTTATTTTACCTGCCAAAAAATAATTAAAAGGTCAATTTGAGATGTTGATCTTAGGATTGATTGCATTAGAGATAATCAGGCTAACTATTATTACCTCTATCTGCTAAGTCCCAACTTCAATTTAAAAAACAGATTGGATTGAAATTATAATGATCACCCTTAATTGACTCTATCATGTCCTTTTAACTTATTCAAAATAAATTTCTTGGTTAAAAAATGTTCATTTTTCACAGGTTTTACTGTATTGTAGCTCAGGCCATGAATTAACTGTGTGAGTTTATGTTACTGTAATTTAACCAATATATCATCTTCGAAATGTTCTAGCTGTATTATTTACAGTGCCATTGTGCCATACACATTAAATAGTGAGTAAAAAATTATTCTTAAGTATTTTTAAATTTAAAGGATTTGTATAGCTACAGAGTTCTCACTAGGCTTTAAGACACCGGAGATTCTCCCTCTTGCTCCAGAGTCTAATAGCTTTTCCAGAGTCTTTAGTACTAAAGTGTTTTTTCCGGAGTCTAATTTTACATTTTTGTCACATTATTTTGGGTATAACTCTTGAGAAAATACAAAAAACTGGATACAAACAAGGAATAGGAAGTCAGAAACCTTTTAGAAATAAATATTGGGATTAAAATAGCAAGATAATCTTTAGAAGTATGTTGAAAAGTATACTAATAGGTTATCTCTGATCTCACATGGGAGAGAAGTAGTCGAGATACCGCAAAAAAAGTAGTATCTATAAATACTGCTAAAAATCCGGGGTCTAAAAATTTCCTGGTGAGAACCCTGAGCTATGAGAATAAATGTATTAATTATGTGTTTGTTTAATTTCAGGGAAAGAGAATATTTTTTATTACAAATAACAGCTCAAGATCAAATCGGCAATTTGTCGCAAAACTGAACAAATTAGGATTCCCTGCAGAAGAGGTTTGTAGCCTTAGATGTAGACAAAATTAGAGATTGGGGGACCAAATTATCCTAACATAGTTCATTATTTTGGGGGTGATATTTTTTAATAAGAAATATTATTGGCTTTGGTAACACAGAAAATATCAGTGTGAACTTGAATTCAAATGTGTTATTAGATAAAGGGCGAACGTAATACCCGGAATGTTCGCAAATTGGCGTTCGTTTATTCACCGCATCCGATTTGAATTAGCCAATAAACATGATAGGGGTGTGAGAACTTGAAAATTCTGAAGATGTGTCTTACCCCCCTCTGGACATAAAGTCCAGAGCTGAATATGTCAGCACATGTTGATGATTGGTAAGTAAAAACAATCTATCCTTATAACGTAACATATTTTCAATAGTTAAGTGAATTTCGGTCACGAACCATTCAGAAACAACAGTTAAAACGAAGATTGTCCGCGTCAGATTTGATTGTACCACCTGGAAACCAATGGGGTTTTCTCATTTGCATAATCAGGTCACCTTATACCACGCTATAGAGCTGGGTAAGGGGGGTAACACTGACTGACAGAAAACACAATCGCCACTTCAAGTACATTTCCCTGTTTATTGTGTTCGTTTCAAGCCGTTTTTACATGTCATATATTTTAGTTAATCAATTATGTAGCTCATGATGTGAACAGATTCCAATGCTATAAAGTAAAATAACTGCAAAACGGTACAGAAAAAGGTACCTAGGTCTGAGAAAACCTACCCCTCTATACACCATTGTCTAATGAAGACCAAACAAAGCCCCGTATGTCGTGCCGTTTCTCGTTTTGTTTGGTACACAACGAAGCCCCGGGTATTAAATAAGCCTCCTAAAATCTCATTTAAAACAAGACTTCAATGAGATTTGAAAGTAATTTAACCTATGGGCTATTGATGATGTCTTTCTACTAGGCTGAGGCAGTGAGTACATCGTGGGTGGCAGCTTGGTACCTAAAGGAGCAGAACTTCAAAGGTAAAGTCTACCTAGTTGGCAATACAGGAATGGCAGAGGAACTTGATAATGCAGGCATCAAATATACTGGACTTGGGGTGAGTTTCGAGGATTTATTCAAGGTATTAGTCAAACAGACGCTTTCTTAGTTTGAGAAATAATTTTTGCTGAAGAAATAAATGCCCCATGTTTCATAGAACTATGATTTAAGGAGGCTAAGATTGGTGAGGCAAATTAAAACAGGTGAGGCAAAATTAAGTTAAATGGAATATAAGTAGTCTTGCTCAAAGACTGTATCCACCCCCCCCCCCCCCCCCCCCCCCCCCCGTCACCTTCACTCTCTTTACCTGGCAATATACAGAGAGAGGGATAAAGGGGGGGGGGAATACAGGGTCTTTTAAGCAAGACTGGAATATAAGGCAAATAGCGAACTTCATTTCCATGGTTTCCGTTTAAAAATTTCTGAATAAATAATTTTCTGTAAAATTTTAGTCGGATCAGCCATTTGCTATTTTGCCTCATTGTTACTTCCTTGATATTAATTATTTAAGTGTTATTCATTTTGAATATTAAATGTTTATTTTTCATGTTAGCCAGATGTTGCAGAAGAAGAGAGTATATGGGACACTGTAGACAACTCCCACCAAATTTTCCCCATAGACCCTGAGGTAAGAACAAATATGCACAATATGTGCTCTTCTGATCTATTAGCAAATTGTAATTTTGATATGAAGTATGTAAGATTGATTTTTAATTCGGTTCATTGACTCAGCTGACTGTCTTGTTGTTTTTTGCGGCAAAATACATGGATATTTTTTGTTCTGAATATATGAATTTTGCTTTTGTTTGAAAGGGTTTATGCCTTACTTTTTGAAATGAATAATGTTTTACTTCTTTAAATGGACTAGAATGAAAAATTAAAGAATATCCATTGTAGATTTGTGGTCCAGAAACATTTAAAATTGAGTATAAAATTCAACAGTTTACCTAGAATGCTAGATGCAAGTTTGAACTTTTTTTAATTTTTGGGGGAATTTTAGCATGAAAAATGATATGAGATAGAAATATTGAAAATAGAGACGACCAAATATTGAAAATTGAAAAAATTGCCTTTTACATATTTCATTATTTTTCTGATTTTTATTTTTCAGGTGCAATGTGTTTTAGTGGGTTTTGACCAACATATCAGTTTCCCAAAGCTACTGAAAGCAGCCTCATATCTGAAAAATGAGAAAGTTTTATTTCTGGCTACCAATGAAGACCCTCGTCTACCTTTGAAAAATGCCCCTATTACAATGCCAGGTAGGTAACTTTTGTATAAGATGGCATGGCAAGAGATCAGGCTTAAACAGTTAAAACCTGTACATTGAACATTATTTTGCTGAGAAAATATGTTCAGTGTTGGTGTTCACTACAGAGAGGGTAATTTACAGAAGTCAGTAAAGTATATGCAAAAGAAGGATGTCCATTAGAGACAGGTGTTCGCTAGAGAGAGGTGTTCACTAAAACAGGTTTAATTCATTATTGTATTTGATCTTTTCCTAAAACATTATTCATTACTTCTTTATTCAAGGACTCACTTTGATTTTTCAGGTACTGGTTGTATAGTTTCACCAGTAAGAATAGCAAGTGGAAGGGAACCCCTAGTGCTTGGGAAGCCCAACACACCTATGTTTGACAGTATACATGAGAAGTACCATATCGACCCTGCTAAAACACTCATGGTTGGAGACTCGTAAGTATTTTTACTTGGCCTTAATAGGATTGTGCTTTATAGCATATTTACTGAATGTATAGCTAAATGTTATAATACTGTAATAAAACTAGCAATCAGGATGTTGAAAGCCAACAACGGTTGGCGTCTGTAACAAATTCTTAAAACTTCCAATAACTTAACAAATACTGTTTAGACTGAATTCAGCTTTTTTCAAAAAGGTCAGAAGATATTTTTTCAACTTGATTCAAATTGACCAAATCTTTTTTTCAAAATTATCTACAAATTATCAGAAGTTCAAATCTAACTTTTGATTTGAGATTTTACCTATTCACTGACCTTCTCAAGGTCAAAAGGGCCAAAAAGGTCTTTTTTCAACTTGCTTCAAATTGACCGATTTTTTCACAATTATCTCTACAAATTATCAGAGCTTCAAATTTGACTTTAGATTTGAGATTTGACCTTCTCAAGGTCAGAAAGTTATTTTTTCAACTTGCTTCATATTGACCAATTTTTTTTCAAAATCATCTAGAAGTTCTCAAAAGTTCAAATCTGACTATAGATTTGACATTCAACAACATTCTCAAGGTCAAAACAATATTTGGCCTTCAATGAATTTCTCAAGGTCAAAAAGGTATTTTTCAACTTGCTTCAAATTGACCAATTTTTTCAAAATCATCTACAAGTTCTCAGAAGTTCAGATCTGACTTTAGATTTGAGATGTCTCCTTCAATGACCTTCTCAGGGTTAATTTTTTTATTCAAAATCATCTACAAGTTCAAATCTGACTTAAGATTGAACTAATAATATTGTGAACAACTAGGTGGTGACATTTTGTCATGTTATGCCTTGTATAAGAATTGATTTTGTCTCCAAAACCTTTCATTTCTCAAGTGTAATATCATACTATAGGCCTGTATTCGAAATGAAAAAACACTAGCAGCATTCAGCAATGCTATGAAATCACAAAAACAACAATTATTATTAATTCAAAATTATTCTATGAATTGATAAAAATAATTTTCACATACTTTCAGGTTAAAGACTGATATTCTAATGGGCAATAAATGTGGTTTGAAGTCACTCCTCGTATTAACTGGTATCAACTCTCTGGAGGACGCCAAATCAGTCATGAATAGCAGCTCCCCTGATGTACAACAGCAAGCTCCAGATTTCTATATAGAAGATATTGGACAGTTCGGACAATTTTTATGATGCTAGTCATGTGTTAGCTAATTTATAGTAGTTAGTCATGCTTTAGCTATTCTGATTATGTTTATGACAATCATATGTGGATATAAATACTCAAATTAATGTCCACTTCCTGTCCATGTTCCTTAATATGTCAAGAGAACATGTTAGTAGACAGCAGTCTCTATCGTTTTAGTGCATTCACAGCAAGCATTTGTATTTATTGAATGCCCCCCCCCCCCATACCTCATACAGTGATCTCCACAGGATATTTTCTCAAGTGGGTGCAAAATTCTCATTTTCACAATTCAGACCAAAATTGGTCAAAATATGCCAATTTTCAAAATCAAAATTTTTCTCATTTCCAAGTGGGTGCAAATGGATTTTCAACTGAGTGCAAGCCTATTTCCAAAATCTAAGGGGGGTGCTGCACCCACTTACTTTAATGCTGGGGAGATCACTTGTCATACTGTATGTATTCTGAAAAATAATCAAGATAAGAAGGGTATTTCCATTTCATTACATTAAACACTGTATGGCATTAGGAATGCTTTATATTCAAGTAACATATTCTTATAGGTATTTAAAAGCAGTTGACCTTTAGACTCATGTAATTGCTGTATTAAATCTGCATTTGAAATAATAAGTATGCTGTCCATTGTTAGGGACAACTGAAGCAGTTTACATTAATTCTGGTCAATACAATAAATTAACAAAAAATGAGATAAGGTGAACAGTTGTTTACATACAGATCATGTTTAACTCAAGAGATATAGTTCTATTTAGGCACAAATAAAAATCAAGGTATTGAGTTAATGTTAACATACAGAATGTCCATAAACCCATACTTCACACAAACTTTGTTAATTGTCCAATTGTAAGAGACTTTATGGACACCCTGTACATATAGTTGCACCATCAAATGAACAAACACTGAATGCCAGGGGCGGATCTGGGAACCAACAAGGGGAGGGGGGGTAAAATTTCAGGTCAGATAAAAAAGATTTCGGGCCCCTAAAACCAAATTTTGAAATTTTGAGGCCAATTTTCTTCAAAATTAGGCCAGAAATTAAAAAAATAAGGCCTTACCATTACAAGGCCCAGTAATGACCACTTTTTGGGGCCTTAAGGATGTTCCCTGGACGAAGTTGAAAACGATGAACACCAACCCCTAATTTTTCTTTTCAAAATGTGAAGTACATAGCATAACTAAGTGTTTCTGTGAGTTTAAGAAAAAGTTAAATATTCAAAAGTGTGTTTTGGGGTGAAAACCTGATTTTTAACATGGGTTTCAATGAGAAAGTGCCACGCCCACTTTTGTCAAATATTGACACTTTAGAGGCCTCTTGCTCAGAAAAAAGCACACTAACATATGGTTTTTAAAGTTTTAATATTCTTTGTTGCCCGTGAGAATCCCAGAAAACCATTTTTGAGAAAAAGTTAAATACTATTGAATATTTTCCTATCTGACCAGGGAACATCCTTAAGGCTTTTTTTTGCTCAAAATTTTTTGGGCCCAATTTTTTTCGGGATCCGCCAGTGGAATGCTGATTGCTATAGTAAGATAGCATTATAAAAATATAAACAATTTGATAGTAATGTGCACATACATAAGTACAGATATTAGACCATGTGTTGATTATGCATGTTAAATCTTTGCTCATTTACAGTAATTGTACTGCCTATTGTACATATACATTTGTTATGAAAATATTGATATGTAGTAGAAACAGTAGTTGTGCAGTAAACAAGATGAATCTTTTTAAATGAAGTTTTGTTTATAAAATATTCATATAAATCAAGGGCTCTGTAAAATTTCACATATATGAATATCTGAATTTTTAATAAAATAAAATTTGAACAAGCAATATTATTTTACTTTTGTTCCCTATGTGATGAGAGTGATGCTATTGTTTGAAAACAGTAGAAAAAGAAGGATAATTGGTTCAAACAAAATATTCTTGCAATTTTCTGTAGATAAGAGGAGTAAAATATTGTCAATCAGTTTTTAACTTCACATTCTTATGAAAGTATGTCCATAATTAGAAAATTAAATCATTTGCGCCACAAGCCCTTTGTACATGGATTTAAATACTGACCTGGTTTAAATTGAATGCACCCAACCCTATGCATGGGTAGAACCATGGCCCATAAAATTATGAATCAACAATAAACCCGAAGGCACAATCTGACACAATCAAATTTTTAAACACTATTTTTGGCAAATTAGGTGGTGTGGGCATAATGAGGAATGGAAGTTTATTATGATAGAGAATCTATAGTTTTGCTCATGAATATATGTAGTGATAACAACTGGTGATCAGTAAAATAATAACATGCAAGAAATGGGCCCCAAGAAACACACCATTCAAAAATCATTATCACAGTCAAAACAAGTGAACATATATCAATTGAAGAAATACTTGAAGAACTTATATTTGATCAAGGACGTCCTTGATTTGATCGATTAAGATGTAATTAGTGCGTGGATGTACATTTCAATTGCTAAGCATCTATCGGGGCATTCAAACTCAACTAGCAATATTAAAACAAGAATGACAGGTCCCCGAGAGCTCTTCAAATGGTCATATGACACAAAACATGGCGGATGAAAAATATAAAGTACAACAAGGGTAAGTAAAGATTATAATGAAAATAAGCGTATTCAGTCAACAAAGTGGGGAATTTGACATCATATTATTTTCATAATAACTAGGGCATGGCTGAGTATGTTTTAAATCCATCAGATTACCGCCATGTCCCTATTTCAAAGAGAAAGTCTGGCTTTTTATTTATTTTATTTTTCTAATTCTGGGTGTGATTTTGCATCAGTTCAGCGTCAGTGTCTCTAGTTGACAGCTCATACTACTCCCCAACAGAATGGGCAATCAAAATACGTATTTTTTGTTATGGATTTTTATAAATGCATTTTTTTCACCAGAGAACTTCATAGCTTTCATGCTTTCATACACTCATGTACATTTTTCGTTATTTTTGGCTCAAACAGTGAGCCTATGGGATCGACCTGGAGTCCGTCCGTCCGTTGGTCCATCAGTTGGTCCATCCGTCAACATTGGCTGCACAAATTAAAATTGCTATTCGGATTGAGTCATATCCACATTCATTTTATGCATATCCAAAAACCGGGTACATGGTCGACCGGGTACCTAACGCAGGCCTGTCAACTTGGGAACACCTAACATGAGTGACTTGGAAATGTTGAACACCTCCCCTCTAAATGTGGACACCTTGGTCCAAATCTGAACACCTAGATCCAAATTTTGAACACCTTGGTTTAATTTTTATTCATCTTGCCAAATTTTGAACACCTCAAATTTTTTGCGCTCGCTACGTTCGCGCTTCAAACATCCATCAACGGGGGGGATAGGTACGAAAAATTTCAAACGGAATGCGTGACATATACGTGATTCGCGTGAAAAGTCCGAACAAAATGCATACGTTTTGTTTTCGGCGTTCGTATTTTTCTGTGTAGACGAACTTTTTTAGAAATTTTTCTACAGAAATATTTTTGCTTGACAATTACCAGGTAAAATGCGTATTTGCGTGACATTTTCTGTCACACAAAAATAACTGGCGTGACTTCAAATTCTTCGGCAAATGCATGACAAATACGCAAATTGCGGGACGGTTGACAGGCCTGCTAACGTTCCTAGCAGGGTTACCAACTTTCAAAGTTCCACATTTCCCCCGAGATATAGTAGCGAATTGACTTGACAGACTTAGCCAACCGAGTGCACTGTTGTTCGATATTTTTACCCTATACGAGACAGAGCACTTTTTAAAATAATCTATCCAGCAAACAGTGACGTCCATGTCACGTTGCTCATAAGTAGCATATAAGTTCCTAGAAGACGTTGCACATTTTCGTTCTTTACACATCGAGGCAACGTAAACATGAGACATCTATTGATGGTATAAAAAGAACGTTGTTGTAACGCGTCCGTAAAGTTTGTTAGTGTGGAAGACATAACAAACAGGAACGTTTGATTTTTTACTACATTGGTCCATATGTGACGTAACTCAAACGTTAAAATTCAATGTTGTCAAAACAGGCTTTTAATATCAAAATATTTGTTGGTGGAAAAAAACATGACAAAAACTTTGTGTTCTCACTAAGTCGGTTCATTTCCGATGTTGTCGAAACGTTTTTTCGAATTGAAATAACCTCAAAACTTGACTTCAATAATGACGTTCATGGACCGTATTGATCTGATGTTACTTATATATTCAGCAAAACGTCGATGGATGGTTGAATTTCAACATTGTGGAAATGGCTTCAAAATATTTGTGAGTTAAGGAAACGTTACAAAGACGTCAATATGTTCTCACTAAATCGGTTCATTACCGACGTTATTTTAACGTTAAAAGTTAACGTTGTCAAAACGTTCTTACGATGTGAAATAACCTCAAAACGTGACATCGAAAATAACGTACATGTATTGTCCAGATCCAACGTTATAAATAAAAAAATTCCTAACCCTGCTAGGAACGTTAAGTACCAGGTCACCCGGTTACCCGGTCACCCGGTTTTTTACACAAACCCAAATTTCATTTTCAGGGAACTTTCTCATGTATAAAGTCAATCTTCATTGGCTGCACAAAACGCTGTGTGAGCACAGGATCGTGGGTCCTTTATTTTTCTAAACTTTACATTTATTCATTGCTTTTGTTAATTATTATAGTTGTGGTTAAATTGAAATTATGACAAGCGAGGCAGGTAGAAAGGAATACTCGTGGAGCCACCTTTTGGTGGAAACTAATACTGTTGATGAACTGACACAACCAATAAGAGCCTCATCACGGATTAAGGTATATTTCTGATAAATTACTGCTTTATGTAGTATATCTTTAACAAAGTTGAATTATCTTTTAGGTATACTTGAAGCCCTTGTTGGGTCCAGAGACTAGTTGTAAGACTATTAAAAAATCATCTTTTTGGTCCATCATTAATTTCTGCTTTGTAAAAAACATGTATCAATTATACTCCTCTTCTTCGGTATGAATATCCATTCTGGGCCGGGTCGTTCAATCAAATATATTGCATCTGCAGCAAATACCTGTAACTAAGAGTAAGAATAAAAAAATTATCAAATGCCAAGTGAATTTTGCTGTTTTCTAAATATCAATATCCCATTGAAACAAGTGTTAAAATATTGTTTCTGATTATGATTTTCATTACAGTATCTTTGCCTGGCTGTGTCCCAGAACTATGTGGCATTTGGCACCAATACTGGGGTGATCTATATCTTCCAACGTGACCCCATCAAATACCTACAGGTCTATCTCGCTGATAAGGTAAATATGAGGTCAAAGACAATTTACATGCATAATGCACTTATTCATCATTTTATATGGGAATTGAGATGTTCAGACCAATTTATCTGAGGTACAGCTGTAACAGTTATCTGAGATACAGCTGTTATTTGAAGTACAGCTGTTCTGATGTATAGCTGTTATCTCAGGTACAGCTGTTATCTCAGGTACACATGTTATCTGAGATCCAACTGTTATCTGAGGTACAGCTGTCATCTGAGGTACAGCTGTCATATGAGGTACAACCTGTTGAGAAATCTATATTGAAATGAGATAGAATGTACGTTGCAATACTCAACTGAACTTTTGATACATTCCCATCAATCTTTTTCATAGCTTGGTGCACAATAGTTAAGACGGCAGCTACTTCAAGTGTTTTTATCATTTTGATCATATGAAATTGTTTTTGCATTATTATCTTTGAATTGTGTGCTTAAAAGATTGTATATTATCTCAAGTATTGTTTTCTTTGTAAAATTGATGTTTTAACAGTTGTAAGAGTTGTAAACTCAAAATAGTTTTGGTCCTGTTTGAAACTCCTTTTCTGAGTACTTTGGAATTTATTTTTGAACCATTGCAACTTATATGATTTATTTGCAAGTCATTGCTTATCTAACAGTAAAAAAATGACTCATACTTATTAACAATTTTTAATAATATATACAGTATATATATATACATTGATGGATTTTTCCCAGTTGATCTGTTTTTATAAGGTTGTGCCAAGATTTGACACTTTTTAAATATTTCCTGTCACAAATTTAGATCCAGATTTAAGGACAATAACTCCAGCAAGAATATTCACATTTGCAAAAAACACTTGTTTTCCTATATTTTATGTTTTTCTCACAACAAAATAATGTTTTACTAATGTTGCACAATGTTTTAGGATCGCTCAATCAACTGTGTAGAGTTTGGACCAGATGACAACCTCTTGGCATACACAACAAGGTATGTATTGAATAGGCATAAACATATAATCAGAGACTAATTTATGGCCAACCCATACATATCTATACTTTTCTGTGGATTTAAAAATGACCAAATCATACCATACATGTACCTTCAACGTTCCACATGCATATGGAGGTATTCTGTTTTAATCGGGTATTTTAATTGTGCAGAATTGCTCTACAACTACATTTTTGTCATATCGCATTGTTATCCTTATTTCATTTCCTTGAAAAAGATTTATGAAATAAATTAAAATATTCACAACATTATTGCAGCAAAGGTATTGTTCAAGTGTTAGAGTTGAACATTGAGAAACGCAGCAAGCCTGAGAGAATCCGTGTCTCACACGAACACAAGGAAACCATTGTGACATCACTTTGCTGGAACCATACTGGGAACAAACTCTTCTGTGGTGACCAAAATGGCAAAGTTACAGTCGCATATATATCATCTAAGGTATGTAAGGCACTTAGAGTTCTTGTCATCGTTATAGCAGCATAATTTAATCTTTTAATCCTCAATTTACACCGAACAACTAGTTTTCTGCTTGGCAGAATGGTGTATGAAGTTTAAGTTTTGCATAATGGGTTTGTCTATTGAAAAAAGGTATGACCTTTCCCAAAATGTAAATATAGTAAAACATGTGTGGAACTGGAACACCTCTGTAAGTGGAACACCAAGTCAGGTTACCATTAATTTTATAAAAAGTAAACATCTGTGTTTTGAGCACCAGTGGAACAATATTTTAAAGTGCCAAATGAGCTTCACTAACGTCCTCTCCCACTAACACAAGTTTTACTGTACAAGAAAATAATGTAAATGTAAATCATCATTGTGGGATCCACAGCCTTTACTATCCTTTTGGAATAGTTCTCTCAAAAGCGTTAGGTAAAGAGGGGCTCTGATAAATCCGAATGGTAAATCATGTGATGCTCTATTTATTCAAGGCTAAGGACCTGTTCAAACATCCAACAGAAGTCATCATGAAACTAGACTCTAAGGTGGTTCAACTTGACTGTTGTGAGAACAAAGTACTTGTCTCTACTCTCACCAGAAGCTACCTTTGCAATACTGCAAAGTGAGTCACAGTAATTAGCACTAAGTTATCCATTTTGTTTAGTTAAGGGTCATAAAAAAGTTGTTTTTTGTTTTAAATTACAGATTCAAAATTGACCTATTTTGTCACCACTACACGTGGTCTCCAACATTTTTTGTGACGACATTCAGCGTTCGGAGTACAGTGTTTAGCGTCTATTACAAATGGAAAGTGGTGACATTTTTTTATGTAAATACCTTGTGATTCTTTTTGTATATTATCAAGTACACTTGGTTCATTTGTGACTTTGTTTGTTTCAGGGAAAAATACACACACATTGGGACAAAACCTAGAGATGGTTGCTATGGTAATTGTTTCTTTCAAGGCCCAAAGGTGGAGACACCAGTCATCTATTGTGCCCGACCTGGATCTAGAATATGGGAGGTAGGTGAAAATGAATATGTTTAGAAATGTCATTGTATAATAACATTTTTCAGCAGTTGAAACTGGGTGTAATACCTAGTTGAAAATTAGAAATTGCTTTCGCACGTAGTTGGAAATTCTGATTCACAAAAAATTGGTTAACATATTAGAGTCAGACTTTTGATCAGATATTTCCTTGATGTTTCAGGTTGACAATGAAGGAAATGTACTGAATACCCACCAGTTTAAGAAACTGTTAGATATGCCATCACTTGATGTTCTCTCTCTTGGGTAAAATTAAGTTACTTTATATTTTATTTTTCATTTTTTCTTTGTGCATATGTGCATATATCAGATGTAAGAATGTTTGGCCTGCATCCCTATGAAAAAAAGATACTCAAGAAATTATTGATAAACAAACATATATATTACTGATGCCTTAAGCCTGTGTCCGATTTTCTCCACCTTGACTGGAATATGGATAAGGGTTGGTTCAAAATATAATCATTGAATTTTTGAAAATTAACAAAGTAAATGAATGTAGTATCACAACCCATTTCATGTCACTACCTTTTTCAATTTTTTTCAATTTCTCATTTCAGGGACCAAAGTGGCCGTTACCTTGGACCTGAATTGTCTTCCAATGGCCCCCAATCTCTGGCCTTCCCTCAATTACAGCTGTTTAGGTAGGTGAAACCAAAATATAGTAACATAGTAGCAATAATAGCATTTGGATTGGATTCTTGTCCTAGATACATATAGCTACATGTAATTGAATAGGAATGAACTGACCAGCTGTTTGAGAAGATATGGGTATTTGACTCATAAACAATATGAAGATTATATGAAAACAGCAGTTAACTTGCGTCTATAGTCTTACTTTGATCTCGTGAACAAACTACTTTTGTTCGAGCATTGAATCTGGTTCATGTGTATATTTGCTTGCTTATGTTTATATTTAGGCCTTTCACTGAAGGATATCAGTAAGTATACTGGGTAAAATTTTGTAAATTCTGGGTGGACGATTTTTAATTTTAAATGAACAGGGAAGATATCCTTACCATTTAATTTATTCATCTGCTGGAACTTTGTAATATTTATGATTCCAAAGCAATGCAATACAACGTCAACGATGCTAGCAATATTTGTATACGTGAATGCTGTGTAACATCTACTCTTATATGGCTTTTATGTTGATATGATATATGAAAGAGGTGGTGACATTATTTCCATCATATATTTGTGACCAATATACAGCATCCGTGTTTTGCATCTTTAACAAATTACTACAGTAAAACCTGTCTAAGTGGAACACATTTGATTCCTCCAAGAAGTGTTCCACTTCCACAGGTTCATTAACCTCTTGACAACCCAGAATGACGAGATCTCTCGTCGCCTCAGAAATGACCTCGAAACCCAGAGGGATGAGAAAATCCGTCACAAAATTGTTCACAAAAATTGCTCTTATTTGAACAATTTTCATCCAATTTACACAAAAATTGTTTTAAAACGTGTAGAAATGATCTCTGCCATCTAATTTTACTAAGTTGAGCATCTAAAGTTGTAAAGGTATGTAGTAAAATGTCAAAAGGTGGCAAAAATGAGAGATTCTCTGGTTTCAACCAATTTTAGAGCCTGGAATTCAAGAGGTTAACATTAAATCAGCTGGGGTGTTCCACTTTTTCTAGAGGTGTTCCACTTTCCAGGTTTTTCTGTATACATATTTGTAATTGCAGCAAGATGGTGATAGTTTGTATTGTTTTCAGGGTATTTTATTTAATAAAATCATACAAACATATTCACATAATGGTGATAAAGACACCCCAGGGGGTTTATAGCTTGTCACAAGCTAAATATTTAAAACAGCAATAATAATACATTGTTAATTTGCTATGTTACGAAATCTTGTGGGAAACTGTTTTAATTACAATGGTGTTGTCATTAATTGTGTATAATTAATATGTGCATCATATATTTTATGGTTATAGTGTTTCTCTTTGTACTATGTGATAACGACTGGAAGATGAGTGAATTCAAGTTCAACTAAAAATTTTCCAATCAACATATAACATTATCAAATACATAATATATGAGTTTAAGTTGTAACCATTTTGCCAAATAAAAAACCTGAAAAAGTTGTGATTCTTATATTTTCAGTGACCAGTATCTGTTGACATGGACTGAGAGCGCCCTCTATATATTCAACCCCATCAAAGTCCAAGTTCTACTCTGGAACAAACAATATAAAGGTATTACTGACATCAACTTCTTTCTTCACAAGGAAACCAATCATGTTGTTATATTTTCACTCATGTTAGTTAAGGATTTTGTTTAAAATGCCAACTTTTTAATCGCTGTAAAAAAGGAAACATCTCTAAATATTATATCTTTCTTTCTAAGATGAATGCGATTCTGATTCATTCAGCCACTTTTTATGGTATTAATCATTAATTCTATCATCATATGGATGAAAAGTAAATTAATTGAATCAATTTTAATATTGATCATAAAACAATCATGTTTGATTTCTTCTTGCAGATATTACCAGTGTGAAATGTTTCAAGAACGACCTGTATGTGTTACAAGGACAGTCTACAATGTCTAAACTCTCACTGTTAAGTGTTGAAAAGTGTATCCTAAAGCTGTCTCTGGGCCAACTGTGGCAACTCTGTGCAGATGTCTGTATCCATTTTAGGGCTTGCATCACTCCAAGCCAGGCCAGAACATGGATACCAATAGATATGTTGGAAGATATAAAAAGCAGTTTAAAGGATAGTGGCCATGCTAAACTATCTGATAAACTGGCTGTTGTCATAGCAACACTAGAGCCACCTATTGAGAAAGATGAGTCGCATAATGCTAGTCGACGTGGGAGCACTGAGTCGCAAGACAGTTCCACACGATTAGATTCTGGTATATATCTTATAAATAGGTCAGATAATATGGAGGCATTTCAAGTCAACACTCAAACATCGGTCACAATGGATACAAAGGATGTTGCCATGGATTCTATAGATGTTGCCATGGATACCATAGATGCAAGTGATATCAATCGTAATAAGGTCCAAGACAATAATCATATCCAACCCGTAGCTCTTGAACAAATAAATGGTGATTTATCAGTAAATCCGGGCACTGATAAATCAGATAATAATCCAGAAACAAATATGAATCATGTGCCTGTGCAAGAATACAAGTCCAAACCACTTAATTTTGACATTCCATGTGAGGAAAACAAAGACCCTCCTCAGGAAGAGCCAAGTGAGCAGCCTCCAACAGAAAATGATCAGTCCCCCACCCAAAGTGACCAGTCCCCAAGAATAAGAAAGAACTCGGATGCAAGTTTAAATTCTCAGACAAGCCTGGATAGGATAGATGAACGAGGGATTTTACGTCACGGATCACAAGAGAGTCTCTCAAGTAGTGACATGGTTGTAGGAAATTCTGGGATTGATCCAGAGCCTGTTTATGCAAAATCAGAACGAGGTCAGCGTTTGAAAGGACGTAAAAAGAAGGCTTCAGAGGTAGATCTTACTGGTGTAGGGAAAGCAGGAACCAAAAATAGGAGTAAAGGTAATCTCTCTTGTCTATACAATATTAATTGTGCCTATATGATATAGCACATATTGTAGCAGTAAAGATCTTAAATTGTATTTATATAGTTTAGTTTCACTAAAAAATGATTCGCACATCGATCAAAGGTTGAGACGAGAACCACTTCATTGAAATGTTGAAACATGATACCACTAAAACATATCCTACTGTTTATGGCATTATATTAAACCTTATTGAATATTTTTCTTTAATTTGTAGCCAAAGCTAGAAGATCTCAAAGCGTAGATATACAAATCATAGACCAAAAACCAGGTAACATTTCTGTCCAATAAGTAAAAATTAATATTTGATTGAATAGGGAACTACAGTATTAGATTGCATAATGCAATATTTGATTGCATTGGCTGCTAAATTCAGATGGCTGCCTTTTTCAGTTTGAAAGATAATTTCCGACGTTACTGAGTTATCAGATTTGGTCTAAAATTTGTAGCCTAGTGCCTTATTGGCGTAGGATCTTTATGTCAGAAGGAATTTATGATATCATGTCTTGTCATGATTGTATAATTTGTCTTTATGATCTTTATGTCAGAAGGAATTTATGATATCATGTCTTGTCATGATTGTATAATTTGTCTTTATGAGACATCACAACTGCCTGGTTTGAATAAAAGATTACTTCCTTTTTTAGTTCCAAGGGGACGGTTACACACAACAGACGGAACTCCAAGCTTGGAAGTCATTAGCAACCCAGCCAAAAAACCCTCTACTCCAACACAGGTTCAAACCTTGACCAAATCTCCATCACTTCCTTCTATGGACACAATTGATGCCAACGCAGACAAAGAACCAAAAGAACAACCCAAACTGAAACCAAACAAGATGTCATTCTCCAAGATGGTTGGTCCAATGGTATTGGAAGCCATGAAGACATTGACTCCAAGTGACCCTACTAACATTGGCCTGGAGTTTGCTCTGAGTGATATTGACAGTGGTGCTCACATTGATGGAGAGTTAGAGATGGGTCCTAAGATTTCATTCACAGCCATGAAAGAAAGGTATGGATTCTCATAGAGTGTTTGAGATTTGCCCAGTTTTTATCCTTTTGGTCTGAGCGAACCATCAAAGTGGTCAAAAAGAACCAAGCTTACCTTCTCAAAAATCTGTCTGAGAAGATCAAATATCTGAGATATTTCTGTGTGTCCTGTGTATTTTATCTCATGCTATAAATTCACTAAAATGCTCATTTTGTGTGCATTCAAAAGCAAAAATATTTTTGAATACCTGTACATGCTAAATGTGATTTGAAAAGGAAAACTCGGTACCCTGCTTAAAAATAACATTCTTAGATAGAATCAAACACCTATTGTTCAATTTATACTGAAAATGACATCACATCAGAATCAAGATCAATACTGCCCATTGTCATTGCAGTTTGTCTGAAAAGTTCAGCTCTGGTACAAAGAACCTATTGAAGAACTTCAAGGAGAAGACTGACCAGCTTAGGAAGAAAGACACAAGTGTTCCAGAATTGTTAGATGTTAGACAGCCAACACTAAGACATGGTAGAGCTCATGTAAGTGAAGAAAACTTGACTGTTGCATTTCAAACAGAATACTTCCCATCTGTCCAAAAATTCTTTCAAAATTATACAGTTTTTGTTAACCATTCTGAGCACTTTTGAAGTGATGTAGGGCCAAAAAGGTCAAATTTGAATCCCCATGGAATTTAAAAGTGAACCCCCATTGGCAAAGCTTGTTACAGGCTGGGACCTTCATCCCAACTTGTAACCACATATTTTTCTGTCTTTAGGGTCAGGAGGATGGACAAGACAAGGCAGAGCTTGTTAATGATCAGGAATCAAGAGTGGATCTTACACAACTTGAGGCTGCCACCAAAACTGCAAGGTATTGTACATAAACTTTGTTGCATTAGACAATTTAGAGACAATGTATTATTATATAAATGCTTTTGTGGTATACGTTATCACACCAGGACATCATTGTTAAGCAAATTCTTTAATCCATTTTGCTTCCAAAAGTTGTTCAGTTAAGAATTCATAATTAAATCAATTGTTTTCTTACTATGATGTCATCATTGCCATGTAAAACATAATGAACTTGGAATTTTCATAGCTAAGAAAGTTCTGGTTATGTATGTTTTATTTACAGTGAATTGCTACAGAACACCTCAGTCAAAGAGGCCGATCTTCGCAGTTGCTTGACCACTTGGGCCAGAGAACTGAACAAATCTCTACATGCACTCCACATAACAAGAGCCATTGGACAAATAAAGCATATCAATACTCAACTTACACAGCTTAGATCTAAGATCAAGTCAGAGAGAGAGGAAAATGAAAGTCTACAAAGAGTCAAAGATGAGGAGTTGAAATTAGAAGATAGTGGAGTCGTTGATGATGGTTTACATGTGAGTGAAACTCACACTGAGTCATTTTCAATAGATGGTGCAATAAAGAAAACCAATGGGAGTTTTGGTGAATCTGATATCCCAGTCATTAATGAAAGATTTACAGTAGCAACTACTGGCAGTCAAAATACTACTGCTGATTCGGACAAACTGAGATATAATGTGCAATGTGAAAACATTCCTAATTTCAATACAATGCAACCTAATAATGTAACTAACGATGAAGATACACTCGAACGTAAAAATGATATGAATGATGGCAGTATTATTAACATCTGTGAAAAGAACAATGCCAAAAAGATATCTGAGCATTCGGAAACACAATATGAAACATTGCTGAATGATCAGGAAGATCCTGATGAAATGAATCATCCCAAATCATTAGTTGAGCTTTCCAGGAAATCTCTTGAGATGAAGCCCTTTGACTATTCAAACAATTCAAAAACAAATCCAAAGGTCAAAAATTCACAGAATGGAGCTCAGGAACCTGTCAGTACATGCCATCCTCATTCAAACACAAAACCAAACAAAAACCTTGAAGATACAAAAAACTCTAAAGAACAGCTACAGAATATTTCATATAGCAACCAAAATTACTTGGAGGACTTTGAGAAAAAACATACCCGTATGTTAACTGAAAAAGTGAAAGACTGTCGTGAACAGATCTCCAACATTATAAACAGCATAAGTGAAATCATTCACATAGATAACCCCTTTACTGAAACTGAGCCTGAATCTGTTATGACTGAGCTGGCTCGTAAATGCTTTGAGCTGGAGGTACATGGCGATATTAATGAACACATTCCAACTGTTGAACATGTTATTGATGCATGCTCCGAGATCTCACTTGATGGGGATCTAGAGACTTGTGTTCATATCAAAAAGGATTTGGAAACTTTGAACAATGAGGATCTAGAAACATCTGTGAAAATTGATGAGGATTTAGAAACTGTGAACAATGTGAGTTCTGAAAGAGAAATCAGTATTATTGATCAATGTAACAGTGCTGAATATGCTATGAAATCCACGAATGGAAACCAGGGAATGAACCATGCAGCAGACTGTTCAGGTTTCAAAATAAACAATGTTGAAAGTTTTGAAAATGAAATCCCCATAACAGTGCCACGCACTAACTTAAGAACTATAGGCTCCACAGTAGATGATATCGTTCTTTCCAATAGTTTAGATGAGGCCATGGGACTTTTCACTAAATGTTACTTCTACATGCTTGATTACTCAAAGGTATCAACTGCATTGGAGAAGCTGCATGGACCTAGGTACAAGCGCTGGCTGGACATATTAGAATGCTTAAAAGGTAAGGTAATGAAGCAGTCATTTGCTTTATAAAAAAATTAGAAATACATTATACATGCACATGTATGTGACATGAATTTATAGCTTTAGTTTTTTCAATTTTGTAACATTTACATTTTACATGTTACATAAAATTGACATTTATGTAACATGAATTTATAGGTTTTGTTTTTTGAATTTTTTATAAGAAATATTCCAAATGTGTATTTTTCACTTATTAGGGTAGAGTCTCGTGCCTGTAAGCAGCTTTCATCAGGGGGTCTAATTTATTTTCAAGGGACTGTAATTTGAGCTGAAGAATAACATTTGGCCAAAAAATGCCAATTTCGATAATAGAAATTTCAATTTTGCCTGAGCAATACATGTACATGAATAATGTTTGTTAGAAATTCCAATTTTGACTGAGCAATACATGTACATGAATTATGTTTGTTAGAAATTCCAATTTTGACTGAACAATACATGTACATGAATTTTGTTTATTTTCTTATAGCTCTTGGTCAATCTGACCCAGTCCAGGTGCTGATAAACAACAAGAGCTTCAACAGTGCAGTAGATTTACTGAGGTCAGGGATCATACAAGACCCCAGATGTTACCTTGTCTACATTGTACAGTAAGTCAAAGCCGTATCTCACCCCCATGGTGAATCAATCCCTACTAACAATAGATTTAGTCTTAATTTACGGATTATTTGTGAATTACAGATAAAACATACCATAAGAAATATCGAGAAATGACCGAGTATAAAGCAAAACATCAGAAGAATAGAATTAAAAACTATTTATGATTTAAACTAATTGCATGTGATTTCAAATAAAAAAATACCTGACGTGTATTGTTTCAAAAATATATTTTTTAAATGGCCTATTGACTGTTGATGTGGAAAAGTCAGTTGGTTCTGCAGCTCAGTGGTAGAGCACTCGCCTGGAAAATGAGGCACCCAGTGGGGTGGACTGACTTTTTCACATCAGCCCTTAATTTCATTCTGTGTTTTCATTTATAAATGACCTATTGATATTCTGCAGACTGTGTAAGCTAAGGCCCCTGCAGTGCTTGGACTTTTGTGTGGAATCTAACCTAGTTAGGCCCCTAGATGTCCTCTATATGTGCATGAACAATGACAATCAGACTCAACACTTTCTACACTACATGCAGAGAAAATTGGAGAAGGATCGGACAGATAAAAGGTACATTTCAATGCTATAATGTTGTGAGGTTATCTTTGGCCATTGTGCTTATTTTGAGGCCATGTAATTCAACAATAATGTAAGCTCATTGACTAACATATCTGAGAGAAGTACCTTACAATATATCAAGTTTATGCAAATTCTTCATTGGTTGAATCAGGTCCCTGATAAACATGATTATGCAGTTAATATTTCTCTGAGTCCTTGGATATCATGATAAGGTATGGTCATTATAACAACATATATAACATGCATAACATTACAGTGATGGTTGTCATGACATCTACTCTACATTACAGAGATGGAGAGAAGTAAACAAATCAAATGGTTGCCAGAACAACATGTATGATATTAAATCAACTAATGGTTGCTATAACAATATATGTTATATTACAGCGAGCCTAGCTTACAGCAATGTGTAGATAAACTAGCTAGTGACAGAGATGTGGCAAGCATGTGGTTAAGGCTGTTACTAGAGAGAAGTAAACCAGTGGTTGCCATAACAACATGTGTATGTGGTTCACCAAGGTGAGTCCGATGCACAAAAAATGGTGCTTTGAATGCTACTCTTATGTTTAGTATGGTACAATTTGGTCATACTGAAATTGAACTAAAAAATGCAAATCCAGAAGGTCTGTAGAATTTGAAATGATAAAAGCATCCAATAAGTTATACCATACAAAAAAACTCGACAGAATTCAGTTACCTACTACAGATTATTCACATATCGAAAATATTATCATGGAATCAAAAAATCATATTCTTTCTCCAGGCCTGGCTCCCATAAAGCACACTGGAGAGATAGCAACACCATAGATGCAATCATTAACTCTGGGACATGTGAAACACAATGGACAATGAAAACATTGAGGAATACAGGGTGAGAAATAAGAATGCATTTTGTATATTTGGCTAGATTAGTTGAATACTATTTGTCAAGCTTAACTCGTGTTGTTTTTGTAGAAGGATGATATATGATGGGTAGGATTATTCTTCTATTCAAGTGCTTTCACATAACCTTTTTCATGTTCTTTGTATTATTTTCTATCAATTCTTTAGAAATACAGGGTGTCCCAAAGAAAATTTTACTGAGAGAAAAACATGAAATAACTATGTATCATGTGAGTATGGAAGGAATATTCTTGAATATGGTCATCATCTGACAAATAATTCAGTATTCATGAAGATATGAAAGTTGCATCAAGTGTCTCCACTTAGTTTTAGAGAAAACCTTGCTTTTACACCTGACAGACAATTTAGTTATCATAAACTTCTGAAAGTTTTACGAGGTTTAACACCATCACCCATTTTTCTTTGTCTTCAGAAAAGTTCAGTTTTTTGGATGAAGGAAAGAAGAGTTATTTCCATTTCATTTGTAGACAATATTTTGGGACACCCTCTCTGTTAGTCTCAAAACTAGTAGAATAAAATACCAGAGTACTACATATTTAACGCTTGTAATGAATCTTGTAATATTCTTTCCAGGTATTGGGCTGGCTGGCTGATTCAACAGAAGAAACTTGGAAACATCAAGGATGTTCTGGAGACTCTACTTAAACTTGGAGATATTGAACTGTTTCAACACAAAAAGTTTGGTAAGATTGAAATGTTGGACTTGCAACAATGACATACATCAAAAGACCTTTACTAAAAGGAATGTTTATAGCCTAAAATCATATTAATTGAGAATGTTTTCATTTACCCTAAATGCTCCTTATAAGTGTTAGGAAAAAAATGAATTGTAAAAATGTAGGGTCCCAACTAGCCTTGCCCAAGTCGGTATTTTTTAAAATATCTTGATCTTGAATTATTACTGCCTTGAACAATCTAATGCCATAATAGAAATCAAGATAAGTAAAAGAGACCGACTTGGGCAAGGCTAGGTCCCAACAGTCATTGAGAAATCATAATTTCCATATAATAGTGATATTCTATCCCTCACATGAAATAACAGAGAAGTATTCTGGAAAGTATTATGAATAATATATTAGTATTGTATGTTGTTTTTAGGTTATATCCCAGTTACACCAAAGGAATGGACAGATCTCTTGAAAATATATGATAAACAGAATAGTCAACATGCAGTGCCAAACTCTAGTGAAATTTGCTCAAAATGTGGTCAAAATTGGGCAGCCATAAATGAGCAGACAGATTCTGACAACGAAATTAAGAAATTGAAGGAATCTGATTGGTCATCCACAGTCACATGGGAAAGCCTTGCACTGCTATTGGTTCAGCATGTAGATGTTGATGAGGGATTAAAGCTGTTGAAAGGAGTGAAGATTCCAACTGGGGGTCTATCTTCAGAGTTCTTCAAACATTGTGCATTGAGGGCTTTAGCTGAAGAGAGACAAAGGTATTGTGTATTGACAATGTTATCTACAAGTAATTAATTTTTGTCTAACAAATATATGTACATGTATATATGTATATGTACAATATAAACTGTAAATTGTTTTAATTGGTCACCCGCTTTAATTTAGTAAAATTCATGTAGTCACTAATACAAAATAGTCACAAGTCCTCAGGTTACAGCCTGTTTATTTTTGAATATTTATTTTGTTCCTCAATAACTACAGAAAATACTGACAACTTGAAAAATTGTCAAATATATTAAAATAGATTTTAACAGACTAGAGTCATTGAAACTGTCTTTTACTGGACATATTTTCTATTGTATAGATATCAAGCTCTGTAGGTTATATGAAAATTGATCCATAAATCTAATGAATAGTGATGGTGAAACTTGAAACTACCTTCCAACACCTTGGTAAATGGTCCAAAGGAGGAGTTCAGGTTGTGGAACTTTTGCAGGGGAGAGTAAAATGTAAATATATCCATCCATTGTTATTCTTTGATGTTTTGCCGTTTTTATATCACAATCAGAAAGTGGTGACATATGACATAGTCTCACACTTGTAGTCAGTGGTTGGTGTTTGGCATTTGGTGGTCTAGGTGTTGACATTTTGCATCTTAATGCCTTGTTTAGGTATACCAAATAGTATCTTATTTCAGAGACTGGCTGAAGAGTACAATGTTAAAGATAGACACACACCTCTGGAGTAAACACTCGATGCATGATCCCCCTCAGGTGAGCTTGTTTCGCTGTACACTCCAATGAACCATTATGATTGTTGATTTATTATTTTATTTTACTACTACTTGTATGGCAACATATTGTTACAGTCTACATTTTGTAACTGGTGTTTGGCAGTTGGTGTATACGTCATATTGTTGTTACACTTTTTCATGACTTTTTGGAACCTTTTGCGGGTGATGACATTTTGTCACGTTAATGTATTTTTGAAAAAAATCACACTAGTGAACCAGCATATGGATTTGTTCTTTTGTTTTACTATTGTATATATTTAATATAGAATATAAATGATTTAATGACAGAGCTTATACATGGAAAAATTAATTAGCACCAACTTTTATTTGGTGATTCATCAATTTTGCACGATTTAAATCTCTGTAAGTAAGCAGCCAGTTTACAATGTTCTCCTGTGGTATTTTAAGGTTTTACCCCAATATAATATACATTTGTATTTCAAATATGTTGAATTGAATATTTGGATTATTGTTTCTTTCTTCTATTCCTGTAGTTGAGATATACCTGGAAAGATGATGCCAATGGTCCAGTACATAGATCTTCAGACATTAATGTAAGTGTTCAAAAATATGAACATTTAGATGCTACGGTCATGATTTAAAAGTGATTCTTCATCTATTTCACATTTCCATGTTATTCACTTATTAATATATTCGTGCATTTTTATAAAATCCTCAAATGGTTACAACCACAAAGTTAAGAATAGGCTCATGTACTGATTCTCCTCATCTTGAATTTTGAGCAAAATACTCTATTAGAAAAAAATTACCACTTATATACTGTAATTATATTTCAGGAGACATCACAAATGATGCTAAGCAGAGAAGATGATAAGCGTATAAGGAGTGAACTGTCCAGGTAATTCTAGTTCAAAACAAAATTGCATTGCATGTTAATTAAAATGTGGTGGTATTTTTCATCCACTTTTGTAGAAAAAAATAATTGTCAATAGTAGATAGATAAGAGATACAAAAACAAAGTTCAACAAATTGAACTCCAATAGCCCATTCTGTACAATGTATTGGTGACACAAGCATACTTCAGGCACGTAGCCAGCTTTCGCCAATGAGAGTTCAAATTGACCATTTTGGCCCAGAATCACTTGAAAAGTACTGGAAATGCTGAAAAACAACATGATTTTGAAAGAAATTTTGGTAGGAGAGGGTCCCATATTTAATATAACAGCATTTCCTGGCTACAGGTCTCACTTTTTCCATAAACCTTTTCTTGTGTGTAGAAGGTAACTTGTTTTCTGTTTTAGCCATTGTGTTTGTTGTGGACTGGTCCTCCAGAAAAGCGTTTCTAGCAGCATACCTGGTGTAATCATGTTCCAATGTGGTACGTGACATTTTATCGTTATTACATTTTTTGCTGTAGAATAGGGATTTGATCACCTATTTCTACTTAATCAAATATTATGGAATCCTAAACTTTTTAATTTAGGAATGATTTAAACAGTACTTAATTATCTTTGGATTATTTCTCCAAATTATCATTTGTAAATTGCTAATTTGTGCATTAAAACTAAATCCTAATGTTTTGTTTTATTTCAGGACATTCATTCCACATGGCTTGTATACCTGGGAAGCAGTGCAGTGTATGTCAACTACGATAAGTGATTCCTCAGAAACAGTGAAATGTGTGTCAGCTACGATAAGTGATTCCTCAGAAACAGTGCAATGTTTGTTAGCTACAATAAGTAATTCCTCAGAAACAGTACATTTGTGTGTTAACTTCAATAACTGATTCATTGCGTCAGGAATGATACATATGTATATGATGCCTGGGAACAGTATATATAATAATAATAGGATTTTATTAGTACTGATGCCCTTTTAGGGCCAAACGTACATCCAATATACAATTTTCAATAACAGTAAATATAGGCAATAAAGTAAAGAAAATAGGATTACATTCTTCAAATGACATATAAAATGTTACTTTGATATAAGAATCCTGTCTCTACCAATCATTAGATACTTTATCATGTCAGCAGATTCTTTTAATATGATCCCCTCACTCGTCAATAGAAAAATTGTCTTTTGGTGGTCATTCATGTTTTTAAAATTACGACACAGGTTTTCAAGTTTTTCAATATGGGATTTTCTGATAAACTCCAATTTTTTACATTTGAATAAAAAGTGTGTTTCATCTTCTATAACCGAGTCCTTGCATATTTTACAAAATCGACTATTAAGATCAGTAATTGGTTTTGTATATCGGCCTCTCTCTATCTCTAGATTGTGGGCGCTTATACGTAATCTAGTTAAATGTTTAGCATTTGAAAGTGTCGTTTCTGAAAGGTAGTGTTCAAATCCAAAGTGCGATTTTAGTTGTTTAAATAATCTAAGTTTCCCCCCATTCCCACTTATCAGATTCTTCCAATATACTTGATATCTCTCTATTAGTTTCCTTTTGACTTTAATAGCAAGCCTATTCGTGCTCAACTCTATGTTTACCCTATCTTCAAGATTCAATTCATCAGACATTTTTATTTTAATATGGCACAGTATATTTTTGAGTTGTTTGTGCCATGTAAATGTGTTATTTGTTAAATCAAATGTTTTACTCATAATTAATGAATCGTTTAGTAAACTCCCATTTGAACTCAACTCTAAATGACCGAGGTATTTGATTTGTCTTTTTATAATATCAACTACCAAAGGTATTCTTCCCAATTCTCCTCTTACTGCCATGTTTGTGGCTTTTCTATGAACCCCGAGAACATATTTTTGGAACCGAATATGATTGTTTTCAATTAAAGCACTTTCGTATTTCTGTTCAATATCTCGATTAGTTTGGCAGTCACGCTTGGTATATATATCATTACACCATATTTCCGAACCGTATAAAGCGACGGGTTTGATAAGTTGATCATACAATTTCATTTTCAGTGAAGACTTCATCTCTGTGCCGCTTGTCAATTGATAAAGTTTAAACATGGCTTTATTTGCTTTTTCTTTTATGTTTTGTTGGGCCGCTTTAAAAGATCCCGAAGCACTTAAGACAATTCCCAAATATGTATACCTTTGAACATTTTGTATATTCTTACCATTTATTTGAAATCGTTCTTGACAAACTTTGCCATATATGCCCCTGCAATGAAAACCTAAAAAGTGCAGCGTGTGTTGACTATGATAAAAGATTCCTGATAAACAATGTTATGTGTGTCATTTATGACAAATGAACCCAGTGAAACAATGCATTGTGTGTCAGTTACAGTAAATGATTCCTAGTATCATCACCCTGGGTATAGTCTGTCACGTGACTTCATGGATGACGTGTGCGCGAGTGATTCGCATTTTCTTTCGCTTGAGGTTTGTAATCACACTTTTTACATGTTTTAAGATTTTGTATCTCTGTGAAACTTGTCCCGTACCATCAATGTCTGAAGACGATCTAATTCACCAAATATCTCATCCAAGCGTGTCCCGGTTAAAGAGAAATTCGCACTTTTGTGTCTCGCAAAATGACGTGTGCGCGAGTAAATCGAATTTTACGAAGGATGGGTGCGCGAGTCTAACATATTTATATTCATTTTAAACAATTCTGCAAGCTAGACACAATATTGATTTTGTTACAAGGTGATTTAAAAACATATGAAAAGCATACCTTTCTCCCTTTGCACGAAATATGTACGCCTGCTACCACTGTCCACCAGGAACTCAAAGGTTCGAAGGCCTAGAGGGTGTAGCCCTTCATACCTGGGAAGAACATAAGTATGACGAATTTCGTTTTTATGTAAGAGTTTTAAACCACGAAAATGGTTTTATGTCATACATGTCTAAACGGTATGGCTTCATTCCATTCGAAAAAGAACTATCAAACGAAAGAATCCAGATTGATTCAATAAACAACAAAATAAAATTGATTAAAGCTGAACATGATAGTCCACACGACCACATTACAAAGAAAACTATGCTATGTACCCCAGAGGCTAAAGCAAATGTAAAAAGAGAGCCCATCTAGACTTCTGACAGTAGTTTCTAAACCACTCGTGCTTGGGCTATACATATTAAATACCTGAAACTAATAATAACAAGTGAAATGTATAAACAGTTACAAAAACAATTTCCTTATGAGTCGTTTCATGAAATTGTTCTAGAATTGTAATAAATACTATAAGGGCACGGTGTTTTCTAACTAATAACTACCTCAATAATTTATGATACCTTAAAGTGTTCTTGGGGTATATATTTTTTAACCAAATTCAAATCATTTTTAGTAGGGGAGGGGGAGGTATCAAGATTTTACCCATCAGAATACCTTGCTTTGGGGACAAATGCATGGTAGTGACGGGAATCATTACCCAAACTATTTTGGGCGCAAATCAATTTTGTATTTGACTTTCTATTATGCTGTTCTTCAATTGTTTTTTTACAAATGGAGGATCTGAGTACACGAAAGCTCATATTATATTGCTACATTTATAGCGAACATTTATTTCTGAGTCTGTAAAAACAAAGTATGTGGGATCACCCTTGGTATACGCAGCTGACGAAATGGACCGGTATGGGTCAAAAGCTGGACCTGTACGGGTGAACTTTGGGGGTACTTAAAATCATTCGGAGGGATCATATATTTCAACTTAGATACGAAGAAGTCAATATTGAGCAAGTTATAGCTGTTTTAAATTCAAATAAAACCGTTAACCCGTACCGGTCCAGCTTTTGACCTGTACCGATCCATTTTGTCAGCTGCGTATACCAAGGGTGGGGATGCGGAAGAAGTTAGAAGCTGCTATAATTATTTGATATTACTTGGTATCATGGGCTTCCCCTTACTATTCCTTACATGGTTCTGATCGTGGCGGATGCCGAGTAACCACATAACAACTCTAACCCCCCCCCCCCCCTTGTATGGGATGTCAATAAATGAATATGCTGCCGGTTTTATGAGACCGCCAAAAATTTAATTCAATTTTTGGTTCAAATTTTAATTCACCTGCAATGCCGGACAGCCCTACAAGCTATTTCAAAACATTTATTGTCATTAAACGTAGACATGTATGTATGTGCCATACATGAAACTATTCTTTAACATACTACTTTAAGATGACAAAAACAAATGTCACGTGAGTTGAATTCTGCCTTAGCTTGCAGAATTGTCTCAAGTGAATAAAAATATTTTAGACTCGCGCACCCATCCTTCGTAAAATTCGATTTACTCGCGCACACGTCATTTTGCGAGACACAAAAGTGCGAATTTCTCTTTAACCGGGACACGCTTGGATGAGATATTTGGTGAATTAGATCGTCTTCAGACATTGATGGTACGGGACAAGTTTCACAGAGATACAAAATCTTAAAACATGTAAAAAGTGTGATTACAAACCTCAAGCGAAATAAAATGCGAATCACTCGCGCACAGGTCATCCATGAAGTCACGTGACAGACTATACCCAGGGTGATCATACTCGTTTCTCATTTTGATTTCCAATCACACTGGTATCAGTGGACAATCTGCAAAACAAACAAATCATCTGATTGGTGCACGTTAAATCCAGCGCACAATCACATGATTTGTTTGTTTTACTCTAGGATCTCATTGGTCAGACTCCTTTTAAATCACAGTTAAGGTCAGGGTGCATGATGGGAAATTTTCTGCATTCCTCAATTGAGTCACATGTTATTTTTCAAACAAGAATCACTCCTTCCCCACATTGTCTATATCTTCCAGCTTTGCACAAAGAGTGCACTTATGTGCCTAGAAAAGCCTTGTGAGAAGGATGTTTTGATAAAGTGTATACAAAACAAGAAAATTCAGTGAAAAAAATGAGAAAATTTTCAGAAATTTTTTTCACTGAATTTTCTCATTTTTTACACATTTTACAAAACAAACCTTCTCACAAGGCTTTTCTAGGCACATAAGTGCACTCTTTGTGCAAACTTGGAAGATGTAGACAATGTGGGGAAGGAGTTATTCTTGTTTGAAAAATAACATGTGACTCGATTGAGGAATGCAGAAAATTTCCCAACATGCACCCTGTCCTTAATGGCCCTTTATTATTGACTAATGAGGTTGACTGACCAGCTTTGACTATTTACCTTATACATAAGAATTAGCATAATGTAGGCTGGATAAGATAATATCTCATTCATCAGAATCCTCAATATATGACAAATTAATAGGATTTTGGGCAGAAATGTCAACTTGACATCCTAAGGTATGAAAACATCATACCAACCTTGGAAATCCAAGATGTCCTAGTATCAGTAATAATGACAAATATGGAAAGCCCTGGCAAACATATGGAAAGCCCTGGCAAACATATGGAAAGCCCTGACAAACATATGGAAAGCCCTGGCAAACATATGGAAAGCCCAGGCAAACATATGGAAAGCCCTGGCAAACATATGGAAAGCCCTGGCAAACAGTGCAGTATGATTTATCCACTAAGATTAAAAAACCCTAAAACATTGGGATTGAAAATCTTTATGTAATCTAATGAAAACTCTATCCCATCTTCCATAAATAACAGGACAATTATTGATCAATTCATTGATAGTTTCACGATTTCAAAAATTATTTATAATATAAATTTAGGTTTGTATTATACAGAACATGTATATTAACATTGAACATTATATTTTATCAAAATTCCACCAAAACTACATGTAGCCAGTCTGTATTTTTAAAAGTGATGCCTTGAGTTTTGCAGTAATCATATTAGTAACTCATTGAGTCGGTGGATATTCTGCTTAGTGGTAGATTTTGGTTTTGGTTTATTTAATAATGATCATGTTATTTTATGACAGTCATTGTTTTGAAATATATAATGTATTGAATTATAATACAACCAGTTTAATAGGTAATTAACCTCATAGTCTTTGTTTCAAAATCTACACGTTTAGTACTTAAAAAGCAATATCCAAGATGCGAGTAGAAATAATCTTGATTTACATCATTAAAAATTCATAATTCAGTCAAACTGATAAATGTGGTTTTGAAAAGAGTTCATCAACTTTGAAAATTTAATTTTCTCTGAAAATGTGACTTCTAGGTCGGGGAGATTCCCCATAGACCCCATGTTGTAAAACCACAAAAAGTGAAATATCTTTTCTTGTGTTGGTCAGATAATATTTTCTTTTACTGGACTTATTTTAATTTGTATAAATATCAGATACATACGGGTAATATGAAAAGTAAACCACTAAAACTGATGCATATTCAAGTTTAAGGGAATTTTGTAATACCCTGCCATGTTAATTCCCCCGAGTCAGCCACCTGGTGGCGGAATTGGTAACTACATACTCGCATCTGAGTAATTATGAATATGTGAATGGAGAGCTGCTTTTCAATCTTAAAAGCTAGCCTGTGAATAAAAAGTTTGATCACTGAGATAATGATGACATATTCATGAATTCATTGCACATATTTACACTTTGACTATGACATCTATAGGCCTACTTGTGCTTAGTGACGTGTACTGTAAATTGCAATATGAAATGTTGTCAAGGCTATAATTCACCGATTGACCGGAAACGTTTTTTTTCATTATCATTTTATATTTATATCCATGTAAATTGTATTTAATGAATTGATCGAATAACACGACATCTATCAGTCTATACAACGTCTTATATATCAGCTCGTGGAAAAGTGAGTGGCAATTCACACATGCGCATCGTGTTTTCGTTTTAAAATTTTATGTAGCCCAAATAGGCTTAAATGATTTTAGTGACGTCAAATTTTTGCATTTTGGGCAAGCTCATTGCGTTAGACAAGAAAATCAAGTATTGAATGAAGTATTTTGATTTAAGTTCACTAATATAGTAGTTTCAGAAGGTAATTTCAACGTTCCCACACTCTCTATCCCATAGGAACTGGCTATCCCCAACAGGGCTAGGAATACAACATAGACGATGCTGAGGCTTTGTCTGAATAAAAACAGCATCTGATTCTTCCCCGCAACGGTTTGGGACGGTATGAGTGGCTAGCAGTATTCCAGGAGGCGGAATTCCTTCATTGTAATTATTGCACATCACTTGGCCGAGGGTCTCATTGTACGGTTGGTTTGTATTGTTCACCAGAACCATTGCACCTAGCCCATCCTTGCTCAGGAGGTTGGTAATGTTGCGGGAGCACAATTTGGGGCACTGACGGAGCATGAGGTTACAGTCGGAGCAGGTGTTGTTGGTGTCTTTGAATAGGATGTCGTCACTTTTATATAGGATGCGTCCTAACTCTGGAGTTGGCTCAGTTCTTACTCTACATTCGCATCTGCAATGGAGACATTCGATTAATTGGCAATGTAAAATAATGACTGTTTTAACTTACATATCATAAATGACCTGATTTATATGAATACACAAATTCGCCTTCGTTCTCCTAAACCAAGACTACTTATCATGTCACCACCACAATTGGTGACATTGTTGTAGTTTTCCTGTGGCGGTGGTTGGTGTTCGGCATTCGGCGTCTGTAACAAATGGCAGGTGGTGACATTTTGCACGTCACCAAAGCACAATGGGTCTATGACTTCTAAATTGAACAATTGCAATTGATTAAATGTAATTGCTTATTGCTGAATAACATCCAAAGCTTTACATACTTGATGTATCGAGGTGGCCCAGCGATGGTAATGTTCAGTGCTGAAAAGAAAAGTGAATCTGATAAGCTCTTTAAATTATAAGATCGGATTCGAGCTGGATTCAAGCACAAGTTATCCGTGAGATGGAATAATTAAGTCCATATTATCAGTACTGCACTTGGCTTAAGTTCTATGCACTCATGACGAGACAAACAGAAATATAATTCATATGGGAAACCTTTTGTAAGTTCTTGCATTTGCAAAATTTAATGACATGTTTTACCGTTGATAATGTTGAATGCCATTCCAACAGGGTACCCATAAGATTGCCCCATCTTGTGTCCATACACGTGGGCCGCTATCACGCCCTGTATGGTTGGAGATGAAGTAGAAGAAAGATTTTCTCGAGTCTTGTCGAGAGTAGATCGATTAGTTGGTGGTTCTGTTGAAGGTCGATTAGTTGGTGGGCCTGCTGAAGGTTGGATGGTAAGAGTGGGTTTTGTGGATGTGTTTATAGTAGGGTGGTTTGTGTTTGTAATAGGGCTGTTTGTGGACGTGCTTGTAGGAGGAGCTGGCTTAATTCCGTACTGAAGAATGTACGAAGTGTCATTTCCCAGCTGTACTTGAGCTGACTTAAATAAGTCCGCGCCAAACGGTACCCAACCCGCCTGTACTGGATTTGTGTTTAATAGTACATCATTTCTATCCGTCTCGTTCAGTGTTACAATGTTCAAGGAGTTATTATAGGGGGTGTCCAGAGCCCCGGTCGCAAAAATAAACTCATTGATATACTGTTCAATAGGTGGTACTATCATCATAAAAGGGGATGCAAAATCAAGAAACCTCGACCCTGTGCTATATTGAGCAACTAAGCAAGGTTTGTTCGCAAAGATAGCATGTCGTTCTTCTACACCTTCAGACAGACGTATAACTTGTTCTGTGTGTTGTCCCTTGTTGATTCGGGCTATAACATTGGAAGTAGGACTTTTGTTTATTAAGACTCTAGTGTCATCTTCGGAAGCGATGACACGATAAATCTCGTTTGGAAGAAGTCTATCTTCATCGTCCGATTCAAGAATTCGTCTTCTTGTGTACTGAATGGCAAAAGTTCTTCCCCATTGTGTTACAGGAGGTATCTGTTCAATCAGATGATCGCCACAGCATTGATCGCCAGGCACACTTGTGAATGAAGCTCCAGAAAACACAGCTATCTGGGCATTACTTGAGACAATACTTCCTGTCAAGTCACTCCCAAACTCATTCACCTGATACGTTTCCAGCTTGTTTAGCCGAAGACTTATATTCTGTGATACGTAACCGACATCTGGTAACTTGCGTAATATCCTAACCTCTGTCCCATCCACAGTACCAACTATGCCAATGTTGGAGGATTCTGATGCCTCGTTAGCCTGATAAGATGGTATGATATAGTAATTCCCAAGGTCTCTAACTGGGATGCCCAAAAACCCATCACTTGCAACTCCCTTATTATTCATACCATGTACTACTATAGGCGACTCAGAATATACACGTATGCCCTTGTTCTCTTTTACATTATTCCCCATCTGAAGACCGCCTGGGAGGGCTACTGAGACTGATTGGGCAGGGGTGCCTTTTGGGCCTAAAGTCCGCTGGATTTGAGAAGGAAGATAGGGTGAGGAGATGTTAAAGGAAACGGTTTGGTTGTTTGGGTTGCTAACAATCACATTGACGGTTGATGAGTTACTGTTTCCCTTTACATTTGATGTGAATCCTATGATGAAATCGTACCATTGGTTAGTCCTTGCTGGAATAAAAACCATGGTCCATGATACAACGCATTGGTTAGAATTTGAAATGCAAGTAGTTCATGGCACAATAGAACAATCGAAGATCTGTTAAATATGGGACTTGAATAAAGGAGTCCGTGGAACAAAATACCATATGGGTATATCATAGGACATAATATACATCCCATAGGGTTACGGGACTTCATGGGAAATATTGTGCATGGACCCAATGTACCAGTTTGATTTTTAATTGAACTCACATAATTTTGAATAAATAGTTGTAACTCACGTGCTTCTCTTTTGTCATTCTCGCAGTTTCGTCCATTGAAGTTTGTTGGGCAGTTGCATGTGTATTCACTGCTTGGGGGTGATGAGGTACAATTCGCTCCATTCAAACATGGCTTTGAAGCACAACGATCAAGTGGTGTGTCACAATATTCTCCAAGAATATTTTCGAGACAACAGCACCCCCCTCTCCAACAAAACCTACAAACAGTTAACACTTTCAAATTAATTTCACCTTTTCTGAGCAGGCCAAAATTGGTGAAATACTCTTAATGATTTGCCTTAATCTCATTTCAAATTTTAATTACTGAATGTATATTATTTAATCTTTGAACACCCATGTGCTGAGGAAATCATCGTCATCACTGTTGGTGGAGGAGGGACTCTATTCAATATCTTCAAACAGTTATTATGTCACCACCACTTTTGCTAACATTATTATAGTCTTCAACTTTTTTGTTGACAGTGTTCAGCGGTTGGTGTTCGCCGTTCGGCGTCTGTAACAAACGGCAGGTAGTGACATATGATTTTGCATGTTTGTGCCTTGTTCCTTACTACTGACATTACACATGTGGTATCCATTGAATCAACTATAAAACAAATAGTCCTAATAAGAAGGAACTTTGGGGGTGTTAACGGTATATATCAAATTGCGATTTAAAAGAGTCTCATCTTAAATAGAGATCCACCTACCCAAGGTTACATCCCTGACTTGGACATTCTGGGTCACTCACCGGATCTGTAGACTTCACCTTGCACTCCGAATCCTTAGTCCATCCTTCATGGCAGATCTAGATTTAAAGGACATAATTCAAATAATAGTTCAAATTACAGTGTTTATTCATATTGTAACATTAAGGATGTACTGCATGAACCGATTAATTCCCGGGTATTGTAACGCCATTGGTTCACGTAAGAAGAATCTGAAATGCGATCAGCTCAAAGTAACTAGGCACAGCTTTCGTATTCTTTGACGAATTTTCTTTGCCCTAAGTTGTCCCATTGTACTATAAATATTTTCTGTTGCAGTTATCATGTCAAAGATAGATGAAAAAGTTGCACAAAACGAGAGGTACGCGAAATACCTAATTTAGAGTTCAGCATGAGCTATGTATGGCTTATCTTCAAATGAATCAACCATTGAGGTGTTTCTCAAAATAGTGTGATTCACGTCATTTCAAGAAATGCAAAATGTAGCCAAGTTATCATTCATGATGACCTAAAAGAGAACAACAAAAACATACCTTGGCCCCTGATATAGGGTCACATGTGTAGTGTCCTTTCTCGCAACTATCGGCAGCTTTGCAATATGTTTCACAATATAAACCATAGTAATCGGGTGGACACCTGGACCCAGCAGTCGTGGTTGTAGGAGAGTGAGTAGGCGTGGTAGTTCTAGGGTGAATGGTTGAACTGTCTACAAAGTCTTCACAATAGTCACCTGGAATAATATAAAGTATATATATGTCACTTAATTGATCAAGTAGTGTCTCACCTAGCTGTTGTCAAGCACGATTAATTGTTTCTTTCTTAGCATTTCTTTGTATATTACCACCAGTTGTGTGACATATTGTTATAGTCTCCAACTTTTTGTTGACGTTGTTCGGCGGTTTATGTTTGGTGTTCGGTGGTTGGCGTTTGTAACAAATAACAGGTGGTGGCGTTTTGCATGTTAATGCAATGTTTAATAATTAAGACAACCTTATCTCATCACTAATACATGTATCTTATTTACACGAGGTCACTGTTTCATTTGATTCAAAGGCTCGAAAGTGGGCAGTTGCTTATACTCAGTTTTAGAGGACTGCTTTATTCACATTTGACACACAATCATTGATTTACATTACCTTCAAATCCATCTGGGCAAATGCAGTAGAAATCCTGTGGTCTATATCCGAGATCGATGCACGTTGCTCCATTTAGGCAAGGCTGTTTGTAGCACGGTGTTTCTATTATTTCACATTGTGGACCGACCCAACCTTATGTTCAATAAGAAAATTCATTGTAAACTTGCCAATTATCCACATAAAAGCAAAATATACATTTTCCAATTATATGTATTGAGTAAAAACAAAAAGGGACAACCCCTGATGCACAAGCAAAAATACAGTTAGAAAATAACAAAACGTCTCTAAAGTAGACGTCACATTTTGGGCATTCATTTTTCAATTTATTATTTTGTATTTGTTGTGCTGGCATTCTGGCCAAATGTATCCAGACGATGGGGAACGGTATGCCCACACGGCCTAAGTGTGACAGCTCCATAAAATACCTACCTGATGAACAACAACACGTTAACTTGAAGCAGTAACCATTGATACAGCCCCCATCTGGACACTCAGGGTCAGACTCAGGGGGGACGAGACGTGTTGTACAGTTCAAGTGGGGATCGCGGAATCCTTCCAAACACACCTTATTCCCGTTTTCATCGCAAGTGTAGTGTCCATAAAGGCAGCTGTTCTGAGGTCTACAAACTAATAAATTAAGAATGAAAGGAATACGTATACACAAAGTATATTGAAAATAGGGCTCATACACAATAATTGGATCACATTGGAAGATATGGCATGTACATAATTTATCATCATGGAAAATAAAGCTCGAAAAAGATGTATTCCTTACAAAATGCTCAGACTGATTTCAGTAGCATGTCCATTTACTAGTTGTTTTGTAAAACATTGCAAGAATAACTTCAATTTGTTTTTATATATTTTAATATTTAATATGAATTAAATACAACTTACTCTGTCCATTTGCTTGATATATAACTCCTATGCATATAATCATAATTAAAATATTAAGTACAGTATGACGATTTTTTATATCTCCTGCCATTTTAAGTTTGAATGTCTACGTGTTCAAGAGGAAGTTCTTCATCCAAAGTGTTATGTAAATTATTCTTACATAGATAAAACAGTAGTTTACATGATTTGAAAACACTTTAAGATATTGTGTTGCCAATGATATTTTACTTTACATTTATCTCTTTACCTTTACGACACGAAACTTTAAGAGAAACTGTATAATGAGAGGTATAAAGGATGTTCCTCAAACAGTACTGAGTTTCTACCTCAAGATTAATGATTAAACTACCGTATTTGATTAAATGAAATCACGGTTGATATCACAGGGTAACCACACAAAAAATGAAAAAAATCCAGAGATTCCTAGAAAATGCTAGAGTTGAAAATGGCATATATCTTTATGAAAATGTGAGATTTTGCAGCACCTTTATGACAACGATGTATAGTATTTTATCAGTGGTGAGGACAGGCTGCAACCTCTCCCTCAAATTCGGTGACATACTATAGTAGACAATGATTTTTCTCTTGATATTTTTCGAAACTCGATGGGTCAGAGTAATAACGCAAATGCGAGTAGGTAGTTACCAGTTTCACCACCAGGTGGCTCGCTTGGGTCAGATAGCATGGCGGGTATAGTAGAAAGTTCCCTTTAACTTCAATTACATCTCTTTCAGTGGTTCAATTTTCATATAGCCCTTATGTATCGAATCGTTTTGCAAATTAAAGTATGTCCAGTAAAAGAAAATGTTATATGTCCGATACAAGAAAAGATATTTCACTTTTTGTGATTTTGTAATATGGGGTCTATGGGGAATCAACCCGAACTAGAAATCACATTTTCAAAAAAGATTAAATTTTCAAAGTTGATAAACAATTTTCGAAACCATATTTTTAGATATATTTTTACGTGTAGATTTCAAATATGACATCACTTTGACTGAATTTTGAATATTTAATGACGTAAATCAAGATCATTTCTACTCGCATCCACGATGGAAACATTCGAAGAATGATCGTAATTTCTTCATAAAATATTACTGAACCAGGATGGGATATGAAAGTATCTGCTCTACCAAAACTTTTAGCATGTAAGCTTACATGATCACTGTTCCACACCTGGGTGACTCTAACTGCAGTTAGTATCATATCAAGATGGTGGCCAAAATTCTTGCGTTTTTTATAAACCACCAATTTCTGCTAAACCAACTTGAATCTGGATTCCAAATGTTTCACCATGTAAACTAATGAAGTCATGATTATAAACAGTTACAAGAAAACTTTCAAAAATCCGCGATTTCGGAGAAATTATTAAACTGCCTCACTTAGAATGACTCTAATTGGACTAGTTGATGACATAGGAATGACACGTCATCATCAAGTTCAGATAGAGTCCAGAAGAAGTGAGTAGCTCCCATATACTATCATATTCTATCGTATTCGGGGATTCCCCTTAGCCATCCCATATGGTCATACAAGCCATATATGGATCTATCACATGATATTCAAAATGGCGGACAACGGTCAGTTGGATTCCTATATGGTCATGTAAGCCTTATATGGATCTAGCACATGGGTATCACGTGATCGAATATTAAGATGAACTTTGGGAGATCTCCCCCCTGGATAGAGTCATTCTAAGTGATGACGTTTTCTTGAACTTTCTCCAATATCGCGGGTGTTTGAACGTTTTTTTTTGACTGTTTACAATACTAACTTTATTAGCTTGCATGGCGAAACATATGGAATCCAGATTCAACTTATGTTTACCTGAAATCGGAGGTTTATCGAAAACGAAAGAATTTTGGCCACCATCTTGAATTACACTAACTGCAGTTAGAGTCACTCAGCTGTGGAACAGTGATGATGTACGTATGTGTCTTTATTATATACCTCAAATGTATTCTAGATGATCATTGGCTTATTCATGGTCACATGACATGGAATAGATGAACTCATTCCCTGGAAAGTCCTAAATCCCTGCTTTCAGGGAAGATGAATTGTACTAATCACCAGTGACCAGTCAATAGTACATTTTATCTTCCCCCAAATCTGAGATTATAGGAGTTGAAAGGTAAAATGCCTTTAAATGCCAATAAGAACCTGTGAACATTTGATATTGAAATGAAAAGACTTCTCATTTTGTTTTTGTTTACAGAGTACTTATCATATAATAAAACAAATAGTGACTGCCACATTTTCGGGAAATAGTGTAAAAATTTTCCTCTCGGGAATATCCTGTCCACTGACTTGTTCCCTCGGCCTGCAGCCTCGGGAACATGTCAGTGGACAGGATATTCACTTGAGGAAAATATTTTGCACTATTTCCCTCAATGGCAGTCACTATTTGTACAATGATGATGTAGCGACGAATGACATGTCGAAACGCATAACAGATTCGAATTTCATGCATTTCAGTCAGTCTCTCTGGCTCCGTTAATCGGGTTATCTTCAAAATGACAAGGATCTTCCATGGATACTTTACAAGCTTATTCTCTTGTAGACTCAGTGAGTGATACGTTGAAAAATATTTTTAGTTGAAAGCCCATGGTTGACGTATTCAAATAGGTAATAGCAGTCACGGGGTACCATCGAATAATTTTGGCAACGTACCGGAGAACGACATTTTACTAAGAAATGGCAATAATTTAGCACAATATATTTTTTAACTCGAGTTCTATTTTGATTTTGACAAAAGTAAGTATTCCATGCAATGGCTATTTTATTCATTAGTTTGAAGGAATTCTGTTGGAACCCAGTTCTGATCAAGTACGAAGTTATTGAAATCGGCGCAGTCGGACTTTACCCCGAAAGATGGTTTTTCGATTATAACTTTTTACAACATTTAAGTATAGACTTTTGAAAAAAGTACAGAATAGTCCTTATACTATTGAATAATTCTGTTATTTCTGATTCACACAACTCTGATTTGTTTAATTAAAAAAAAAGTTTTAAAAATATTACTTAGGAACGTAACCGGAGCTGGGAACGTAACCGGAGCAGATCAGTTGAATTATATAATTTAAAAAAATAAAATATATGATTTAAAGCATATATATTATTTACAAACACATATGAATGTTAAAATGAGCATTTATTACCCTTCACTTACAGGAAAATCAATGCATGGCAAAACATATAAATTTTCTAAAGATATATTTTTTGCACTTATATTTTAGAGTATCAAAAAATTCACTGATAGTTATTGCTTCAATGTTTTAATAATCTAGCATTTAAATGCTTTTATTTCCCCTGAAAAAGAGAAGTTGTCTTAGAAGTATAATACATGTATGTATAAACAGCATATATATACGAAATTAGTATAACAGAGTGGGTTCTAATAGTTCGCTGAACAAATACAATGGGTGAAATCAAATGGAATTATTTGCTTACTACATTTAATCACTTCATTCTCCATACAATGATTGTTCTATGTTTGATAGCCTTTCTAAGGTAAGTGCACTTATGCATGGTAAATACCAAATTTAATTTTTCACAATGGATACATTTTTTTCTTTAAATAAAATGTAATAAATACGCATTCGAACAATCCCGTATGTTTTTAAATTAGTATATGTGCTTTAAATCATATATTTTAATTTTTTGATTAAATAATTCAACTGATCTGCTCCGGTTACGTTCCCAGCTCCGGTTACGTTCCTAAGTGATATTTTTAAAACTTTTTTTTTAATTAAACAAATCAGAGTCGTGTGAATCAGAAATAACAGAATTATTCAAAAGTATAAGGACTATTCTGTACTTTTTTCAAAATTCTATACTTAAATGTTGTGAAAAGTTATAATCGAAAAACCATCTTTCGGAGTAAAGTCCGTCTGCGCCGATTTCAATAACTTCGTACTTGATCAGAACTGGGTTCCAACAGAATTCCTACAAACTCATGAATGAAATAGCCATTGCATGGAATACTTACTTTTGTCAAAATCAAAGTAGAACTCTAGTTAAAAAATATATTGTGCTAAATTATTGCCATTTCTTAGTAAAATGTCGTTCTCCAGTACGTTGCCAAAATTATTCGATGGTACCCCGTGGCAGTGTCTCACAGCAGGATGACTCTAACTGCAGTTAGCTTCATTCAACTCAAGATGGTTGCCGAGATTCTTTCGTTTTCGATAAATCTCCGATTTCAGCTAAACCAAGCTGATTCTTGGTTCCAAAAGTTTCGCCATGCAAATTGATAAAATTTGTATTCAACCACAATTGAATGCCCAAACACCCGCAATATTAGGGAATTTTAAAGAAAACGGCTTCACTTAGAATGACTCTAACTGAAGTTGATGATCTTCGTCATCATTACCTATGCCATCATCAACTTTAGTTAGAGTCATTAATAAGTGAAGCCATTTTCTTTAAAATTCTCCAATATCGCGGTTGTTTGAGCATTTATTTGTGGTTATTTACCATCGTAGCTTTATTAATTCGCGTGGCGAAACATTTGGAATCCAGATTCTCTGAAATCGGAGGTTAACATTTTCAAGTTTTTTTCATTCGCGAGATTACAGATTTTGAAGAAATGTGAACATTCTCAATAAATATTTATAGTTCTCTCGATCACAAAGCTTTATGGTATTTCAATGATATAAAAACCTGCAGATGTTTGAAAGAGACGTATACGATTGTGACCTTTCAATGTTTTTCCAAAATTTTCGTATCATAATAAATGTGTTATGTAATAACAGAGAATTTGAAAATTATGAAAATTGCTCAGATTGTGCCTTTGTCACATTTGCTCCGATTTTCACTACGGCACCCGGCCGATTGAGTATTTTGTTCAGAAATGTATTCAATTTTGAACAAAATACTCAATAGGTCGGGCGCCGGCCGATGAATCGTAGCAAATGTGACACAGGCATTAGACACGTTGATTTTACATGTATTATACCTTGGCCACATTTGCTTCGATTCATCGCCCGGCGCCCGGTCGATTGATCAGTATTCTGTTCAAAACTGAACACTGGCGGATTAGGGGGGGGGGGGGGTCCTGGGGGCCCGCCCCCTCCCCCTCCCCCTTGGGTGGGCCCAGAAAAAAAAATTGGGCTTCAGGTCCAAAAAAGTGGGCCTTTTTGGTCATTACTAGGCCTTTTAAGGCCTTATTTTTTAATTTCAGGCCAAATTTTGAAGAAAATGGGCCTCAAAATTTCAAAATTTGGGCCCACTTTTGGATTTTAGGGGCCCAAAAATTTTTTCCCCCCAAGCGCGGACTTTTTTTCTCTGACCTGAAATTTGCCCCCCCCCCCTTGTTGGTTCCCAGATCCGCCCCTGCTGAATACAATTGTGAACAGAATACTCAATCGGCCGGCCGATGAATCGGAGCAAATGTGACCCAGGTATTACTGTTCCCTTTTCAAAGTGGGAGGTATTCACATTTCAAGTAACAAAAAAGTAGGTAGTATTAAATTATCAATGCAAACCATATTTTATGTTTGGTACGAACTAGTACTATGATTTAATGATAAAAAAAACTGATCACAATAAGCAACAAGCAACTGGATACAATATCAATATTATATTATGCTGCGTTATACTATAAATTGTTGGACAATGTTGTGAGCTTCATGTACAATGGTTGTATAAATATGTCAAAGTTTCTTTGGAAAAAAAATGTAAGAACAATGTTAAGGATTTTGAATTTAATAGTTGGAGACAATCTTTATCAATGAGTATTCAACTTCAAGATTTTAGAACTGTACAGTTGCATGTTGACATTCCTTCTATCTGGTATTACTTAGGAGTTAAACATCCTGAACTTAAGCAAACATGTAATATGATGATTAAGTTGCTATGTGGTATACATAATTTAGAAATTAACAACCATGGTTTACCTAGAGAAAATAGGGAATGTAAGAAATGCAATAATTACTCATTAGAGGATCTTTATCATTTTATTATGGGTTGTGATAATTATGTTGATATCAGAACGATTATGATTGAAAATTTGATTAAGGAAAATCCTACATTTAAGAAACTTTCATGTGAGGTATTATATAACATTATTTTAGGCATGGAGTTTCCAATGAAAAATTGGGATAATGTTTTGATTATTTCATGTAAGAGTGTCTCAATTATGTACCAAAGAAGATTTTTTAGCTGATTTACCAATGTATCCATTGTTATTTTGGGCTGAGACTAACATAAAGTAGAGTATATTAGTCTCAGTTTTGGGTCTAAATTTTGCCCATGTATACATGTATAATTCATGATATTGTAATTGTCTAATTAGCATAAGGTATAGTGTAAGATTGTTTTAATTGTCAAACTATTCTTCAGTATTGGAGGCTAAATAAATAAATATACTATATAAGTATAGAAAATATGAGATTTCACATGAAATTCTGGCCATGATAGCATTGTAAATCCACAATCACATGCTTTAAAAGTTTTGGCGGATTTCACTTTGTTCCTCGCGTATATGGGTTTTGTTTGAGCACAGAATATACTATTTACAAAATACATGGTACATTTCAAATGTTCAGATTGCAGCAAATGGTAACACTGAGAACTGACCATAAGCCATTAATTAACATCAGTCAAAAGAACATTAATTACATGACACCAAGAATTCAAAGACTCATGTTAAAGCTTCAACGCTATGATTATATCATTGAATATGTACCAGGCAAGGAACTTTATATTGCAGATACACTCAGCAGAGCCAAAATGATGTCTAATATGAACACTATTGACACTTCAATTGATGATGAAGTTAATATCTCAGTAAATAATGTTGTCAAATCATAACCCTACTCTGATGTGAAATTGAGAGAAATTGCCATGGAAACTACTAAGGATCCATATTTACCCACAATCATGAACTATGTTCATATCTCAGATGAGAGATGAACTTACAGTTGTTAATGGACTTCTACTCAGAAACAAGTGTAGTGTAATACCAAAATCCATGAGATCTGAAATGTTAAGTCGTTTACATGAAGGACACTTATATTAGGTATTGAAAAATGTAGACGCATGGCCAGAGAAACATTTTATTGGCCAAACATAAGCCAGGACATTACTGATATGGTCAACCGATGTGAAACATGCCAGACATTTAGATATAAGCAGCAGAAGCAACCGATGGTCACAGGTGATAATACCACAACTCCTTGGGAGAAAGTAGCTGGAGATATATTCCATTTGTATGGAAAGAACTATCTTGTTATCATAGACTATTTCTCAAATTATCCAGAAATGGCCTTACTGAATTCAATGACCAGCAATACAATTATCACACACACTAAATCCATATTTGCTAGACATGGAATTCCAGGTACAATGAGAGCTGAACATTCAAGTTCAACATTCGAGAAGTTTGCCAAAGACTATGAATTCAACTTGACATTTTTGAGTCCTTACCATAGTCAAGGCAATGGTTAAGCTGAGAATGGAGTGAAGATCATCAAAACACTACTTAAGAAAGCTATAAAATATGGCAAAGATCCTTATCTAGCACTCCTAGCACATAGGACAACCCCTCTTGAATGTGGTAAATCTCCTGCAGAGTTATTGATGGGTAGAAAGCTAAAAACAAAATTACCAAGTTGTGAAAGCCTACCTGAGAATAAAACTGTAAAGAAAAAACTAGAACTTAAAACAAAACAGAAAAAGAACTGTGATAAAACAGCCAAAGTATTGCCAAACTTAGACATAGGTGATACTTTAAGAGTTAAGATCAGAAGTAAATCATGGGACACAAAAGCTAAAGTGCTCAGTAAGGAAACAGCAAGATCTTACAAGATTAAGACTGAGACAGGTGTTATGTACAGGAGAGACAGAGTGGATCTTCTTAAAACCTCAGAGACTTTTAACATGAAACCATATTCACCAGAAGATGATCCATATATGCAAGAATATTTAGATGCTATGCCTTCTGTCAATGCTCCTTCCAAGTAAATGCCCCAGTCCAGCCTATGCTCCCAAGTTCAAGTCCAAAGTCCCATAGTTCAAAGCTCCAAGTTAACCCTAATGCTCCTAGTCAACCAATCCCCCAGCCAGTTATTAGGAGATCTAGCAGAATATCAAAGCCACCTGATAGGTTCATTGAAAAGTTCTGAAACTGCATGTATTTTAAAAGTCAATAAACTTTATGATAGACTATGTATACTCCCCCCCCCCCATTATAAGAGAAAATCTCTGGACATAGAAGTGCATACTCAACCAGCAGGAGCTACTAGAGTATACATACATGTAGTATATTTTATTGTGTTAACTTTGCTTTGTAGCATTCAAGGTCTAATGAGACTTGAGTATAGACACTTTATCTAGTTTGAAAAAAGACTGGTATCCATCATAACATTGAATCTGACATTGAGATAAACTCAGATGGATAAAGCACATTATTGTGTAATTAAGTTCTATACGTGTTCTTTAAAGTACACAAAAGAGACTTTATTGTGTAAAGAGACTTTATTTGTTTTCATACATTGCTGTACAAGGCTCACAGATAATACTTTACATTTTATTTACTAGGCTCATTAATAGGCTAGTGCGTATATCATATTGTCATTTTCACTATAACATGTTTGGCTTTCACTTGTTTTTTTAAAGAAAGGAGGGTGTAACAATATGTATAACTGTGTCATTCACTATGATTGTGATTGTGATATTGTGTTTTCTCACAACCGGATGTTGTCATAATAAAAACGGCCTCCAAATAATAATTCTCGCCTATTTTCAAGGGTGTTGTTTAATATTAAAATGGATCACACACACACGTGTAGAAGTATGTACATCGATTATAAAAGAAGCCCCACGCTTGGTTTATCATAAGTTTATCCTTGGAATAAAATGTCGTTTAGTATTCCCAGGTTTATCACAAGGAGGATTAGCTCCAAGAATTGACAGTCGATATTTTCCAACAATGAAAACGTCGAAATGTCGTTATTTCCGAAAAACCAATATCTCGATCATATATTGTAAGTTTTTGAATTTTTCGTTAGGAAATGAGACCAAAATTCACGATTTAAATGTTGAAGTGAACAAGATGGCGGCTGTTTGAATTCAAAGTTTGTCTCTCGACATGCCCATACATTGGACAGAATATCGATGTTGCACTTTGGGATCCAATCCTCCTTGAGTTTATCATAAATTTATTAAAAGCGTTTCTATGGTGTTTGTATACGTAGGCAGTGACATCAAGCACGTTGTTACATGTTGTACCAATGCGAGATCGATGCCAGCAAAATCATGGGGGCCAGGGAAACGGCAGCACAACTGGCTCCTGCAAATTATACGTACATTTGCATTAATCGTTGTATTCATTTTTCATGCATTCATAATATTAGGCTAATTCAAAGGATCTCTAAAGAAGCTTTTGCGTACGGATGGATTGGAGGGGGAGGGCAGTCGCCCCAAACGCCTCAAACGCCACTCCCTTTCGGACGGGCTTGTATGTAAGTACAACCTATAAGATCTTCAAATCCCATACACAACTAAAACAATTCGGAACTAAGATATCTATCAAACCATAAAATACCAATCAAAAGAAAAAATTGCATTATTGTATTGTATATCTTTGATTTTTCTGCTCATTTCTGCATTGCTTATTTCTGCATGTAAAACAACCTGATTTCCGAAATTCGAAAATCGTCCAAAAATTTGATAAAATGCTTCAATCCAAATATTATTATTTTGATATCAAATAACATGATTAACTTCAAACATTGTCGTTTAATAAATGACGTTTTGAAGTAGTAGTTTTATTTTCATACCAATAACAAAAAAGTTTTGCCCCATGTGCGCACTTCTTAGGACACATAAAATCGAAAAATTAAAACCCTAAAAATTTCCCCTCATTCTATATAGACATTCAATATTATTGTTTTTAATGTTTTTTAAATGCCAGTATGGTCCACTCGTGCAGGGCTCTAAAAACGACTTACCTGAGCCACCCAGGGGGAACAATCCATTCAGGAGAGAGCCTAAGGAACCCCCTGCTATTTGTGAGGTATTATTTGCTCCCGTGGTGTTAAAAGATCCTGTCGTGTTAACAGACCCCGTGGTTGTATCAGCTTCCGTGGCACCAGCGCCAGTGGTGCCAGCAGCTTCCGTGGTGCCAACGCCAGTGGTGCCAGCAGCTTCCGTGGCACCAGCGCCAGTGGTGCCAGCAGCTTCCGTGGCACCAGCGCCAGTGGTGCCAGCAGCTTCTGTGGTGCTAGTGCTAGCATCCGTTTCCACGCTAGCAATTGTGCAATTAACTGAAATTAATATTCACACATTGGAATAGACAAAGAGCTGATCTGAATTGGCAAATATCTCATCCTTTCCTTTTACGCTTCTCTTATCTATTTGAAGCTACAATGAAAGTGAGGCAATTCACTAGTGACCTATTGCGTACTTTCCAACATAATAGGGGGTTTAAGCTTGCAATGTTTTTCACAACCTAAACGTGAACGGGAAATATTTGAGCGATACATTTGAATCTGTTATTCCCTGAAGATTTTTAAATAAAGAAACATATTGGAATAATTTCTCTGCCTTTATTTTGGATTATTTGATTATATATATATATAATATATATAAACGGAAAATAAATGATAACAGGGCGAATCTTAAAACAACTTTTATAAAATCTAGATGAAATCTACTTACGTCCATCCCCATCAAATCCTGCGTCGCAAGTACACACGGAATAAACTGAGTCGTCTAGTTCTCTTCTCTTTCTCTTCGCGATTTCGTCATTACTATATATTTGTAAAGATACACACGTTGCATTTTCGTCACAACTTTTCGTGCAACCCTCCATGATTGGCAAGCAAACTGAAATGTTACACCATAAATAACATGACAAACAAATTCTATCGAGTTGGTTTTGCATGCTGTACCTGGATGATGGTACCACCTTCACCATGATTGATGAAACTAACTCAATGTGGAATAATAATGTTATGTATTCTTCCTGTAAAGTAAGTAGCATCCGTGATTAGATTAATATTCCCTTTTTGTTATGGAAGATGTATCAACATTTGTAGTTATCGGACAGACGTTGTTCTCCATTTTGGCTGCAACTAACCCATGTCAATGTCATCCTGTTACGGAACAGTGATAGTACACAGAAAAGTTCAGATATGTCAACAACCTCCGATGACATGGTTATTACGAACGTTTGCACACACAATATATAAACACGGACTTAAAGTCCGTGATATAAATATGTAATACAATACACAATATTCAATGTCGGACTAATTGGTCAAAATAGGGGCTCGGTATTCTCCGTCAGATTGAATCGGCAAAATTCGGTTGTATGGCTTACCTTTGGTTGTATGGCTTACCTTCGGCTGCATGGCCCAACCTCGATTGATTGGAAAAGATGCTGCCCCGTTTAAATACGTTTTTATTAAATGATAGGTCGATCAATATCTGAAATTTTATTTCATTTTTGAATGACCTTCAAAATCTCCAGTGTATCTTACTTCTAACTTACACATGCGAACTTTGAAATATATTTCTACAAGCGTTCGCCTGGTATATTCTATTACATCTTCTCAGCTTCTAAGTACATGGGCTGAACTCGGTGGAAAAATATTTTTGTTAAAATTACCTTTTAATTTGAACGTTTTTAAGCTTCAAAATGAAAAATTCTCTGGTTTCAAACATTTTTACTCAATACTTACATCCGTCGCCGGCGAATCCCATGTCTCCATTTGCGATGTCAGATATTGTCGTACAATTCTCGTCCTCACATGGTTCTTCTATTGTGCAGGTATCTACACTAGTACAGCTCTTAACTAAAACACAAAAAACATCTTCAAGCTCACGTTAACAGCGGAATTTCCTCATGTTTTCATCGGGTGGTCCTCCTGTTTTCATCGGGGCCATTGGCACACCTTTAATGTTGTATTTTTCGCCCCCCCCCCCACAGTAGATATACTTGTGCAGTTATTTATCAATATGATCCGTTAGACTGTATGAGGTACGTCATTTTTGTCTTTATTATAACGCCCCCCCCCGAATTAGTGGTGGTGGTGGTCTCTTTGTACTCACTGTCCAGCTTTCGGACTATCAATTCTAACTCGGCCATGAGAAGAAACCTTTTCAACAGTGTTACTCACCACATCTCACAGGATAGCGTCCGACGGAGTCTTCTACAGGACCATCAGGGCCCATATACGCCCAATTAGGTGATACAGGCGTCAACGATCCGGAATTAAAAGCCAATGGAAGGTTTTCACCGCCAATTTCATTTGATAATTCCCAACTGCCTTCGCCAGTGAAATAAAGAAATGTTGCATTCTGGTCTGCCCACACTGATTGGTTTTCATGCTTGTTTTCAAGCCTTGTGAAATGGCCGTAGAGGCCGTTGATGAATTCAAAGTCGACTATTAAGGAGTCACACCCATCTGCAAATGAAATATCACTCAATGAACAATTATAAATAAAAGTCACATCAATAAAGATCGAACTCGTTACAATGTTGATATATACTCCTCAAAAAAAGTTAAGGACCACTTTTTTATTTTCACATAATTTTTTTCAATGTAGATAATGAGGTGCTATTCTTTCACGTTTTATTTGTCTAGATTGTGTTCTTATTGTAAAACAGAAATGAAACATTTTTCACTTCATTTGATGCCATTTTTTGGTGAGCACTTGGGCGGATCTCAAAATGGACATACAGGATCAAAAGTCAAAATCGAGTATGGCCACCTCTAGCTGCAATAACAGCTTGACATCGCCGTCTCATCGAGTTTATGAGGTCATTGACATCTCTTACATCCATAGCGTCCCATGCAGCCTCTAGAGCAATTGCTAGCTGCTGTATCCCACCTGGTTGAACTTCAAGCTCTTCAATACTCTTCCCCAACATGTCCCAGGTATGCTCAATCGGATTTAAGTCTGGTGATCTTGCAGGCCAGTCCATGTGGTCGATCCCATGGTCCTCTAGGTACTCGGTCACCACCCTAGCTCGGTGGGGGCGGGCATTGTCATCCATAAAAACAAAGTTTTCCCCAGCATTTTCTGCAAAGGGTAACACAATGGGATCAATGACCTCATCCCTGTATCGTACGCCTGTCATTGATCCCCCGGGAACCACATACAGCCAAGTACGGTTATCATAGGAAATGCCTCCCCACACCATGATGCTGCCTCCCCCATAGCGGTCATGTTCTGTGCCACAAGCATCAGCATATCTCTCTCCTTGTCTTCTGTAGACTCTAACACGTCCATCATTGTGATCAAGAGTGAACCTGCTCTCATCAGTGAACAGAACATGGCCCCACTGCTGTCAGGTCCATCTGACATGCTCACGGGCCCAGTTGAGACGGATTCTTCTGTGGGCAGGGGTCAGTGGGACACGCCTTACAGGCCTTCGGGCATGCATATTGGCTCTATGAAGTCTGTTACGGATGGTTTGAGTGGAAACAATGACTCCAGTAGCATCAGCAAAGGCATTATTGAGTCGACGGGCACTACTAAAGCGGTTGTGGAGGCTGAGATTCATCAAATAGCGGTCATTTCTGGGGGTTGTTGCAGATGGTCGGCCACTGCGGGGCCTCTCTGTGTATTGCCCTGTCTCCCGGTGCCGTTGGCTTGCTCGATTTATGACACTATGGGATACACCCATCACTTCACCTACCCTTCGCTGGCTAAAGCCAGCTTCCAGCATCCCTAGTGCTCTAGCAACCTCAGTTGCATTCAAGCGACGTCTTGGCATTGTCAAAATGTTGTCTGATTGTAAGTAATGTAAGCAGTAGTGTAAGTTATGCAAGAAAATGCATTTGACCCATTTTTTTACACTCCATGAGGTCAGTTCATGCCCCTAAAAACCAACAATTCAGGATGTGTAATGAACCAGAACACATTATGCAATAACTGAAACTGATCATGTGTGCAGTTGATTTCAGTGTGATTGAGGGCACTCAGTGCAGTTATATAATAGCACTTTTAGCTGTAAACAATGTCATTTGAAAAAGTTATACAAAAAGTAAAAAGTGGTCCTTAACTTTTTTTGAGGAGTATATGATCATGGGGCAAAATCTTCTCGAACCCGGACGTATTGCCAATATGAAAATCAAATTGCAAGAAAGAATATAGCATACCGAATGTCTGTACAGTTGGACATCAAAATTTTAGCAATCTTGGAGAACGGGCCCAAACAACATGTTGGTATTTCAAAATATGTCAATGAATAAAATCAAATATAAAGTCAAAAGCTAAATCTTACTTTAGAAGAATGCCCTTTGAATAGAATTTGAAGCAAGTTCAAATTTGACCTTGACAATGAAAAGTATTCCCGACCTAACACAAGAAGCAATATCAATGAATATACTCACATGCATCACCAGCGTAGTCAGATCTACATGCACATGTATAGCTGCCATCTGTTTCTGTACAATCTGCGTTGTCATCACAAGGATTGTTCGAACAATCACAATAAACTGGAAAATAAATATGTGTTCAGTACATTGTTATGAGCGTAATGTATTGGTATTGTCAAAAGATATTAGAAGAAATATCCCTGAAATTTCATATGTATTCATCAAACGGTTCAGTTTGAAAGGTGTAGACAGGAGTTTCAAAACTAGATTTTGCACAGTTTATATTTTACACCCATTTCCCCGTACTTATCAGATTTGGACGGAGATCAAAAATGCGTTAACATTCACCCAGAATGCCGAGAAACTAATCATTTTTAGATTATTGTACAAAGAAACATCCCTGAAAAGGAGCACGTATGTTATCGCAAACAATTTCAGAAGGTTATATCTTGGATTATGACTATTTTCTGACAATGAAGACAAGTTTATCTTTTAGATCAATTCATTATCTCAAAGAAAATTATATACAGTAATAATAAAGTCAAACAAACTCGGAGATGTTTAACTAGCAATCAATCCATCAACACACTTTTCAAAGATGTTGACCTCATTTTCACCAAAAATGCAATCATGTTTTACATTGTTTAATGCAATTACTATTCTTTATTTTGATGTATCAAATATTTCTTGAGAGAAAAACTTAATTGCTTTAAGATAAGTGTTCCCCATGTTATTTCTCCATTGAAAATTCTCATGCTATTCATTGGTTTCAGTTCATTTTGGTCATCCAAATTCAGTATCTTTAAATTCTCTGGAGCAATCAACTTTTCCTTTTAGGAAATCGAACATATCTCAAAGCGCATTCTAATTATGCATTCAACAATTATAATAAAAGGTTGAATTTTTGGTGAAAATTTGGTCAACATTTTTGAAAAAGTACGTTGATTGGTCCATTTATTGCCCCTTCAATATCACTTAGGTCTGATGAACTAAATTATCATTATATATACTTTTCTCGAAGATAATGAATGAATCGGCTTTGTATAAAAAACCTCCTACCTCATACCCACATACCCACCTACGTGGGACATGATACAGTCAATGAAGGGTTCAATTTTAAAGATTTTTAAATCTCAAAATAGCTCTAATTAACATTTCTACAATTCCGGCTTTATTTTATGACTAGACAGATAACAGATCCATAAATAAAGGCATATGGGTGCATTGTAATGTGTAATAACCCTAGGGCGCCCCAGGGGAATAACTTACTAATGACTGCGAGCATAGGTCCAACAAGCCAGATAAAGAAATTGAAAGAAAGTGTGCTAAATTTGATGCCCCGAGTGGGAAGCGAACCCAGCTGGGATGTAGTAGCAACTTAATTGCTATCAAGGGTGTTACAAATGCATCTATAATTCATCATAAACTAAGATTTAATAAACTAAGATCTTTTAAATTGAACCCTTCAAAGACTGTATCATGTCCAACGTATTGGTGGGTATGAGGTAGGAGGTTTTTTATACAAAGCCTGAATTGGATCTAAAATATACACCCATGTTCATGATCAGAAAATATTCATAATTCAAGTTAGAATCGTTTGAAATTGTTTGCGATAACCTACGTGGTCCTTTGAAATCAATCAGTCAACGGTTCGCCGAAAATATTCAGATATTTTATCAGATATACAAGTTTTTGAAGATGCCTTCAGTTTCACATTTTTATAAGAATATCAATTGAAAAAGGGGCGTAACCTCATTCAATACTTTGACGAATGTTTTATCTGAAATAAAGTCAAAACTGTAAGAAATATTAAAAACTGGCCATGATACGAAAGATCTAGCAAACAATATTATAAAAGTGTGACATTTTAAATTTTGTGGCATTTTAAATTTTCGAAGCATATTCTTATCTCTAGCTGTCGCTTAGACTTTTAATTATAAATCAAACACAAATGTTCTTACCTATAATAACCTGAATGCACACAACCATCAGGAACAAAGCCCAGGCCGGTGGCAATGCTGCCTGAAAAAGAAAATGGATGTGCGTGAACCAACGTAAGTCTAATTCTGAATCCGTGTGTCGAAAATGTAAAAGAAACGGAGATAATTGCATTCTGGCTTACCAGACCCCTTTTTACAGGGTGAACCAGAAATGGTAACCCAAACAAATGGTAATAACACCCTCATCCAACATGGATTTAAAATCATATTTGGCATGCATCATAATTGAACATTGTTCATATAACGGAAATATGCCAAAATCATATCCGATTTGAATCCCCAAACTTTCATCTTCGGAGCCATTCCAAAGATGTCCACGCTCACAACTCTAGAACCTTGGATGAAGCAAGAGAAGGTTCATCGGGCTCGGGAAACACCTTCGATCGTCCTTCATTATAAAACAAACCACTTGTCAGGAAGAACCCCTTTTCTAAAAGATCAACGAACCCCAGGCTGGAAACGAACCCAAATCTGAAAGATGACTTTTTTGCGCGAACAATAGTGAATTGCACATTTATACTAGAACCATATTCAGTACGTATTTCATCCTTTGATATTCCCTTGCATTGTTAATTCTAAACATATATATGGCTTATATCATATCAAAGTGTTCGTCTTTAGATTGTCTTTTCGGAGACTATATGATTATTTTTTCGTTTCTGAGAATATGAAAGGATACTTGCCATGTTCTAATTTGGGTAAGACCTCAAAATTAAGGCGTCACGCGTAACAAAAGACGACAAAGAAACCTACTCCAAGAGGGCTATTTGATGATGTTCACATAATATTCTGTAATTTGATTAATTCGTTGAAACCCTTTTCCGTCGTGTGAACCCTCCCTTCCCTAAACTCTTTCGTTATGAAATGAACCCCAGGAAGGGAATAAAAATGGAACACTCCCTTGGTAAATCAAGGACTGTGTGGTCTTTTGATTGCTTACTTTTTAGGTTTCATTGACTAACAAGCAAAATAACTCGAAATGGCAGAAAATTAAAATCAAAAACTTTTAGTTTCACGAAAATACGATCTAGGTTCAGAGAATGATGTTTTGTTATCGCATATCGCAGTGTTGAATTTTCTCTCATTATTGAAAAATCCGAAATGTGTGATCTCATTGGTCATCTTAATCGGGGTTTTACCTTATTCGAACTGAAGTTGGTTGATTCCAATGGTACCATATTGCTTTTAATATTCTATTGATTTTTGGATGGTGAACTTCTATCAAGGATAATAACTCAATGTTCATTACCTGAATCTTTTTCAACGCCCTCGAAATAATTTTTCTAACGTTTTAGATACGAATTAAAATTGAAAATGACTTTAAGATTGCGGGAAATGAGATTTTTAAATTACACATCTTAGAGCGTTGGTTTCTTATATAAGCTTTGAGTCCATGGCTCATATGGCTCTCATTGCTTCTGTTGTGTTAGATGAAAGGGGTTGAGTATTGAGCGACCCGACGACCAAGAGGTTATTTCAAAAAGCTTAATTTATGCTACGCCAATGTACTAAGTTTCTAATCACAAAAGAAAAGAATTATATACAAATAAAAATATTTATTTTGCACTTGGGGCTCTAAACATTTGATTAGTATATGAGTTCATTCCCTTTGCTACAACGAAATCGTATTCATAAACAAATCATAATAAAATGACCGCCCGGCCCGATTGTACTGGCCACCGCTTGGGTGGGCGACAGTACACACGGAAGGTAGGGCATGATTTGATGTGACCAAAACGTCAACATACTGTAGCGCATCCTGTGGGATGGCAGTATGTATGCTGGGAATGAATGAATAATATAAGGGAAACGCCTAAATCATTTGCGCTCAGTCACCGTGGATGAGCTGAGATAACTGCTCGTGTGGCAGTCATTGACGTGGAATATATCTGTGGAAAGCTATATCGCTGACGTCAACGCAACAAAATAGGACGTTATACGTAACATAAATATGTATGTAATCAACAATGATGATGTTACCTTACATTATCAGTTCATTCATTTGGAGAGGTACTGAACTAATATATATTTAAATTTTGATTTAAAGAATAAAAGAACCTAAGGTGACGTGGAGGGGTGGAGGACGGTTAGGTGTGTAGTGGTCTCCACCGATACAAAAACTTCAAGCTGACCTCAGAAAATAAACAAGATATATTAGTGGAGTCAATTAAGGCAATAAAACCCTAGAATTGCACATGCTATATATATAGCACTATTTCCTGACATAAGAATCACTACTACATATATTTTTGATATCTAACGAAGTGGTGTTGAAAAGTGGCCCCATTTGATAATAACAGGCCTTGAAAATTTTGGGCATTTACATTGAGCCCAATGTTAATTTATCAATCTTCAAAAGATCCCCTGCAGTACAGTTTTAGAGATATAAAGCCCATATTCCCAGGATGTTACAATAACATGATTATCTTCAAAATAAGAAGGGTTAAATTTTTTCTTTTACCTAGTTCCAAAGAGTTTGAGTTTTAGAAATTCCCCATTGGCTGCCATTATAAATGGCTATCAATATGGCTTTACTAAAGTGTCCTTTTCTAAAAAATTCCACGGTGAAATTTTCTAATATTACAGATTCCTATAGTTAATATATTGATTTTAAAAAAATCAAACAGGTACATTTCTGAAAATTTCTTATTTTTGATATATTTAGCCGTTAAAAACTATAAAAGACCTGTATTGAGCCCCATGTTAATTTATCAATCTTTCAAAGACCCTGTGCAGAACAGTTTTAGACTAATAATGCCCATTCTCCTACTATGTTACAATAACATGATTATCTTCAAAATAAGAAGGGCAAATTCTTTTCTTTTACCTACTTCCAAAGATATTTGCATTTGAATTTTGGAAATTCCCCATTGGCTGCCATTATAAAAGGCTATCAATATGGCCTTACTAAAGTGTCCTTTTCTCAAAAAGTCCACGGTGGAATTTTCCAATATTGTAGATTTCTATAGTTAATGTATTGATTTAATAAAAATCAAACAGGTACATTTTTAATTTTTTTTAGTTTTATATAATTAGCCGTTAAAAACTATAAAGAACCTATATTGAAGCCCATGTTAATTTATCAATCTTTCAAAGACCCTGTGCAGAACAGTTTTAGATTAATAATGCCCATTCTCATACTATGTTACAATAACATGATTATCTTCAAAAAAGGAAGGGCTAATATTTTTCTTTTACCTAGACTCCATTTCACTGTTTTATTGCGTCAGTGTGTAGAACCCCAAAAATAAGAAATTGGGAGACCATTGTGCAATAATATATGGAAAAGTATATTCATAATGTACATGAATGACATTTGTATATTTCAGATTTTTTAGTTTTTGTGCAATAAGCCTGTGCCCTCTTGTAATTTGAAGAATTTCGGCCATGTTAATCTTATTGAAAATAACATGGCAGAGAAGCATCCAAATATAAGAGGCCACACACTTTATGAGCCAAACTAGAAGCAATCCAAGATATACACATGTCATATACACACGCCTAACCATCGACAAGGTACAGTCACGTGACAGTGACAAAATATGCCGTAGTACACTTTTGATGTACTATGTCATTTCCGCCATTTTATATCGCCATTTTCTAGAATGAGGAAGCGAGGTAAGAACTAGCATTGATTTGATCAATATTGTGTCAGTTCATCATCAGGCAGTTGTTGCATTCGATTTGTAATTAAGTTGCAAATATGCATATCTATTTCAAATGATCCTCAGCAACTTCAATATCTTGTTATAGATCTACCCAGTACGTCAGGGATCTCTAAATCTTGACTGAATTTCGCAAAATTCTCTCTAATTTTTGTTTTGCTATGCAAATAACAGCCAAACTACGACTAACACAACTTAAGATAAGTATACAAATATACATCCAGAGTTAATGCAAAACCGCTTTTTACTTTGGATGCTACTACGAAAAACAGATAATGTATGTTGTCAACTCGAATGTATGTTGTCACATTGGCCTTACAGATCTCAATTCACAGTTAATTTTACATGAATGAAATGCTATAATGTACGTGTAATAGAAGGAACATATTTGATAATAAAGTAATAATTTATAATAATAGGGCTGGCATATCGAAAAATTTACTCTAATATTTTGTCCGTTAATCAATAAAATTGTCATTGATATGATTAAATTTCAATGTTACTAATAATTTTTTAGTATTCCATAACCCTGGCTTTTGAACTTCTGCACTTTCCCCCCTAGGCAGACATATACCAATTTCTCCAAAGTATGTGTCATATATCATATTTAAGCTTATCCAAAGTTACATTGATTTGCCAAATATGATGGTTCAAATGGTAAAAAGTAACAGGCATTTCAAAAATTAGCGTTTTGCCAAAAAGTCCATTTCAGTATCCTGGAAACAGCCCTGACCTGAATGTGACAGAAAATATGGATGCTATTCTCGAAGATAATATATGGATATCGAGTTCTAAAAAGATGACGTTTAGGGTAGATACTCCAAGGAAACTCTTCTTAAGCCTTAAAAGGGTTTTATGAAGATTACAAAACGCCATATCCCTATTTGAAGCCAGTTTAAGATCATATATGGAAAGTATTGCTGCTGTTAACATGGCGGCTAAGGAGACACACCGACTATTGTTTTGGTGTAAAACTGACTTTAATTTTGTCCAAACACTAACTTTTGAAATTCCTGTAACTTTTTCCATTTGTGAGTTGAACCATGATACTCGGCAAATTAATGTAACTTTGGATGAGCTTTAAAATGATATACGACACATACATGGAGACATTGGTATATGTCTGCCTATGGGGGCCCATAATTTCGGGACACCCTGTAGCATAAAGTCATCTTGGATTAGCTAGTAAAGATCTCTCCATGAACTCCTTAAGATTATTAAAATTCATAAAAGTGCAACTAAACATAACGTAACGTACCGACGTCGAGTGGTTAAAGAGGTCGGAAGAAAACACGCCGTGGTCACATATTAGTCACCATATTAATACTTTCATTAAATAAAATAGCATTCAACGAAAAAATCACTTTTACCTGTTTATCTGTACTAGGGATACAGGAGCATGTTCGTTGAACATCACTTGTAACGCATAGAACCCTTAATGCATTTTGAAATTAAATCATTGCAATGTTTAATATTATAACTCATGTATTTCAATTACAGGGACAACATACACTGTGAGTTGACAACGTACATTTCTGATTTTTTAAATTATATCAAATGCATGAATGTTTATTAAATGTTCACCTGTCCTAAACTGTGTAGTTTAGAGAAACACATTCTCATAAAAATATTCGACACTCTGAGACGTCAGGGGAGAAAATTATCAAAGGAAATGTGTAAAAAACAACATTTTTCCAACCGAAGAATCGTATGGGTAGACTAACAACGAAAAAAATCGAGCACTGCTCGAAGGTCTTTTAACGTTATTAGAAAAATAAATGTCTTTGAAATCGAATGCACGCGAAATCAAACATAAAATCCTTTGTGTTCTCCTAAAATTTATTTTTGAAAACCTGCATCGAACCTACATCATGGTCTTCGCTCAAAATCAGTTAATAGTGACATAGTACATCAAAAGTGTACTACGGCATATTTTGTCACCTGTCACGTGACTGTACCTTGTCGATGGTTAGGCGTGATACAATAGGAATACATTTTTCCTTATATTATTGCAAAATGATATTTTGATTTCTAATTTTTTTTAGCTTTTACTGACGCAATTAAACAGTGAAATGGACTCTAGTTCCAAAGATATTTGCGATTGAATTTTTGAAAATCCCTATTGGTTGCCATTATAAACCGTTACAATATGGTTTTACTATAATAGATTGTCTTCTCAAAGAATCCACTGTGAAATTTTCTAATATTGTAGATATCTATAGTTAATATATATATTTTTTTTAAAATCAAACAGCTACTTTTCTGAAAATTTCTTATTTTTAAAATATTTAGTCATTAAGTTAAAGATTGATTTAACATGGTGCATAATATAGGTTTTTATAGTTAATAACAGCTAATTATATAAATGAAAGTAAAACAATTCAGAAATCTGCCTGTTTTTAAAAAAAAAAAAATAGAAATGTACAATATTAGAAAATTCCATAGTGGACTTTTTGAGAAAAGACGCTTTACTTAAGCCAAATTGATACCGTTTATAATGGCAGCTAATGGGGTTTTTCCAAAATGCAAACGTCAATATCTTTGGAAATAGGTCAAAGAAAAAATTTAATCCTTCATATTTTGAAGATAATCGTGTTATTGTAACATCCTAGGAATAATGGCTTCATCGCTTTTGAACTGCTCTGTATGGGGTCTTTTGAAGATTGATAATCTAACATGGGGCCCAATATGTTTTTTATAGTTTTTAACGGCTAGATATATTTAAAATAAAAAATTTTCAGAAATGTGCCTGTTTGATTTTTTTTAAATTAATATATTAACTATAGACATGTACAATATTAAAAATTCGACAGTAGACGTTTTGCGAAAAGGAGACTTCAGTAAAGTCATAATGATAGCAGTTTATAATGGCATCCAATGGGGATTTCCAATATTTCAACGCCAATATCTTTGGAACTTAGTTGTTTTGGATAAAGTCATGTTATTGCAACATCCTTGGAATATGGCTCCATCACTTTTGAACTGCTCTACAGGGGGAGTTTTTAACAGCTGGATATATTAAAAATAAGAATTTATCAGAAATGTGCCCGTTTGATTTTTTTAAATCAATATATATATATATCAACTCTACTATCGAAATATACGATACTAGAAAATTCCATGGTGGACTTTCTGAGAAATGGACACTTTAGTAAAGCTATTAATTGATAGCCGTTTATAATGGCAGCCAATGGGGAATTTCGAAAATTCAAAAGCAAATATCTTTGGAACTAGGTAAAGAGAAGTCATACCTTCTTATTTTGAAAATAATAGTGTTATTGTTATATCCTATGAGTATGGCCCTTATCACTTTTTGAAGGGACCTTTTGAAGATTGATAAATTATCATGGGGCTCAATATAGGTTTTTATAGTTTTTAACGGCTAAATATATCAAAAATAAGAAATTTTCAGAAATGTACCCGTTTGATTTTTTTTAAATCAATATATTAACTATACGAATCTGCAATATTAGAAAATTTCACCGTGGACTTTTTGAGAAAAGGACAATTTAGTAAAGCCATATTGATGGCCGTTTATAATGGCAGCCAATGGAGAATTTTCAAAATTCAAACGCAAATATCTTTGGAACTAGGTAAAAGAAAAGAATTTGCCCTTCTTATTTTGAAGATAATCATGTTATTGTAACGTATTAGGAGAATTGGCATAATTACTCTAAAACTGTCCTGTATGGGGTCTTTTGAAGATTGGTAAATTAACATGGGGCTCAATATAGGTTTTTATAGTTTTTAACAGCTAAATATATAAAAAATAAGAAATTTTCAGAAATGTACCTGTTTGATTTCTTTAAAATCAATATATTATCTATAGAAATCTGCAATATTAGAAAATTTCACCGTAGAATTTTTGAGAAAAGGACACTTTAGTAAAGCCATATTGATAGCCATTTATAATGGCAGCCAATGGGGAATTTCCAAAATTCAAACTCAAATATCTTTGGAACTAGGTAAAAGAAAAAATTTAACCCTTCTTATTTTGAAGATAATCATGTTATTGTAACATCCTAGGAATATGGGCTTTATGACTCTAAAACTGTACTGCAGGGGATCTTTTGAAGATTGATAAATTAACATGGGGCTCAATGTAAATGCCCAAAATTTTCAAGGCCTGTTATTATCAAATTAGGCCACTTTTCAACACCACTTCGTTAGATATCAAAAATATATGTATTAATAATACTTATGTCAAAAAATGATGCTATATATATAGCATGTGCAATTGAACACTTATCTGACTCCACTATATACCAGGCTTCTAATGTGTAAGTTATCTTACATTCAAGCGATTTTAGCGACATCTTAATGTCGTATCATAAAATAGCGTTATCCATTGAATAACTTACAATTTACCGAAATAAATACAGTAACATTAGATCCATTTAGATTTTATTTCTTAAAATCTATTTAAAACTCGACTTCTTACAGTCGGTGTAATGTTGACTGATTGACAACAATTTAATGCGAAACTTATTTCGAAATATTTTATATACTGTATATAACGAGGGTAATGTCAACGAGGGTTGATCCAAAAGATCTCCACCGTTTGTTCTTAAAAAAATATTTTCCTCGTATAACAGTTTTTGTTAACATTTTTGGTTTTTGCTCCTTTCTACCAGAAAATGTCTTTCCGAACCTTGTTGGAACAAAATACCATATACAACATGTTTTTAGACCTCTCTTTTTAGACCTCTCTTATAAGGTCGGAACTGACGACCGCGTGAGACAAAGTCTAGGATGGTTGATTTTCGGAGAAAGAAGCTGATGATATTTTATTGGAAGAAAATACCATTTCTAACTAGAACTAAATGCTATCACTCTTCGATTATATTTCTTGGAGACAGTAGTATGAATTATCTACAGGTGTGTGAAAACTTGTTCCTTAACATTTCCTATATCATCTCCTCGTACGACCTACCCTGCGTGCAGAGTCTAGTTAAACTACAGAAGACGAAGCTCTCTTTTAAGAAGTGAAGTCAAACGAATGCAAAGGGTACGTACGACCTATAAATCGGGTCTTATAGATTTGGTTTTGATTCAGCTACTGTGATGAGAGCTTGAAGGAGAAGATTTTTTACAGATAAAGCCCGGTATACACCAATGAGGCAAGTTAATGTGAATGACTTTTCCGGAATTCAAAAAGAAAAATTGAATATATTGTTCTATTCTACATATTTTTAGTTTTCAAAATAATCGAGATGTACTCAAAATAGATATGTTGAAATATGTAGGCTATGCAGGTATTTGAATAAAAACTTCATAAGCTTGCATATTAAATTGGGAGTACGCGATTTTCTTGATTTTGAATTTCGGAAGTCGCCTCACTTCCTGGGCCTTAATCAATAAAATGCGTATTACTATGTTTAATATGCGTATATCTACTATATACATTCCTAACTACGACACACTTCAATTGGTTAAAAAGAATACATCATAATCAATAAATACATAAAATGAATTAATCAAATATTCTTATTTTATCATACCTTTTCCATTGATAAATTGCTCCTCAGATCCTGCTTGATGAATTCTATCAACCATATAAACTTTAAATTCAGTTGCAATAAGCCAATAATATATAGTTGTATTCAATTTAACCCTAGCTATTGTCATAACCAAGCTAGAATTTATATAAAGTATTTTGTTGCCAATGTACTCAAAACACTGGCCATGGTTTCACATGTATAACGTAGATAATCTCTGGCGGACAATGGAGTCAAAGCGATTAGCCATGATCTTTAATCCGAAAGTAATTCATTATAAGTCTATGTTCCTTTTGTGTTTAGATCAGCGAAAACCATTATTCCATTTAAGTGCATGAGTGTTGAATAATAAAACAAACAGTGTTTCTCGTACCAGAAAATGACTATATTGGGGTTGAGTTTAACTTGGGGCATGAGACAACCTCTCCCAAAAGGATTTGCGGAGTTGGAATGTCATGATTTTACTCCTTTTCATGTTGTACAACGTTTATCAAATATGCAATTTAGCTAATTTGTGAAACTGTATGCCATGTACTAAGATACATAATCGGATCATACCACACCGGTATAGCCTGACGACGGTGTTGTCACAAATGGCGAACATAACCGTCGCTTCAACTCTTCAATCACTTGTTCCTCGTTTCATGGGACTTAATCACTTGTTCCTCGTTTCATGGGACTTTATCACTTGTTCCTCGTTTCATGGGACTTTATCACTTGGTCCTCGTTTCATGGGACTTTATCACTTGGTCCTCGATTAATGGGACTTTATCGTTGCTAATTTTATTCATGTATTAAGCTCTTGTGATGATGTATCTAATCATATGAAATCCCAATTTCGATCAAATTGGGTCGTCACAATATAGCGTCTTCGATATCGCCAATGACAACGGAATCTGAATTTTAAATAATTTACCATGCCGTTGTCTTTGTAAATTATCCCAAATCGAGGCTTATTTTCTAAAAAGAGGATCTTGTTTTTCTCAATTTTAACATATTCTCTACACTATATTAACGATTTCTGAAAAGGGGATGGGTATTGAAATGCGTTAAGGTTAAAAACCACACATCCCATGTTAGGGAAAACTTGTGCGATCCATTGTTTTCAGCATAATTTTGGTCATCGAAAATTTATAACTTTCAATACCATTCTACGTTTGAAGAAGTTTAAGATCCCTTGTTAAATAATCTTTTCATGCAATAAAAATCAGAAAAAGAAGATTCACTTTTAAGTAAATAGATTCGACATTTTGGAAAAATTGTTGACTTGGGATTCCTATTCATAATTTTTCGAATTTTTCGATTGATATTTTTATCAATATGGGTACTTAACTTGAAAGAAAATATATTGTTTTAATAAAAACCAATGTATTTGTGCCCAGACAGTATTCATGGTGAAATATTGACTGTCTAAAATCACTTGCCATACTATACTGCACATGGACCTTTGTCAATTTCACTGATTGAAATCCCTGACCGATTGAAATCCCCGTTGCTATGTGGTTGCTAGGCAAAATAATGGACCGAAATTAAATTAGAATAATTCCAATTCAAGCATTTATCTATTTTCTTCTTGAATCACTTGTTGGTTTTTGAAGAACATCTTGAAATATGAATCCTTAAGACAAAAAAAGTTGAATTGGAAATTGTTGATTATTCAATTCCGCGTTTCATTGATTTCAAGGGGTTTTCGCGATACCTGCTACATTTGAAGGTTATTAAAAGTTTTTACCTTAATTTTTGGTTTATTTGAAAGGTAATAGATTATTCAAGAAAAGCAAACCCCATCTATCCCAAACCATAAAAATTGTACATTTGAGATTCCGACGTTTTGTTAACAAACGAACCGTTTCGGTAACCAGCTAAATCGAATGGATCACCAATGAGATACAGACTTAACACAATAAAATTTACTGAAAGTTCATTATAGAAAAAAACCTCAAAAGCTACTTTAATTCACAATTTTGATACTGAAAAGCCAAGGTCAAAATTTAGGTCTGAGACGGGTTTTCCTTGTTTTTGCGATTCTGACACTACGCTTTCATAATATTCTTCGAGGCTTGGTGTATCGCCAAGGATATGCTAATAGTCTTTGCTTCTTGCCATCAGAGGGTATTTTAACCTCCAGCATATCATCTCAACAGCATATCAATGATGCCATTGACCAGTTTAGGCCAAAATTTAGGACTGTAATTGATCACAATGGTGGACATATTGAACGTCTGTTTAAGGTAAATGAAGTTGACAAAAAAACTTGGTTTTTGCAATTTTCGGAAAACCCATTTTGAAACGAAAATTACGTCATTTATGTTATGGACGCTGGTTAACAGACATTATAATAAATCTAAAGTTATGATATACCAAATTAAAAAATAAGTAAATACCCTATCCACAGGTATATTATAATATGACATGTTTTCATCAAGAAAAACAATATATATTTTTGGAATACGAGTGTCCCATTTTTGGACCACCCTGTACTTTTGAAATATGTGCGGAAAGTAGGTCAAAACAAAAAGTTCTAAAATGCAACGTTTGAGGTGTCAAAATAATTGGAAATTTCCGACTTCCATTTGAGATTCTTTGATGTTTTGAAATCTCGAAAAGTCGACATGATGATATCCTCATGTTAAGTCAATGGTGCAAACTTGATGAGCAATCCACTAAGCTACATATGTTCAGCTTCTTACACAGCTACCAACGAAGCTCCTTACTCAGCCTACGTACCTATATCATATTTAAAGTGTACATAATATTAATAAGATTTCAAGTCCATAAGGCTGAGTGGTCTCAATCCTCCCAGTGATTTAAAAATAAGTGAAACGAATTAAGGCCTACCCCTATTTTTCAATTTGTTTTAGAAAAGTATGACTTTTTATATATTAATATTATATTTAAGGCATACATAATATGAATATGATTTCATTTTCAAGTCCTTAGGGGTTAGTGATCTAAATTCTCCCAGTGATTTAGAAATAAGTAAAGCAAATGAAGGCCTACCCCTAATTTTTTTTAAAAGATTTCCAAAGTTATGATTTTTTTCTCAACAACCAATGAATGTACAATTCTCTTGCTTTGCAAATATATAGAGTACACAACAAGGTAAAACTTGAATTTTTCATACATGGTTAAGTCGCTTTTTAGGAATATAATGGCGTTCAGGTAAAATTACTGTGCGCATTTAATGCAAATTTTCAGATGAATAATCAAAAATATTCTCATTTACTCTTAATTCCAAAGTTAAAGAGATACACATTGGGATATCTTATTTGAAGCAAGAAATTGTAAAATTACTTTAAGAAAATTCCAGACATTTGAAAAAAATTTCCCTTGGGGGGGGGTCTATTTTTCAAGGGAAGGGGGTACCAAAAATGATTTTTACATGTTCCACCATATTGGTAAATTTTTAGTATGTTATTTCAACTGCATATATGAGTTAAAAAACAACATTTGATTACAATTGCAATTAGTTTTGGGTCAGATGTTACTTTGACTAGATTACATTGGAAAGGTGAGAGTGTCAGCTTTAAGGATCTGACCTACGATTTGGCTACGAAATTGAAGGATTAAACCTTTTATACCCAAGGGGTCATTTTCATGATTTTTGAGTGAAATGAAAACAAATTAATTCTAATTTATCCAGACACTAATAAGTAGTAAGAAGACAAAATAAAGCTTGTACCATGAGAAAATATTTATACTACTATAATAATTAATCCGAAACTCATGCTTTTTACAATGACCTTGACCTCAGATTTCAGAATCTTGTATTTTGTTAACCAGATTAATCTAGACCACATTCTACGAACAGTGCCTCTTAATATTAAATAGATGAGAATTTTGGCAACATTTTATTATCTTAAGTGTTTTTAAACATACAAATAATTGTATGAATCGATTGTTTCTAATCTATTTAAGTATATCCACTTAAACGCATTGGTGTCAAAAAACCTTAAAATGGCCATGGCCAGAGATATGAGGACTGGTCAAACATTCGTGTTATTTGTGATTTTATACACATACATAGGATTTGGAGCAAATGGCCAGAGTAAGCTATATTTATTTATTTGAATTTGGAAGTTATATTTGTATTGATGGAGTTTATAAAGAGTTGGATACCCAACTTGGTCACTCGAAGTGGATGGGGCAATGAAATATTCAATTTGATGATGAAATGGGGGTGATTTTAAAGACAGTGTTTTGTGTTGATTTTTGTTTTAAGTTTAGCTGATTTTTCCCAAATGTTGAATCTTGTTAAATTTGATAAAATGGTGTACTGTATTGTTTCTCTTATCTATTAGAAGTGTATAACTTTTGCATTAACTTTCGGTACATACTTATTTAGTATAGAGTAATTATAATGTAATGCCCATTTTTCCCGTGTTATAAGTAATTATAATCTCTATATCCAGTTTGTAGACCTCAGAACAGCTGCCTTTATGGACACTACACTTGCGATGAAAACGGGAATAAGGTGTGTTTGGAAGGATTCCGCGATCCCCACTTGAACTGTACAACACGTCTCGTCCCCCCTGAGTCTGACCCTGAGTGTCCAGATGGGGGCTGTATCAATGGTTACTGCTTCAAGTCAACGTGTTGTTGTTCATCAGGTAGGTATTCTGAATTCTAGACTAATGCAGATTTTGAGACTTTAAAAATATTCCTTTCCTTTTCGAGTTCTATGATGGTGGCAGTGTTTTGCTATTGGAATTTCTAACCTTGTTTATGTATGTGCATCAGGATTTGTCCATTTTTATTATCTTTTGTTTTCATGTGGATAGTTGGCAAGTTAAAAACACGAATTTTCTTATTGAACATAAGGTTGGGTCGGTCCACAATGTGAGATAATAGAAACACCCTGCTACAAACAGCCTTGCCTAAATGGAGCAACGTGCATCAATCTTGGATATAGACCACAGGATTTCTACTGCAGTTGCCCAGAGGGATTTGAAGGTAAATCGTGCAACTTATTCAGGGGCGGGCCTGAACGATGAAAATAAAATGGGGCAAAAATGTATTTTGAAGACACTGTGCGAGAAAAATATAAGTACACGTCGCACGCAACTGGGGACAATAAGCGAACATTATGGCGTCAAAATACCAAAATAAAACAATGAGCACAGAGCGCAAAATAGCATTATAACGTCAAAAACGACGAGCGTCACATTTTTTCAAGTTTAGTCAACCCAAAAAGAAAATGATTTATCCTTACGTATTTAATCGTGATAAAATTCACAGAGTAGCAAAATCTCGACGACAATATTTCTAATATGTTTTTGAATTTTGAAAAACGGTCAGGAAATCCACTTGAGAAGTAAGTAAAATTCTTTCCCCGAATATCTCCAGCTCACCCGTTAATTTGGACACCATACATGTTGGCGAATAAGGACTCACATAAAATTTTCTATTATTTTAGGTGACTTCTGTGAAGACTTAGCAGGAAGTTCTACTCCTCAACCCCCTACTACCACACCTCCCCAACCCCTAACTACCACGACTGCTGAGCCAAGATGTCCCCCCAACTATTACGGTATGAATTGTGAAGCATACTGCAAAGCTGCCGATAGTTGCAAGGAAGGGCACTACACATGTGACCCTTTAACAGGGGCCAAGGTTTGTTTGTTTGTTTGTTTGTATGTTTGTTTGTTTGTTTGTTTGTTACATGGGAAGTATCCTCAACAAGGAAAGTAAGGGTGGTATCATAGATCTACCAGTATTTCACAAATTAAGAAAGGGTCCCTCGGTGTAGCAATGCAACCATGTGGTTAATGGTTATATACGATTTGACGGTACGCGGAAACTACGTTCGATTAAAGGCCAGGTAGATTGAAAATTATAAGGGCAATTCGAAAATTCATAAGCGTTGTTTCAATTGCATTTCATGATGTAGCAATGACAACATTCCCTGTACATTCACAGTATTAATAAAATTATATTTATTAATAATTCTTTTGACAAAGCTCTGCTTTGAAGGATGGACCAAGGAATCCGGGTGCAAAGTAAAGTCGACTGATCCATTAAATGACCAAGAATGTCCTAGCGAGGGATGTAACCTTGGGTAGGTGAATTTCTTCTTTCATAAAATGGCGGAAAATCAGCAAGTCCGATCAAAGAGCAGCAATTTAATAGATTTCTGGAAAACGCTGAGTGAGTTTAATACGCTATACTGTTGTGGTAGGAAAGCTTTAGCTTAGTTTTCGTTGTGTTCTGTTTGGATATTGGGGTTTTTTAATGACCGATTATTGTAATTATGTTTTTCAGTGCTTATCTTTCCCCTTTTGTCACACGTGCTAACATATTTGTAGGTTTTGTTGGCGTGGAGGATGCTGTTGTTTCGATAACATTATTGGACAATTTTGCGACACACCGGTTAATCGTTGTGACTCAGCACCATGCCTGAATGGAGGGACTTGTTCCTCAACACCACCAAGCAGTGAATACACATGCAATTGCCCACCAAACTTCAATGGACGAAACTGCGAGAATAACAGTACAGCGCCACGTAAGTAATTTTTATGTTTGTTTATGGGAATATGTGGTAATTTATCTCCTATCGTTGGAAATACAAGGCCAATGTTCGTAATGTTTGAAGATGGAATCATTTCCAAGGTGAATTTGTCGATAAAGTGTGTATTAAGGTCATGTGATGACATACCGTTTGTAGTCGTTCGACTTCACTTCTTAAAACAGAGCTTCGTCTGCACATAGGGTACACGCAGTGATGTCACAATGTTGTAACAATAGTGGAATGATCTTTAAATTGCATAGTCTCCTAAAGTAGGCCAAGCAAATGGGCTCATAAAAGGCCCAAACATCCCAAAAATTGCAACAGTTTTTAAATTAGTCTTATATTATGTATTAATATCAGTTGAAAAACATATCAAAAATATAGAAAAATGTATGCAGTGGACAAATATGAAATTTCACTTCCTAGGTACCCCCTACAACCCTACCCCAAAATTGAGTATTGGTAGGAAACAATTAATTCTTCCCAAATGGAATACTTTAGTCAAGTATTCAAGCTTTATTATGATAGATCACATATTCACAAATAATTAAAATATTATTTTAATCAATTTTGAGACCAGTAATTGGTCATTTGACCCCAAAGTATAACAAAATAGGCCACAAAACAGGCATGTTATCACATTTCTATTTAGATATTTAAGGATCAGTTTGTCAGAAAAGCATGAAAAAAATCATGGTGTTACATATTCATATGAACTTCATATTTGGTGAATGTCAGCATTCTAAAAAGTATACTTAGGAAGAAAAAAATTATTTCATTTTCATAGTTTTGCCCCGCCCACTATAGGGGAGACAATAGTTTTGATGATTAACTCCCACAATGCATCACATTTGTATTAGAGTTGACATCTAAATCATTTATATAGGCTTGTCATCATCTAAAATACAAGTTTTGTGAAGGTTTATACCTTATTAGTATGAAAAATAGGAATTATTTGACCTCACTTTTATTTGATGAATAATTACATATCACCACTCTGATATTAGGGTATTTGATAACTGCTATATACTAGGCTTATCTAAATAATGTAAGTTGTAGTTTTTGTGGAATTTAATATTGTTTAAATTATTAATTACAATCCGCAATTACAAAATTTGCATATATTTAAATTCATCAGATAAATAAATCATTACATAAGAGTACATTACTATGGAACTATCAATTGGATGTATAATGCTGTAGAAACGAATTTATGGCTATTAAACAGAATTTAAACTGACAGAGAACATTAAAATCTCAGATATATAATCTGGGGAGTCTTTCATTAATATAATTTCAGTGCATAGGAATGATGGTAATTCTGTCTGTCAGGTTGGAAAACATTGAGTGTACATGTGCTGCATTCAGAATCGGATGCAGATATTGTGATTGTGAAAACTGCAATCCAAAGTGTCCAAACCTCAAATACAGTAGGCCTACTCATACAGATCTCCTTGTGCTTCTCATTTATCATGCACAAAACACAAACTTCAACATTTTCTTCAAACCTGAACCAAAAGCAGCAACCCAAGAAACAAAATGTTGGAATATAAATGAAATAAGATTGTCTTTGGGAAAAGTGGTCTGTGACAATATTTTGTTTCTTTTCTGGGGTGTGACATCGCATTCAGGTTATATATGGCATAGACAAGAGGCTATCATTGAGGCAGATAAAAAAGAGTGAGTTCTTGAGAAAACAAGCGGTTGTTTTTAGATTACCAAAAGCACTGGTGATCCGCTCGATTACGCTTGTCGTTTCGGTAACAAAATGTCTAAACGTCGAAAGTACGATATTTCTTTTTTCCTTTTTTTCACGCATTGTAGGCAGAATCCCCACGATGTTTTTTTCTCAGGAATTAAATCGAAGATTCTGTTGTCTTCTGAACTATTTGTTCGCAAATATGTACATCTTTTAAACATATAATACTGATACATGTTTGTGATAACAATGTTGTGGGAATTCTGCCTACAATGTGTGAAATAAAGAAAAAAAAAAGTTCGATGTTCAGACATTTTGTTACAACGTAAACAAGTAGAAAACCAGTGAAATGCAAGCAACTCTGTCATTGCAGAGGAACATGCTCTTTTGTCAATTTATGGTGGAAAAATGGTGAAACCCTAAATTATCTTAGGCTTCTAAAATTCTATTAAAAGAGAGCAGCAAGATCTGAATTATTGCAGCCCCGTGTTCTTCCTCCATTTTCTGATGCTGCGGAATACCACAGTTACAGAGTGTACCATCAGATCCAGGAGTGGGAGGGAAATAAACTGCCTCCATTATAATTGGGCTGGGAATTAAGCAACAAAACTATGTACCAATTGCCTAAATGCAGCTCCCCTTTCTCAGAGATCATCCATTGTGTGTGTAAGGCAGATTGTATTTCTATGAGATGTTCTTGTAGAAAAATGAAATAACTGTTCTTTGACATGTAAGGTATGCAAAGGCATTTGTGAAAATACCTCCATTACTGATCATGAGAATAATGATGACTAAATATGAACACTGGCAGATCTGGGCCCCTCCCACCCCCTTGGGCGGGCCCAGAAAAAAAATTGGGCCCAAAAAGGCCTTAAGGCCCCGAAAAGTGGGCCTTTTGGTCTTAAATGGGCCTTTAAAGCCTTATTTTTAATTAAAGAAAATGGGTCTCAATATTTCAAAATTTGCCCACTTCAGGGTTTTAGGGGCCCAAAATTTTTTCCGCGGAAGTTTTTTTCTCAGGCCTGACATTTGCCCCCCCCCCTTGTTGGTTCCCATATCCGCCCCTGATGAAAGCTGGTGATAGACAAGGTTGTAACTGATTGTTGTTACAACATAATAGTATTAAGCTTATTTAATCAGCATTCTTTTTTGCTCTTTATAAGTAAGACACATATATGAAGGTTAAGATTACAAAATTAAGGCAGCATTTTTGATAATGAACATAACATAATCGAACATAATCATTTTTTATTGAATTTCATCTTGAAATCGAACATTCTTCAGTTGAACTTCTTCATTTCATTTCTCAATATCACTGTGTGGTTAAGAACACCTTAGTCAAAAGTAACAATTTTTCCTTAATACAGGGCGAGCCAAAAAGGTAACCCAAACAAATCTTAATAATCCAGTCCAATCATCCTGCATGGATTTAGTGTCATATTTGGCAGAATTGAGTCTTGGTCAATGTATTATCAATCTACCCAGTCTCAGTGGTCTCTAGTGGTCACGATTTAATGGCCATTTTATACCATGCCATGAAATATGGGTGTCATGCCTGGAGGCCAACTTGAACGTATCGTGCGTTGTTGTTCAAATCAGCATAAAAATCATGTGTTATGACTCTCATCTTCATTCTTATCTCTTGTTTTAATGTTTCAAGTGTTGTTAGTATCGAAAAAAGGTCCACAGATAAAAAAAAACTGGTGGTATTGATGTCCAGTCAGTTAGGCACATTTCGATATTTTGAGCACATTTTGTAAATGGCCATAAAATCATGACTATTAAGGATAGATCAATGACACTTAGTAGAATGAAAGAACATTGAACAAGGTAATTGTGCCAAATATGATGTCAAACCCATGCTGAATGACTGGGTTATTAACAAACATTTGGTTGGGTTACCTTTTTTGGCTCATATTAATAAACTGATGTCAGGGACAGGGATATTTAACATTTTGTTGCCTTTTCAAGGACATTTTTTGACCACTGATTGTAACAAATCGTTCTCTGTTTTACCAGAAAAGGTATATTATATATCAAATTGAATTTAAAAGGAAAAAACATTTGATAATTTAACAGTTATCAACTAAAAGTAGGGCTTCCCCTATATTTCACCTGGCATTTGCTGTTTTTCTACTTTTTCTTTACATAATCCTTTCCTGAAAACCTCAAAAACTGTTTTCAGGACAAAATAAGCCTTTACAAATAATTTAGTTGTGCTATTGAGTTCAAATATGACATATCTTGGAAGAAATTAAACAAAAGTAAGGTCACCCCAAAAGTGGGTGTGGTAAAATATTGAAATTTCAAATATTATTTTCACGCTCATTATTCACTTAATGACCCTGATACTTATCAAAGACAATGTTCAGGTGTACAATACCCTCCTTGATATTTTTCATGCAATTCTGATGAATTGATACAGAAATAAATACATTGTTATATTAAATTCGGGCTATTTGATGGCCTATTTTCAGATATTTGGCGCTAGAAATGCCAATTATTGCACTCAAATAGTTGGTTAACAATTTTTAGTTGCTCTTATGTCAGTAGACTATCATAATATTACTCGTTTAGTTGACAAGAGTATTCCATTTTGAAATAAAAAAATATTTACAATCCCATACTCAAATTTGGAGGGGGGTACCTGGAATGTGACATTTCATATTTGTCCACTGCATATATTTTTCTATATTTTTGATATGTTTTTCAACTGGTATCAATATACAATATAAGCCTAATTTAAAAACTGTTGCAATTTTTGGGATGTTAAACTTTCATTTGCCTAGCCTAAAGATGAAGCCTCTCAACTTGTAATTAAATCACTACATATACAACTATTGAACAAGAATGTCACCCATCATAATTTAATTATTGCACTTGTTCGTTTTATTCCAGCTAGGACCAACCAATGGTATGAGTTCATCATAGGATTCACATCCAACATGAACATAAATAGTAACGCATCCGTCAATGTGATCGTTAGCAACCCAAACAACCAAAATGTTCTCTTTTACATCACCTCACCCTATCTTCCTTCTCAAATCCAAGAGACTCTCGGTCCAAAAGGCACTCCTGGTCAATCCGTCTCAGTAGCCCTCCCAGGCGGTCTTCAGATGGGGAATAATGTAAAAGAGAACAAGGGCATACGTGTATATTCTGAGTTGCCTATAGTAGTACATGGAATGAACAACAAGGGAGTTGCAAGTGATGGGTTTTTGGGCATCCCAGTTAGAGACCTTGGGAATTACTACATCATACCCTCCTATTTGTCCAAAACAGCATCGGAATCTTCCAACATTGGTATAGTTGGCATTGCGAAAGACACAGAGGTTAGGATATTGCGTCGAGTACCAGATATCGGTTACGTATCCCAGAATATAAGTATTCGCCTTAACATGCTAGAAACGTATCAGGTGAATGAGTTTGGTAGTGACTTGACAGGTACTATTGTTGTAAGCAGTGATCCGATAGCTGTGTTCTCTGGGGCTTCATTCACAAGTGTGCCAGGTGCGCAATGCTGTAGCGATCATTTAATTGAACAAATTCCTCCTGTAACACAATGGGGTACAATTTTTGCCATACAGTACACAAGACGGCGGATTTTTGAATCAGAAGATGAAGGAAGACTTCTTCCAAACGAGATATATCGTGTTATTGCTTCCGAAGATGACACTAGAATCTTAATAAACCAAAGTCCTACTTCCAATGTTGTATCCAGAATCAACAAGGGTGAATACGTTGAACAAGTTCTTAGACTTTCCGAAGGCCTTAATGAAACGAGGCATGGTATCTTTGCGAACAAACCTTGCTTAGTTGCTCAATATAGCACCGGATCGAGTTTTCTGGACTTTGCCTCCCCTTTTATGATGATAGTACCACCCGTGGAACAGTACATCAGTGAGTTTGTATTCACAACTGAAGCTCTTGATACTCCATATAATAACTCACTGAACATTGTTATACTCGAAGGTGCTAATAGGAATGATGTACTATTAAATGGACAACCAACTGCTGACAATTGGGCATCATTTGCCTTCTTTCAGTCGACACAATTACAATTGAACAGTGGCACCTCATATACACTTCAATACACTCCTAAAGAACAATCTGCAGAGAAAGTTATGAGAGGAAATACGACAATGAAAGCTTCTGAAATACCAACTACTGCCTCAGCCATTACAATGGAGTATTCCATCCAAACAACTGCTGATTCCATCCAAACAACTCCAGACTCCATCCAAACAACTGCTGACTCCATCCAAACAACTACTGACTCCATCCAAACAACTGCAGACTCCATCCAAACAACTGCTGACTCCATCCAAACAACTATTGGCTCCAAGCAAACTATTGCTGGTTCGAACCAAACAACTGATAAATCCGTCCAAACAACTATTGGCTCCATGCAAACGACTGCTGACTCCACCGAAACAACCGATGAAACCACACCAACAGCTGCTTTCCAAAACTCAACAGCTGCAACCACATCATCCTCCGATTTTTCATCCATTTCTACTACAACACAATCTACATCACAGGGTCCGACAACCACTCCACTAAATATCCCTACATCCACTACGCCTCCTACCAATTCCCCTCCTACTCCTCCAACTACCAATCCCCCTCCTACTCCGCCTCCATCCTTACAGGGTCTGATGGCGGCTCACGTGTATGGACACAAGATGGGACAATCTTATGGTTACCCGGTTGGCATGGCATTCAACATTATCAATGGTAAGACAATATTGAAACTTTTTGTTTTGTTTTCAATAATACTTTAATTTTGGTGCTGATCAATAGACAAAAAATGAATTTTTAAATACTTTTAAATATTGATAAATCCCGAAGAGCCAGCGTTTATTCAATTTTTCAAAAGATAAACTCAGGATCATGAGTGAGCCTGATGAACTTATTATGTTTTAAACGTGACAGCAAGATGCATGCTTGTGAACGTTGTTATATGAATTAAATATGTGGACAGAGTACTCAGATTTTATCCAAAATAACCCAGGATTTAACTAACATTTTCAAGTGGATAAATCCCAATTTGGAATGAAGGCAATGGTCTAAATGAATATGTATGGCCTAACTCAGAAAGAACATACAATGTAATCGTTGGACACAAGAATCATGCTTTGTTCGTTATATGATAACAAAATGAATGATCGGATACTTATAAATTGTAATGTAATCAAATAACCTATCAGATTCATTTCCATTTTCAGCACTGAACATTACAATACCCATATAATCTAATCAAATAACATATCAGATTCATTTCCATCTTCAGCCCTGAACATTTCAATACCCATATAATGTAATCAAATAACCAATCAGATTCATTTCCATTTTCAGCACTGACCATTACAATACCCATATAATGTAATCAAATAACCAATCAGATTCATTTCCATTTTCAGCACTGAACATTACAATACCCATATAATATAATCAAATAACCTATCAGATTCATTTACAATACCCATGTAATGTAATCAAATAACCTATCAGATTCATTTCCATTTTCAGCACTGAACATTACAATACCCATATAATCTAATCAAATAACATATCAGATTCATTTCCATTTTCAGCACTGAACATTACAATACCCATATAATATAATCAAATAACCTATCAGATTCATTTACAATACTCATATAATATAATCAAATAACCTATCAGATTCATTTCCATTTTCAGCACTGACCATACAATACCCATATAATGTAATCAAATAACCTTTCAGATTCATTTACAATACTCATATAATATAATCAAATAACCTATCAGATTCATTTCCATTTTCAGCACTGAACATTACAATACCCATATAATATAATCAAATAACCTATCAGATTCATTTCCATTTTCAGCACTGAACATTACAATACCCATATAATATAATCAAATAACCTATCAGATTCATTTCCATTTTCAGCACTGACCATACAATACCCATATAATGTAATCAAATAACCTTTCAGATTCATTTCCATTTTCAGCACTGACCATTACAATACCTATATAATATAATCAAATAACCTATCAGATTCATTTCCATTTTCAGCACTGAACATTACAATACCCATATAATATAATCAAATAACCTATCAGATTCATTTCCATTTTCAGCACTGAACATTACAATACCCATATAATATAATCAAATAACCTATCAGATTCATTTCCATTTTCAGCACTGAACATTACAATACCCATATAATATAATCAAATAACCTATCAGATTCATTTCCATTTTCAGCACTGAACATTACAATACCCATATAATATAATCAAATAACCTATTAGATTCATTTCCATTTTCAGCACTGACCATTACAATACTCATATAATATTATCAGTTATTACACGTTTCAGCATGTGATACAGGAAATATTCCACGAAAGTAAAAATTGTATAACCACGAAAGCGCAGCTTGAGTGGTGATACTTTTTTACTGAGTGGAATATTTCCCGTATCACATACGCTGAAACGTGTGATGACGATTTTATCACATACTATGTAGAAATTTAGTGATTTGATTGGTAGCTTTCTTTGTCGTTCTAACTTCTAGTTCCTCAAATGACGAATTCATCATTTCTAAGAAATAGTAACATAGCCTATATGTGACGTCATTTTGAATTAGGAAAGAATAGAATGAAGTTGTATGACGTCATTTCATTACCATAGACAACGTGTGGTATGTGTGCTTGTATCATATGAAATTTATGTGATACGAGAAATACGTCATAGAAAGCAACCAATCAAATCACTAGATTTCTACATAGTATGTGATAAAATCAAATAACCTTTCAGATTCATTTCCATTTTCAGCACTGAACATTACAATACCCATATAATATAATCAAATAACCTATCAGATTCATTTTCATTTTCAGCACTGAACATTACAATACCCATATAATATAATCAAATAACCTATCAAATTCATTTCCATTTTCAGCACTGAACATTACAATACCCATATAATATAATCAAATAACCTATCAGATTCATTTCCATTTTCAGCACTGAACATTACAATACCCATATAATATAATCAAATAACCTTTCAGATTCATTTCCATTTTCAGCACTGACCATTACAATACCCATATAATAAAATCAAAAAACTATCAGATTCGTTTCCATTTTCAGCACTGATCATTACAATACCCATATAATATAATCAAATAACCTATCAGATTCGTTTCCATTTTCAGCCCTGAACATTACAATACCCATATAATATAATCAAATAACCAATCAGATTCATTTCCATTTTCAGCACTGAACATTACAATACCCATATAATATAATCAAATAACCTCTCAGATTCATTTTCATTTTCAGCACTGAACATTACAATACCCATATAATATAATCAAATAACCTATCAGATTCATTTTCATTTTAAGCACTGAACATTACAATACCCATATAATATAATCAAATAACCTATCAGATTCATTTCCATTTTCAGCACTGAACATTACAATACCCATATAATATAATCAAATAACCTTTCAGATTCATTTCCATTTTCAGCACTGACCATTACAATACCCATATAATATAATCAAATAACCTATCAGATTCGTTTCCATTTTCAGCCCTGAACATTACAATACCCATATAATATAATCAAATAACCAATCAGATTCGTTTCCATTTTCAGCACTGAACATTACAATACCCATATAATATAATCAAATAACCTATCAGATTCGTTTCCATTTTCAGCCCTGAACATTACAATACCCATATAATATAATCAAATAACCTATCAGATTCGTTTCCATTTTCAGCCCTGAACATTACAATACCCAAGCCACCTCGATATCTCCAGTAAGTATGATTATCTATTGAGCTGGATATCTCAAATAATAAAAATCCACCCATTGGGTAGACTCCCTCCAAAGGTTTGGCAACTCCAATTCAATAGACCAATCCAGTATATCATGCCATCTATTGGTTATGATGTCAATCTAACAATTTCAGTGCAGACATAGGATAAAAATATTGCTAATTTTCAAAAACTTGTTTCAATTTTGTTTTCAAACATTTCTGCCTGTAAAATATGACATCATAAATCTAGCTAATATGCCCTAGTTTCCTTGGTTCACAAAAAGGGGTCAGGATTTATAGGAAAGGTCTATTAATTTGTCATCAATTCAAATGATACATGTACTTTTGGTGGGTGTTGTACAATCACTGTGTAAAACCATGTAATATAACCCATTGTGGTAAAAAATCACAGAAGTCATTGATGTATAACTGACTAACAGTTTACTTATATAGTCATATCCATTTTGTAGATGCGAGTGTAAAGTAAGAACTGAACCCACTCCAGGGCCAGGACGAATCGTCTACAATATCGACAACATCCTGTTCAATGACACCAACAATAACTGCTCCGACTGCAACATCATGCTCCGTCAGTGCCCAAAATTGTGCTCCCGCAATATAAGCAACCTTTTGGGACAGGATGGTCTTGGTACACTTGTTCTGGTGAACAATACAAACCAACCGTACAATGAGACCCTCGGTCAAGTGATGTGCAATAATTACAATGCTGAGGTTCCAGCTCCTGGGTTACTCCTAGCCACTCATACCGTCCCTATTGGTTGTGCTGAAGAGTCAGATGCTTTGTTTATACAGACACAGCCTCAGTATCGTCTATGTTGTATTACTAACCCTACTGGTGGACCACCTTACTGGGATAGTGACTGTGGTGCCCCAACGTCAAATGAATAATCCTGCGACACTCTACCAGTAGACTTTTAATTAAAAAACTTGAATGGTTTACAAGTTTCCAAATGGATTATACCTGAATTTAGACTTAAAGAGGCTCTATACCATAGGATAGCACAATCAAGACCACTCTGGAATTTCTTTTGCATATTGAGTTGCACCACATATTCACCCATCTACTTACCATAGAAAAAGTCCCAAATCCCCCTCTTTCAGTGTTAATTTTGCGATTGTGCTGGCCAATTTAATTATTTTCACGGAAATTAATTCAATATGAAGTTTGAATATCCCGGGAAAGTCCTCCTGTTATCTGATTGGTCGTTGAATTTGTTTATCATGAAACTGATTGGGTACCTGAATCAAGGGGCTTGTGTGACTCAATGGGGATCCCCCTCGCTAGCCGAGGAATCGATTGTGTTTAATTCTGGAGTTTGGTTGTTTTGTTGATTATTTCAATATTTCAGCAATAATATACCAAAAAGTTATTCTCAAGATATATCCATGGTATGTGAGATATTATGAGCAATAACAATAGGACATCATTGATTGTCTGGGGGAGAAACCTATGGTTTAGTGCATCTTTAAACCCTGTATACACTGTGAATTGCAGTTCAACTATTTCTATCAGTTCAATTGATTCAATGTTTGCATCATTTCGAGCAGAGCATTCCAACAGTTTCAAACAATGCACCTTCAAGACTGATTCAAAGAGTTTTTGCTGCTTGCGCCTGTTAAGCCGCTTCAAGTATTTCAACACATGACCAATTTAACATTTAAACCATGGGCTTTCAATCTATTGAATGCTCATGTGTAAACCCTTTCAATCAGTTTGACCGCTTCGCCCCAATTCAAACATTTCTCCTGCCAGTGTATACAGGGCTATAAACAATGAACAAACTTAACATTAAAAATTGTTTTTTTCATAAATATATTTAACATTATTTATCCCTTCCACGTGTTAGCTAATACTATAATAGCATTTTATTCATAATTATGCTTTCATTGGTGCAGCAAAAATACTTTCATCGTGTTTATCATTTTGCCAATAATCCAGCTCCAAGCAGAGTATAACTATAATACAAGAGGCAGTGTACACGCCCAGTTTTATCATAATTCAATTTTGCTCAGAAGTGTTTAAATCCTGATAACTCAGCTCCAGAAATTCAAAACATGAATAGAGAACATGAATGAAATATATTTTACATGTACATTGTACATATTAACATATTATGATGTAAAATAATACAGGGACAAATTTGAGTTAATAGTTGGCAAGGCAACTAGATTCACCTTGCAGAGTTTCAGAACATTAATGCATTTGACTGAGATGATTAAATCTGTTAAAAAATAGAAAATTGTCTGCTATTTCGGTCCATCTCCACCACTGCCTGGAGGTTGAGACATGAGTAGTTGCAATGATTTCCTAGTACTCTCCAAGAATAGATCCATGCTGGCATACTGTCTCTGGCGTAAACTGGAATCCGCCTGAAAATACATCAAATACACGTTTTGTACTCAAACGTGGATTTAGTTTCACCAATGTTTATGTCTCCATTATAAACAAAATCAGAAGTTCAATGTGAGACGAGAAGAATTTTGGAAAAAGACTTAAAATTATAATGCTCCATTGCAAGCCAGTAGTCAGCTTTTGCTAATAGGGGGTTCACTGTTCAAAAAATTCCAGGCAGTTTCACAATTGACAACAGCCCAAAATCACTTGAAAAGTGCTCAAAATTGTAAAAACTGCATGATTTTGAAAGAATTTTTGGCCACCCAACACCCCCCATGGTTAAGGGTCTGACTGTAAGGATCAACCTGTGGTCTTAGGTTTGTAAGGAAATAATCTTGTCAGTTAGCTAGGGGTATTAGTTACAGGCAACAGGCAAATTTCTCTGTTTTTACCAAAATCACATATTGTTTGAGGAACTTAACAGCCGTTTCAATGTTAAAATAATAATTTCCAATAATTTTGCCTGTTGTTTTCATTTCTTTTCCCTGTTGTTTTCATTTCTTTTGTTTGCCTGTTGTTTTCATTTGCTTTGCCTGTTGTTTTCATTTGTTTTGCCTGTTACCTGTTAACCCCTGTAACAGTCAACATCTACTTTTTTTTAATTAAATGGAGCAAACTGAAGAATATAAAGATGAGGCTTTGCAGAGACACCTGTTATGTCATTGATGACTAATAACAACAATTAATAACAATTAGAGACATCATTGTATTACAATCAATCAATTGAACTTTCCACTAACTGACCAAGTGTCAGAACAAGCTGTTACAAAGCTGTGAACTTCACCTTTTAATTATGGAATCAACTCATTGAATTCAAAAAGTGAAAAAATTCAAAAAGTCAAAATTAGCAAGGAATAATCTGATAATATATATATAATATATATACAGATATGATATTTATATATGGTCTTAATTGTATAGGAATACAATGATGTTATGTCTGTCATTGAATGTAAAAAGGTGGGAGAAATATTGATAACGTTTAATAGGGAATAGGTTAAATTACTTCACTTTTGTCAAACCCTCGTTGACCTTTGATGTGAATTTATAAATCAGGTCCTGCAAGTTCTAAGACAATTATTCTGTCAGTCAGTATAACACAATTTCTATATTGTTTCCCCTATTTTGATGGAATAGGCCTTGGATTGATTTCTATGAAAATTTGAAGCTTATTGTCAACTTATTTTTGTTTGTGAAAATTATTTGTAAGGGAGGACAGATTTCTTTTGCAAGGGAAAGTGGGTGTCTATGATGAGGTTAAATTATTAGTACATTCTAAATGAAAATATTAATTAAGCCATGAGTAGATCTACATGGGTCAGCTGTCCAAGATTCCCCTCGGGCTAAATTGTACAAATAATGTGCCTATTAATTCAACCCTTCATGAAACTTAATAATTTAAAACATTCACATTTTTTAATTCAAATAAGCAAGAAAGCAAATAGGGAAGTTTAGTGTTACACAATAATACACATACCAGCTATAAAGGAATTCATACTTTGGACTTTGTATTTGTCTTCAGATTTTAAGGAAGTTTTTATCATAGCATCATATTTCAAGGACCAAGTGGAGATATCAAAACATATGAATAAAATTCGAGGGACTGAATAATAAAGTGATACCCTGCCCTAATCAACAAGTAAGTGTTGTTTTATTTTATCTATTGCCGAGTGCATTTAAAAAACAAACAAAAAATCTAGACACAAATTTTTGCTGGCAATAACAAGAGTAGTTTATGTTATTAAAAGTTCAATTCCAACTGAACAATATGGGAAAGCTATTTACAAATACTTATGTATTTTCGTCAGCTGCATTAGAGATAATCAATTCTAAATTTTCCTATTGTGGTTCACCAAGCAAAAATATCACTTAGTGTAAAAAGTAACATATATCTTGATAATGCATTTTGAATGTGATAAATATGAAATAAATATGAAACTAGAAAAACAGCAACTCCACGGAGTAGCAAATCCCACCGAACAAAACATATTATGCTTATTATAGCTAGTGTAAATGTTGAAATGTTTGTGCACTTTGTGATAAAAGCATGAAATTTGGCACAAAGTTAGTTTATACCATTGTGAACTAGGCATCATCATATAAAATTTGAACCAAATCTGTTCACTGGTATATGAGTTATCAAAGATTACGTTTTTTACGAAAATTGGCCGCCATCTTGAAAATTATTTCTTGAACAGAGCTACTGTGTCCCTAGGCATAATCATATAAAATTTCAGCAAATCTGTTCACTGGTATTTGAGTTATCAAAGATTACGTTTTTTACGAAAAATTGCCGCCATTTTGAAATTAAGCAGCCATCTTGAAAAAATTTTGACGAACATAGCTACTGTGTCCCTAGGCATCATCAATATTCCAATAAATGTTCATTAAATATCAAATTGTCCCGCAATCCGCAAAGCAATGCAACAATAATTTTTAAAGAAACATTTTTGCATATTCTGCTTTTTGCCATTTTATTAGGTATTTTTATGAGTTAACATAATGAACAGAGATTAGAGTCTGTCAGATAGTAGGGGCAATGTTGGTGCACCTCGTACTTCTAATCCTGGATTATCATGGGATTATCTATACACTAACTGTCAAAGTCAGACCCACATATTAAAGGTGTCAATTTGATGATTTTATGACAATGACTAAACACAACATAAAAGCACACTCACTTGCTTGAGTGGAAACTCAAGGAAGCAAAGATGACATTATTTTTGGCTATGACTTAAAGTGGCAGCAAAGAACAATGAGTGCAAGTGTTGCGACAAGAGCTCTTGGGACTTTAAATCAATACAAGTTAGTTACTTTACATTAATAGTTACTTCAGTTACTTCAGTTACTTCATTAACAGTTACTTCACAAGTTAGTGTAAAATTTGAACAAAAGTGTATCTTTTGGCCGAGAGGGCTTAGGCGCCAGCATGTTCAGGCTAGGCGATTGGGCGCCGTAACCACGAGGTTGCGAGTTCGATACGCGGTGTGCTCCGTGCGTTTATTCATTCACTTTCTCACCTGTTTTTGTTCATTTATATATGTTTTCATATCATCTCTGGCTGCATTGATAGCTGTCTGTGTTGCCTCGCTAGCTTTACTTCTTTCTGCTTCTATAGCTTCACTAAGACATGTCTGTAACAGATTGGAATATGTCTGTACGAGAATACTATGTCATGGGTCATGTTTGAAAATGTAAAAAATACTGCTTATCCAAAAAGTGTTTATGTAAGGCTTTTTGAACTTTCCAAGGGACAGATAAGAGGGGTCTGGTAATTCAGAATGGATTACCCCCAATAACCTATGTAGCTTACCTTACTACTAACATTCTGTTCTGCTACTGCTGTAGCGATGGCCTCCTTCCCTCTCTCACGCTCTTCATCTAACAAATCTAACAGCTTTTTCTAAAAGAATAAAAGTTGCATTTATTATATTTAAGGCTCATTAATGAAAATGTAAGTCTATTTCAAAATGTGTTGTTTTCTTAATTTGAATCAAAAACTTATTGTAGCCTATATGAATTGTAAGTGAAAATTCTGGCTGGTATCTCATAAAATTAAATTGTATAAGACAAATATCATTATTATCCAAAAGCATCATTGTGCTAAATATGAGAAACATCTTATTCACAAAAACATTACTGGATCATGATTAAATCCTTCAATGGTATAAACTATATAACTAAAATAAGGCACCTCTTTCAATGGTTTCAGTATAATTCCTGACAATAGGCAAAATTAAAGTAAACTGTGATCTCAACATGGAAATATATTTCTTGAAATAATAGCTGCTAAGGAAACCTCTGTATTTATTCAACCAATAATGATAACATACCTTTTCATCATCTATAAATGCCTGAGACTTGACCTGTTCTTCTTTGACTGCTTCACGTATTGCATCCTTGCTTTTCTGTCTCTCTTCCTGCAAGCAAGGACATGTATACATGTACAGTAAAGCAGTACTTACAGAATGTACAGTATAGTATACATGTACAGGAGAACAGTATGTACAGTGAATTACATACGTACAATAAAACAACACACAGTATGTACAATAAAGTATACATGTACATGTATAGTAATAAAAAAGTATGTGCCGTAAAGTTATACACATGCAGTAATACAGCTCAGATGTACTGTAAAGTACACAAGCAGTAATACAGCTCAGATGTACTGTAAAGTATACATGTACAGTAAACCTTTGTATCACCCCAGCCCCTCTTGGACATTTTTTCAGTTTCATTGCACTGGTTTAAAATATTATTTGAGGAAGTATCCACTAAACACATTATGTTCTTGATGCATTTTATCTTGATACCCTGTTATACAAAGCAGTGGGTAAAACATGGTTCATCCAAATTACGATCTTCTTTGATTCACTCGGCTCCACTCGCCCGATAAAGTATGTAGAGATGATTTATGAGGGTAGGAATTTAAAAAATGCAATAAAAAATTGCAATAAGAAAATAATATACCGGTATGAACATTGAGAAAGATAAGTAATTTAGGTATATGTATATTATATCACCTCACTTACCTCTAAGGCTTTTTCTAATATCTCTCTCTGTTTTTCCTGTTCATTTTTTATACATTTTTCCACATATTCCTGAAAAGGATATTTTATATTGTCATTTCTACAAATTGTTAAACTTGAGTTTATTGTATTGTCAAACTAGACAACAGCAACGCCAAAGCGTAGCAAATCCCATCGAATAGCCATGGCTGGGATTTTTACAAAGTATATAGCATAAATGACAGCCATTTTTCAAAATGGCCATCTTCTACCAAAAGTGTCATTAGACAGTGTGCTATGCTTATAGTATTCACATACCAAATATGAACAAAATCGCTCCACTACTTTTTGAGTAACTGCAAAAATCGAGTAAAGGCCATTTTTCAAGATGGCTGCCATGTGCTTCTTTAATATCTATACATTTCTAGCTTTATTAATGTCCTATATAATTTTTTTACATTTAAAACATATTGCTATTACAGTTTTACATATTGCACCTAAATTACTGTAAAATCAGCACTAAAATGGCCGCCAATTTTAAATGAGCGGCCATTTTGAAAATCAGCTTTCGAGCAGAACTTCTACCCCCATAGGGTATATGTGTACAAAATATTAACAAAATCAGGCCAAAGGTATTTGACTCATTACCCGGACGGATGGACGGAGGCGTTCCCTATATCCCTCCGAACTTTGTTCGATGGAATAACTAATTAAACAAATGTTCAGGACATATTTGGTTGCTCAACTCATTAGTGTTAACTATAGGCTACTCTTGAACGTTTTTACATTCTTAAACAAGCATTAAAAATAACCCTTCGATAATCTTAACTAATTATCATATACGTGACCAATTTTCAAATGTATTATCTACTCATTGCACAAAATGAATTTCAGCAAATAATATTCATTTCTTTGAGGAAATGTAACATAAAAAATGTTATATAAACTGGGCTTATTGTATGATAATTGATTTAAATTAAATTTGTATAATACAAATTCTATTTCTAGCTTTTTTACCTTACTAGTCTTCTTTTGCTTTTCTATAGCAGTTTTAATGGCTTCTTGCATGTTTGATTTCTCTTCTTCCAGAATTTTCTGAAATTCGTCACTCTGTTTTGCCTTTTCCTTGTCATATTTTTCTAGTTCACTTTTTAAAAGTTCTTTGAAATGTTCTTCGTTCAATTGCTGTTGTTCTAATACTGCAGTTTTACAAAGTTCCTGAAAAAAATTAGATTCATGTTGAAGGATTCTAGTCAGATTCTATGTTTTTCAGTAATTTAATGTGTTTCTACCAAGCGTTTGAAAGATTTAGGTCACTAACATAATGGACACAGTCTAGCAATATCTTGAGCCTTTTGGCAGTAGTGACACATAAATTCAGTATTGAATATAAGAAGGCCAACGTGCATATACTTTATATATTATGAGGTTATATAATGGTTCTTTCTGTATATCGTGTTTATACTCGAGTGAGTATATGATATATTCACAAGTAGCGTAGCGAACGAGTGAATATATTATATTCTCACGAGAGTATAAAATGCACGATATACAGAATGAACCATTATATAATCTTATTATGCCACAAGTTCAATTACAGTTGATTCGAACACAATCATAACAATTAAAAACCATAAAAATATCCCATTGCCAACTCAGTAATGCCGATGTTGATCTCGATCCATTTATGACGTCACTTGATTCTAGCAAATCATGTGGGAACCATTTATGACGTCACTTGATTCTAGGAAATCATGTGTTACAAAACATACACCTCGTACTTCGGTCAATATTCATTTGTTCCCAGAATGCTTTTCTACAGTGGTATACGCTGGAGTGTATACGGAGGAGTTGTATACGATGACAATTTACCACTCTCCACTGTATATCGTTGTTATAGACCCATGTTATACAACTGTAATCGGACTTAGAGTGGTATAAAACAAAGTATTGTATATAAGAAATCTGATATGCATACCGTAGTATCCTGAACTCTATAACCTTAACATATTATGTAATCGTCTGGAGTCTACAGCATTATGAGCTAAGTAAAGCCATCACTTGTGAACTAGAAAACATATTTATAAAGCATTACACATACCTTATATTCTTCAACTATCACAGCTAGTGCATCGTGTCCTGCCTTTCTAATGTCTTCAAGGTCTTTGTCATGTTTTACCTGAAAGGATAGATTTTGCGGAGATGACACAGGCAAAATACAGGCAAAATTAGGCACCAATCAATAGATCAGTGCTATTTCAATACTGATAAAGACTGAGTTTTACCTTAAGTAAAATACCAATACAAATCAGGGCCATTGCTAGCTTTTGCAAAGGGGGTCAATTAAAAAATCCAGGGGAGGTTGAGATTTAACAATTTTGGCCCAAATTAACATGGAAAGTGCTCAAAATGATGAAACTGTATGATTTTAAAAGAACTTTTGACCAGAATTGTTTGCTTGAACTCAATATCATCTCTTTTAGTAGAGAATCTACCAGTGATAAAGCAATGCTAATTCTAAATACATACATATGTAATGAAGTGATATCAAGTACAATTTACCCCAATTGACTTCAATTTTTACTTTGTAGAATACTGACAATGGCAGGGAAAGATCATCAAAAGTGTCAGATAAAGCATGAGTTACCTGCAATTCATTGTATTTTTCTTTTTGTGCTTCTAGGTCTTCTTTACTCTTAGATAGCTCTGCTTCCAACTCTTTCTGACTGGAATTCATGTTTTCTAGATCCTGAAAGTTGATATTTACAGAATATTATGTTACCTTTTATCCAAGATTATGAATATGTTTGCACAATAATTAGGGAATAACCTTAGTTACCATAAAAAAATATGAATCTCCTTGGTTCATTGGTGCATGGTTGATCACATACAAAAAAACAAAGAGTGTTTTGGTAACGAAAAGTGTATTTCAATCTTCTCTGACCATACTATTTCATGCCACTTGTCTCTAAAATATAAACTAGGGATGGGACGGTTCGTTTCGGTTCGGTTCGGTTTTTCGGATCATCAGCCGTCGGTTCGGTTTTTTCGGTTCGGTTCATTCATTTTAAGGATTTGTATTGATTGACATGATTAGCTGCTTTGTCTCTGACTTCACTGCTGACTGTCACTTTCTTAATCTTCATTTCTTTTGGGAAAACGGGAATTTGAGATCCAGACGCCATATTTGAATGTATTGTGGGTGCGCACAAAATAATACCCTATATCGAACCTGCGCAAATATAAATTTGCGCAAATCTTTGTATCAATTATGCCACGTTATAACAATATTTTATAGATGGAATTTTATGTTATAGTATTTCATGAACAATACATATTATTTAGAATACACGACTAAAAAATATAGTACCAGGGACCACATGATTGATTACCGAGGGATACGAATACGCGGATACGAAACGAATCTAGTAAACGAGTGAGCTAGCAACAGACAAGACAAACAAGGTAGGGACTAGGAATATCAAAAATGTTGCTGTAAAACAGTGTTTTTAACTGTTTTATTGATACTTGACCAATGAAATATTAACGTGAAAACGATCCGAAAAGCTGATCCGAAAGTAGGGCCGTGATCCGAAAACCGATCCGAAGGCTATGAACCGCGGTTTTTCGGTATTTCGGTTATCCGTCCCACCCCTAATATAAACATGAATATGAATTTTCTGGCATCCCAATATTATAATTCAAAATGTTAAAGTTGCCGCTTAACCTTACTCTGCTTTTCACACTCATATTTTACATTTCAAAACACGTCTGTCAACACGTTTTTCTCAATCAGACTACTGACCTTTTTTATTCTCTCTTTCTCCTCATCAGCTAGACTCAATTTATTTTCAAGTTCTTTCACCTTCTGCTCCATTTTCTCATCAGTGGCAGGTTTTGTTGAAGCTTTTTTCTCACCAGATGGCACTGTAGCAGCAATGGCTGCGTCTATTGCATTTTGGGTACTTGATAAATTCAGCTCATCGTCAAAGTCTAACGATATGTCAAAGTCATTGGAATCTACTGTCTTTTTAGAACTTGATGGTTTTGAATTTGATTTTTCAGTCACATCAGGAGCTTTTGCTAGAGTTTTTTTTGATAAATCTGGAATATTGCTTGCACCTTTATTTGTCACATCTGGGCCATTAGACAAAGCTTTTTCCGTAGCACCTGTTGGTTTATCACTATTAGTTAGATCAGGTTGTCTATTACTTTTAGCTCCAGATATAGGAATCTTTTCTGTTAAATCTGGTTGGTTCTGAGATTGACCCATAGGTGGCTGCACTGTGCCTTGACCAAGGTCAAGGTCAAGTACACCTGCAGGGGGAAGCTGCACCGAGTGCTCATTGGTGAAGCTCTTGGTTGGCATGGATACTGGTGGCTGAAAGTGACCATCGAGAATGTGGTCCTCTAAAAGTGGGCCGGATGATTTAGAAACAGATCCTCCCTGGAAAATAAGCTGCTATGTTAGACTTCCAAATGAAATTAAAATGCTAGAAATACAATTGTGTCAGTTGGGCTTGCATTTTAAAACTGAATCATTGACTGACATTGTGTGACCTTCATGAGAACTGGTTGTGCATAGTCTTTAATATTAACACCAGGTTGCCTAAAATTATTTATTTAACAATTGTATAACAATATACCAACATTGTATGAAACATACTTCTGTACAGACATATTAGATTGAGAAGGATAGTTGTCTAATAAATATTTATTTTCCTATAGTATCCAATTTCATTATCTTGCTTCTTACTACATTATTGCCTTGCACACCATTCTTGCCTCATACAATACTCTTGCCTCATACAATATTTAGCTTTAAATAGCTAAATTACCTTCGATACACCATTCTTGCCTTGCACAATACTCTTGCCTCATTCAATATTCTTGTCTCGTACAATACTCCTCATACAAAATAATTGCCCCATACAATACCCTTGCTCTAGCAATACTCTTGCCTCATACAATATTACTCTATGCTTGCCCCATACAATATTCTTGCCTCAGTTACCAGTCTTGCCTCACAAAGTATTATTGTATCTTTGCCCCATACAACACTTTTGCCTCATAAACCATTCTTGCCTCATACCTTACATCATAAAATATGCTAGTTAGTCACACAATATCCATGCCTCATACAATCTTGCTCATATTCCATTCTTGCCTCATACAATACTCTTGCCTCATAAAACATTTCTGCCTCATAAAATATCCTTGCCTTGTACAATTAATTGTATCAAAAAATATTCACCTGTGAGGCTCCATTTCCAAGATCAGGGGCAGCAATAGGTCCATTGGGCTGTTCAGGGGGCTCTTCTACCTCGATGAAAGGTGGAGCCACATTACCCCCAGGGGCAGCTTGAGCTTGTAGGAGATCTGGCTGTGGGTTCACATTTTGCCCCACTGCAAATAAATCCAAAGATATAAATATAAATGTGATTCACTTCACCCCACCAATTTATTTTAGCTTATGTACTTATTTAAAAATGTATTGTATTTTAGTCGCAATGAATGTGGCACTTACACATATTTGGTGTATTTGATAATGTAGTAAACCAAACATTATTTTCAATCATTTTTAAGTCTCAATTTGTAATGACTACTAAGAAAGTTTAGAACCACTACAATTTACCAATAGCAATATCTTACTTCCAAAAACAGCCCATGGGGAGGGGGCAGCAACAGCTCCATCTATAACAGGTTGAGCCTCAGCTGGGGCAACAGCTTCGGCCTCCTAAAATATATAAATCTAAATATTCAATTTTGATTGGTCATATAGAAGTGAATGTGTCAATCAATGGATTATCTTAGGATCTCTAAAATCTAAGATATCATTTAGTGCATTTAGGTAGTGTATCATTAGTATTTCAATCTTGGTCCTTTGTACAAATATAAGATTGTTACTATACTTACCTCAAAGCCGCCAAAGTCTCCAAAGTCATCATCATCATCCATCACTATATGTAATCCTGCAGTGACGCTGTTACACCTTACATGTACATGGACCTTAGTAGCAGTGTAGCATTCACCTTGCTGACTTCTGCAATTAAGCAATGTATAACATTTCTGTATGCATATGCATGTAAATCAGGGGTTTCACTAGAATTTCTCACAACAGGCTAAGGGTTTGTAGAAAAAATGGGTACCGGGTAGTAAATCCTCCATGCTGGGTTCAAACTTGGTACCCGGTCGAAAAAAATGGGTACCCAAAAAACGAAAAATACAAATATAATTATAACATAATAAGATTATTAGAAAACCATCGAACCCCCTCCTGGCTACGCCTATGACATTGTAAGAAGAAGATTTGAAAAACATGACAAATCAATCTAACTCTATTTTCAATAGTTCGTATGTTGGTACGTGAATTGTTTTGATTATGATTTAAATCTGTAAATAGCTATCGTTACTTTAGCAGAGATGTGACGTGTGTTAATTTACATGATGCAAATTATCCCAATTTTCGACAAAACGTCCACTGAAGTGTAAATTGTTATGTCTTACAATGTCATGGGGGAAAACAAGGAAGTATGAATTTGTTCCTCCGCGAACTCTGAGACTAACATAAAATGTTAGTTTTTTATGTTAGTCTCAGGCGAACTGCATCATGGGAAATATTTTGACCTTATGAGGAAAATATTTCGCGTCTCCTCTTTTGAAGAGGGAACAAGGAATACGACAATTCCTGCATGGGGCATGTCTAGTATCTTTCTCGTTATACTACAGCTCACTGCACAAGGTTGAAAGGTCATATATTGGTCTATTATGACTGTCATAGGCCTTGGGAACAGAGCTGTCAAGTGTCCCGCGAATGGCGGGATTATCCCGCAAATTTGATCAAAATTAGGCTAATTCGCGTGTTCCGCAATGTCCCGCGAAGTCCCGCAAATGTCGGCCTTGACCTCCGCGAATTTCCGAAATTGTTGCGTGATTATCTTATCTTATATAAGAAGTTTTTGCACTTTTGAGGAGTAAAGTTTACCTAACTTTAAGTACCCAGCATGCTTTTGTTTGGTATCAAAATAAAGAGGAAGGGTTCAACTTTCATTTTAATTATGATAATAGGGATGTAGGTCATAAATAGTTCCAACGTTGGCCTTTTTACTACGCGTGTGGCAAATGAGAACTGAGCAAATGTTAGCAAACGCGAGTTACAATAAATGGACATCTAGAAAAGTAACCGGACTCTCTATCATATGCTCTCTATAATTTGATGTAGATTAATTGAACCCCATGCCTATATGAACAGGTAATATATATATAATACTATGGGGGAAAGTGTTTCATAGTTGGTCACGAACGCCATAAGTGCAAAGTATTGTTCAGAATTTTTGAATTTCGTGTTCGATTATGGGACTCACACCTGAAGCATGGTTTTTGTTTTTGATAAATAACAATAAAGTTTAATAATATTCTTATGCGTATTTTGTGTAATTGTGTTGACGTTTATTTAAGTTACAATTTAAGTGTATTATATTTGATTAATCAGTATCTGAAAGTTTGATTGGAGTACTTTTACCAATCACGCAAATCCCTTGCATGTCCAGGGACATCCTGCAAATTTAGGTGGATGTCCCGCAAAATGCCGCAAATTTAGGGTACTTTGTCTAAAAAATCTGTCCCTCTATGAAGTCTTTGGTGGTTAAACTGTTAACTGTCCCGCAATTAGGTTGTTTGTCCCTCGAATGGTCCCGCGAAATTGATAAAAAAGGCCTATTAGCGCAATCACGCAAATCCCTTAAACATGCCGCGAATTTAGTAGATGTCCCGCAAAATCCCGCGGATTTTGGGCACTAGGTCTAAAAAATCTGTCCTGCGAGAAAATCTTAGGGGGTTGACAGTACTGTGGGAACATGTATAAAATAGCGAGTCGACATCTGTGTTACTAGAAGAAGTAGTAATACAGATGTCGACTCGCTATTTTATACATGTTCCCGGGGCCTACGATGACTGTATTCATTGGATTTTTCATTTGAATTTTCAAAAAAACAGGTGTCACCTATGTGAACATGCGCGACAAGAACGCTTTTAATTATCAAACTTACCAGATTATATTTTCTTAACAGTTAAACTGTATGTGCGGTTGTTAAATTTTCACAATTTACGCTACATACACTGACTTGGATTGAAATCTTACAAAGTTGATGTGGGCGCATCCATTTAATAATCGAGGTTCATGAATCACCACAAAACATTTTATTAACTTAAAATAATAATCTACTATCAACACATTTTTCCATAAGATATATAAAGATATTTATGCTTTTAATTTTGAAGAACTGGTCCTCTGTTTTCTAGATAATCTAGAATCTTTTGTTGCTACAAAAATAATTTACAATATATGTAAATAGGACAAGAATGATGGATCCCCAATTTTGGGCGTGTCATGAACTTAGAAAGTCTAGAATTTTTTATTAAATTTCTGAGAATCGCCTCTTTTACCGTCATGAAACGCTGTAAACTCTAAATCACGTATTATTTAGAATAACTATATGAAGATGTAGCATTTGTAAGTATTATTTTTTAATTAACTTCTGGGGAAAATAGCGAATAAAATGTTCATGCCGGTGTTTTTCCAACACGGAAAGATCGCGCGGTCAGGCGATGTCATAACATTTTTTATTTATACTTGACAACAACGGTTACGTTTGAATTTCTACTGTTTCTATGAAAATGAATTGTAATTGACATTTGGCATTATTTGTTGTTGATGTGTTTGTTCATTTTAGCTTCATAGATAAAAACTTATTCAGAAGTGGGTGTGGCAAATGATCACATACCAGCCAGAATTTCTCAGCCAGCCAGGATTAGATCTGGGGCGAAAGGTACATCATGGGCTTTCAACTAGAAAGCCCATGGGTACATGTAGGCCTATAACTGCCCTGTCAACCTCAAGCATTAGGCGTGATTGTCACGCATTTGCTGGAAAAATAGAAATCACGCATCAATTTAGCGTGTATGATCAAATATCACGCATTTTTTGTTGAAATTTTTAAAAATCGTTTTTGTGAAATGCTGACACGGTCTTTGCCCCCCCCCCACCCCCCCGTTGACAGCGAGCATTAGCGAGCTGGAAAAATTTTAGGTGTCAGTCAGTGTTCACTGAAGCTGTCCAAAGTTTGAAGGAAGGTATTCAACATTTGGAAGTCACTCATGTTAGATGGTCCCAAGTTGACAGCCCTGCTATAAGGTTGACATCATTTTGGGGTAACTTCGACAACTTGTTATTTTTCTAGAAACCAGACAATGGCGGAAAACAGAAATTATGAATTACAATAAGTAAGTGTCAAAGGTACCCTATTTCTCACGTCGACATTACCCCTTTGCCCTATCTGGTCTACTTTTAAGATGGAAACAGAAATAACAAAAATCATTTAAATTTCCTGGTGGGGGGATCAGATGGAGGGGGGGATAACATGTATTTAAGACATGATAAGACATGCTACATGTAGTTGAATTTATTCTTATGACTCCAAATTTTCCCATTTTTCATTCTCCAGAGATATAATTTCCAGTTTCTTACTGGGGTACTGAGTTTAGTTTTTTCAAATACACAAGTTCTTGTGAATTTGTTTCATTGTATAAACATATAAATCCCCCCCCCCATCCCATCTCCCCTCCATCCGATATTAATTTATTTCGATTATTTTTTGTATAACGCATGGAAACTAACTTTAAAAAGTGAGCAATGTCATTAGTATTGTGATAATAACGTCCCTAATTTATACCTATTTATTACAGGTCATGTAGACCATTGTTGCCCGATTTATAGCAAAAACATTGACTTTTGCACGTTGGTGATGATGCGCCTTTCTTAATAGATCTCATATCTAAGAAGGGTATCAGTTAAAAAAATAGTAGATGACCTAACATATTTTGCCATGCACTGCGCCTATTCAATTGGCAATTCAGTTGTAAATTTTCTCTTGAAAAAATAAATCTTCCAAATTGTTGAGTTTTCTTGCAGAAATCGCCTAATCCCCCACTCCATCCCATTTGTACGATCACCAGTCTTGACCTATTGTACTATACATTTTTAATGAAAGAGTCTAGAGATCTGAAATCAAACCAAAAATCTCTGTTGTCCCTATTGCTATATCACTGAATTGATTGATCAAATAAGATGTATTTCTGTCAGATAGATTCTGCAATCGTTGTACAATACATGGATTTGATAACTCAGAGATGCGAGATGCCAATTACCAGTTTCACCACCAGGTGGCTCATTCAGGTCAGATTGCATGGCGGGTATAGTCGAAAGTTCCCTTTAACTTTTTGCTTTAGTGGTTCAATTTTCATATTACCATTATGTATCTAATAGTTATGCAAATTAAAACATGTTCTGTAAAAGAAAATATTATCTGTCCAATAAAAGAAAAGATATTTCATTTCTAGTGATTTTATAACATGGGGTCTATGGGGAATCTCCCCGAACTAGAAGTCACATTTTCTAAAAAAAATTAGATTTTCGAATTTGATAAATAATTTTTGAAACCATATTTCTAGATGTACTTTTACATGTAGGTTTCAAATATGACCTCACTTTGACTGAATTTTGAATAATTAATGACATATATCGAGATTATTTCTATTCGCATTTTACAAAGGGAATTTAAAAAGGACATGTGCGATAGTTTAAGAATGTCAAGTGTTCTGACCAGTATTTATTTGAATTAGAAGTTATAGGAGATACTCTACTGTACTTGAACTTGGGATCCCACTATGACTTATCTCTGCTGTCATTGTGCTAACCTGTACCATGGGCTTTCTATTGAATGCCCATGCCTTTACTGTACAGAAGTCTGAGCTCATTCTTTTAATAATTTCTCATGAATCTCTAACGTCCTTGATTTTCTACCAGAATGTATGATATTTTTAAATTATTTATTTTGTGACATACTTTTTTAAAGCATGTTAGTTGATGCTAGTTGCTACACTATTAATTTAATCATAAAAAATATCTGTTTTTATATTTAGAATTTAGATTTATTGATTTTTCTGTTTTCAGATATATGATAGACCCAGAACAACACGAATGAAAACAAAAAATCACTAATTAAACATACAAAAACAAACAATTGTGACATCACAAAGCTTTTTATTAAACAATGGAGATGCCAACAGTGCCAGAATTTTACGCTGGACGGAACATTTTTGTCACAGGAGCAACTGGTTTCCTGGGAAAGGTACTAATTGAAAAACTTTTAAGATGTTGCCCGGATATAAATGGCATATATATGTTGATGCGGCCCAAAAGAGGACATACTGTTGCAGAAAGATTAAAGGATTTAGTAGAATCAAAGGTAATATTAAATGTAGTAATACATTTACTACTAGCTTTATAGCATTTAAGCATGCATAGATCTAGGGCCTATAATCTAGAGTCCCAAAGGCCCACAATTCCATGAGGTATGATCCCCAACTAATATGAATTTCAAGGCTGAACGTTCAAATAGACCTAGGGACTACCCCCCCCCCCCAACTTGGGAGTCTGTGAGACCAAAATCATAATACTTTTGCTAGTCTCACATACCCCTGAGCATACTCCCCTGTACTTTGGATGTTCAAAACCTGTCAGATGGTATAATATTCAAATTTTGCTTATTAGTTCAATTTTTGACTCATATCTGTATGATTATAAAACATGAGCATGGAAAGTGAATCAATGAAAAACATGATGAATATTTCATAAGTCATTCATAAGTATATAGTAGTGTTCCAAATTGTAGTGAAAACTGGTGCCGGTATTTCCGCAATTCAATACCTTACCGTAACCGAATACCACGGTTTTGGGTCTACGTTCGCGAATTCGTACATTTCTGTGACTGTGTTTAGATTTTTAGAAGTTTTTGGTGGTGAATTTGGTCCCTTTCATACAAACGCAGTTTATAGTCATGATTTATCAATGCCTTACCTGATTATCGATAATTTCTGCATTGAATTAAGACATTTACAGCCAGCTATTTAACACAGTCGTTCCTCAAATTGAAAAAAAACGAAAAATGGGAGACAAAAACAAAATGTAAATATTTCCGATGTGTAATGATTACTCTTCTTCACTTTTTATCAATGTTAAACACATAATCTTGCGATTTCTGGTAAGATTAATTGATTCTTTAGATATTCCGGTATCTGGTATTGGAATTATAGTCCCGACAGGCCAGAATGCCACCGTAACGGTACTTCCGGCAATACCGCAGACCACTAGTATATAGAAGGGTAAATTGATGGGGTATACAATTGCATTATGAAGAAAGTCTTTCAGATACTAGTATTCCATGTGACACATTTAATAATTGTATCATCATAGTTCTCCTGAAGTACTATGTATAAAAAGATTTTATAAACAAACAAAAATTTCGGTTTTCACTTTTCAGTCAGGGGGGCGTGCGATTGTGGCATAAACAAGCCAAAATAATAAGATTTTTACAGAAATTGATGCAACTTCCTTCAAAAATGAACTAGAAGCTTCAAATAAAAAGCATTTTAAAGCCCTCCCACCCTGGCTACACCTATGACAAAACAATTACAGGGTGTGTCATGATTATATTAACTTAGAAACTGGTTAAAACAATATAATTGCTGATGTTATGAAATAGTCAAGTAGGCTGGGACATTTTGAAACTAAGATTCAAAGGCTGCTAATTATGTTGTACCCCATTCAGAAGTAAAGCACTTTAATGAATTTTGAAAGGTGCATTTCAAAGTTGTTATTCTTTAAAATACCATGGCTGAGTATACATTTTGTTCTTTGACCCGAGAAACCCTTCATTATTACTTTTATCAAGTGGCATACCAGTAAATAACACATGTATGCTAGTTTCATGTGAACATTCAGTGAAACCATGGGCTCTTAAAAGCTCATGATGAAACTTATCAAAAAGGTCACTTGTATTTGCTCTTTCAATCGAATCATTGTCTCATGGTCAAGTCAGTTTGTTTTTTATTTTTGCATTAGCAAAAAGTTTGGCTCATAAAGTTTCATATACGTACTCATGAGCCTCGATGCTGTTCAAAACCTGAGTAAGTGACAAGAGAAGTTGTGGGGCAATATCCTAGATGCGAGTAGAAATAATCTTGATTTACATCATTAAAAATTCACAATTCAGTCAAACTGATGTCATATTTGGAATCTACATGTAAAATTACAACCAGAAATGTGGTTTTGAAAAGATATAATATATATATATATATATAATCAACTTTGAAAATTTAATTTGTTTTGAAAATGTGACTTCTAGGTCTGGGAGATTCCCCATAGACCCCATGTTGTAAATCCACAAAAAGTGAAATATCTTTTCTTGTGTTGGGCAGATAATATTTTCTTTTACTGGACATAATTTCATTTGTATGTCTATCACATACATAAGGGTAATATGAAAAGTGAACCACTAAAACTGATGAATATTCAGGTTTAAGGGAAATTTGTAAAACCCTGCCATGTTATTTTCCCCGAATCAGCCACCTGGTGACGAAACTTGTAACTACCTACTCGCATCTGACTAATTGTTTATGGTTATGAAACCATACATGTATTATCTCAAATCAACCTGTAGAAATCACCTCTCAAAGTCCATTAATACTCAGCTGATTTATGTTGGTTTAATCCATGGACTTTAAGTTCATGTTTATTGAAACTAATCTTTGAACTTTATTTATATTTGTACTCTATATCTTGCGAAAACAAGTTAATTTGATCACTAATTTTTGGGTTATTTAAATTTATTTTTGATGAGTGCTCTGGAATGTTGCTGTGCACTTTGCCATTAAAATTTAAAAGTTCTTGTGCACTGAATGACTGGTCTGTTATACATATTACAACCATGTCCATATTATGCAAATAGTCTTCTTAAAGTCCCCGTCTAAAGTTTGAAAATATTTTTTTAACATTCATTTACTATTTGTCATGACTTAAAAAGTTATTTTAGAGATTAAAAAAAAAAATTGGGAAAATAGTTATGAGCATTTCATTTCTCAAATATTCAAATTTCCCGCCATTTTTCAAAAAAATTGAAATATTTTAATCATCAAATATTTCTTAATGCATTTCAAAAAAGATTATATTTTTAACACCAATGCAATGATTGAACAAAGAACATACCATTTCAATAATAAAATGCCATATTTAATGGGCCACTTCAATGTTTTAGCATATCAAATTTTTTTGCAACATTAGTGATGTCATTATGACTCACTCAGGTGGCAATCTTTTCTAAATATGCTAGACTTCAATAATAAACCAATGTTGATTGTCTACACAGGTTAAAAGGAAGAATATATTATGAAATGCATTTTTCTCGGAACCATTTTCATGCACTGATGAGTTCATTTCTCGCTTATTTATGAACCGATTTTCTTAATTTTTTCGGCAAAAAACATGCAAGGGTGAACGCTATGTATTGGTATGAATTGTGGCTTATTAAAAGATATGCGTGCCCTCTAAAAATTAGTTGTAAATAAATTCACAAATTTTTGAACAAGAAGTCCTTCAAAAACCACATATCACCCTTTGATAACATGGGGTAAGACTATAATATAAGCCAAAGTGGTTTAAACGTTATATGGGGACTTTAAGGGTATTTCCAGATTCATGAAAATTAGTCAAAGTAGTTGTTCTGTTGTCATGCTCCATTATAATCTGTATGTCAACTAGGTAGTGCATTTTGTATTTGTCAACATTCTTACCAGTAACCCTTATATGGTTACCCTAACACTTAAATCCCCACCCCCTCCACTAAGTTTAACCTCAGAATTACAGATGTTTGGTCTTTTTCAGATATTTGAAAAATTAAAAACAACCAGTCCGAACTATGGAGAAAAACTTCACGCAATTGCAGGTGACATCATGGAACCAGATCTTGGAATCAGCCAATCAGACGCTGAGTTTTTAGCAAATGAAATTTCAGTCGTGTTCCACTCGGCGGCAACTATACGATTCGATGAACCACTGAGGTATGAATTTAATTTAATTGCATACTTGCAATACAATCTTGGATTACATATCTTCATAGTATATTCATTTCAGATATGATATTACAGTATTAAACCTACATCGACTCATTTTATTAAGAATGTTGCTACTTTATGTGCTATTAATAATATGTGAGAAATATGAATTGTGGCATATGTTTGTAATGTTATTTTAGGCTAAAGCCCTTTCATTTGAAATGATTATATTGTGAAAATAACCATCTGAAATGCAATTAACTGCTTGCTTTATCACAAATATAACTGTACATGTATTTTGAAACCTACATGTTGATTGCATGTTTTTCTCTTGCATATTACTGCCTTAATGAATAAACCATACGGCCAACTTGAACGAAAGGGCTCGTCTCGCCACTATCAATAGATAGATATCTCCTTGTAAACTATTCAATAACTACCATCATATGCAAGTGCTTGGATAGATTAATAAATAACAATTGATAAAAGTAAATGAGCATTTGTTGGAAAAATCGATATTATGATCGTTTAACTTTTGGAATGCATACCTAACATACATGTAGATTGTAGAACATAAGCTTATTATATTGCTAAAACCCGGGTTGCTAAATAATTTTATGTTGCTGATCATGGTTTTCAAGTGAAAGCTCATTGGTGAATGAAAAAATTTAAAAATGAAAATTGATTTTTAAAACTGAAGTTTTTTGCAAAATGGTATTAAATATTTTGACCTTATGTATGTCTCTGACTACAACTTCTGCTGTTTTCATATTATCTGATGTATTTGATATGTTAAGTTATACATTTTTACAAGAATATACAATATGATATAAGTAAGATAAGGTTATTTAATCAGAGGGATTGAATATGAATTTTATTTCGAGGGAAAATATGATATTGACCGAGTGCGATATTCCTTCACGACCATCAATAACCTATTTATTCCGTAATATTTTTCTGAAACTTGTTTGTATGTCGTCACTCCATGATGGTGATCGTAAATGATACAATTTAATTAATCCCATGACATTTTCAAGGTTTAACAAATTTTAAAATAGAAATAATACTAATAATGTTCATATGATGCCATAATAGCACAATATTAAGTCTCATGAAATTTTCTGATAGTTCTGATACGGGATCTGATACACAATTTTGGCTGATACAGGACCCAATATGATACAGGACTTTGGCTGATAGTTTTATGCCCAGTTTATTTCCCAGGGAAAACATGTTATTATTGAATAAATCGAAGAAAAAAGAAGAAAAATTAAAATTGATGATGCTAAAAGAGTGGTATCGATATGGAAAGCTTTTTGAACACATGTTTCTCTTAAACCAGTCATGAAAAAAATCTAAAAATTTAACACATCGCCAATTCAATGGTCATCCTTTGAATGGTAACAATATAATTTGAAAAATATATATATACTTTCATCTATATTGTTTTAGAAAACACATCAAACACTTGTTTTGTTCTTGGTTTCATGTTTCCAGAGTGAAATTAAACATCTTTCCGAACCTCATTGGAACAAAACGACATAAACACAACATGTTTAGGTCTCTCAATATAAGTATCTTGTTAATGAAATAAAAGGTTTATTTTGATTTTTTATCTATCTTGGGGGGATTTTGTTTTAATTTTTTGAATACTTTTTTGAAATCAACCAAAAATTCCTTTGAACAAGTACAACTATAATATTGAGAAGTGTAAAAACATGTTGTATGTGCTATTTTGTTCCAACAAGGTTCGGAAAGACATTTTATTTCATTTTCAAGAATTGGTAGAAAGGAGCCAAAATAATTGCACTAAAAAAAAAAAAATGTTAACAAAACCAGTTGTATAAATATTTCTAAATAATTTTCGCATTAAATTGTTGTCAATCAGTCAACATTACATAAATTACCATGTTTTTTTACAGAATGTTTTCAATGATTGGTTTAAGAGAAAAACATTGTTGAATTCAATTCTCCATATTGATACCAATCCTTCAAGTTGATTTGTCCATTCATAATTACTCAGATGCGAGTAGGTAGTTACCAGTTTCGCCACCAGGTGGCTGATTCGGGGGAATTAACATGGCAGGGTATTACAAAATTCCCTTAAACTTGAATATGCATCAGTTTTAGTGGTTCACTTTTCATATTACCCTTATGTATGTGATAGTTATACAAATTGAAATATGTCCAGTAAAAGAAAATATTATCTGCCCAACACAAGAAAAGATATTTCACTTTTTGTGGTTTTACAACATGGGGTCTATGGGGAATCTCCCCGACCTAGAAGTCAAATTTTCAAAGAAAATTAAATTTTCAAAGTTGATAAACTTTTTTCAAAACCACATTTCTAAATGTAAGTTTACATGTAGATTCCAAATATGACACCAGTTTGACTGAAATGTGAATTTTTAATGACGTAAATCAAGGTTATTTCTACTCGCATCTGGGATATTTAATCCTTACAAATTATCACAATATGTCACAACATAGATATATGTTCATCTAACAATCCCTCTTTATCATGGGTAATACATGATTTTTGATATATTCATTGAAAATGAAATATTAATCATATATTATTGTTCCATTTATAGAGTGGCAGTTACTATGAATCTTCTAGCTGTTAGAGCAATGATCAATTTGTGCAAGACATTCAAACAGCTAGATGCATTTATCCATGTTTCAACAGCCTATGCTAACTGCGATAGGACCCATATTGAAGAGACAGTCTATGATCCTCCTGTTGATCCACAGAAAATTATAGATGCTTTAGAGTGAGTATATGTTATGTGTGTTCCATTTTAGAGGAAGCAAGTTCTGAAATTCCAAATGCAATTTCAGTCTGTTGAGATTCCGTTCCTTGCCAGCCCTATTTATTACCATTGGAGCAACACTATTTTACTTGTTTTTGTTGCAAGTAATATTGTAAAAAAGGTGTACAAAATCCAACTAGCACTGTGAACTGGAAACTAGTTTTTATGTCCCCACCACATATTGTGGGGCCATGTTGTCGGCCTAGGCACGTCCGTCTGTTCGTCCGTACATCCGGCAGTTTTCTCAAGAACTGCTTCAGATATGACCTTCAAATTTTCAGGGATAACTCATGAGTGCATACAGATGTGGACGAAAGATTTTTAGCTTGATACCTACTTCCTGTCGGCCATTTTGAAGTCAAATGCTAAAATCCTTTTCTGCAAACTTTAAGAAAAACGGCTTCACGGTTGCTTTTAAAACTTTAACATCTTGTTCAGCTTACTTCATTCTACATCTGATTAGGTTTTGGACCTGTTAGTTCAGTCATGTCAGCCATTTTTAATGTCTTAAGAAAAGTTAGCGCACGATAATACTTTGTTTCACATTGAACGGTGTTTTTAAGTTTTCATACTTAAACTATTTAGTAGCTTTATAAATAATTCCAAGTGTACTTTGCTGTAAAAGCCTATGTTATTGTTAACAGTAGTTATATGTGATAATTTTGTAAAAAGAAATGAGCAAAAAATAGTAATCACTTTTTTTATTGTCAGCCATTTTGGATTTTTCCATCCTAAAATTTTGTCTGTAAAGTCTTGTCTACATGTTTTCAGGTGAACCGTTTGGTAGATCAATTTCAAATTTTCAGGGATGATTCTTAGTATGAAAATCTAAATCTGATTAGTTTTTTGGCATTCTGGGTAAATGTCAAGGCAGCCATTTTGGATTTTCCGTCCTAAAATCGTGTCTGTAAAGTCTTGTCTATGCGTTTCAGGTGAACCATTTGGTAGATCAATTTCAAATTTTTAGGGATGATTCTTATTATGAAAATCTAGATCTGATTAGTTTTTTGGCATTCTGGGTAAATGTCAAGGCAGCCATTTTGGATTTTCCGTCCTAAAATCTTGTCTGTAAAGTCTTGTTTGCGAGTTTTCTGGTTTACTGTTTGACGGATCAATTTCAAATTTTAAGGTGGCCATTTGCATTTTCCGTCCCAAAATTGTAACGGTAAAGCTTGTTTACTGATTTACAGGATAACCATTTGATGGGATCACCAATTGGTGGGGACATATTGTACACATTTGTGTTCTTGTTTATAGATTGTGTCACCTATAAGTTGCATGTTTGCACTGTTTTCTCCCTTTTTTACCCCTTCCTTAAGTTACATATTTGTACTGTCTTTCTAGATGGATGGATGATGAGACAGTGGAGCAATTAACACCAGGATTAATAAAACCTAAACCAAACACCTACACATACACCAAACAATTAGCCGAGAGTTTACTGCTAAACGAAGGCAAGGGATTGCCGTTAGCTATTGTGAGGCCATCTATTGTTACTGCATCATGGCAAGAACCAATGCCAGTAAGTTGTATGATGTTAACTTTCAAAGTTAAAAAAATTTACATTTTTTCGAGTTTGATTTCGAGGATTGGCAAATTCTCAAAATAATGTTCAAATGTTGGCTAAAAATAAGAATATTTTTAGATAGATTATACATTGCTCTTTAAATTGTATTGTCATTATCCTGTGTCTAGTAATTAAACACAGTGTCTACTGAATCTATTATTATTTACGCTTACATTCTTTTGCGTGACCTTACATCTTATCTCAATTGAAAAAAGCCTGTCATCTAGTATATCTCAAATCTTATTGGTATGTATATTTAAGGTAGGTTGAGAATAATAGGTAAATATAGCAATTAACATACACAAAAAGCTCCAAAATCATCATACATGGTCCTCCTTAAGAAGTTAACTCTAGGCTTGGTATTTATGTTTCTTTTGTTGTATATTTCAGGGCTGGATTGATAATTTAAATGGTCCCAGCGGAATGTACATAGCTGTAAGTACTGTTCTAGTTAATATTTTACTCTATGTGTGTTTTGTGTATATTATTTACATTTAATGATATTCACATTTTTGGGTACAGTACATTGGGATTAACATTTTACAAACATTATTGTTTGGTTTAAAAATCCTGAGTTATAATTCAAAGTAGTGTCCTTGGTTCATTTATGTATTTGCATTTTGCACTTGGACATTTTCTTAATAGTACCTTGCATAAAAAAGTTTGATAGGTGGGGGTCTCACTATTCTTATCTGTCTAATTTTAATTTCCAGGGCTGTTTCTTAGTATGAAAATCTAGAACTGATTGTCTTTGATTCATGATAGGTAAATTCAAGGCATCAATTTTGAGGTACAATATTATTCACCCTGTGTCCTGTTCACAATCATTCTATCATAAAAACATTTGATTCTAGGCTGGCAAAGGATTACTGAATTTTTCACCCTGTGTCCTGTTCACAATCATTATATCATAAAACCATTTGATTCTAGGCTGGCAAAGGATTACTGAATTTTTCACCCTGTGGCCTGTTCACAATCATTATATCATAAAACCATTTGATTCTAGGCTGGCAAAGGATTGCTGAATTTTTCACCCATTGTCCTGTTCACAATCATTATATCATAAAACCATTTGATTCTAGGCTGGCAAAGGATTACTGAATTTTTCACCCTGTGTCCTGTTCACAATCATTATATCATAAAACCATTTGATTCTAGGCTGGCAAAGGATTACTGAATTTTTCACCCATTGTCCTGTTCACAATCATTATATCATAAAACCATTTGATTCTAGGCTGGTAAAGGATTACTGAATTTTTCACCCATTGTCCTGTTCACAATCATTATATCATAAAACCATTTGATTCTAGGCTGGCAAAGGATTACTGAATTTTTCACCTGTTGTCCTGTTCACAATCATTATATCATAAAACCATTTGATTCTAGGCTGGCAAAGGATTACTGAATTTTTCACCCATTGTCCTGTTCACAATCATTATATCATAAAACCATTTGATTCTAGGCTGGCAAAGGATTACTGAATTTTTCACCTGTTGTCCTGTTCACAATCATTATATCATAAAACCATTTGATTCTAGGCTGGCAAAGGATTACTGAATTTTTCACCTGTTGTCCTGTTCACAATCATTATATCATAAAACCATTTGATTCTAGGCTGGCAAAGGATTACTGAATTTTTCACCTGTTGTCCTGTTCACAATCATTATATCATAAAACCATTTGATTCTAGGCTGGCAAAGGATTACTGAATTGTTCACCTTGTGTCTTGTTCACAATCATTATATCATAAAATCATTTGATTCTAGGCTGGCAAAGGATTACTGAATCTTTCACCCATTGTCCTGTTCACAGTCATTATATCATAAAACAATTTGATTCTAGGCTGGCAAAGGATTACTGAAGTCTGTGTTATGTGACTCTGATGCTGTTGCTGATATCATCCCAGTTGACATGCCTACAAACATGTTAATATTGGTTGGTTGGTACACAGCCACACATAAACCAAGAGAGGTTCTTGTATACCATTCCACAACAGGAACTGTGAATCCATTCACCTGGGGACAGATGGGTAGGTTCCTTTTTCATTTATTTTTGTAATTAAATGTAACAGTAAGAATGTCTGATTCTGATCACTGCTCGCTTCCCATTGTGTCATGAACCATTCAGTGTAAAATAATAATTAAGTTCTAACATTTCATTGTAACGTTTTACAAAGTTTTGGAATCACTGATTTTAATTCTTAGGAAAGTGATTGAAAAGTATTTTTATGCCAATCATTGATGTTACTCTTGGAGATTCTTGGGACTGTTCTTATATTTTATTATTATTTTTAGATGCACATTTTTTGTCCATGAATGCTTTGATTAATGAATTTGATTTCTAATGTGATTTTGCTCTACAGTATGATGTGATTTCACATTAAAAAAGAACTATATTTTTGAAAATCAGAAACAGACAATTTTATCACTCTAGGTTAAATTCAGTTGTATCTTTTGTGAGTATAGAAAAGTTTAAGAGACATTTTTTATGTAAGCATAAATAATGATTTGCTACAATTCGAAGTGACAGCGTTTACTCGTTTAGTTCATTGTCATACATCAGTGTTCTCCCTAGGATTTGTATTCACATGTTTGTTTATTGTGTAAAATTCTCATAATTTCACAAATCTGGCCAATAAAGTTAGTAGAAACTTGACAAATTTATAGATTTTCACAGTATGTATATATTCAAAATCTGAATTGGTTGCAACATCCATATGCTTTATTCACACTCGGGAGAACACTGTGTATCATGATACAAATATATAATAAATATAATGTAAAGATTGACAGTAGTCTAGCTACAAGCCCCTGTGAGTCCCCCCTCTGAACTACACACCTCCCAATATGTTGTGTTGGTAAAGTAGATAGGGGGGGGGGTGGCAGTCTTGAAGCGAGACTTATTGACAGAAATTTTTGTTCACTGTAGTAATGATGAAAAGTCTTGTTTTGTTACAGAAAGAACATTAATTACTTGTAATGAAACTACATGTACACTGTTTGATAAAGTTGACCTTTTGTTTGATGAGTTTTGTGAAAAACAATGAATGCTATCTAAACCTGCCCTCATGCTTAATGACAGCTGCCTTAATGTAGTTTTTTGCAGTTTCTCTCGTATCTATGAAAAATTTTCTTTAAGTCGTAGCTGCTTGTACCTCTCTTTTTAAAACCTGTTTGCTAATAGTCGCTCTTGCAGATGTAATATCTACTTTTGCTTTAACATCTTATCATGAGTTCTTAATAAGATATCCTACATTTTTCTTTAAAGGGTTGCCTTGACAAGAATTGTTATAAATGCAGTGCAGTGATCTCCCCAGCACTAAAGCAAGTTGGCGCAGCATCCATCTGAGATTTCAAAAACAGGCTTGCATCTTCCACCTGAAAATTCATTTGCCCCCACTTCAAAATGAGAACACTCATGGAAAATGGGCACATTTTGACCAATTTTTGTCTCAGTTGTGAAAATCAGAAAAAATCCTGTCGAGAACACTGCAGTGGAAAGTATTAATGTCTCAGTTTAAAATGCAGACTTTGACCTTAAGTATTGTGTTACTGCCAATGTGTTTGCTTCAGTGGGTGCAAATTTCTAATTTCTGCATTTCAGCCCAAAATTGGTCAGAATATCTGAATATTGTTATAGTTTTGTTTATTGATCATGTCAAGGCAATTCTTTGAAAATAGACATTTTGGCAAGCTAGTTAGAGTTGGACCCAGAGATAGATAGCACATAATAAGATAATATATAATCTCAAAGATTTTTTACCAAATTTAGTAGCCATTCTTGATTAATGATTCTGAAATGTGTAATTTCTTCAAAATGATAAAATTGCACTTTTGGGCAAATTTATAGAAAACTGAACATATAAATGTAAATAAAATCTTTGCATTTTGGGTTTTGGAAAAAGAGGCATCAAAGAACAAATGGTATCACAGAAAAAGATTCTGAAATTGAGAAATCTTTTGAAAAATTGCTTGCTATCTCTATTCTCTGACTCTGACCTTAAGTGTCAGAAGAGCTGAATAATATGCTTAAAACATATGCTTAAATTTTAGAGAGACTCCAGCAACAAATGATATGCTACTATGACAACCATTGGATTAGCATAGCAACCATGCATGGAATGTTGTTGTTACCTGTAGTTATCTCTTAATATTTTATCTTCCAGAGACTGTAGTCAATTCATATTTTAAGAAATACCCATATGATGATTGTTTTCGACGTCCCAATGTTTCCTTAACATCAAATGAGTAAGTATGACCCAGAATTGTTCTGATTGGTCAATGATGATTATAATGTGTTCTGATTGGTCAGTTTTGGACATGATGCACACTGATTGGTCATTGGTGGTCATAATACATTCTGATTGGTCTGTATTCTATAACATGTTATATGAACTTCTTCCTCACGTATGCTGCAACTAAATATTGTGCACTATAGGTGAAAAATGGACTTTTTCAAAATGTGGTTGAGTGGATACTGCTATTCTTGTCTTTCTGCGCTAATCAAGCCTCATTTCCATCTCGCAAAAACTATTCCATTCCAAGAGTTGATTTAGTGGATCAGTCTACTGGAATGACAATAACTCAACAAAAAATCAATTACATCTAAAAAATCAAGCCGAGATATGTAAAATCAGATGTATATGTACATTTTTTTTTAAATGAACTTAAAAGTTTATTATCCACTAGTTCTTAACTCTCACACTTGACATACAATGGTTATATATTTTAAGATTGGATATTAAGAAATTTGAAATGAAATGAGACTTGATTATGTACTTGTGCTTCATGTTGCCTATAGCATATTCTAATGTTATATCATGCTGGAGATAGGCATGGAGGTTAGTGCTTTATATAGTGATAGCTATGCTGACCTAGAAAACATGAAGATATACTTGGAATTATGGAGGTTGCTCTTTCGCTTTTAAGATTTATTGATGTTTCCTTTAGAATTAAATGGTGTTGAAGATCCTGAGATACGTGTTATTTTATAATAATTCATCTTCTTAATAGTCCCATATATCAATGCAATTTAAAAGTCTCATGCATCAACACAATTTAAAAGTCCAATATATCAATGGAATTTAATAGTTCCACATATCAATGCAATTTAAAAGTCTCATGCATCAACGCAACTTAAAAGTCCAATATATAAATGAAATTTAATAGTCCCACATATCAATGCAATTTAAAAGTCTCATGCATCAACGCAATTTAAAAGTCCAATATATCAATGAAATGTAATAGTCCCATTCATCAATGCATTTTAATAGTCTCACATATTAATGCAATTTAATAGTCCCATAAATCAATGCAATCTAAAAGTCCAATATATCAATGCGATTTAATAGTCTCATATATTTGATAGCCCCATATATTGATGCAATTTAATAGTCCCACATATCAATGCAATTTGATAGCCCCATATATCGATGCAATTTAATAGTCCCACATATCAATGCAATTTAATAGTCCCATATATCAATGCAATCATATAGTTCCATATATCCATGCTATTTAATAGTCCCATTTATCAATGCAATCTAAAAGTCCCATATATCAATGCGATTCAATAGTCTCATATATTTGATAGCCCCATATATCGATGCAATTTAATAGTCCCATATATCGATGCAATTTAATAGTCCCATTTATCAATGCAATTTAATAGTCCCATCCCATTATATCAATGCAATTTAATAGTTCCGTCAATCCCAGCATGCAGATAGAGCACAAAAATTGGAACATAGATCACCAGCGTGCATATACATGTTCACTGAAGATCAGTGCCCAATTTAAGTAAGTCACGCGGTACAAACTTCGACCGTTAATTTGAATTTTTGACCTACCGGATGTTTGAAAATCAAGGATTACGAATCTCGTACTGCACCGTTTTTCTTCAAACTTGTTCCATTCAAAGCATAACAAAAATCCCTTTCTGTTGGTACATTATTCTCTTAAACAGAGTTACTACTTCCAGCGGCATTTTGGTCCCAAGCTGTAAGAAGGCCTTCTAACAGCTGGGGACCAAAACGCTGCTAGAACGAGGGACTTTTTACAATAAAGTAATGCACCGACAGAAAGGCAATATTGTTTTGCTTTTAATGGTATACGTTTGAAGAAAAACGGTGTAGTATGAGACTCGCAATCCTTGATTTCCGAGCTGGTAGGTCAAAAATTCAAATTAACGGTCGTAGTTTGTACCGCGTGTAAGTACATCAATGGAAGCAGCGATCATGAAAATGCTGTTTCTCAAAATAGACACACCTTCCCATTGATTTCAATTGCATTTTTGCACGTTTGACATTTGAGATTTTTTAACAACCAATGATAGATGTGTGATCGATCCTTCCCAGCAATGATAGGCCTTGGTGTATCCAGACAAGGTTCCCTATTAATCATTATTGATTAGGTAATTCATAATATAAATAAGACATCCTTTATTAACATGTTTAAGGACCACCCATTTTTTGTTGAATAAGATGTACAATACTCTTAACATAATTTTCCATAAGGTTTTAGCAATTTTAGGCGCATACCTGAGGAAACATGGAAGCCTTTATCCTAGCAACAAAATTCAAAACCATCTTCTTAACAAAGCTTCCATTTTCCCATGGGCGTTCTCTTTCATGGGCTTTCAAGAGAGAGAGAGTCAATGATAATCCTTACCAGATCCCAAATTTTATCTATTAGCTTCTGCTAGCTGATGGAAATATTATATATTCTAATCTTCTTCCCTTTTACATATGTTCTTTCTTGTATTTTAGTTATCTGCTTTTTAATACTAAATCCAGTTTTTGTGTCTCCACTTTTACACATTGAGTGTCTGTTCATTTATTTATGTATAGTATATGTATGGTATGTCTTTCCTATCCATTAGTTGACGTTGGGATGGCCTATTTTAAAGATCAACCATTAAACGCCTGTTTCCGTCGGCCAAAATTGGCTCTGACTGTATCTCCGTGAGTATTGCATGCTGGGAAGGATGTTGCACGCTGGGTATCTCTTGCACTAATATAAACACCGTGTAAAATCCTTGGTTTATTCTCTATAGTTGCTTCTCTGCTTAATCCCTACATGCCTAACTGCTTTAAAAGTGCAGTCGTATCCCCAGATTTACGAGTTGCAAATTATAATTATAAAAATGCTGTGATTCCTTCCATTATAAATGGGATGAACATTTATCTTTATGTGTATTTGGCTATGATTCATTACCACTGCAAGGAACTTTGAAAAGTTTGCAAAATCTTGTTTCTTGTGTCATTTATTCAGTCCATGCAAAGAATTACATTGTGTGGACTACTATGATATAGGCTACCAAACCTTTTCTTGAAGTGTGTTTACTCTCTATTACTAATTTTTTTACTTAATTTGTCAAGGTCTGAAGATTTTTAAATTTGGAGTTTACTTCTATTTCTATCTCCAGCAATGAACATGTACAGGGTGGGCCAAAATGCATCCATATTTTATTTTCCAATAATTTTTATTTTTTATAATGCATGGATTTCAATAATATGGATGTTTTTGACCCACCCTGTACTGTATATATCTTATTATTGTGTCTCATTTCACAAGTAAAATATAAAAGGCCATTACAGGGTTTAACACAGTATGTTTGGAGATTTCTGAATGTTTTTGTGGAAAAATACATGCTTTGTGCAAAACGAATGATTCATGTGTCAAAGAATGAAGTACCATTTTTGAGAGAATTCTGTTTGTGTGTTAAGAGATCAGTTCTGGTGAATATGAATACAACAGTATGATTGTGTGCTGATTCTTCATATACAATTTAAGTCCCTGTCATTGAAACACATGTCACTCAGTTACTATGGCAACAATTATTTAATCATCTCAGTCCTGGCTTTTTAAAATAGTTCAATTAAACTCACAATAACATGTTTAAGACATGCTAAAAAGCAAAATTCTTTCTAATTTGACAAAATATGAGACCTAGTGTCATTTCTCATTGAACACCCTGTAGAATGTACATGTTCAGGCAGAATGCACAGTCTGCATTATATAGCTATGTGCAGTTTTTTGTTCATCCCAAAAATGCATGTGCTGTATTATTTGAATGGGCAGTTTGCTCTCAATGAAACAAGAAATTAGTCAGTTAGTTAACATGTAGTTGTATTTTCGCATAAGTTCTGTACAATTTTGAATTTACACTTTTGTTGAATCTGGCATCATTGCTGAGTGACTGTATGATTGCACCATTCACAAGACCTACTTTACAGGAAGCTATCTGAAATCCTTGATTTGAAGACCTGTCATTCCCTCATTCTGATTGAGCGTGATGGACTGCTTCCCCCTTGTCTGAAAGTGTGTGAAGATGTGTTATGTACATGCAGTAGTCGCTTGTAGTTGTATACCCTATTTTACAAGTATATTTTAGAACTGTCCATGTATAATGCTAGCTAGAAATCTCCATGCTCTATTGTTAGTTTCGATTTTTATTATCTTTAATTAAAACTGGTCAGTTTCATTATACATCATGATAATTTCACAAAGTGTATTTATTATATCGAGTCTCAATCTACTACCTGTTCTATCTGATTTGGTTTAGATTAATTTTAAAGGAAAATTTTTCCTATCACTAGACATTAGTCAATTCAATTAATATCAATAGTATCAGAGGTTTCTGTAATTGACTTATGAATTGAGAAAATATTGATCTTAGCTTTTGTCTCAAATTGTAACAAATTGTTGCATTTATAACAAATTGTTGCATTTGTAACAAATTCTTGCATTTGTAACAAATTCTTGCATTTGTAACAAATTGTCGCATTTTTAACAAATTCTTGCATTTGTAACAAATTCTTGCATTTGTAACAAATTCCTGCATTTGTGACAATTTGTTGCATTTGTAACAACTTTCTGCATTTGTAACAAATCAAATGCAACATAACAATCAAACAAGACAATACCAATGTCCTAGTTACAACCTAGTTACAATTAACAATATGTTACAGATACTGATGGCAACATTGATTGCCAGTCACAAAAATACAAAAGCAATGATATGTTACCACTCTTTGGCGGTGACATAATAATCAAATTGATGAATGTATATTTTGAAACAATATTCCCCTCATGGCGTTTACAGATAGAATAAAATTAAGAAAAAAATAAAATATTGAGTGTAAAAATAAGAGATGATTCTTTGCGCATCTCCTAGCTAGAATTACCATTGATATTTTTTATGTCACCACCATACGTGTTTTAGTCCTCCACTTTTTAGTGGATGGCGTTTGGTGATTGTGTCTGTAACAAATGACAGGTGGTGACATTTTGTATGTTAATGCATTGTTCTTCTTATATTGTAGTACTAATGTGCATTATTCCATTGCAGCTGGTTACATAACTACTGGATGTTTGTTAGTCACATGATTCCTGCCTATGTCACAGACCTTGCATTTAGACTTGCGGGCAAAAAACCAAGGTAAAAATTAGTATACTTTTTGAAGAGTTATAGTTCCGAAATCTTATTTATCTTAAATCATAGCCATATTTGGAATACATTTTTTAACTTCAAATCAAAGCCGCCATATTCAGAACAAGTGTTTTAACTATGAATCATAGCAACCAGATTCGAAACAAGATTTAAATCTCAAACCTCAGCTACTGTATTTGGATAAGTGTTTTGAGCACCACATTTGGAACAAGTTTTTAGCCTCAAATCACAGTCTCCACATTTGGAACAAGTTTTTATTTGGAACAAGTTTTTCTGCAATTTTATCCACAATGTAGTTCTCATCTCAAATTTTGAATCTTCCACATTTCAGGATGGTGAAGACTTACAATAAGATGCATCGTTCTTTGAGTACCTTGAACTTTTTCACGTTACGAACATGGGAGTGGACGTATAAAAACATAGATTGTCTCAAAAAGGCCCTGTCTGAAGAAGATAAAAAAGTAAGATATTGTTTAATCATACAATATATATAATAGAAGGGATCGATTCTAAACTCTGATATTGTTGATGTTTTTCCAAAAGTGATTTATTGAAGAATATGTACCCCTCATCTCTAAATCTTATGGACTTGACATGTCATGTCACGTCAACCATGCATTTATCCCTTTTTATGGTTAAAGTACTTTATGGAATTATAGACGTTTCTGATAAATCATGCCATCTTTTGATCCATCTCCTTTTTCATAGAGGGCAATAGAGATATACATCCATACATACAGACAATCATTGAATCAAGTTGACCAATTCTTTTCTTCAATATCATCTACAAGTTCAAACCTGACTTTAGATTGAACTCATCATATTATGAGCAACAACTAGTTGCAAAAGTTATTTTACAAATGCTGGCTGAAATGTCCAAATTTTTTTATGTTTTCCAATTTCTCTACTGGGTGCAAATGGACCTGTAACTGGCTGTATATATAAATGCACCTGTAACTGGATGCAGGACAATTGTTAAATTCTTAATTAGGTGCAAATGCTTGAAAGGTCTCAAGTTTGGGAGATTATCCTACTTGCATTCTATTATTGGCTGTGAATTCATATGATCTGAGAATTTATCTAGATTTTTATCTTTAAGGATAAATCTTAGATTATTGATCCGAATAAACATTTTGATTATTGTCATATGACATAACATATATGAAACTCATTAGTCTGTTTCTTAATTTACTTGATATTGAACAGAATAACCTCCTTAATGAAACACTCGCCAATGTAACATTGTAATGATTATGCTTGTTCGATTTCAGATATTTTACTATGATCCACGCTTGATCCACTGGCCTTCCTACATAGAAAATTACTGCAACGGTACCCGGATATACATCCTAAATGAAACACTCACCAATGTACCCGCAGCCAGGGCACATATCAGAAAGTAAGACTACACTGTAATAAATGTTCAGATAGCTTAAATAAATGCCCCAAATTATGTGGTCTGTTCATGCATTAAAAACCAAAAATTATCTTAGGAGCATTCACCATAAATTCCAAAAATGTTCTGTTCTTGCATTAAATACCCAAAATTATCTTAGGAGCATTCACCATAAATGCCAAAAATGTTCTGTTCTTGCATTAAATACCAAAAATTATCTAAGGAGCATTCACCATAAATGCCAAAAATGTTCTGTTCTTGCATTAAATACCAAAAATTATCGAAGGAGCATTCACCATAAATGCCAAAAAATGTTCTGTTCTTGCATTAAATACCAAAAATTATCGAAGGAGCATTCACCATAAATGCCAAAAAATGTTCTGTTCTTGCATTAAATACCAAAAATTATCTTAGGAGCATTCACCATAAATGCCAAAAAATGTTCTGTTCTTGCATTAAATACCAAAAATTATGTAACCAATGCAATGATAAATGTCTGAAACTACGTATGTCAAAGATACCAACCTTAAATACCCAGAATTCTGTGGGCTTATTCAACATGTTATATGTGTTCCAGGTTGAGAAATATCCGCTATGTGTTCAACACCGTTGTGATCGTAGCGCTCTGGAGGTTTCTAGTGGCCCGGACAGACATAGCAAGAAATCTTTGGATGTTCATTATGACTCTAGTGTACAAATTCGTCAGAATGACCCACATTACTAGCACCCGATGATATATATGACTGATCAGTGAAACGTGTGATGGATTGTGTTTTGAAACGATAGGGATTCAAATTAAAACCAAAATACCAACCTTAAATACCCAGAATTCCAAAATACCATGGATACTGAATCCTTATCATCTTATCAAAACCAAATGATCAAAATAGTAAAATTACTAAGCAATTTATGAAAACCTTGTTCACAAAATATACCATGTATATTTGAACATTTTGGAATAGTTTGGAACTATGTGAGACATTTCTGACGATAATATGAAAACAGGTTACGAAGCACTCCCTGCCAAAAGTGGAGAAAGGAGTCAGTTACATCTTACTTTTTGGCATCCAAATTAAACTGGATCGTTGGGATATAAAGGAGTAAATTATTTATATGGATCAGAAATCAGTGGATTTTATTAAATTCATAAGAAAAGTATTACCAAATGATAGGTTATATCATGAACAATTGAATATTATATGTACTGTATATATAGGAGGGTGTTTCATATTTTAGATTTTAAACATTAATTGAATTAAGCCCTATAGACCCTTATGTTTTCATGTATATGCTGAAAAATTGCAGGCCAATATCAAAACTAACCTGCTTTTGGCCTCTAATGTACATATTATATATATATGGTACTAACTATATATAATTGTAAAATAGACATTTGATATTGGAAGCAAGCAGACTCAACCAAAACCCATGACTACTATAGAAATGGGCTCAGAACTTATTTCTGATTCTAAAATACACTTAAGTTTTTACAATAAATTTAGGATAATTCCCGTAACTTGCAGCTTCAATAGACTTTGTTACAAATGAAGTGTTGCAGTTACACCCCTGTTATGCTACCTACTTGCTTAAGCAAGTGGTTACATATTGTTATAGTATTTTTGTGACAGTGTTCTGAGTTATTCTTCTCTAACAAATGGCAGGTGGTGACATTTTGCATGTTAATGCCTTGTTTAAGCCTGATAAAACAAATTCAGTATATTTTGTCATTTTGTTTCATGCTTTTGAAAATTTTCACTTGTGAAAATGCATTTTTAAGAGGTCATAAGTTGTGCTCAAAGTAGGTAAAGCTTTTTTTCTTCAAAAGCATTAATTTGTTTCATTGTTATCCTAACATATATTAGAGGTATTTTACTCAATTAGAAAAGTTGAACATTTTGGGGATGCCCTTTTTTATTAACTTTTATACCTTGATCTGATATTTGACATGTATCTAGTTTAAGGTAAATTCACTAATTTATGGAGTGATAGACGAGTTCATGAACTACATTACATTCCTAATGATTTTTATGTACTTGTATTTCAATTTGTCTAAAGTTCAACATTAACAATTTGAGATCAATGGTTCAACTTGAGTTTTGATACAATGTTGGTGCATTTGTACATGAATGTATGGTTTGATATAGATCAACTTTTTGACTTTGGAACATCTGTTTTGTTGTTCTCAAGTAGAATAGCCCTTAACATTTACTTATATATCATTCTACCTTCGGACAATTGCACTGTGAAAGGAGGTGGGGGGGGGGCTGTTAAAATACCAGATCAACTAAACCTTTATACAGTTGAACTCCTAGAAGTAGAACAATTTTCAGAGTCCCAAGACCATCTCACTTCATGTTAAGTGACCCTTTAAGTTGAACCTAAGTTGAACACCTCCCATTAAGTGGAACATTTTTAGAGGTACACCAAAAGCAGTTCAACCTTGACAGGTTGCACTGTATATTTTACATGGGCATAGACAAGCATGAAGTAGATTAGACTACTGCTTCACCAATATTTTATAAAAATGTATTAAACAGATGTTTTTTCAATTAAACTTTGGCAGTGAGTTCCAAATTTAGTTGTAGGTGTCTTACCTCTTTAAATTTGCATTGCCTAATTTTTGATCATGCCTACACTGCTGTATTACCATTTTGCGAGATATTCCTTGTTTAGTATTTATACTTTTTACTTAAAATGATTTACATAAGACATCTCTATGGGTGTATGTGGGATAGAAAAATAGGTTAGGCAAATTAAGCTGAATGGAAAACATTTATGCAAATTAAGCTGTGGGGCAAATTAAGCCAATTGAAAAATATGTGAGGCAAACTAAGCCAATTGAAAATAGGCGAGGCAAATTAAGCTGATAGGCAATAATATAGGCAATAATAGGCAAGGTTAATTTTAGCCCAATAAGATAAATTCTTCAGTCATACTTCTTATGCACTGGTACTCACCTAGTTACGAAGTCTGGAAGTTCTTCTATCTTGTTACGCTGACGTATCGTCAGGGTAACTGGGTGAGTAACAGTGATATGTGCTGTTTCATTTTTTGATAGAATGTCTGAATGAATATATTTTTGTAGAATTTTGTCTTGTGCCTGGTTACACCCATGTACACCATGTACAGCAATGGCATTGTTTCATTTCTAACACATACAGTTATGTCAATGTTTTATTGGTTCATTTCATCAAAAGTTATGTAACTAAGAGGTGGACATATTTTAGTTTGCAGGGGAGTCAGTTATTGACATGATTGGTGGCAATATACATGTAGAGTAGATGCATATTTTGTACTTGAATAACATTAGACCTTCATGTACCAACTGTTAAACATAATGTGTGTTGTGGTGTTTTTCCTTGGCTTGAACTTGAACTGGTTACAATTTTCTATATACGGTAGTACATGTAATAAATAACTACATAATGTATGTTGGAAATAAAGGGATTTTATTAAATGAAATATGTTTCTTTTTGTTTTTATTTTTCTCCATTGGTTATTTATCACCATTCATTAACTGGGAATAATTCAGTAAAGCATGACGTACCTTTAAAGGAAGCCTTATTTTTCAGTTTCATTTTTTATCATCATTTATTACGGAATAAATACTTTTTTATTGCACGTCCGAGAACCAATATACATGAATGTGAGTAAATCACCCCCTGTGAACCCCCACCCATAAAAAGTGGGTAGATCTCCATAAAAGAATCTAGGGATTTTGTCAGAAGAAGTGAGCTCCCACAATTCTTTCATATTCTATCATATTCGGGGATTCCCCATTACATCATTTCCCGCATCATCTCCAATCAAATTGCAGGATGTGATCATGGGAACAATCATTAGCATGTGCTCTCTCAGTGCTCCGCAGTCCGCATGCGTAAGGTAACATTTGAAATTGTGGAAATGGCGTTTGTTTCAATCATGGGCTTTCAACTAGAAGGGTAGGCAACTTCCCATATTTCATACATAAACATTGCCATGGGTTTTCAAAATTGGAGAATGTACACATTCCAAGAAAATCTTATTTTGTACTTTTTATTGATGATTAAAAGAAATAACTCAAAAATAAAAACATGATCTTCTACATACATCTTGATAATTTAATAAAAATTGGAATTCATCATAATTATGACAATACAGAAAGTGAACATTCTCCCACAAATTATGTTTTTATTGGAATGTGTTTTTGAATAATTACCCACAATGCAATACTTAAAGAGAACATCTTGATAACTCTTATTCTTATTGGTCTCTATTGTTTACTTTTATATGATATTGAATATATTTTATGCTTAAATCATATTAAAAAGTGATTTTTATTCAAAATAATACTAAAACATATACATTTATCTAATACTTTTTGAAATATTGCCATAAAAGGGAAGCATGTCATTGTTCATTTTGAAGGTCTCATGTTATTACATAGAGTTGCATACCCTTCTAGTTGAAAGCCCATGTTTCAATTAACATCATTTCAACATCATCATTTCAAAACTACGGTTACAATATTGAAGTCACTCGTTCCAAACTTGAAGAGAATAACTCATAAAACAACAGCGAACATTGTGAGATCTGTTTCAATGACAAATGAGGCCTATATATAAAATTGGTCATTGAACATGCCAAATGGCCCGAATACTACAGGTCATCTTTGGGAAATCTCCCCCCCCCCTGGTATTTTATCGTATAGTACTAGGAGAACCTTCAACTGTCCCCGACTTTGAGAATTTGTTAGCTCATTGTTGTAAATTTGATTTAAGGCCAAGTAATGCCCAAAAAGGCCCATAATTGAGGCCCTACAAAATTTTGGCCACAAACTTTTTAGCTGGGCCAATCCAAATGGGGGGGGGGGGGCACCATGCGGTCCCCTGGATCCGCCATTGGTTATGATTCCAGTTCCACCCGTGATTCCACCAAATCATGAATTTCCCCGGTAATGATCCATTTCTCCATTCTCAAAATTCATTTCGTTCGTGTACCTATTGTAACAGTTTGGCCTTTTTTGTGGATATGTGGTAGTGTGGCTAATAAAAAGACCACTGTTTAGTAAACGGTGTTTACTTGTGGATTGCACGGCACACGTTAAATGTGCTTTGTCCCTAAAGAAATAAACAGAATATATAATTTTATATATATATAATACAAAACAATATATTGTGGCGTTTATAAGCCCAAATAAGATGTACATGCAATTTCAAATGTAATGTAAGAATATTACGGTGTTATTATTTCTCTTAAAACTCACAACTCAAAAGTCCATATGAGCTAATAATAATTATCACTGATAAAATAATATCCAGAGTCCATATAAACTGATGATCACTATATAACACTGTTGTATTCCGAATATGCAAAGTTCATGTAAATTGTACCACTTGTACGTCTTGTATTGTTATTGTATCTTGAACCTGGAATAGTAAGCTGAGCGTAACAAAGTCTTGTCTCCTAATTTTGGGAAGCAACTTTACACAAAATTCGTAGTACTCATGCTGAAGCTTGGTGTGGATTTTAAAGCAGGGGTTGGCGTAGGGGGTATTGGAACTGCTGGAACAGGCGCTTCTTCGTCTTGAATCTTAATACACACCTGGGAGCATATGACTAACATCAAACATAAAAGTACAAATAAAATTCCACCCACGACCAAGATGATGAAGGGGATATCCAGTTCCATCCACTGTAAACTCAGCAACTGTCTTGTGTCTTGCTTCCAATGAAAATACTAATTCTCTTCACGTTGTTGTAGTATCCTCCACTGTGTTGTAGGATAATTCACCTTTAATTATATGAAATAATCAAAGTCAAACTATCGGCTCTGTAAATGGCTATCTCCTGGATCCTCTTCACTGTGTTGTAGGATAATTCAACTTTAATTATATGAAATAATCAAAGTCAAACTATCGGCTCTGTAAATGGCTATCTCTTGGATCCTCTTCACTGTGTTGTAGGATAATTCAACTTTAATTATATGAAATAATCAAAGTCAAACTATCGGCTCTGTAAATGGCTATCTCTTGGATCCTCTTCACTGTGTTGTAGGATAATTCAACTTTAATTATATGAAATAATCAAAGTCAAACTATCGGCTCTGTAAATGGCTATCTCCTGGATCCTCTTCACTGTGTTGTAGGATAATTCAACTTTAATTATATGAAATAATCAAAGTCAAACTATCGGCTCTGTAAATGGCTATCTCCTGGATCCTCTTCACTGTGTTGTAGGATAATTCAACTTTAATTATATGAAATAATCAAAGTCAAACTATCGGCTCTGTAAATGGCTATCTCCTGGATCCTCCTCAATGTGTTGTAGGATAATTCAACTTTAATTATATGAAATAATCAAAGTCAAACTATCGGCTCTGTAAATGGCTATCTCTTGGATCCTCTTCACTGTGTTGTAGGATAATTCAACTTTAATTATATGAAATAATCAAAGTCAAACTATCGGCTCTGTAAATGGCTATCTCTTGGATCCTCCTCACTGTGTTGTAGGATAATTCAACTTTAATTATATAAAATAATCAAAGTCAAACTATCGGCTCTGTAAATGGCTATCTCTTGGATCCTCGTCACTGTGTTATAGGATAATTCAACTTTGATTATATGAAATAATCAAAGTCAAACTATCGGCTCTGTAAATG